TCATCTCCTGGTTTCACTTCCGAGTCGCTTCTCTTCTGTTCTGTGACGAAACAACTTGGCTATGGCTCTCCTTTCACAATCCTGCAAAAGATTAAATGACCATATCAAGCTATCGAGTTAACTACGTGTTGGCTGCTGAAAGCTTGAGAATGGTTTTTAATGAACTTTTGATGTCAATTGTTTTACCTTGAACATATGGAAATAAAACGGTTTGCTGGGGTTCATCCTTCTCAATTTCTGGTACGTGTAGGCAAAGCTCAGCTGATCACGGGGAGTAAAACGTTCAACCTCATTAAACCATAGACAGGAGAACAGATTCGACATGGGGGTGTGTGCTCTCACGATTAATGATCCTTCAGGTACATCTACATCAAAATGGAAACATAGAGTCGGAAGAAATTGAAAGAAGACTAAAGTTGAGAGAGGGATTAACAGATCTTACTGCTTGGAAGAAGCTTGTTAGGATCAGAGGGGTCGAATTTCGTCAGCCCATCAGCTTGGTAGAAGGCGAACTGCTCGTCTATTACAGTGTGATTGTACTTGTTCAGCCTTTTATTCTGTAAAACCTCTTCCCACACACAATGACGATCATAGTGATTGGAAATTGCATACTCATGACCTTTTCGCCACAAGAGATACTCCAGGACCAGAAGAGGATCTAGTTGTAGGCGTAATTTGCTATCCAACCAAATTGAATATCTGTGCAAAATCAATGTAATAACAGAAACGCATCAGTTGTTACTTCTGATAATAGAATTATCAAAAAGTAAAGAGCAGGTGAAAGTTCAAGCACTAGTCAGCATATAGTGGAAAAGACATAGGCCGTGTTTGTCTCAGATTAGAAAAAATGGATTTAAGGTTCAGTTACCAAGACAAGAACAACCAACTAACAACTCAAATGGATATAAGACACCATCTATGCCATTGATCACCACGTTATATGCATTTGAATGCCCATTGAGTGCTACTTTCGGTTCTCACCTTGCAGAAGGGAACAGCCTGTGTGGCAATAATTTCGGTATTTTACCAACCCTCCGCATATCAGTATAAGGTAAATTCTTCACCAGTACAACCTTCCACAGGCCAACAAATCCTGCCGTGTCTGGCATATTGCCCTCGGAAGATAACGTCTGCAATGTAGCCTCATCCACAAACATGACAAAACAAACATTTTTCCTTGACAAACGAGTGACCTGAAAAGGCAGGACGTGAAGTTAAATTCGTGTCAGTGCAACAGAATTGGCTGCTGCAGTGAAGTAACACACAAACGCATAACCACTAGAATTCATTGGCATGAAGGAAATATCAGAAAACAACCAACATGACAAAGTAGCAACTGTGTTGAATACACGATGTGGCAGTTTACTTTCAAGCTGAAGGCACTATAGCAATTTCATCACTTGATTGGTATTATTACAAATTAGCAATATGAAAGCAAAACGATTGCTTCCTATCCTTGGAAATGCTCTGCCGTTTTCATATTCCCTCTCTATCGGTTTTACGGATCATAAGCAGTAAAATCATGACCTCACTGTCACGTTTTCATATTTCCTTCCATTGCGATTTTATTGGTTCATAGGCAGTCAACTTCTGATCTCGTCGTTCACCTATGTTTCTCTTCTCCCCCATGTTCATCACTAGTTATTACTATTCTCAGACTTGCAAGAAAGAGCATACATACCGCCTTGCTGAAAGGTGACCTTAAGCGATCTGAATTTCCGAAGATGCAAGAGATGACAGCAATGTGACATCTACTGATATAGTTTGCATCATCTTCTGACAGATCAAATCCTGTACTCGGATAGCTTTCAGGACCTTTGACAAAACCACATTTTATTTTCTGATCCTGCGCTGAAAAAGATTCCTCCCTTTCTTCTAGGCTCTGATGTCCTGCAAATCTAGGTTCCCACAGTGCCTCTCCTCCAGGACCTTCCTCCATGTCGGCATATTGGAGGGAAAATCTAGAAAACTTTCTATTTTCAAAAGGCTCCACAAGTCGAGTAGTAGAGTTCAGAAACTTCATCTCACAGGACCCTGTCACATTTGAGCAGTTAATGTCCAATGAAAAAGATATTTAACTAACAAATAGAACTAAATTGTAGCTAATTATACAAATCAAACATGAACCCTATACAAGAGCCTATTCCGACACCAAAAAGAAATATATTCATATACTTAAATAAGAAGGGAGATAACAGAATCTGAACTGAACTTCACGGTTCAGAAAATATGCCCAAGGGCTAATACCGTGATGCTAACACCTTTCTTCTTCTCTTTGTTTTCTGAACTATAAATCTCAGGCAGTTGAACAACATAAAAATTAGAACCTTGTATAAGGGTATCCCACACTTGTCTGGAAATATAGATCAACATTACATGCAAAAAGATATTATCTCTACAGCTCTGACACTGGTGGTAATGAATGCCTCCCAACTCAGAAAACAATGGCTGATACTACTAATCGGCCAGAAGTTTCAATAACCAAATTCATGGCTTAACTGAAGGAAGACTTAGGGATTTTTTTTAAAAAAAAATTATGAACTCACTCAAAGGATTTTCAGTGCAGGTATGATATCACAAGAATTTCAATTACATATAATCATCCATTAGTTCCTCCAATAACCAACTTCCATAGTTTATTCGGGGCACACTCCATTTTTCTAATTGTTCTGACTTAGGGTGGATTGGATGTTTATCAGCCCACATTACCACCAGGGCATTCCAACTCTTAAGAAATCAAACAAAACTGCACAACTCAGATAATGGAAACTCCAGTGCGGCAGAGTCTCAGAAAGCATCATCTTAACTGGAACTGAAACTAGACTTCTAAAACATAAGGCCACTGAATGTGACACAAAGATAGCTTTAGAACTCAAACGTCCGACATGGATTTCAGAATGACTTTTGGAAGCAAAGGTTTACAGAATAGAACGTATGCGTCCTGACCAAGTGCATCCTACTACACAGGTTCTTTCATAATAAGCTTAAATTTTCAGGCTATAACTGTCATATCAAGATCAATAAATTAGGAAACTTCATATGCTCAAAGTATACATGTATCCTGTCCATTATGCATCACCATAGAACATATATTAATTACTAGACAACATTTGACAAAATGCCCATAGTCAAACTACTTTCATTTAAACCAATTGCACCAATAGTTTCTACAATCAACACAAAAGCACAAGTGAGTTTCAGTAGCAAGCATAAACCAAGAATATTACCAGAAAATTTGCGTCGCCTTGGCTTTTTCTTCGAATCAGACCTTGATTTACTTGAACTCTGTCCATTTCCGTTTGCATGTTGAGCATTCGGATCAGTATTGACTACCACGGAACTTGATTTCGATCCCTTATCAGATGTACCAATATCTTTGCCGACAGGTTGATCCTTACCTTTAGCAGGGAATACATTAGAGGACTCTGTGGTGAATTCATCAGAGTGGCGCTCATTCCCACGAGGATCATGAGAATCAATACCATCGTCATAATCATTATCACTATCACCAGCCTCATTCTGCTCTTCCAGATCCTCATCCTCAAGTAACTGACTTCTTCCACCATTTTGAGCTGTCGACTGCCCCACATTCTTTACCGAAGCCTCATACTCCGCTTCATACTTTATCAGTTCTTTACGCCCATTCTCATTGTACAACCCAGTTCCTTTTTTATCCAATCCCTTAGAAGCAACACTCTGGGGCATTTTCGGCTTGACATTTAAGCTGGCTTGGTTGTGTTCCTCCTGAGCAGATCCACCAATAGAACCCTTGCCTGTATGCTCCACATCATCTTCATCATAATCATCATCCCTTCTCCTATCGTCCTTATCCCAGTACCTAGAATCCCTACCATGCGAAATGGAACCTTTACCAAACTCGAGGACTTTAACCGAGTCAGTCCGTGTCACATTTGCAAGAAAATCAAGGTCGCTCTTCGTATCATCATCTTCTACACGAGGATCATCGATTTCACTACCAACACCTAAATCGAAATCACACAGCATCCAAAGTGGAATAAGAAACCCCATGACATTAAACGTGGGTCACATCAGATACATCAGCAGAAACCCCCAAAGCTTTCACAACAATAAATTAAACTCTCTGTCCCAGAAGTTCAAATATAGCAGCCCAACTAAATCAATGCAAAGCAAGTAAAACAGCTAAAGACAGAAACCAATGTCAGCTCTTAAACTTAATTCATCTTCCACTAACAGAGTTCCAAATTCCGCATAAATCATTTCCTCTCTGATTAAGCAACCAAAATCAGAAAACTTTTTTGCTGGGGAGAGAGCAACTGACCTTTATCCTCATCAGACAAGTAATTATAAGCTAGCCCAGTGACCACAAGCACCAGGCAGAGGAAAACAACCACGGCACCAATGGAGAAGCTGCCGGACCTGCTCTTATCGGATCGACCAGATCGGCGGACCCGACCCCCGGCCTTGTGCTGGAGGAGCTGCTGCGAGGAAGACGCCCGAACGCCAATGGAGACGTGATCCGCGGCGGTGCCTCCGTTTGAGTAATGCTGACCTGATTGCCTGTACTGAGCCATCTTGTCAGCAAGAAGTAAGCATTGGCGGTGGCAGCAGGAGGAGGAGGAAGACGGAAACCGCGTTCATACCCCGCCTTCTACTTCCCTCCGTGAAACTGAAATCACCGCCGGAGAGGGAGAGATCAGGCAAGTGTTACCTTGGGGCTGCTGATTCCGGCGAGGAAACTGGCGGAGCAGCCGCCGGATTGGGATTTTTTTGGAGATAAATATGAATAGAAGGAAGAATAAATAAAAAATGGTGGTTTGAGTTGAGTAGGTAAGAAATCTATGGAAGTAGAGAGGAAGCAACGTTAGAAAGAAGGAAAGGGGAAACGAGTGATCGATTTGACTCACCGGCGATTCGTGCTTCGCTCGCAGGTGGAATTGGGCCGGGTTTTCTTACTTACTTCGGGTCGGACTTTGACCCACATAAACAGACTTAACGCCCGGCCCAACCGAGCCGATCAAATTCCAGCCGTCGTCTCTCCGCCATCTGATTTCAACCAGTCATTCAAGTCCCAGGTGGCATTTTGTTTGCTGGGCTCGAGAAATTTGATGTAAAGTAGCAAATCCAAATAACCAATTTGAGGCTGAAGAAAAGAGGTCAGACCTTCGCTGAAAGATCCTTCCTTTACCATCTGAAGGTAAACTATCATTTTCATCTTCTCAGGCTGCTCTCAATTGGGTTGTTCGTAACTTCGCCAGTTCGTGTTTCCTTATTGGCGGGTAGTTGAGTAATTTTCCGGGGAAGATGCAAATTCTGGAGCTTTTGGTTATGTTTTGGTTATTGAAAATGGAAATGGAAGCAAATTTGTGATCTTGATTGGGAAATTGTCTATCTTTATGTCGTAATTGATTGCGTTGGATAGGGAAGTAATGGAAAGAGTGCAAGTGATTAGTGTTTTCCTAAGAGTTGCTGCATTAGCCTGAAGATGAAGATTGAGATATGGAGATGGAATTTAGAGATGAGGATGTTTTGCAGTTGTTCATGACTGTATATACATGTCAGTTATCAAGAAATGTTCTTGTTTTGTTCACATGATTCGGATTTTAAGTCATTTGATAGTGTCTTGATTTAAGATTGGAGGAGAGGTTGCAACAGTTTTAGTTCATGGAGTTCTGCAGCTGCTTACTGCTAGCTGCTTGGAGTTCGAGTTCGAGTTAAGTTCAGCGGAGACTGTTGAAAATGTATCCGATTGCTTTGAGTTCGTTATCTGTTGAACCCTTAGCAACAAGTTCGTTTGATGCATGGGAATTCGGCTTCAGATGGATTTCAGTGATAGCAGAATATATCGCCTTCCTTGTTTTACTACTTCAAGTAATGGATCCTGGATATGTAGAGTTTGGCTGCTGTAGGCCATAGTTCTTTTTTACATGATCTGTTGTTTTACCAGGCCAAATTCATCATCGATGTAATTCCTGTTGTATGGTTTAGGCTATAGGTATCGACAACTCGGACATATTCCCTGCTGTTAATCTCTGTGGCGTGCTTTCAACAATGTGAAGCATCTCTTTTCATTTGTCTTCTGTGTTCCTCATCCAGGACTATGTAATTTTAAGGACATTCTAACGAGTTATCTCCTTTTGCAGGATCAGGGATGGTAGTAGGAAGAGTGTTGGCTGCTCCTCTACTAACATTCAATTCAGGAACACGTAGAAGTGTTGTTGATGTAAGTCCAGCTTCATTTTCTGTCTCCAAATCAATTTACACAATGCATGAATGTAGTACAAAATTTCAGTTTAAGCGCTAGCATTATAGACCATTGCTGAAGCTATAGATGCAGCAAGACTTTTCATATTTTCTAGTAACGAAACTTATATTGTTGCAGCGTGACCTTGCAGCAGCAACTGCTTTTTCACCGCTTTCATTAACCAAATGTCACACACGTCGCAAGAGCTGGACAATACGTTCGTCGACAGCAGACCCTCAAACTCTACCTTTGACTGATGAAGAACAGTCTACATGGGACTCATGCAGAGAAGTCCTCTCAGCATTCGACTTTGACACTCAAGAGAAAGACAAGATGCTCGGGAAAGCATTCGGGCACGTGCCATCACCATACTGGGGGGAAGAGCGAAAGCAGGAGGTGCCAAGATTCGAGGTAGTGCATGGTATCTTAGAATACTTGAGGTCTCTCGGGCTATCCGACGATGATATCTTGAAGGTGCTGAAGAAGTTTCCAGAAGTGATGGGATGCAGCCTCGAAGACGATCTGAAGAAGAATGTGGGGATCCTGGAAAAGGTGTGGGCGATTAAAGGGAAATCTCTAAAGAATCTGCTGCTGAGAAATCCGAAAGTGTTGGGGTATAATGTTGATTGTAAGGGGGATTGTATAGCGCAGTGCACACGCTGCTGGGTTCGATTCTAAGGCTGCTTCGTGTAGAGAATTGAGAACATGTCACACGCTCAAAGCTATGTACATATATCTCATTTATGAGTGTGATGAGAGATCTTCATTGGCCTGATATATGCAGGACTTAGTAATCAGAATAAGATTCAATAAATATGTGTATCTAAAGACCTTGGATGTTCATACCGGAAGTCCATGGAACAGAGGAATTCAGACCACATGACATATTAGCTTCTGCAAATGTTTTGAATTATGAGACGCTCGCTTCTGGCAATTGCTATGTCTAAAGTGATGCTGATAAGTTTTAAGGTTTTATCATGGCCGGTTGTGCTTGCCCATGAAATTCAGTGCCCCCCACTAAGGACTGGTTCGAGTTCTCGGACTTTGTTGCGAGATAATCGTTGAAGTAGCCATATTGATAGCCATCAAGCAACCATATCCCCCACAGCAAAGTCCAATGTAAACACATGGGTACTATCCCTTTTCCCGTTCGAGCTATCTATCGATAAATGAAAAGTATCTCATATACGTCTCATTCCACTTTCTCGAAAATTTCAGTTCAGGTTCCATGCCACAGTAGTTCATGAACCTGGGAAAACAGGTCGGTAAATCGATTATGAAGACGAATATGCATAATGTGGAACCACTTCTGCTGTTAACGTTTGTTTTCGGAATGGGGCTGCAGATTGCAAGTGGAAGTGCAAGTACAGGTGCAGCAAGGCGTTGAGGCACAAGACATGCATCAGGGCATGTAACACCTGCTGCCAACGTTGCAACTGCATTCTGCCGGGCACATCCGGCAACTACGACACTTGCCCTTGCAACTATCACATGACCACTCACAGCGGCCGTCGCAAATGCCCTTAGCTATTTACCGTTCTGTTTTCCTTTTTTTGGAACCCTTTCATCCTGTTTCCCTACAGTTGATTTCGGTCTGTGACTTATACTACTATGCATATAGGCTATAGCAACGACTGGTCATTATATTTAGGGTGTCGAATGTAGCTACCATAAAGGTTGTGTTGGTTAACTAAAACTGATGCATATTATTAGAGATTGAGAAGAGAAGACCGATGGATTGAGGGCAAGGTAGCAGTAGTACATATGTCCAAAGAACCAACACATGGAAGTAATGGAAACTCGGTATTATCTAATAGCAAATAACGACAATGACCAATTCAGGGGTATTTAAACTTGCCATCATGGGTTTTCAGCTATGCATAGCAAGGGCAGGCATGCTTGTGGGTATCAGGAGGGACATAATGGCATCAAAAGCAGAAGCAGAAACTTCTCCGGAATAGGAGCTAACTCTAATGAATGAATACAACTTCTATGTAGTAGATAAGTTGTTCTTCCACAGGTGTAATTCTACATATGCCAGGTATCTATGTTTGTAAGTTGCAACTTACTTTTGTTTTGTAAAGGTGTTGATTCTCTCAATCCAGTTACCCAGCTGCCTGAAAATCTCCAAAATCATCATCAAAGTTTTCTTGTATGCTTTCCATCTTCCCTTGAGACTGCAGTACCTTCTCCTCTTCCTTCGTAGTGGTGCTTGTGTCCAGATTAAGCTTTGGAGGCGAGTTTGTCGGGGTGATGGCCATGGCCCTTACTGGCGAAAGGGGACCTGGTGGGGGAGGGGGAGGTCTAATACTAAGGATTGGCTCTTTGCTACCAGCCTTCTCCTCCAATGACAGATTGTTCAGACCTTGCTCAAAAAACTGGGACTTGATCCCACGACCGGGTATTGGCTGGCATTCAAATGAAAAACAGGTATCAGATTCAAAAGTACTGATGAGGGGCTATAAATTTCTCTATGTATAGGTCTTTAATACGCAAAAAGAAACAAATATCTGAGCTAACATTTTTTATTTGGAGGACAAGGGTTTCCCCTTTTTTTAAACTGTAGTCGAGGCCCGAAGTGTGCTGAAAATGTTGTTCCATCTCTTCTGCAGTTTTCTTCTTGTCCAGGTACCTTGAAGATTCATTGGCATAGAATAAGTAACTAATACCGCATAATACAATAAGTAACTTCATCACTGTACTATAGAACTATAGGAAAGATATTAGAAACCAAATGCAAAAGAGTTTTATAGCAGTATCAAACATACTTCATGTGGTCATGAAGGGCTGCCTGAAAGTCATAAGCTTCTGTTCTTTCCCGGAACCCAAGCCCAATAAATGCATGCCGAAGTCGACCACCTGTAAGAGTTACTATCATTAGTAAGAACTTGCACCAAGTCAAAAAATAAACCAACTACAGATATGATAATCACAAACGGAGAAATTTTTTCTCACATTACCGACAGATGAAGGTATTTATTGCAGTAAACAACTATCAATAGGTAAATAGATGAGAGAAATAGCACGAAGACAAGACAAATTGTCATATAATGCACAAATAAAACCACGAATTGGCCCAGTAAGGTAGCTCAAGTGAGGGATTAGAAGAGAGATCACGTTCAGTAAAACCCATAATTAGAACTTACATAAATTAGGCCAATAAAGAAGGTTTTCCTTTTATTAAACCAACTGCTTAGAAAGCAGACTCAGAAAAAGGCATAAAGCTATCAACAAACTATCAGAGCAAACAAAATATAGTTAATGAACAGGGGCGAAAAAACACTGGCCAGCAATATGGGAACCCATGAATCAGCAATCATGTATCCTCTAGTCCTGTGGAGAGAGGTGAGTTCAGACCAAGGACTCAGGAAATCGACATAGAGACTTTGTAGCTAAATTTAATTCAGAACATGTGCTCACCAACGTTTTCCTCAATTCGAAGGACAAAATATCTGCAAACCAAAGGACAGTTGTTCAGAAAGTTCCTAAATTTTATTTTGGTAGCTGATTGCCGGAGAACACAAATTCAAACCTCAAGTGAAATGCAGCAACATATATCTAATGCATCTAGGCTGTACCTGCTACTATCAATCACAGGTTCAACAGGATGAGGATCCTCTTTCCTAAGGAATGCCCTTGCATATAGCTCACCTGCATTCAGGAGAAAAAAGACAACACATGCATCAGGAAATATTAAATGCTTTTATGGCACATCCAGCAATACCACTTCTTCCTTGGCAAAAACTCCAACGGTATCGAACCTGTGGATTTATCTTCCAGCCTTATAATGCATTCTTCTCCTTTGCTAACAACTTTCAATTGCCCCTCCCAAGCCCATTTGTTAACGTCCCATTCATCAGCCCTGCCAAAAGCATCACTTGCATAAGCCTGGATAAAGGGAAACACAAAGATATTCCTTTTTCGCTTGTTGCTTCCTAAAAGAAGGAATTGATGAAATTTTCTTAGTGGCAAAAGAAAAGAAAAAAACCTACTGCATTGCAGGACTATTAACCATTGACCTTAGTCTAGCCATGAATGACCCACGTATAAACAGAAGTTCAGAAGGAAGTAAAAAAGCTCTAATCTTGGCAATTATGTAGACTAAAAAAGACACGGAAGCTAATTCAAACATAGATTTAACTAAATGTGCCAGAATTTGAAATCAAGGAAGCACATTTTGAAAAGAGGAGGCACACCTGTATGAACCGGCAGTCTTCCTTGGAGGTATCTGCGAAACAAAACGAAAAATCAAGTTTGGAAAACAAACATCAAAGGGAAGCAATCTGCAACTCAACAAGTTAAACTCTAAAAGCAGTCGTGGCTTTGATCAGTCTTCTCAAACGCACATAATTTCCTCCCAAATTTCGGAACTTTGGGCATTCTGTCCTAAGAGGGAGAGAAATATTGGCCTAACTGCACGTTTCTTCTTCTTCTTCCCTTCTCTTGCTCCAAGTTTAAACAACTTTAACTGTTAAAAATGGCTACTTTGGCAATGAATTCGGTGTCCCCCACCTCGAATTCAGCGTGCTAACAAACAATTCAAGACTTGGGCCAAAATTTGTGATCCCTGGCTTGCCAGTGGCTTACAGAATCTAGTTAGCTGATCCCTCCTAAGAAATATGTCCACTCTAACTCTTCCTATCCGCCGATCAGCTAACAAGAAGTATTACTGAGGAAACATACTGAATAATTCCCAAACAACACAGAATCGAGGACGATCACGCGGCTCTCACCAGATATACGTAGCATTCGGGGACTTTGTATAGTACAAGCTCAACGTCGTCGGATTCATCACCACCGCCGACGACCTGAGGCGGTGCCGCCTCTTCCTTGTCCATGATCCACAACACCACCGGAGGTCGATCGGGCGAACTCCACGGATCAGGAGCGACAAGGCGAGTGACTTGATAGTTAAATTCAGGGGAATAATGAAATGGGTTTTGAGTAGGTAAGAAATCTTTGCAAGTGGAGGGGAAGCGATGAAGGGAGGAAGTAATGGCGGAAACGAATGATCGATTTGACACTCCGGCGATTTGTACTTCGCTGGTGTTTGTATTTTGTTTTCTTTTTAATTTTATAGAGGAGAGGAGAGGGAGAGCTGTTGGATATGGGCCGGGTTTTGGTACCTACTTTTTGGGCCGGGTTTTCGGGGCGAACGTTTTCTTGTATCGTCGGAGCAAAACTTCTTCAGTCATCGTTTCGATCTGCCCAAAAAAAATGGGGAAGAAAACGAAGAGGAAGCACAGAGACGACCCTCCGTCGTCCGCTTCGACATCCGAGGAGGATGACACCGACTGTTCATCGGACACCTCGTCGGAGAAGCGACGGAACCGGCGGAGGAGCGATAGTAGCTCGAGGCGGTCGGAGAAGGAGAAGAGGAAGAGGAGGAAGGAGCGGAAGGAAAGAGAGAGAGATAGAAGGAGAAGGAAATCGACGACGAAGAAGAAGAAGAGGGGTTATGATTATGATTCAGAGTCCGATTCCGATTCAGGTAGCGAGGAGACTGTGAGGCGACGAGTCAAGCCGGAAGCTGTAGCAAAGGAGATGCTCAAGGAGTTCCCTGGCGTCGGAGGCGACTTGAAGCAGGTAGAGCTGTTGAATTTTGCTTCACTGATTTTGGTTGTGTTAGAATTATTAGAATTTGATGTTGGATGATAGGTTTAGGTTCTGGTAATCAAGCATCTTAGCTGTTTAGGGATTACGGAGCCATTGATGCGATTTTAGGTTCAGCAGTTCATGTGTTGGAGTTCTGATAAGTGATGTCTTTCCACTACCCTGTGGTTGTGTACTCTTATAATCTCGATGACATGCTGTATTGATTATCTGAAATTTTCATCTAGCTGCTACAAATGATTGATGGTGGACAAGCTGTTGATATCAAAGGCATATCAGAGAAGTTGCTTGCCAAGCATTTGAAGAAGCTTTTTATTTCCTTGAAGCTAAAGGAGAATGGGGATCGGGTGTTCCTGCTCCCTTTGAATCATCCACCCACTTTGGAGATACTGGGGTCTTTGATTGAGGATCACATGGAACCTAAAGGGCAGCAACCTGATGCTGCTGCTACTGAAAATGGTGTGCATCCGTTAGGGACGGATGAAGAGTCCAGACGAGCATTGGATCACAATGATTCACCGAAGCCATCGACTTCAGCAGATATTGCTGGTCCCAGAAGAAGGTGAGTGCCTAAGTTTGGTTTACTTACTTTGATTCAATGGTTCGATGTATCTGAAAGTTCGATTGTGTGTCACTCTCTCTTGGAGATCAGCCTGTCTAGTTCATTTTGTTAGTGGGTCTTTCATGTCTGATCCCTCCATCATTAGGAGGCCCAATGGCTGATGAGTGTGATTCATAGGAGCCTTTCCCTTTGATAGGTCATATTTAAATGGTGCTAATGAATATAGGCTCTTGCATACTTTACATAGCAGCATTCCTGTATTATGTCTTTGTAATGAAGAACCTGTGCTTCCGCTACTTGTCTTTCTTTTCAGGGTGATTGGGCCTGAAATGCCATCATCTGAGTTACTTGCAGCAGCTGCAAAATTCTCTGGTGTTCTTCGTCCTCATCGCAAGCCACTCCTCAAGAGCGAGACCTATTTTTCACTGGTTCTAATCTTATCACTCTGCGATGACCATCCTCATCTGTGGCAACTCGCTCCCAAGCTTCCCCCACAAGAGAAAAACCCTGGTACTGATATTCTAGCGGCTGTGGATTCTTGTTTCTTCGTTATTGTTTGCTTTAGCTGAGATTTTGTCTGTTCCCCCCCCCCCCCCCCCCCCCCCCCCCCCCCCTTCTTTTTGGCTGTAGATAGCAATAGCAGTAAAGTTGGGGGAGGAGATATTGTTGCGCTGGACAGTGTAGATGATACCCTAACAGAAAAGGGTCAGGCTCGTGATCAGAATTTGGCATGTTTGGTCTCGGACAGTGGAGGGTTTGGTGAAACTAAGGCAGCGATTGAAGGCCAAGGGTTCAGTGAGACAAAGCTAGCAGCAGTTCATGAGATAGAGTGTATAATGGGATTGGATGAAGATGAAGACGAAGATCTGCTAATGCAGGATGGTTCCTTTATTGATAAGGTTATGGAGTTCGATCATGTAATGAAAGTGGATAATACATTGTCTGTTGATGACTACCAGAGTGACAGCGTTGTTGTGCGCAAAGAAGGATGTGTAGATATTCAATCAGTTAATGCGGAGGGAAGAGTAGTGAGTGAACAGCAAGTTCAGGAAGAAGGGCACACTCGTGATGTATCTGATCCCTTGGGTTCGTTGTCAGGTGAAGGTGGGACTTTCGGAGCTTCGGCAGGAAGTTATCAGAATGGAGTTAAGTTGAAAGAGATTGATTTGGATAAGCCGATATGTGATAGTAGTACTACGGTTTCTTCCAATTGTGTAGTTGTGAATGGTGAGGTTGAAGAGGGAGGGATTGATAGGGAGTTAGTGGCGGGTGAGAGATCAAGTATTCTGCATTCGAAACATGCAGGAGTGTTACAGGGGGAAAATGTAGATGAAAAGCAACTCGCTAATGAGGCTATTCCTGGAAGGTTAAATGAAAAGAAGGTGGACGAGAAGCAACTAGCTAGTGATTCTATTGCTGGAAGTAGGAGACAAACATCCACAAAAACTACTACGATGAGAAATCAATCTCCTTCTTACGAGATAAATGAGTCAACCAAGGATACTTTTTGTTCCACTTCCTTGGATAGAGTTGAAAATTTTGATCTCGGTAAAGGAACGGGAAACAAACACGAGGTTGGCAAGTTGATGCTGCCTAATCGTAAAACTGTTGTGTACGACGATCTTTTATTTGATGAAGGTCCAAAGATGTGGGAGAATGAAGAATTGTGTAGGGATAAGGGAGCGAAGAACAAATCTAAAATTGCTGAAAGAAAGAAAAATGGCAGAGGCAGAGAAGTAGGGGAAGTTAAAGGCAAACAACTCAAAATGAGTGTTGCTAAGAGTGATGTCAGACCTGCTGAGCCTTTTCCTAGTAGCCTTGCACTTCCTTCGGGAACTTCATGTCAGGATCCAACAGGAAGCCAAGGAGCTGCCTCTCAAGAGAAGGTATGTTTTATGCTTAGTGTAGACATATATTGACTGTTATCTTGGTGTTTGTGACCTATTGATATGAAGAGCAACTAATTTTTTTAGCACGGATGAGGATTTTGTCACCTGCTTATTCAGAAATAGGACATATAAGTGAAATGTTTCTGGTTTGTTTCACTGGTAGAAGTGACTGACCCGTGCAATGTTTGTCTAATTGTTTGCTTACATCCTTTCTTTTCTGCACACGCATTTTTCAGGTTTGTTAATTGTTTTTTCATCTTCCAATTATGTGTATACTCTGAGCCCGTGCATTTACTGTTTCTTCTAAATGCTGCAGGATGCAAGTCCAAGCAAGAACAAAAAGAGGGGTCCTCCCAGTGACTCACAAAAGCTAAAGAGAAAGGTCCATAGTTTATACTCTTTGCTAACCTTGGTGTTCAGTTTATCTTTATTCGCTTGTTAGGTTTACTTATGTTTGCTCAAACTCGTTCATACTACTACTTCCACGTATATTGTTTGTTATCATTTGCTGAATAGAAAAGGGGAAGATAACGTGTACAGTATTTGTAGTTATTTCTAAAGGAGCATTGAAATCCAGACTAGGTGGTCTCCTGTCTTGTCCTGTGATAGTTCTATCTTTCCATGCTTGATTATTTTGGTCATTATAACTGGTTGTTATTGGATATTTTGCTTACAGCAAAACAAAAGAAAGAAACGAGCAGAAAAAAACAAAGAACTTGGCGTCAAACGGCTCAAACTACAACCATTTGTCAAGCAAAAGCCTGTAGAAATTTGCCGCCACTACATGCTGGGAAAATGCTGGGAGGTGAATTTTTCATGCATGCTTCACTCTTCTTTGATATCATTGTACTCCTGTTACTGACTAGTCTTTGTCCCATGTTATACAGAGTGAGAAATGCAAATTTTCACATGATGCAATACCCTTGACGAAATCCGAGGTACCCTCTTTGGTTCAGTACCCTTCTTATCTAGTTATTTGTGACAAAAGCTTTCTTTTCCTGATTTATTTATATCTCCTTCTGGAGGTTCTTGTTTATTGTGTAGTATGAATTAGATAGCCCTGAACACAAAGAAGCCAAGTCATGGCAACATAGGAAAGGTCCCCATTGATGCAAGACCTACGTAGATACAATCTTCCTGTTCTATACCATGATCGATCAATGGGTGAATGCTTGAATATTTGCTAATGAAAATGAAGATTTAATTGTTTGTGGTCCATGGCAGCATCGGTCTCTCACCTCTAAATGGATCATTACTGTTGTCATCTCATAGGTCATTTGCACTGATTTTGATAGTAAATGAAATGAAACCCTGTGTTACTAACGCTAGGAAAATACTGCTGACCCTAGAGAATCAAGAGTTTTATGGTGGCAGTATCATTCATAAAAGAAAAAAATACAAAAATTTAATGGTGATGTTACTTAGTACCAACTTATGTAAAGTTGAAGTAAAACAGGACTTCACAAAGACCACCTAATCCCACTTGGCCCCCAACCTTCTCCTCCCGGTTGAGGCCAAATGCTGTGTATATTTTATGGGTTGCTAAGCATCTCTGGTTTGTACATTCTTGTGCTGCAGCCATGCAAGTTTTTTGTCCGTGGCGCATGCATGAAGGGAGATGATTGTCTACGTGACCATGAACTCTCCAAATATCCCTGTGACAATTTTAAGTCAAAAGGTTATTGTAGCAGAGGCCAAAAATGCATGTTTTCACATAAGGTACCTACCCCTTTAGATATTTGTTGTTTTCTCCTAACCATTTCGGCATACCTTTGCTTGAAGCTGTTTAGTATCGGTTTAGAGGTTATATCTTATAAACTGGTTTGCTTTAATGGTTTGTTCAAATGGGTTTGCGGATTCATGGTTTAGGTTAATTTGTGTGACATAAATTTTCAGTGAATTGGGTTAGGTTGGTGTTTGGCATCTCTTATATCAAGAACTAACTCTTGAAATTGATAACAATATTTTGCAGTTGCTGCCAAATGGGGAAGTGTCAACTGCTTCCAGTGTCAACCCAAACTCTTTAGTCCTTTCACGAACTCTCGATTCCAAGAAAAAGTTGGATGTGGTTGCCCCCTTACATCAGAGTGGCAAAACTGCAATTGTGCCAGCTGCCTTTTCTTCCACAGAGATCGCACAAGCTCCGGGAAAAACTGTATTTAATGAACCTGTAATAGTGCCTACTTTCAAACTATCATTAGGTGGTTCCAGTCATATAGATCAACCTTCACCTGGTATAATTGGTGATTCGAACTCTGCTTTGAAGGTAACTCCACAAGCTGTTAGACCGAAGGGAATGAACTTCCTCTCATTTGGTAAATCTCCTTTGGAATTCTCTGCTGCTAAGAAGTCGAGTGTATCCCCAGCGACTCGAGATGATGCTTCCAAGGCACCTTTATTGAACACATCCAGTCTGCTTCAGCAAATTCCAGGAGTGAAACCTGGGATAAACGACATGGCACAGAAAAGTGATCACATAGCAGCATCAGGAATACTAAACCCTTTCTCTCTTGGGGCAACTTCAGCAGTTGACGGGAATAGACATGTACGATGTCATTTACCTTCTAGTTCAGGCCATGGTGTTGCTAGTACTGGTCAAGGAAGTAACATTGATTTGGATAAAAATCAGAGCTTGAGTGCAGTCCCACTTGGACTAGCTTCTTCTTCATTTGGTTCAGGTCAATCTTCAGATCATATAGCACTTTTGCAGTTGAAGAATGCACCAAAGTCTACTCAGGAAGCATTGATGTCAACAATGAGCTTTGCATCTAAGCTTGAATCTGCAATGAAGAAGAAGCAAAAGGAGACTGGATTTGGTAGTATGTCATGAAGCTCACAGGATCAGCCCAAAAGCAGCCAAATTGCTGGATCCTGTATCTAGTCTCGGCAACAAGAGCAGCGAATAAACATCTGCCATAGCCATCCCAGGTTTGATGAGTGGTTCTCTATGGGCGGTTTTCGTGAAGCAAGCATAAAGGAGAAAAAGGTGGTGACTGATCTGCAGGTCTTATCTATTTTCTGCAGTTGGCGAGTTAGTTTTTGTCTTCTCGTCTTCCATCAGGAACTCTTAAACGTTCAGTGCTCTATGACGTTTTAGGAACATTATGCTTGCTATTTAGCTTTCTTTCAGTTTTCGGCTTGTATCAAAGGAAGGAAAGAGAGTATTTGTTCTGTGGTGATGGCTAATAGATGTCTCTTACATTCCGCTTGGTCATCATTGTTTTTGCAGGGAGGAGACTGAGCTAAATTTATGTCTATGTTTACCAGAAGTTGGACGCCGAAAATCCTCGTATGCAGAAATCTTAGATACGTATGTATAACAGATTTTATACAAGCAATGAGTTGTATTTTTCTCTTTCAGAATGAAGTTGGTGTCTCACCCTCTCCTCGCAACAGGGATTTTGACTTTTCATCTGTTTATTCCGCAGGCAACGATATGCAGTTTCTTGGGTATCTATTGAAGTAGATGGTATTCCTGGCCCCTCTTATTTTTATATGACTTATGAACTCTTTTTTTCGGGAGCATATATTGATTTATATAGTGAAAATGCATGTATCTTGAAACTTAGAAGAGTGGCAATACCTTCCTTATTGGATCTGCAGCTTAATGGTCAACCTATGTCAACTCATTTATGAGTTGCTCCTTTGTCAGGAAAATGCAATTAATTAGTCGTATATATTCACAACCTTTGCTAACACCATTCAAATACTCCCTTTTTTTCTAATCAACACATGTAACCCTAGTCTCGTGCTGTCATGCACCAACATATATCAGTAATATTAGGTTCCAAACCCGACCTTGTGATATTTTCTGCTTCCGTTTCTTTTCCTTTTCTTAAATCTCCAATATTGTTAACGTTACTACGTAAGTATGTATATTACTCCCTCCAGCTCTCTATTCGTTACAACAAACAACATTTATCATGTGTTCGATATGATTTTCAAAAGGTTAAGGTATAATATGTCATTTAATTATTATGTAGTTTTATCAAACATGAACCTCTATTATTTTTAATTTCTTACGTCAAACATGTTACTCTGTTTTGGTAAAATGATCAAACATTCTGTCCTTTTGTTAAAATTTCCATTTCAAAATCATCAACCATGGTTGAATCGAGATTTAGATGACTCGACATCGGCGAATTGGAGGGAAAATGTCAGTTTTGTCCCTTAATTTATTTTTCCAGGTAGTGAAATTATTACAGATATTTGATTATACAAAAAAAAATAAAAAAATTCTAAAGTGAAATTATTAGTACTATTTTAGATATTTGTGTCTCTCAAACCAAGGTTTGACTCTAGTTGACTGCTTTTGAATACAAATTTTGACAAAAGAACATATTTGATCATTTTTTTCAAAATAGAGTGACAATGAGGCAGATCTGGGGCGGGTATCTCGATACCCATACCCGCCGTGTGGCAGGTTGGATTCAGGTCAGTGGGTTGTGGGAATGGAAAAAGTTTCTTGATGATTAACCTGTTGATCTTCTGCTTACATGTAACAAGAAGTTGCAACTCAATGTGTCCAACTATATATAAGGAGGGATGACAATTAAATTCATGATTGTGGGTGGTTGATCGTATGCAATCCCGTTAATGCGGGTAATCTATAATAAAAATGATGGGAATTGAGGCAAATATATAAGTATGTTGGAGCGGATTTCGAAAGATCAATGTAATCTTTCTAGAAAAGAAAATATGCATAACCTTTTCAAATCAAATTCAAATGTGGTCATGTTTATTATAGCAAATTCTTTTATCCATCACTTATCAAATTGGATGGAAGTTGTAAGCTTCAACAGCCAACCTGATTTTGGTGGAGGAGGTGACTTTGATTTTGGATTTGTTAGATTAACTATTAGTGCCGGTGTGTCGCGCCATAAATAACAAGTTTGTTGATCATTCCTCGTCGTTGATGTAATTGAATATCTTATTTGATAACAAGAATAATAATTACTAGAAGTTCGATGTCATATTTTCATCATCATAGTTACCTTAATTAACAGAGGACATCTTATTTTACCATGGTTATCATGACATCATGTCATGGTCGATAAGTTGATGGTACTCAATGTCAACCCGACAATAATGGTAGATAGACGATACCAACCTTATCACTCTTAGCATGGCATCTAGTTGAGACAGATCCAATGTAATTCATTCCATTATCTTTAATTCATGATTCACGACCCCAACCATCGTGACATGATGATCTGTGACTCATAATATAATTTTTGGTTTGGGGTTGATGACATTCATGGAATTGTAGTCAATGTTAGTCTAGTAGTAACCGGTAATATAACAAGGAAAAGAGCAACTTAGACCTCAATACTTATTGTAGTTGATCACTTTGATCCGTACAGATTATTGTCAATGGTTAGCACGAGTCAACAACTACCCCATCTTAAACTAAGTTTAACCTAAGACGACATTGTCGTATAATGGTAATCAAGGTCGCATTTTAATCGGGTCCTGGTACCCTACTCTTCTTCCCACCTAGTTACTAATAAGTTAATCGGTTTTTGAAGTTTGAGTGGAGGATTTAAGGAGATAACTAGACTAGAGATCGATCAAAGCTAAAAGTAGGTACTTCGTGGAACTAATCCTCCCCCTAGCTTAGGGTTACTATGCATTTAGGATACTTAGGGCTATCGAATGTGGCGAGTGAGCTCTTTTCTGTGGACATTCGTGGTTATCCACACGCCTCCGAGTACGCCTCACCTAAACCTATATAGTTACCTCGATTTAGACTATCGTATCTGGGGCATTGAGCTTATGGCTCATTTCAATGGACACTATCCATCGTCCACACCAAATTTCATCCCGGGTTCTATCTATGAAGGCTAACCTAAGGCAGGGGTTCGATCACCCCGACCACCCTAGGTCCCTATTCATACATCTATCGCGTTTTGATGCATGGTGCACACCCGTCTAACCCTAGAACTTCATACCCAACGTGGAAGCATAAAGTAGGCTAATAGAGAAGATTGGGGCATCCTACCACAAACACAATCCATGATAGAATAACAATTCAATCAACTAGATAAACACATTCATTCATTCAAACCCTAAAATATCCATGCTTACATAATAAACCCTAAAACTAGGATTTGTGGTTTAGAACCCCTAGTATCTTAGAGCAGTACTACTCCATAACGGAGGGAAGAAGAAACATAAAAGAAATTGAAGAAGACTTGGGTTGAGGAAGATGCTCCCTCCCTTCTAGCTCTTTCTTCTTCTTCTCCTTCCTTCAGCTTCTCTCTCTTCTCTCTCTCTAAAACCAGAAATTTCTCTCGAAATCAGTTCTCCTAAAAGGGGGAAAGGTCTTCTATTTATAGGTCTTTTGGGGACGGAGAAGTTTGCGGCCAGAGGAGAGGAGATCATGGGCGGGATCTTCTGAGCAGTGGCCGCGATCTCAAAATGTCGTCTTCATGGCCTTCTAAAAGAGGGAAGATCGCAGGCTGACTTCGTGATCGCGATACACTTGTCACAGCCGCGATCTTCCTTGCGGGCAAAATGTGCATTGGCCGTAACTTGACTGGGAAAACTCTATGTTTCTCCCTGGCTCATTCCTCGCGAAGTTCGCGCCCTTAGCCCTCCAATTCGCGGTTGCGATCTTGGGATTGCAGGACGCGATCTTCAGCTGGACTTCGCGGGCTGTGGTCCCGGCCGTGATCTTCAGCTTCCATGACACGAACTTTAGATGCCTACCCCCTTGCTACACTTGTGACCTTGATTTGTATCTAATTCGCATGTATCGTCTAATACACCCTAAAATCACATCGAATTCAAATAGAAACGGAAAAGGGATGGAATTAACGATGTTTAATCATTTAAGCACATGAATTGGCATGAAACAAACCTCAAGCCCATTTGTTAACGTCCCATTCATCAGCCCTGCCAAAAGCATTGCAGGACTATTAACCATTGACCTTAGTCTAGCCATGAATGACCCACGTATAAACAGAAGTTCAGAAGGAAGTAAAAAAGCTCTAATCTTGGCAATTATGTAGACTAAAAAAGACACGGAAGCTAATTCAAACATAGATTTAACTAAATGTGCCAGAATTTGAAATCAAGGAAGCACATTTTGAAAAGAGGAGGCACACCTGTATGAACCGGCAGTCTTCCTTGGAGGTATCTGCGAAACAAAACGAAAAATCAAGTTTGGAAAACAAACATCAAAGGGAAGCAATCTGCAACTCAACAAGTTAAACTCTAAAAGCAGTCGTGGCTTTGATCAGTCTTCTCAAACGCACATAATTTCCTCCCAAATTTCGGAACTTTGGGCATTCTGTCCTAAGAGGGAGAGAAATATTGGCCTAACTGCACGTTTCTTCTTCTTCTTCCCTTCTCTTGCTCAAAGTTTAAACAACTTTAACTGTTAAAAATGGCTACTTTGGCAATGAATTCGGTGTCCCCCACCTCGAATTCAGCGTGCTAACAAACAATTCAGGACTTGGGCCAAAATTTGTGATCCCTGGCTTGCCAGTGGCTTACAGAATCTAGTTAGCTGATCCCTCCTAAGAAATATGTCCACTCTAACTCTTCCTATCCGCCGATCAGCTAACAAGAAGTATTACTGAGGAAACATACTGAATAATTCCCAAACAACACAGAATCGAGGACGATCACGCGGCTCTCACCAGATATACGTAGCATTCGGGGACTTTGTATAGTACAAGCTCAACGTCGTCGGATTCATCACCACCGCCGACGACCTGAGGCGGTGCCGCCTCTTCCTTGTCCATGATCCACAACACCACCGGAGGTCGATCGGGCGAACTCCACGGATCAGGAGCGACAAGGCGAGTGACTTGATAGTTAAATTCAGGGGAATAATGAAATGGGTTTTGAGTAGGTAAGAAATCTTTGCAAGTGGAGGGGAAGCGATGAAGGGAGGAAGTAATGGCGGAAACGAATGATCGATTTGACACTCCGGCGATTTGTACTTCGCTGGTGTTTGTATTTTGTTTTCTTTTTAATTTTATAGAGGAGAGGAGAGGGAGAGCTGTTGGATATGGGCCGGGTTTTGGTACCTACTTTTTGGGCCGGGTTTTCGGGGCGAACGTTTTCTTGTATCGTCGGAGCAAAACTTCTTCAGTCATCGTTTCGATCTGCCCAAAAAAAATGGGGAAGAAAACGAAGAGGAAGCACAGAGACGACCCTCCGTCGTCCGCTTCGACATCCGAGGAGGATGACACCGACTGTTCATCGGACACCTCGTCGGAGAAGCGACGGAACCGGCGGAGGAGCGATAGTAGCTCGAGGCGGTCGGAGAAGGAGAAGAGGAAGAGGAGGAAGGAGCGGAAGGAAAGAGAGAGAGATAGAAGGAGAAGGAAATCGACGACGAAGAAGAAGAAGAGGGGTTATGATTATGATTCAGAGTCCGATTCCGATTCAGGTAGCGAGGAGACTGTGAGGCGACGAGTCAAGCCGGAAGCTGTAGCAAAGGAGATGCTCAAGGAGTTCCCTGGCGTCGGAGGCGACTTGAAGCAGGTAGAGCTGTTGAATTTTGCTTCACTGATTTTGGTTGTGTTAGAATTATTAGAATTTGATGTTGGATGATAGGTTTAGGTTCTGGTAATCAAGCACCTTAGCTGTTTAGGGATTACGGAGCCATTGATGCGATTTTAGGTGTTGGAGTTCTGATAAGTGATGTCTTTCCACTAGCCTGTGGTTGTGTACTCTTATAATCTTGATGACATGCTCTGTATTGATTATCTGAAATTTTCATCTAGCTGCTACAAATGATTGATGGTGGACAAGCTGTTGATATCAAAGGCATATCAGAGAAGTTGCTGGCCAAGCATTTGAAGAAGCTTTTTATTTCCTTGAAGCTAAAGGAGAATGGGGATCGGGTGTTCCTGCTCCCTTCGAATCATCCACCCACTTTGGAGATACTGGGGTCTTTGATTGAGGATCACATGGAACCTAAAGGGCAGCAACCTGATGATGCTGCTACTGAAAATGGTGTGCATCCGTTAGGGACGGATGAAGAGTCCAGACGAGCATTGGATCACAATGATTCACCGAAGCCATCGACTTCAGCAGATATTGCTGGTCCCAGAAGAAGGTGAGTGCCTAAGTTTGGTTTACTTACTTTGATCCAATGGTTCGATGTATCTGAACGTTCGATTGTGTGTCACTCTCTCTTGGAGATCAGCCTGTCTAGTTCATTTTGTTAGTGGGTCTTTCATGTCTGATCCCTACATCATTAGGAGGCCCAATGGCTGATGAGTGTGATTCATAGGAGCCTTTCCCTTTGATAGGTCATATTTAAATGGTGCTAATGAATATAGGCTCTTGCATACTTTACATAGCAGCATTCCTGTATTATGTCTTTGTAATGAAGAACCTGTGCTTCTGCTACTTATCTTTCTTTTCAGGGTGATTGGGCCTGAAATGCCATCATCTGAGTTACTTGCAGCAGCTGCAAAATTAACTGAAGCACAAGAGGAGCTTAGGTACAGCCCTAAATCTTCTTGTCGCTTTAATTTAATTTCGGCTGTCATGATACTCTATTTCGTTAGGGTTTATCTCACATTAACTTACAAATACTACTGATATTTACTGGTTGTTTCTGGCAACTTTTCCAGGTCTGTAGAGATGGATGAAGATGATGAATTTTTTATTGGACCTCCCCCACCGGCTGTTGTTGCTGAAGTTGCAGCTGCAAATGAGGCAGAACGTTATGAAGAGGTCCCTCCTTTTACTCTGTCAGTAGTCTATGTCAGTGTCTCTCCTTTTGTGTTCAACTTGCGTGTGCGAAATATTGCCACCAATTCTGAAATTTTAATTTCTATATTGGATATTCATACTTTATTGATGCTTTATGATTCTCTTACTGGCTGCAGATATAACTGTAGTCCTTTTATGTCTGTTATTCAGAATGAGATGTAGCCTATGAAATGCTAAAAAAAAAAAGCAGGGAACAATGTATCATATACATAGTAGACCTTCTCACAGTTGGGTGAAGTTGCATTACCCAATCATTAACCACTGATTACTTTCAAAAGGAAATTGATAATTTTACTTGAGTTTCCTCTCTGAATTGGATCAGATAAATTGCCACATGTCATTAACTTTTATCTTTCATGATCAGGTTACAAGAATTATGGACAGCAGTGATGATTCTCCATATGATGTTGTTGGGGTGAACCATAAAATGTCTGCTGATAATATAAAGAAGAGGTAAGTAGTTGACACTCTTCAGCGGTTTTAGTTTTTGCTCTCAGCTTTTTATTACTATCTAAACATCCAGTTTATGATTTTAGCTTCATGCACCTAGTTAACCAACCTATGGCCACAAGCATCATGTGTCGTAGCCGTCACTTTTGTACATAACTTAATATGCATAGTGCTCATACATCGTTGAAGCTTCTAATTCATAATTTCCCAATTTTAAAGGGACTTCTTGCTAGTTAAGATACCACCTTGCTGTAGTTGTGCAAATAAGATGGAATTCTGTTCTGTGACATTGTGCATTCGCCGAACATGTTTTTTCTTTTCTCCCTTTTTCACCTTTTCAGGAATTGATAAATTGGTCAAGTATATGCTGATTTTGTGATCAAATGGTGTTTGTCCGTTAGGTACTGGAAACTGTCTCTTCTGGTGCATCCAGACAAGTGTTCTCATCCTCAAGCCCAACAAGCTTTTGTCAAATTGAATAAAGCTTTTAAGGATTTGCAAGATACTGACAAGGTCTGCTCTTGCGTACTTCTTCCTTTGTTCTTGTTTTGTTGAGTAACCCTAGAACTGTAAAGGCAATCCTTTTTCTCCTTTGGTTATCCATTCTTGTTTTCCAGTGCTGTGATGTTTGTGAAATACTGCGTGTTTCACTTTTGTGCTCTGATTTCAGCGAAAAGTGTTGGACGAGAAAATTAAGCAGAAGGAGGAGCTGGAAGCATTTAAGGTCCGTCTGAGCTTTCTGTCATATGTTCATCTATTATAAACTTTCTTCAAATGAAGTATGCTAACCAAAAACAAAATTGTTCTCTGCTTCAGATTGAGTTGAAAGCTATGCGTGAAGCAGCTCACTGGAGAAAATTGCAAGGTACATCCCCGGATATGTAAATTATCTGACTGATTGAGTGAAACAAATTTGTTTTATTCAGTGTTGAGCTGAACAAATTTTCCGTTCTTCATAGTAAACATAGAATCCCTGTTTGTTATGTGGCAGGTATAATGTTGGAGGGTGATGAAGAGCTTCTGGCAGAGCTTGAGGTTAAAGAAGCTCCAAAAAGAGATGAATGGATGACAACGCTACCACCAGAAAGGAAAGTAAGCCTCTTTTGCCCAGTACTCTCTCCACTGTACCCTTGGGTTAAAATGGGGTTCCTGGTGCGTGGGCTGGTTTATATATCTTTATTTTTTGCCTTCTTGGGATCTCGGTAATCAAATTACGATCCCTGAAAATTTTGATGTAGTTTAGAAGGTAGTTTTGACGCACAAGCTCACGTACGTATATCAGTGTCTAGGTAGGATCCTGAATCATGACTCATCTGTTATTTCCCTCCTTCATTCTAGGCTGGTGGGGTGCCCAATCATTCGACCAAAACATTCAGCATGAAGGGCGGTAAAGAAGGTCGCGGTGATACTAGCGCATGGACAGATACTCCTTCAGACAGAGCCCAAAGGGCTAAAATGAAGTAAGCATCCAAGACAATGACGCTTTTGTGTATCTGGCCACGAACACGATGGCTGATTCCGTTACTTTTTTTTTTTTTTTTTGGCTGCAGCTACCTGGAAGCCTACGATGCAGCCGCAGCACTGGCTGCGAACGAAGACGACAAGAAACGATCCAATGAAGATGCTGATCTGGTAGACAAATATAACAAGGCCAAGCGCTCAAAATCCTTGGTGCAGAAGCATCAAGAGGAATTGGTCGATCGCACTAAGAAGTCGTCATCGAAGCAGAAGCAGAAGGGAAAGGAAACCGAGAAAGAAGAGTGGTCAGGCCAGCATCCGTGGAAGCCCTGGGATCGCGAGAAGGACCTTTCGGCTGGAAGACTGAATGTGAAGCTCGATGCAGAAAACATGGCGCAAGGTTTGACTTCCCGGTTCTCATCAGCCAACTTCCAGAGGAACTTTCTTTAGCTATCGACTCTCAGATCTCTGTTTGGTTTCTCTGGTATACAAAGCTTAACTTGGCGCCGTTGGACTTTGTTGGATGACTGATTTAGAAGTGTTATCTTGTTTGGTTTTACTCAGCAGCCATAATTTTTTCAGCCACTACCATGCCTTTCGCAGTCAGATGTCCGTCATTCTGTATATATATTACAACTAATTATCATGCGAATAAGGAATTGATCTAGTGGTATCGCCACTAGTTTTCAAAGTAGAAGTCCCCGATTAATCTCTTTACTAGCATCTAACATTCTAGGCAAACATATGTCCCTTTAACTCGAGTATTGACCATTAAGTTCTGATGGTCAACGAGTCATGTAAGCCAAACCCTGCAGAAGATACTCCCTGGAGTTCTGAAGCCATTATCTTTATGTACAAAATAGTGTATCCAAGTTTTCTATCTATACAATCTAGATACGATTTCTCTAAGCTCTCCCTACATTCAACTTACTGTTGCTGGAGAGTTTTCCGTCCTTACGAGGGTTTTTGGATATCACAGGGAATATCGCCCGTCGGACCTTTCTTTAGCTGGAGTTCTCTGTTCTTGAATCTCTTCCAACTCCTCTTCATCTCCCCTTCTACCCGCCTGCTCTTTCCAGTGTGCTATTTGCTTCTTCAACCGAGCTATCTCTTTCGACGAAACGTTCTTGCTTGGGTCGTTCACTATGGCTCGTACTCGTGATGCATACCTGCAAGTGGGTTTCAAGCAGGATAAATAATGAGGAATCTTGACTAAAGGTGGCTAGACTGGTTTCATGGGAATGTCCAAGCTTTCAAGTATAGTGGCTTACGTGAGGGAGTTGTATGTTTCATCTAAATTCGATCCAGCTGGGGAAACATTTACAAACATGAGGGTCTTGGCATTACCACCCAGAGAGTCGCTCATCAACATGGTCAGCTTGTGATTTCTGTACGGAATGTGTTGGCCACCGGTGGACAATGCACTGATCACATCTCCTAGAGCAGATAGTGATTTGTTTATGCTTTGAGCTTCTTTCAGTTGGTTCCCGGTGGAGCCTGATTTCTTGATCCGTTCTGAACCAGCAAGGTCCACGAAACTTATCTGCAAAAAATAGGCAAGAGAGTTGATTTCAAACATACATGATAAGCGAACAATATACAAATGGCCGGCAAAGCACCTTTCCCCTTGCAACAGACTGCGTCTGAAGGTTTGTGCTCTCTATCACGACAGAGAGTATCAAATGGGACCGAGAACTTTCTTCGTTCATTTGAGTCCCGGATGTATGTCGACGCTCTGATCCTCGTTGGATAATGGTTTTTAGATCCTCAAACGACGAGATTGACTTAACTGTCGCATTTTCGACTGAGACCATACCCTGGACGATGTGTGCGTTTAGAAATCAGAAGGAATCATAACAATCAATGATGCAATAGCTTAATCCAACTACCAAAACTCACCTTTGAGTCTTTCTTTATGTCCAATTTCAAAGGCTTTGCAGTTTTTGGCAGTAAAAGGTCAACAAGTGTATCCTGATACAGCTCAACCATATATGCCTGCATCATCGTATAAATATATGAGGATGAAAGTGCTGATTACAGCACACTCATCACCAGTGGCTTAGTTATCAAACACTACTAAGGTAATAGTTAATTCCATTATAAAGGATATGAAATACCTTCAAAGAAAACGAGAATTTCTTGCTATCGCGTTTCAAGATGTTAAAGATCTCTGCAGTTGCCCTTAGTGTGAGTCCAGGATTTCCATCTGAGCCGTATATTGTAAATGTCTTCCCAGAGCCGGTTTGACCATAAGCGAAAATACAAACATTATATCCATCAACAGCGGATTGAACCAGGTACTGCATCAGACAAATTTCAAGAAAAGAAGAGTTCAACAACAGACGGCATTTAAATTAAAAAGCAGTTGATTATCGATATATTCAACCCAACTTACTCTTGTATCTTCAAATATATCTTCTTGTGATGCACTGCCATCAAAGACACGATCATACAAATGTTGTTTTGCCTTGTCATCCTTCCATGGGTGCTCTACTGTGAACTCATCTGTGCTCGAGACGATTTGCCTTTCCCTTTCAGCAATTTCTTTCTCGTTTAGAGGTCTTAAGCGGCAATAAACTCTGATCTTGCCTTTCATATCTAGGAAAAGTTTATGTGGAAAAATCATACTTGAGAACAGAGTTAACATTACACTGCATTCTAAATATATTTCAACTTTGGAAAAAAAAGTCGAACCTTCAATCATGTTAAAGTACCGCTTGCGCAGCACTTGTTCTTCCTTGTAAAGCGCCTCCATCTCAGCTAGTTGCGCCCCTTGCATTTTCAAAACAGCAGCAGTCTGCTCATTCTTTCTATCGATGTCCTGAAAAGGGAAAAATCAAACTTCATAAGAAATGCTCCAAACTAGCCAAAATATAAGACAACAAAACCAGCCTAGGATTATACCTCTTTCATTTCTCTTAGGTCCTCCAATTCTTTCAAATTATTCTGCAGGACAGAGTAATCTGCCTCCCTATCTGCCAGAGTGGACTTAGCAATAGTCAAATCCTGACTGGCAACTTCAAGCTTCTTTTCCAATTCACTAATACGGAGCTTTGATGCTTTCCTTTCCTGAACAAAGTTTCTTTCGCGAACTTCAATCTGTGGAGCAAAAAGTACTGTTAAGTGACAACTGCAACAAATAGAACTGACAAAAGTAACACAATTCAAAGAATATAGATAACTTTTAACCTCATCAATTTTCTTCTTCTCGAGTCTAGAGATCTTCTCTTCTAAAAACATATTTTCATTTCTGAGCTTTTCTAGACTTTCTTGCATTGTATGCAGCTCCTCCTTTTGTAATTTTAGTTCTTCTTGCAACTTCAGAGACTCCTTCTGAATCATGAATGACAGTTGTAAGTGGCTACACCACGTAACCAATGGGAAAAAATAATTGCACCCAACAGAACAACCAAGATCAAACAAAACCTCAGCTTTCAGTTTTACCTGATAATTAGTTGCAACCATGTTCGCTTTGCTAGATGCTAGATCACCAAGACTGGACAACTTCGATTCCATGTTCCTCTTGTCCAACAGCGCAGTCTAAGACATTATAAAAAAGAAAGAAAATTACACACCATTCAAGGAAAGATAATAGCCTTGTAGTAATCATGTTTACCTGAAGAGCTTTGTCCTTTTCAGCACACAAGGATCTAAGTCTATTGCGGTCAATTGTGAGAGCTGTTGAGTTCTGCTGCTCGGACCTCAACGAATCTCTCAACCCCTCCAATTCATCTTGCAATCTTAGCTCTTGCTCTTGCCTTACATGCAATTCTTGAACTAACTGCAATGATCATTGGATAATCTGTCTTAATATCACCATTCTTCAAAACGATCTTAACCAAGACATTATTACACACTTTACCTGATCAGTATTTCTCTGGAATTCCTCAATACTTTTGGATAAATCCTGTATACGCTTTTCATAAATCTCGACATTCGCAGGTGGTTTTGAATTATTAGAAAGATCTCCATTCATCAAGCTGCCAGTAGCTGAGCGAGCTTTGGAATATCGACGTAACATGACGTCGTTTATGTGTGTTTGAAGGGCAACACAGATTTCTTCTCCCTATACAAAAGAAGGATGAAATCCATTACATGAGTCATTAGCAATAACCCGAAGAACCATAGAAAGAAGGGGCCTATAGTAAACTAAACCTGCTTCGTCTCAAACTGGAAAATGTGAAGAACACCAGCGACTCTCATCTTGAAGAAAACAGCCGTGTTGCTGCTGCCAAATTGCATTATGTCTCTCAACTCAGCAGAATGTAGATACTCCTTTGGAACTGGCCGGAAAAAGTGTACCTATTTAGAAAAGTATCATTCTGTCATCTAGAGCACATTAGCATCCCAATCGAAGTGCATAGCTGATGCATATTCTGAGGTTAATTTTTGGTCCGCGTCCAAAACTTCCAATCTTTAGGATATGCGCACCAATTGCCAACTAGTGTTGATAGACCTCATTTTCAATGATATTTTTTTACAAATGAACTCAAAATCCAATGAGCTAGGTGATATCTAGAAGATGGCCTGGTAGACAAACATTTCATCCTAGTCCAAAACTTACAAGCTCTAGAATATGGGCACCAATTGTTGACTAGTATTAATAGACATGTTTCAATGATTAGTTTTTTCAAATGAACCCACAAACCAAGGAACTGGGCGGTATGTAGAGGATGGTCTAGTGGACGAACTTTCGGTCCGAGCCCAATACATCACTGTCTCTACCAGTATTGATGGACATTGGTTTCGATATGACATGAAACTTAACACTTACCCCTCTTCTATTGATCCCAAGAATTATCCTTCCTGGCAAAAGACCAATGGGATCATCAATCTTGCGAACACTAAAGAAAACTGAATTTCCATAAGGAAGAGTCCTCAATATCCGCAAAAACTGTTGTCTGGCATCATCTTTTGTCAGATTTTCCTACATGGCAAGAGCACTTTGGGATGTCAATAGAAACTTTTGAACAAATAACTTCCTGACAGATACAATCTAAAATAGCAGAAACAAGAAACTCATTCATAGTCGTAAACACGTGGAGTTTCAGTACAAAATACAGTTGATAACTGCAGAAATGTATAGTTTGCAAACACTTGCAGCAAGTAGATTGAATTTTGGAAGCAGAGTAAAGAGGAAAGGTAAAGAGGCCACCAAACTGTCAAATACCAACTAGTTTTAATTGTGGAGTGAGTGAAAGCAAGAATAACTCAACGACAAAGAATCACCAAATAAAGAAGAATTTGACAATCATGAAGATGAAAGCAAACTAGTATTGTAACCAATTGCCCATATTCTAGTTACTAATAACAGATTGCAGATACCCTCTAGACAGCTAAAAGAAGCTTCGGACTTATTCTTACTAGTGAACGGTAACGAGACAGAATATCCAACTCCCAATCCCGCTTTCCTCGTGTAATTGCAATTTGCCTTGGTAGGAATCGTTCAAGGAGAGTAGTCCAATCACTGCAAATAACATTGACGTAAATCTTGGCCATCATCAAACCGAAGGGAAAGGTGAGACATAAAACCTGAACTTCTTGCACCGAGTAGGCAAGACAGGAAAAAAATACTAACGTGCATGATTCAGGGCTACCAACATATCCAATCTCAACTAAGATTTGCAAGGCAGACAATTGTGCAGCATCATCCCTTCCAACCGGATAGTTTCCTTGCACATAGTCATGTTGCAACTAAAACACAACAACCCACAAGTTAGCTTAGAACTTCACGTCATGAAGAAAATCTGTTCCTAAATGCAAGTACAAGTGAAGAATTGGAGAGGGTGAACACACCTGAACATATGATAATTGCACAAACATTAGGTCTGTTACAGCTTCATCAGACTCACGAAATAGCTTCTTCTTGAAAATCAGTTTGCAGTGTAAAATTTCTCCTTTACTTCTCTCTTTGGCTGCCTTGAATTCAGCTAGCAAATCCCCAATGTACTTGTTATCATCTAACCCAACGTACTCCTCTACATTGGGGGGGAAAAAGAGCCCATTAGAAGAAAATTAACTACATCCAAAAAACCTCAAGGAGACCAAGGAACAGATACAAACCATTTCCAGGGTCAGCTGATTTGGAACCTGTGACAACCTTGCGGCATTCAAAGAGACTGAAACTAGAATATGCGGACAGCTTAATTATCCCAGCAAGCTCCTATAAAAAATTGAATGGGATCAACGGAAGAATATTAACATAGAAAGCATGAACTGGCAAATATTTTGATGAAAAAGAAAAGCAATAGCCAAATAGATAAAAAGTGCAAAATCTTAGAATTACAGTGCAGGAGAAAATGGAGAAAATGGGATGCGATAACTTCATCATTTTAGAATTATAAATTAAATTATGGTAAAAAGAGATGTGTTATGAAATGCAATGGAGAATGCACAACCCGCAAAACAAAAGACACGCCATCAGCATCCACTGTAAATGCTGCTCATCTAGATGATCGGAGGGAAAGTGCGACAGCCATTTTCACTTCAATAACCCTCTAATCTGAGTTCACTGCAAATCTATCATTGGACATTATCAACCATAAGAAACTTCCTATTAGAGTGCAAGAATCTTCCCATCACATCCCAACCAAGATCGTCCCTCGCCCTCTAGTAGCCTACTTAGTGCTTTGCTTTTGCTGAACCCAATCAGCATCCAAAGAAAACCAAACGACAAGGTATGCTAATATGTTCTTCTCTGTAATCATGAACATCTTATTTCTGCTTTGCGTGGATTCTATAAATGTGATTGCCATTTAAACAAAACTTTCAAAATGCACGAATTTCATGTTAAGTTTAGAGTCTAACTACCTCAACAGAATCAGCAACAGTTGTGGCCATGTCATATGTGATTTCTTCAAAAGTCTCATCCAAAAAGAATACTATTGTTGTAAGCCTTCGACCAGTCAGAAGAGCTTCAATTTCCTCACGGCCAGGTATTGTATGCCGAGGACCGGCCTTAACAGAGCGCTTCAAAGCATTCAAAGTATTTAAAGCAAGGAATTGGACATCAGCCTCTGTACTCGCACCATAAGCGATATCATGTACATACTCAGATAGATATCCACCAATGTCCTTGCTGGGAGGCATGGAGGAAGCACATAAATACATTAGCTCCCATGATTTAATCAAATACTGCCTGCAAAAGGAATCAACATATATGTTAAGCATAAATTAGAATTGATTTAAAAGGCAGGAATAAGACTCATGAAAACAATGAAACTTGAACATGACAATCATATAGACAAAGGACTCCATATCATATGGCCTTTGGTATTATCTTAAAGTAAATGAGGAAGCTTGGGTAGGTTTTCAGTTCAAAGCGTAGTAGTCTATGAGAAAGAAACAAAAGAAAAGGTTCAAAGTTAAAAAGCTTTCACATCATCAATAGACAAGAATAGCAACATTCAAACAAACAAAGATAGCAGCATACTTGTCTGGGTTATTTCTTGTTTGTTTAGAAATCTGGGCAAAAAGTTCATCCCGGAGCTCGGCACGCTTCAATGTGTGCTTGTACAATTTACCAACCAGCTCAATCCGCTCATCTAAACTAGCTGGAGTTGCTCGATCAGAAGAATCAACCCCCATGTACTTCAAAATTATCAGAAACAGCTTAGTGGCCCGTCCTATCAAATCGCCGTTGATTTTCAGTAAAGAAGTTGGGATAGGATCCTGCATGAGATAACACAAGTGGAGCTCTTCAATGACAGGCACTCAGATAGAAGAGCAGAAAAGAAAACAATACAAGAATAGATAATGTTGTACCTTCTGGAAACATAGCATATCCTCAAATGTGAATTTCTCCTTAACTGGAGGGCCTGTGAGTTTTTTAGAGAAAAATCCACGTCTTCCAGTTGACTGAATCTGTTTCTGCATCATTTTTAAGAATCCCTCGACCTATATGCAATATAATAAGTACAAAGATGAGAAGGACTATCACCACCAGTTTGTAGCATAATGAAATAGACTACATCCAGAGCTTGCAGAAAATTATAAGTTAACGCTGGCCAAACTAAGCTTAAATTCAATCAATTGCACTAATATCACAGGCAAAGTTCCTTCTAGAGAAAAATGAACCACCTGGAATCTCTCAAGCAAAGGTATAGCGCCAGCTAGTTCAGCTGGAAGTGCCATTAAAGGACTTGCCGGAGCACTGCAAGAGTAAACCAAGCATTAGACGAACCAATTGAAAAAAGCATGAAAAGAGAAGCTGGTTTCAGACTTACGATGACGATATATTTGAGCCATCACTGTCGTATCCATCCCCGTTTGGCAAAGTTATAGGAGAGTGCAAGTGATTGTTTCTTTCACTACCACCATTACTGTAGCTGGAGGCATACGGAGACACACTCCGGCGCAGACTTTGTGCCATATCTTCTTCTATTTCTGCAAAACCCAGTTTTTGTCTCATCAAAAAAATAATATCTTTCAATTGAAGCTCGGAAATCACCCCAAAAAAAATCCCCCTTCTTTCCCCCAAGTAAAAAGGAACAACCCACTCAAAGGGCATAACATAACTCAAGAAGCTAGCCCCAAACATCTATCCACCCCTAAAATTCAATCTATGCATAGAAATGAAAGGGAACCACATTGAGGAATCTGAGAGCTACGTCGGCAGTGGTAGCTGAGCTACATGGGGATCTATAGATCCATATGCAGATCGCAAACGGCAAAAATGCAGACGGAAGAAGAAGCAGAAGGATTCGATTTCCATAGCTATCCCAAAACCTACCTCTTCAGCTGGAGAAGAACAAGTGACGGAGTGAGAGGGGGAAAAAAAACTCTCCAGAGCCAGAGAAAGAGCGAAACTGTAGGAAAACCGAGCGATAACTCCACAGCAGCTTGACAGCGACGGACAATGGCGTTTAAGTTAGTGTGGGTTGCTGCTGTACGACGGCAAGAGTCACGCGAACGCCATAAATGCCGAACTAGAAGAAGAAGAAGAAGAAGAAGAAGAGAGCTTCCCGAAAATCCCCTCTTTCGACAGCACAAAAATTTGTGAGAAGAAACGAGAAGAGGAAGACGAAACCTTCTTCTGTGGCTTTGTCCCCTACTATCACACACCCATTGTATCAAACGAAACGCGAAGAAGAAAAAAAAATTAAAATTTTCCCTCCCTTTCTCTGACTCTGTAAGCTGGATTAGAAAAAATGGTAACAGTGTGTTTCTTCTGGGATTTTCGTGGGAAACAACCGGGAAAAATATTGAGAAGGAGAGGAGGCCGAATGGCGGAAACGGAGATCAATGGAATTTTGAGGAAAGGTTTTTATTTGTTGTTTGTAATTATTTTGAAATTATTGTTGTTGAGAACTTGAGAGGCTTTTTTTGACTTCAGGGAAAATAATTTAAAAAAAAACTGTGGGAAAAGGGAAGGGGTAAGGTTGTCAACTCGCGGGTTGATTCGGATCCGGTTGAGTTAGTGAGATAAGGGTTAATGGGTCACCGGTTTTAGCCCGGTTTAGCCCGGAAATATGGAAAGCGTCATTATATTGACCTTATCCTGATAAATTATATCAAATCTCATCTAACATATGAGTTATAACATATAATGCTACACCAAAATAATATTTCGTACTTAGTTTCAACATATAGTGAAAATTCACACACACTTATATAACATTAATATTCAAATGTTCAACTTAGGATTCCAAAGATTGAGTTAAGCGAAAAGAAAAATTGGAAAATAGGCCCATTTCGCAAAACAAATAAAAAAAATGACACAATTTGACCTCCAACCCGGTATCTTGTGGCGGTCGACCCGACAGGTGCGTACTACCCGTTTTTCTCACCGGATCAGGATCAAAGTGGGTCAACCCGCGGGGCGACCCGCGGGTTGACAACCTCAAGAACAAGTAGGTGGGTCTCACTAGACTTATTTTGCGAAGATTTGGCATTTGGGCTTGTTGCTAAAAAAATGACACAATGTGAAATCGTATTGTACCAACGGTCTGATCAGAAAAACATTATGTTTGATACAAAACTGGTAGATGAAATTTTTTAGCAGTATCAAAGAGTTGAACTAATGATCAAACTACGATTTGAGTACAATATATTATAGCGATAACATTTTTTCGATACAACCTCTGACACGATTTTTTTTTGGGAAAACTTTGCTCCAAATGGCATGTTCTTGCAAGCGGAAATTAAAACAGAAGTTGACTCAAGATTATTTGCTCACATACATTAGCTTCTATATTTGCCATTTGCAAAGAGCCCCAGCTGCTACAGATACAAGTTCTCAGCCTCTAATTAAGACAAACATTGTACTTTGATCGATCCAAAGAAATAAACACTTAGATCGGTTGAGTGATTCTATTTACAGGGTATCTTTTTTTTTTCTTCATAAAGATGATAGATTTTATTGAGATGAGAAATGGATCGAGAACGATCGCAGCAAAAAAAAAGAAGCAGAACTGAAGATACATACAGGCGGTGAAACAAGAGAAACGATATTGAATGTGAAAGAGAGATTTTTGTTTTAGTTGTTAAATAGAATGAATGAATGAGAGTTAAAGAGAAGAGTGACCTCAAGAAAGAGCATGTCAACTTGATTCCACGGAGAAGTAAATTGTTTTTTCTTTGTTCGATTTTAAGGTTGCCAATATCGTGTTACGTCGATATATTTATATATATATCGTCGTTAGTTGCTTAGTAATGTTTTATCAGATGTCTAAACTTAGGTCATTTGTTATTGATACTTGAAATTCTAACTTATCGATGTGATTAGTCCATCAACTTGCTTAATCAAAGCCCACATTTAAGACATTTTGATACTTAACTAAGTATTTGTGAGATTATGTTACCTGTTCAAACTTAAGTGACCATTTGGGTCAATTACCCATACAGCGTAAACTTTACTCAAGTGCGGCGACCGAAAACGACGTCGCTTTCAGCCAATCGATCAATTCCTTTCTTCCTTGCTCTCCTAACTCCCAAATTCCAGCTGAATCTCCGTCTCCACCGTCGCTATTCCGGCGAAGGCGTCGCCGTCCCTCGATTTCTGGATTTCCCCGCGAACAGTTCACTCTTGCAGATCCGATCTCTTCCAGGTAAATTTGAATCTTCAATCGCTTCAAAGGAAACCTTGTGAATGAATCTGAGTCGTGTGTTTCTGTGATTTCTTAGAATTCCTGAGATTTTAGGTCGAAATTGGTTTGGGGGGAAAAGTTTGCCGATGAATGGAGAGAACTCGAGTTACTTAGGGTTTCTAGCTCTTCAATTACCATAGCTTTACAGGTTATGATCTGGTCTTAGTTCTCACTTGTTAATGCTTCTGATGATTGCAGAGCACTTCGGTGGAAAAAAGATGCAAGATCCAAGATTGCCACTTTCGGGTGAAATTTCAAACGGTAAACCACGTAAGAAGAAAGGCTCATCAAATTCCAGAGCTTCGACGATTCAGCTGAAAGGGAGTGATGTACGAGAGATTCAACATGGTCAGGCTGCGGCAGTTCCTTTGCCTCTGAGAACTTCTCAGAAGCTGTCTACCAAGAATTTGGCAAGGAATGAATACACTCCTCCTACTACTATGTTTCAGCAGACGGAGAGATCGAACTCCGATTCCTTGCCGGAGTCTTCGGGTTCGGGGAATGATTACAGGGCATTGAGAAGGAAGTACTTGCTGTTGGAAGAGGAAAGCTTTGCATTGGGAACCGAGTTGACCGAGATTGAAGACGAGGTTAACACTCTCGAGTACGAGAAGCTCGCGTTGTTGGATCAGCTCATTGTGCTGGAAGGTCTTGTCGACCCTTCGGAAGTGCAAGTCCCCTGAACTCCTTTGTTACTGTACTGCAATTGTTTGCACTTGGGTAATGTGTTGTTAATAGATGGCTCATAGGCTTCTTTTGGAGCACAAAAGGGTGGAAAAATGGAGCAGTTTGGTTTCTTGGTTTTACAAGCTGTACTAGAAAGGTTGGCACATATACATTGAGAACTAAGATTTTTCATGTTGAAAGATTGAAAGGAGTAATCAAAAGAACAAGTAATGTGTATTGCTGACTACTAATGGATTCATTATTCCTATGTTCATCGAGTTTTTGTTTCTGGCTTTCATGGTTTTGCTGGATTCCGTACTACACTTACTGTACTTCAGTACTGGTGCTTTTTATGGGTCGCGAATAGTAATTACTTCCTTTATTTCACTGCTATCTGACAGCTTGATGTCAGTAACATCAGGTGAGTTCAAATCTAAGCCTGATGGACTGTGAAGCTGCAAGCAATGTGAAGTTTGGTCTTTGCCAGGCTTACTTTGGTTACTATGCTCTAGATGGACTTATGGCTTTACTGGGACAATACTTGGAAAAAGTTTAATCTTTGGTCTGAAGTATTGTGTTCTTTCTTATTATCATGGTTGTCCTAGCCGAACGAGACTTGTCGAAATTAAGACTATTTATATAAAGGCAGGGTCGAAAGAAGGTACTGAAGTGAAAATTTACTTCTTCCTTTTTTTAGTTTTCACTATGTACTTTGTCTCAGGTATTTCTTAATACAGATTACAGTGAGCTGAACTCTTACTCATACTGAGTATGCATTTTCCTATTGATCATAGTTTTTCTACTGCTGTTTGGGATTTCGACAGATGAATCAAGATAAGACGAAAAGTAACATTCACCAGATGTGGAGTTTACAGATTGCAGATGCTCTTCTCGGTATGTAGTTAGTTATTGAATGAAAATATTGGTCTATTATCACTTTCTTAGCACTTATATTCTATGGGACTTTGAGCTTTAAAGATTGAGCATTTCCATGGCTTATGTTCAATTATCCTTTCTTATGACTTACGTGACACCTTGTGGGTAGTCTAAGCAGATGGTTCAACAGATTCCCTTATTTTCTAAGGAAGAACACGTAGTAGAACATACACAGTAAAAGATTAATTTGGCAATCTTTTAACAATTGTCAGCTGGTCATATTAAGAAATTGTTGTCCAGCTACCTCATAATAAATGATATAGTTCTTTGACGACTAGAAAAAAAATAATAATAGAAAGGGAAAAGCCAGTAACAACGTGCTGGGAAAGAGGCCATTCACAATCACCACTACCAATAATATCACAGGCATATCTCTGGACAGAGAAATAGAGAACTGATGAGTAAATGAATAGATACAAATGCAGTATGGGAAGGTAGTTATATCCCATTGAAAGACATTGCAATATCTAGAAGATCCTTCTCTTTCTCTTTCTCCCTTCTTCACCTTCTCCAACCCCCATCTTCTGTAATTTGCATAAAACACACAGGTCAGGAACCACTCAAGCAAAAAGGAGAAGACATCATGACCGAGAAAGAGAATCAGGAGGTTCCTACTGTCACTCCAATTTTGACCAGATTGGATCGCCTTGATCGAATGGTTAGTACCCTGATTAATTATCTATTGAGGCCACATCACTTTCTCGTTGATGGAAAAGAATGAAAGATTGTTTAAGCTTGATGTGTCGGTCGGTCTGTCTGTGCGTGCGTGTGTGTTTATTTTTACTTGCAGCTGCAGTTTCTGGAAGATAAGTACTTGGTGCAGGAAAAGCCGAAAACTGAAGCAGCTGTGAAGGTCACGGAAGATCATCAGTGCATGAGTTTATCAGCCGCCCTCGAGCTAGTTAAACAGAAAGGCAGCGTGGTGGAGAGGCTCGAATTCCTCGAAAACCGCATCTTACAGGTTCGAAGAACTCTAGAGTCTCAATCAATCTATGATAATTGTTTATGTTATATGCAATGATCAAAAGGTTGATTGGTCATGGTATGAGAAGCTTTGATTAAGCACTTTTGTTGAATTGGTTCATTTCATTGGGTGTGAATTCATTTATTCAGTTGAGCCTGGAGATGGAAGTAGGCAACAACAGTACATCCAGGTCAAGCTCTGCCATGGTCACAGAACCTGAATCTGGTGATGATGATCATAAGCATCTGATTGTGAAGCAGGAACCAAAAAAGGCGCCAAATCTCTCCATGACTCAGGTAGATTAACCAATTGTAGTTTCTGGAATATGATTGAAGGGTTATGCCAGTTTTCTGGAATCTGATTTTGTGTGGGGGTATCTGTGGTCATTTTCATGCAGAAAGGGACCAGACAAAGGAGAGTGGTCAGTAGCAAGAAATGGGCAGCAGGATTGAGGTGGTTACATATGGGCTGCAATAGTTAATTTCTTACTTGAATTTTTGAGCTTTCGAGAAGATGAGATAACTTGATTGTGATGAGAGCTTTATCGTTTCATTTACTATCTGCAATCGCAACGATGGGAGCATCAGCCATCAAGGAATACCAGAAAGACACTCTTTATTGGATCGCTTAGTCGTAGACTCGTAGTAGTTTTTGAGTATTTAGATGATTATCGAGAAGATGTCTTAGTACGTACATCATCAACATTTTGATTCACACGTACAATTTATATATATATGCTAAAAGATTCAATGCACGACAAATGATTCACGTTGAATTCACTGGCATGACGGCATACGTGAAACAAAAGATGTAACAATGTTTACAAAAATCTTTAACGAACTCCAAAGATCGAGTGGCGAGGTACATGAACAATTCACTAGCTAAAGAGCATAACATGGCTAACTTGTAGGTAAAACCCTACCGATCACATTTCTCTTGTAGAAAAATTCTCACATCCGACTTCACCATCATTAATTAAATCCTTTTAAACAATTACATATGATTGACTTGTTAGCCATCTTTCTCCAATCTAATGTCTCTCTTCTTGTATTCAGCATCACAACTTAAATCTATGATCTAAGCTATGCAACTATCACTTACTTAATTTGCACTCTTATTTTATTTATTTGTTGTTTCCTTTTTGTCAGGTCATTTTCCTTGTATTTTAAAAGCTACATATCATGAATTCGATATGAGGTTATAATCCGCCAATGATTAAGTCTATCAAGCACTGATTTTGACAGATATTTCCCCGTCCATTTTTTGCAGATTCCAAATGGGTACCATCACATATTTCAGGTTATTTTTTTGAAATTCTATTTTTTTAGATTTTGAAGGCTACATATCACGGCTTTGGCCTAAGGCTAGTCTACAGGATTTTTTCGGATGACATTTTCGTAATATTTTTGGCATTTTTTGGTAGGAATTTTTCGAAATGTCATTTTTTCTAAAATTTGAAGGCTACTGATCACGGATACGACCTGAACTTATTCTCCACCAATGATTAAGTCTATTAAGCACCGATTTGGGCGGATATTTTCCATATCCAATTTTGCAGTGTCCAAAAGGGTATCATCATAGATTTTTGGGCGATTTTTATACGAAAGTTCATTTTCCTTGGATTTTGAAGGTTAAGGATTACGTATTCAGCCTGGGGCTATTCTCCACCAATTAGCACTTATTTGGGTGAATTTTTTTCTGGATCCATTTTTTGCAGATTTCAAAGGGATACCATCATAAATATCTGGAATTTTTTTTAAATACCATTTTCTTTGATTTTGAAGTCATCACGGACTGGGTTTGAGACTATTCTCCATCGATGATTAATTCTATTAAACACCAATTTGGACGGATTTTTTCCTGGTCCATTTTTTGCAGATTTCAAAGGGGTACCATCACATATTTCATGTGATTTTTTTGAAAAGTCATTTTCTTCCAATTTTGAAAGCTACAGATCCCGAATTCGCCCTGAGGCTATTCTTCGTTGGTGATTCATCTATTAAGCACTAATTTTGGGTAGATTTTTTTAGGGTTCATTTTTAGCAGATTCCAAAAGGATACCATCACATATTTTAGGCGATTTTTTTGAACCACAATTTTCTTGGAGTTTGAATGCTACACATCACGCATTCAGTTTAAGGCTATTCTCCACCGATGGTTTAGTCTATTAAGCACCAATTTGGGTGGATTTTTTCCTGATCCAATTTTGGCAGATTCCAAAGGGGTATCATCACAGATTTCAGACAATTTTTTATAAAGACCATTTTCTTTAGATTTTGAAGGCTATGGATCACAAATTTCGCCTGAGTCTATTCTTCACCGATGATTAAGTCTATTAAGCACCGGTTTTGGTGTATTTTTCTAGGTCCGTTTTTAGTAGAGTCCAAAGAGGGTACCATCACATATTTCATGTAATTTTTTTGAAAGACCATTTTCCTTGAATTTTAAAGGCCACGGATCACAAATTAAACCCGAGACTATTCTCCACTGATTATTAATTCTATTTAGCACCGATATGGGCAAAAAAAAAAATTGACCCAAAAAAATTACTGACTGATTATATTAATACAGTGGTATTAATGCCAGAACAATAATTTTAAGGTGGTCGGTTCGGATCACATAGAACTTCTAACTTGTCATTTCCCTTCTTTCTTTAACATTGAAATCATGTAGATACTACGGATCCTTTATTGAACTGGTGGCGAGAAGGCTAGGTTCACACCTTGGCTTGTTTGGTTGGCTCAAGTACACACTTCCGTATCCATACAATAATACTAATAATAATAATTATTATTATAATAATACTAATACATGGAGGGTGTAATTTATAAAATATAAGTATCACTGTTATTTTTCCTTTATAAATATTTGTTTCTATAATATTAGGGATGTCAATTTTAATTTAACACGTTACATTCAACTTGTTGTGATATATTGTGAGATCGTGAGTTACCTTCCTTATGGGCGGGATGAACGGTTATGAATTCTCCTGTTTTCCCCCACATTTTTTTTCTTATTTTCAATCGTTTTGTCAATACTTGTGATTTTGCTTTTATTACATAATAATATTTTTTCCATAATAATGCTAATATTTTATATTTTTTCTAGTAATTTACTTCCATACATCATGTCACCGTTTCTATTTTAATAATCATCGAATCTTTCTCAAAATCATAATAAAAAGATTAATATCTTAATTCTTTCTTTTAAAATGTAAACACACTTGAGTTAACTTGCACGGCCCATGTCTCGAGACAAAATATCCGATTTGAACTCGAGACAACTCACATCAGAGTATGGATACTGGGTTACGTTATACCTAGCTACCCGACCTGGCCCCATCGCGCAATTTTTATTCCTTAGTGATATAAGATTTGATTAGCTTTGAATTTAGGCTTAAATAAATTGTTGTCCTCTAAACTATATGTAAGTAAGCTTAGATCTTGAACATCAATTGTACCATATGATCATAAAATATGTAGAGGTAGTGGACAAGAGGAATACACGTACGTACAACATCAAATTATATTCTGTTCTGCCTTGCTTTAGTTTATAGTTTAGGGTTCATTTTCTAGTGTTGGTGGGAGGAAGTGGAAAAACGGCTTTGGCTTCCGGCAGTAGCTATATGTATACTCTATCCAACTATCAAAACGTAGAATGCAAGTAATGACAACAATGAATTACATACCCGACATTAAAAGGACACCTACTTCTCTTGGGAATGGTTTGGAACATAAAATAATATTTACTAGAAAAAGAAGGTGAAAAAGTATAAACGTTTAGAGTTTTTGAAACCCCTCTTTCATCTTGCCCGTTAAACAGGTTATTTTCTGGTAAGCGACGTTATCCAAAACTATAAACGCTAGAAATGACTTAGTCGTTTGACTCGAGGTTGAGCGTTCATATACCAAAATCTAAGGATTTGTGGTCCTAATTAAGCATGGTTCCGCGAAATTTTACATGGTTGAGTTGGTCATCATTGATTAACCTAGTTCAAGCTAGCTAGGAGTACTAAGGTGAAAGGTGAAACCCTAGCTAGGAGCAATGGTATCTTGAGTCACAAAAAGGCTTCTAAACTTTATCTATGTATGGTAATCTTCAAACTAGCTAGCTGTCTCATACTGTCAAAAGAAGAAACTTTTTACCAACGACATATGTGATGGTACATTGAATTTATCCTCGATCGTCAATCGCTAGTTTGATTTCCTCTCTGTTGATGTGACTTGAATCGGACTATCAGCCGCTTCACGAGTTGAATCCATTGGAGGCAACATGTATTTTTTGTCTATTATTGATGATTATTCAAGATTTACTTGGATTCGGGTTCAATGTTATTCGGGTTCGGGTTCTGGGCCTGGTCTGTAACCGTTTCCTTTGCCATATTGGATTAGGTTTAGACCCACATGGAGAAGTACTATAAATACTTCTCATACTCCTCTGTAATCTGTAATCTCCTCGATATAGTGAAACTGGCTCTCTCTCGCCCGTGGACGTAGCTAACACACATCGTGTTAGTGAACCACGTAAATCGTGTGTCTGTGTTTTTTGATTCTCGCTTTCGTATTTTTGCTTTATTGATTGCGACGATTTCCCGATCTGTAGCAGCGCGTTTATAACACTCTCCATTCTTGATTCAACCGCAAGACATGAAAAACAACTTTCTCAATTCATCACATTCTACATATGGAGCAATTCATCATTCTCTGCTGTAGATTGAAAGATGGGGAAAGGAAAGTTAGAGAGACTCAAGTAAAGAGTCACGAACACAAAAATGTAAGGGAAAAAGTTAACAAGAAGAAGAAGAAAAAAAAACAAGGTAGTATTACTCATTATAAATATGTCGTGGTAATAACTCGTTTGGTTAAAAACTAGGTCAATATCATCAATGCAAAAAGTAAAGAACACACAAATTTATGTGCATGCATGGTTTCTTAACACGATATATATGTGTTAGTTAATCGATGAGCAGGAGAGAACAAATCTCACTATATTTGAGTAGATACATGTTGAAGAGGGATGGAGAAGATATATTTATAACATGTTCTCCAAACGGCATAACCCTAATCCAAACATGGAAAGGAATACAAACCAAACCCAAAACCAGACACTTCACCTCTAGATCCCAACTCACCGACTTAACAACGAGACCTCCAAAACTTTCGATCGACGACATATAATTTTCTGACGAACTTTTTACTACAATATTCATGCCCCTTGAAACTTACATGATTGATTATGTTATCCGACCGGGGAGAGTGGGCAGTTTGGCTTGAATGTAACTACTTAGGTTGCTTTGGGAAAGGGAAGCCCATCCAGAAGCACAGAAAGAAAGGACATGGATGAGTTAATCATTGGCTAGTTTGATGTAGACAACGAGCTTGCTGGCCAATTGGGAAATTGGAAGTTCGATCGTAACAGACAATCAGAACCTGGATCCAGATGGCAGAAGGTGAATGGTGCCAAGTAGGAAAGGGCGGCGCACCAAACAGACAAAACTGGAAGGAAAAAAAAAACAACAAGAGCCATAGGGAATGTGGTGAGTGTGACAGGAAGGAACATCGTCAGCTAGCTATAGCTCATAAAACAAAAGAGTAAATCGACCATAAGAAGAAAAAAAGCAGAATGTTTTACTAAAGGGACCCTTTACCTAAAAAAAGAATGCTATAACTCATTAGATTGTATGTTGGACTGTACAAATTTCAAGCTCATGAGTTACCTTTCGTTTGAGAGGATGTGTAAGGAAGTGATTAACATCCATACATGAGTCTCTCCCAACAACTCGAGTTATTGGTACAAGTAGGTTGATAAGTTGTTAATTACAGTCTACACACCTTCAATCTCTCTGACCAAGAAAATGAGTTTCTATCACAAACCTAAGATAGACGACGTCAGTTTTGTAAATTTTTCATTCAACATCGTACGTTTTTAGTCGAAACGCTTTAGTTTGTATGCATAACTAATGGAACCAGGAAATTGACCTTCTGTTGTTGCCACCTTCTCCAACACTCTCAAACCACTCAGTCACACCACCAAACCATCAGACCAAATTGACCTATCCAAACTTCAAACCTAGTTGACTACTATGTTTCGTTCGAATTGACGAGCATACATACTCTTGCACACGTCTCAACCAACGACCACGAGTCAACGACTATAAGCAAATCAAGCGAACCAAAATTTTCCGACTCAAATTATTGCGACCATTTAGTCTGGAACAAATTCCTACTAAAAGAAACATTTCAAAAAAGTGTTGAGGCTCACACCCCACATAGATTTGGGACATTGAGTGTTTGTGTGAGAGAGAAAATTGAAGGGCTATAGATTTTATACTTTGGATACAAAATTGCGGTGGAGAGAAGAAGAAGAAGAAGAAGAAGAAGAAGAAGAATAGAGGGGTGGTGGTGGCGTGAAAATTTGGTGCAACACGCCGTCCAAACAACACAACCCTTTCTCATTCTCCTATCTGCCACCCCCACGCGCACTCAATAACCTTTCTTCTTCTTCTTCTTCTTCTTCTTCAGCTTTGTGTATATATATACAAAGACGAAACATAGAGGAATATAGAGAAAGCAAAAAGTTCCCATGTGGATCTAGCAAGTTCAAGCAAAACCCAGATATTAAAAAGCATTGTTATATACAACTTCTTCTTCTTCTTCTTCTTCTTCTTCTTCTTCTTCTTCTTCTTCTTCTTCTTCTTCTTCTTCTTCTGGTTCTGTGATCGCCATATCTAGCCGGTACAAAGGGTAGAGGAAAAGCTGCTGGTACCGTTCATTCAAGTGAGTATAATATTATTCCCTTTTTTGGTGGTATTCGTCGCTGAGTTTGATCAGATGTGGGTTGGTGGTATATAGGGAGAGAATAATATGTGAGGTTTGTGACATTCTTTGATATATAAAGATCATAGCTTCATTCTTCATCTCTGATCTTTGAGTTTAGGAGGGGGAATCGGTTCTCGATATTAACCTGTTGTGAACAGCGGCGGATCCAGAACACAGAAGTGCACTGGGCCGCATTTTATTAAAATATTAGAATAGTAAAAAAATATAATGATTATAATTTTTTTACAATGTAAATTGTACACGACGGTATTTTAATTTAACGAATACATTAATAATGGAGTCCACATCCATACCAATAGTATACACTGTTTCAAATAAAATGCTTGAGCAATCGACTAGAAATCCATCGCTCATTTTGTTGCGCAAATCAATTTTCACATGTTTCGTTGTTGAAAAGGTTCTATTCGTATTAGCTGTTGAAACGAGCAGCATCAACACTAGACAAATCAATCTACTAATCAATTTGCATTGTGTTTCCATCCCTATATCCACCAGCTGCTCTAGTAAATTTTCCAAGGTAACAAACCTCATATATGTTTTAGTCTTTTACGTTTTAAACTTTTTGAATTTTTAGGTTTCATTGTTTTTTTAGACGAACAACCTTTGGGGTTAGAATTTATAAGCTAAATTTAGAGTAGTGATTTTGAATATGTTCATCTGAATTATTTTCTTAATTATACCCAATGTTATTTTAAAATAACAACGACCCGAATATCTAAAATCGAAAAATTCATAAGGCCTATACTAACTATGGATCCAGAGGAGGGCTGGGCTGGGGCCCGGGGTGGCCACCCCCTGGATCCGCCACTGGTTGTGAATGCATGAACAATTTCGGAAATAAATATCTGATAAAGGACACAAGTGAATTAATACGTTACAAATAAACGCATCCAAAAATATGTTATTCTATTAAAATTGTACACAAGAAGAAGAAAAAAAATTACGTGAATCATAGCTATATTAAATTTATGTCTAAACTTTAAGCCGAAGAATGCATTAGATTAGGGAGACCTTAAGAGAAAAACATGGCAAAATTATCTTAATTTTCTCATAAGTACGACTATATACGACATAAATATTTTTTTTGGATACGAACTCATACCAATAATTGGAACACGGGTTGGGTCGCGGGTTCTACGGGGTTGTGTAATCCAAAATTCAAACCCAACCCAAAAGCGAGGCGGGCGTTGTACAAAAGAAAATCCTCACCCAACCTAAAACCTTCGTTTTAGCGATAAATACGGGGTGGGTTGGGTCGGGTTGGACGGGTGAGGGTCGGTTTGTGGGTGTGTTTGTTCACCTCCTAGACTTTAACTATTTGAATTACTGAAATGGTATTCCATTAATTAATCTTCGAATCGAATTATGATATTAACGTTTGAAATTAGGTATACAATTGTGTAGTATTAAACTATTAATGTGTATATGTATTTTGTGGGGTTGGGATAGAGCCATAGAGGAAGAAGATTAGTGGTTGGTGTGTGAAAAATTAGTGTTAGACCAAAAGAAGAAGAGGGAGTGGAGAGAGCAGTGAACTGCACTCAAAGAAACACTTGTTACTGTGAGGCACATGCTTCTGGGTTGACAAACAAAGTAGTCAAGCTTTACGGCTAATAATTCCGAATTTCCCTTTTTCTATTTATAAGCATATTATTTTCCATATTATTTCCCTTTTTCTATTTATAAGCATATTATTTCCATATTAGCTTTCTAACTTTGTTTCTCTCTTTTATTTTTGTGTTGCAATCATATCATAATAGATCGAACAAGAACGTACACGAGAGAGAGAAATGGAGATGGAATCTTGTGTTCCACCAGGGTTTAGGTTCCACCCAACAGAAGAAGAACTCGTGGGTTACTACCTCAAGAGGAAGATCAGCTCGTTGAAAATCGATTTGGATGTTATCGCCGACATCGATCTATACAAGATGGAGCCCTGGGACATCCAATGTACGTGTATTCATGAATTTTACGAATAAGGCATTGGTCTAGTGATACTATCACTGATGGAAGAAGGGGGAAAAATTAAACGATCATCACACAATTCATACGTTGCGTTACAAATTATGCATGAGACTATAATTTACTGACTATATATTTATTTTAATTTTATGATGATGAATTACGTACGTACGTCACATGCAGCGACATGCAATCTAGGGTACGACTCACAGACTGAGTGGTACTTCTTCAGCCACAAGGACAGGAAGTACCCGACCGGAACCCGGACCAACCGAGCGACGGCGGCCGGATTCTGGAAGGCGACCGGACGGGACAAGGCGGTGCTGTCGTCGAGGAACAAGATCATCATCGGGATGAGGAAGACGCTCGTGTTCTACGGTGGGCGTGCTCCCAATGGAAGGAAGAGCGACTGGATCATGCACGAGTATCGCCTCGTCCAGACTTCCCAAAATGCACCCCCTCAGGTAATTACTGCCACCATAACCGAGATTACGAGATTGAGATCGATTATATTCCGAAATACCGCGAGTAATAACAAAGTATAATAAGCAGCTGGTGCATGTATATTTTAACCCTCTCAATTAACTAGGTCTCCTCGCTCAGTCGCTCGCTGCTATCATGCCCTCAACTAGCAAAACGACCACTTATTAATTATACGTAACACATTCTGTCGCGCTAGCTATTTGACAACCCAAACCAATTAAGGTCATTTCATTGCTTGTATAGTATGTTTACGAAATATCGTAGTAGTCCTCTGGGATACAGATACCGTACCTATTTCCAGTCCTACTGCTAAAACCTATAGGTTTGGATGGGTGAGGTGGGAAATTAATTAAACTAGATGTATGCATGCATGCAGGAAGAAGGATGGGTGGTATGCAGAGCATTCAAGAAGCCAATCCCCAACCAAAGGCAAGGATTTGATCACCACCATGGCTATAATCCCCTACATTCACCATCTGATCATCATCACCATAGGCATCCATCACCATTGATCAACTCATCATCAGAAACTTGCTCATCAACATCCCACCAGCTGATCATCTCCCCTGATTCACAGCCCTTCATGGACATGATGATGAACAGCCAGCTGATGGTCATCCACCATCAAGAACATCATCATCAGCTCCCGCACCTACTCGACAGCTCCAATGCCATCTCAGCAAGTTTTGGTGCCACCAGTGCCATAGATGATCATCATCATCAGCACAGGATTCATGGTGGCAATATCTTGGAGGAGTTTCTTTTGTCCCAAGAAGCCAATATCATCAACGAAGACTCGAGTTCGTCGCTGATCTTCTCGACGTTAATGCTCGATTCCAAAAGTGGTGGATCGATTGAAGCCGATGATATGGTTTCCGTTTTCTAGCTAGATTGTTTTTCCGATGATTGATTGATCGTAGTTTGATTCCGTAACAACATTATACGACAATTTCTTTAATTTCTTGGATCTTGTGAATCACATCAAGTCTCATTTCAAGTTTCCTGCATCCAGAGTGACCATGACCACTTTAAAGAAAATCAAATATTATATAACCAATCACACTAAGTACATTTGTTGTATTTTTTTAAATTAAAAGCATATAATTGCGTAGAGGATAAAACCATTCTCCCATTTCAAATTCCCTGCTCCAGGAGCGTTTGTAGGAAGGGTAGAATAGGGAGTGTCAAAAATTTTTTGTTTCCTCTGTGGAACGGGCCCACTTACCGTACACATGCGGATTTAAACGGGTCTAGAGAAGGAAGCCATTGAAGAAGAAGCACTCTTCAGAAAGAAACCACAAGCACGTCAAGAAGCATGCCAAGTACGAAGCCACTACAAGACTTGAGCCCTACTGATTTTATCATGTGCAATCGCCAACTCAAGCAAAGAATCAATAACCTTGGCAGCAACATCAACATAAGAAAGGGAAACATGGTAAAAACATGGCAGCAAAGAAGCCAGCCTTAAAAGACATTTGTTCCCCGACTATAAGAAGGCCAAGGAGGAAGAGGAATAGGACTTTGTTCCTCAACAAATGCATGTTTTCACATGTACGTTTATACTTCTACCACTATTTGTCTTGTAATTAATTTAATTAATATAATTCTAATCAATGAAAATTTATTGACTTGAAAATCCAAGATGCCACGAATGAACGTCTGATAATATATGTCGTGGTTGGTTTTTGACTAATTGTTTTTATTATGAGTTTTACTAATTAGTAGATCATTTATTTTTTGTTGAATCCAAAACAACTCATAGCATTTTCATCTAAATCCCCTTTTCAAATCCTATATTTAATTTCCTTCAATATCTCATTATTTTATCTACAAGCACATCGCTTGTAAATTAATTTAGATCTTGCTCTAGGCTATAAAAATCAAGGTTTCTCAAGCCATACATGATATGTTTTCATGCAAATCTTATGCTTGTGAAATTTAAGTTCATGTGAGATGGATGGGCATCCCCCATCTAGACTTGTATGATCGTAAATATTATCACAAGAATATTGTGATTTTTATGTGCCTAGCTAGAACAACTATTATCTGAAGAAACGTTTACATATGTGTACACGGGGAAATGATATCATTTTCTTATTAAGAAAAACATACTATGTATGCACTAGACAAATTTTTCACATCTAGTTTGGATTTGTGTTGTAGAATTATTGTTTTTTAAGGTTTATTCACTTTGTTTTGGTACTTTGGAATTTTGTACTCAAACTTTTAGATGAATCACATCTTATTATTTATAGATGTCGTATGATTTATCGAAGGTCCATGACCTATTATGGGAAGTCATACAAAATATTGGAGAGCTAAGTTGGATGGTACAACAAAAAAACATCAGTAACTAATACATTTTTTTTTACAAAAGATAATCTTATATTGATTCAAAAACGAGATAGTTACACCCTAGAAAGCAACCAGACCTGAAAATCAAATACTCGACTCATAGCCGGAGACAAAACAAGGGCCTTTCTAGCCACCAAGTGGGCTACCCTATTATTACCCCGACGCCCTACAAAAATCGCACACTAAAACCAGAATGGATGGCAAAATAATGTAAAACTTCTTCAAGAATAGCTCCCATCCGGTTGTCGCCAGCTTGCGCCTGATTGATCTTTATCAATAACAACTTCAGCATCGCCTTCGATCCTAACATCTGTGAAGCCATGCACCCAGACACCAGCGAATAGCCTCACGGAAGACCAGCAATTCGACGACCATTGGATCATCAAGACACATTGAAATTGAACCCCTTGAGCCAACAAAACCTAATTACCTTTATTAGATGGAAAATTTACATATATGTTTAAGGACCTCCCTTTACTATACACACACCCTTTCCAAATATACAAAACTGGACCATAATTTGGCTGCAAAACAATGTACACAAAGAAGAAGACCACCATTCTCCCACAACAGATTCAACAGCCAAGACCCATACATATATACAGGTGAAAAAAACTTTGAAGGTCTCATTTCCCTTCCCATCTATGGATTCTAAAAGATCCCTACCAGAATGATGAACACCAAAATCTGCAAACCACCCTTTATGCTACCAAAACCAGTGAGTGCACTGAAACGAGCCGAGCTAGGTAAAGAAGGGTAAGTATCAGGAGAAGGCATCGCGCATTCATCGCCATTGAAGTAAATCCTCCATGGGAATGGCCATCCATGCTCCAAACTGAAGGAGCTGTTGTTGTCCTTCTGCAGAAGGATCTCTGACTGCACATTCCCATTCGATCCGGCTTCAAGCAGGACTGCATTCACACCATCTATCCCATAGAACATCCCGGTATCATCTGCAACACATCAAACCGATTCCACACAACATTACTCGTGATTCTTTCTTAATCATGGAATTTGGTAAGTTGGAGAGCCAAAAAAAAAAAAAAGGTTGGAACTTTACTCGAAGCGCCATAAACCATGAGTGGCTTGTACAGAAAACTGGAGACATTGGCCAGGCTTCTGAGGCTGGGATGGTGAGCTGCAAGTGTCCACTTGGTGTAGTTCGTTCTGTATCTGAAGTTTGTGACAGTAAGCTTCACTCTCCAATGTGTCTTGTAGTTGTTCTTCACATGCCAATGAACCTTAATTGGGCACATGTGCTCTGTACATTGTACCATCTTCCTCTCTGCTTTTGATTTCTCCACCACACTTGATATCTTGTTGTCCTCCTTCCTGTTTGGAAACAGAGAGAGAAAGGCTCATGCATCAGGATAATTGACACCTTTCACACTGTGATCTAATCAATCTCAGGGAAACAGAGGAATTACTTGACACAGTTGGCTTGGCCCTGCTGGCACCCACAAGAGCAGGATGGACAAGGAGTGATCTGAGTGCTGTAAAATGATGACATGGAAACACAGCATGATGGGTTCTTGGAGACAATCGTTTGGGAGTAACTACACGTCAGACTCCATGTCACTGCATATACAATGAGATCGAAGTTATATATCGAAATCCTGTTGTTGGAAGAAGTTTAATACCATATATTAACACACCCCCCTCGAACGAAAAATCACTCATATAAGCTTGCAATTTGCACATGCATCAGACAGCATGCAATTATCAGCGGGGGTTACTGGGATTGACCTCTCAATCACAGAAAACTTTGATACCATTCCAAGAACTAGTTAGTCCAGATAACTCCAATTGTTGGGACCAACTAGTTCTTGATATGGTATAAGATTCTTTTGTACCCAAGAGGTCTTCTATTCGAATCCTGGTAATCCTATCGGTAAGCACATGGTGTCTGGTGTCTGTGCAAACTTCACGCCTACATAAATGACTTTCATTTGAAGGGGAGTGTTAGTACGTGACATAAGATCCATTATCGAACTTCTCCCCCGACAACTCGAATTACTCGAACCAATTGGTTATTCGACACAATGGAGAGACGAGAGCATGAACTCACTGAGAGCCTGAGATCGCCGCCGGCCATCACCCAAGTAGAAAGCCGAAGGCGAGACGACGGCGGCAGCAGTGCAGGTGTAGCCAGGGCCAGACCCCAACAAGTAGAAATCCTGCGGCAAGCTGATCGTCTTCTTCGAAGTGCCAGAACGTCCGACGCTGATCTGAAACGACGAGACAGCAGCTCCTGGGTCCTGGCCCTGAGATGCCAAGACTCCACCTTTGCAGCATTGACTGAACTGCTGATTGAAAGGGGCGTTAGGGAGGAGATCGATGATGGATGGGTTTTTCTTGCAGCTGTGGGGGAGGTTTTGTTTGAAGGTTGAACAGTCTCCCTGATCTGAAGCTTGGGCGCCTAGAACTGACCAGATTACTTCTTTCTTGGCCCATCTCCATCCCAGTGTCCATCCTGGGGATTCTATGTGGCGGTAGGTCTGCATGTTCGTCATTGTCACCACTGCCTGCGATCAGAAAACAATATAGCATATCAGTGGCAGAGTATTAGTTTGTTCTAATAATTCGAGTTTTTCCCGTAGTCGATTTGTTTTTGCGATTTTTCGGGGATGTTCTGCTTTTGAAATGTTGTAAACTACATGCAAATTTACGTGGTTCGTGTCATTTAGTGTGAATGGTCTCAGGGGTGTTGCAACGGTTTGGGCCGTACCGGACCGCACAAGATCATACCAAACCACATATAGTCTGGTTCGGTACTTAGGTAAATGAAGTTTATAAATATCGAAGAAAAAAAAGGAATCGAATCGGCATTTGGACCCGGACCAAATGGAATCCAATGCAATGTTGGTCTAGTCTTTCGACCCTAAGATGACTTTTTATTATTGGACCGCAATTCTCGTGAATTTGGTCCGGTCTGGATAATCGGACCGTTGTACATCCCACAGCCACGAAAGAATGAGTTCTGGTGTTTGAGAAGAATACCGATGAATACAAATTAGTGAATTACCAAGCGCGATTAGAAACCAAATGATTGCGAAACCGCAGCGGAAGTTATACCGAAAAAGGTTAATGATTTGGTATTTTGTACTAAATTTGTGGTTCAACTTTGATTCAACCGTTTCGTATATCTAAAACTGCCTACTTTTAGAGTCTGGTATCCGATATTTCCCAATCCGACCAATCGATATCATAGGCTTTCTAAAACATCATTAGAAACTATAAATAAGATCTTTTATTACTCCTAGATGAAACAGGGCAAAAACACAGAGAACAATTATAGTTGTAGAAAACAGACATCTAGGAGGAACAGAGTATTACTACTCACCACATAGCCATCAGGGGTCCAAGACATGACATCCCACTTGACATCTATTCTTCCATGAGGGTCCATCGGATCATAAGCAGCTGTTTGTTACAAATCCTTCCATCAGAAACAAATCGTTGGGTAGGAGAAGTACTAGCTAGAGATGAATGAAACGTTGAACGTACCTGTTTGTAAAAATGCCGCAGTGGGGAGAACAGCTAGCAGAATCATGTAAAACCTGCAAAACCCCATTTTTGTTGCTGCTGCCTCTCTGTGAAATGCATGCAGCAGAGTTAACTGAACTGAACCGATGTTGCAGGCTGGTACCTTTATAGTTTGCACCAGAAGAAGTAAGGGATTCAGAAGAGACAAATTGCAGGGTTGGTTAGATTGGGAACAGAATCTGGAAAAGGTTGGTTTTTGCCGTGCCGGCCGGCTGGCCGGCCTGCAAACCGACTGGCCACCAAATGATCATCGTCGCCTGTCACGTCCCTTTTCTTAACAGTAGGAGTCATGTTTTTGCCTTTTCAAGATGATGGCAGAGTGATGGTTACTGATCATGTTCTGTTGGGTTTCTATAGGACAGGTCTGCTGACCTTTTTTAGGGTTTAGGGTTTTGTATATGAATGTCAACTGATATGTCAACTAGTTGGCCATCATTGATAAACCTCCATGGATAGATGATGCTGTAGCTTTGGTTCATGAGATCAGCTTCTTTCAGTTCCCTTCAAAATCCTTTCGGGTACCTGCAGATTAATTAAGAAAGTCACCTTCGAAAACCATTGACTCTCATTCTTATTGTAGACAATGGCGGATTTAGGGGGAGGCCTCTTCAGGGCACGACTCAGCCTTCTTCTGAGTTCGGAGCTAGTATAGTAAATGAGATCGTTTTGTTCCTAGTCCTTTGCGCCTCTTTCGGTCTAATGCTAGTCGATATCTAATTTTCTATTCAAACGTGGTCCTATATTTTACTGTGTCCTGAAACTCCTGGTGATCGTACAATCTAAGTACTTTGGAAACACACGTGAATTGATCCTTATAGATAAATGTGCACTTAGTCAAGTATGAAGTCTTTTGTGTTTAGAGTTTGGTTCAAAGTAGAGAATATCATTACTAAATAGAGCTACGATTTTGAAGCGAGGTGGTGAAACCAGAGATGACAATTTCGACCTGACCCATTTTACCAGACCTGTTTGGCATGTTTTGGCGCGGGCATGGGTACTCTCATTGACCCGACCTGCACTGACCCGTCTCATTCTCAAGTCTCAACCCGTTCTTGCCTAAATTACATGTAATCTTAGTCAAATTACTTAGGAATTTTCTTTTAATACATCATAATTTAGTTATAATAATGTTTTAAATTAGTGAAAACCTCAATTTCTCTAATAATTAACTACATTTATCATAATATTGTTTGTTTTCTTGGTCTTATAATAAAAATAAATAATATTTTTAATGTTTTCTTGGTACCCAGACCTACCCCAACCTGCGAATCGTGAGAAATTACCGAACCTGTCACCTGGCGGGTCTGGGTACCAAGAAAGCCCCCGACCTGCCCCATTGCCATTCCTAGGTGAAACCTCATCCTGTGACCTCGAGATTTGAGATCCACCCTTTGTGTGGATCAAAGGAGATTTGTTAACTGCAGGCCCAAACGCTCAAAACACATGACACAGCTCAAAGGATCCGCCAGCCCTCGAGCCCGAAACTCATGACGGCAGGCCCAAATAACACTTTGTTTTGGCATTTGTAATGTGTTTTTTTGGATCCTTGCTAGTTTGTAGTTTTGGTTCGATTTTGATTATGCAAGTTTCTTCATCTCACAATCAAAGCATACTAGCACAGAGCACGGCCCGTTGGCCGGATGAGGTTAATACGATGTATTTGTTGTTGGTATAAGTTTGAGATATGATGACATAAAGTGACAACTTAGTGTGAATTTGTTTTCATTTCAAAAGAAATGTAGATTCAAGACCATGACCTATTTTAGGTTCATTAGGAGCTTGGACAACCAACTTAAAGAAGTCGTCGCCCTGATAATGATTATTTTTTACTTCTAATGAAATTATTATCATAACCATCGTTTATTAATTTTTTGGTTATCACAATTAATTTTTTTGGAGAAGGATATCCTCATACAAAACTAAGCAAACACATTATATGCATTTTGATTTGTTTCATGCTACTTTCCATTTCCATATTTTTATTCCATTTTGGATTTCCGTCATGAAGATCCTTTTGCATTTTTGTGATTAAATTTATGGGAAAAAATGAAGAGACAACGACATTAGAGAATATAATAAAAAAATAAGATAATCCTAAAATACTCTTCCAAAATATGAGCAGAGTTGAAATATTTTATAGTTGAAATGTGAAGAGGTGGTGTTAACTTTTCTCAATCGAATAATAATTGAAAGGATTTCTCTATATCATATTAAGATAAAGTCAAATTAATGTAATGCAAGCAAACACATTGTTTGTTTATGTTAAAAGAAGAGATATATCGGCTGAACCATTCAAAACTAATAAAGCAAAATTAATTCGTGTACCCAGCACAAAATGTTTTGTTAAAGAAACTCTCTGGAGGGTTATGCGATATTGATTGGAGTCATTACAACGCCATCCCGGTCCCGCAAAAGCAACACAAGCAAAAGAAAACTTTTTTTAGAAAGACAATCGTGAACATTTAAGGACTTCAAATTCTTTAAGTGCATTTATGCTCCTTAGATGCAGTAATTCAAGCCTTTCGATAATTATGTCGAGTAAAAAATTAACAATAGTCGTCATCACCAAATCCCTTTGTACAAAGAAATGAAACATATTTGGTTATTCACAAATTGATTGGTATAATCCACTATGAAATATCGATTCTCAGTTATGGATGATCATTAATGGAGCTTGGGAGCTTAAACCTGACAAAATACACACAAAACGTAGCCAAAAAACAACAGGGGCGCTAAACTTTAGTTGATAATATGATTAACATAAAGGTTAGTTGATAGTGTGACCGACGTAATGCTACAAATATCAATCAGTAGTATATAATTCTGAGCTGTTCATTTGAACTTCTGTTACTTGGCAGCTTAAGAACCATATAAGAACTACTAATTCTCTTGTTAATACCTTTTGTTCCTGTTTCCAGTTTAAGTTTCGAATGATTCAATTTCCATGAATCTATCAACTCAGTGAATACTAAATGTAAGTCACCAAGCCAGTCAGTCAATTTCATAATTCTTAATTTAATAACACTCATTCTTCAATTCCTAAGCCAACAAAACAACACAACAATCCAATATAAAGTTCCATAGTGAAAAGCGATTTGTGGTTGTCTCTCAACACAAAAAGCCACTAACTTATGTAATACCCTGTTTAGAAAGATAGAAAAAGCTATACGAATTCCAATTCGGGTAGTAATTATATCATTTTTATCAACATAAAAAAGTGACTAATTGTACTAACTCAAGCCACTGCAGATGTCTGTATGAGGCGGTGGCTTGAAACGATGCATCGTTGCTGGCGGGAAAGTTAGGAGAGCACTTAATAAATTTCCCCAAGTTACGGATTCAAGGAATCAATATTTGCATAGTAACATCACATATCTCACGTTAAATAAAAGTCCAATCCAAAAGAATTCAATGGATCGAAAAGGTCAATATGAATGTAAGAATACTTTAATTACGGTGCTCCCTCTCGTCGATAATTTGCTCTTGAGTAGGATCCTTAGGCTATGTGAAAATAGCTCGCCTCATTCCTCGAGAAAGAGCAAACATAAGAAATCAGTGAAGTATTGAAAAAGAATATTATCAACTAAGATAGCCATGGAGTTGAGAAAGGGGCAGCATTTATTGTGTGAAAGTACATTGCCTCGTTGAACGACGAACTTTAGTTCAACTACTTCATGAGGCCATGACGGTAGTGATAGTTTGATTACGGGCCATAGGAGCGATTTGGAATGAGGCCTAACCCAATTAGTACTTGATTTCGATCCCAATCGATACCCTCGACTAAATAAGAAAATGGCAATAGAATAAGGAGAAAACTTCAATCTCTACTTCCATGATATAGAAAATAACATGCAAAGAATATTTCCCTTTCCTTTGCATGCATCTATAATTTCGTTCTTTTTGTCAGCACAAAGTAAGCTCGCCAATAAAACATATTCAACACCAAAAGCAAATTTGCCATAGTCTATATTGATAAAAACATCAAAAACAGAAATTCATTAATCTATTAATTCCAATGGTGTGAAAACCAAACTGGAGTTTGAATCAGTGTAGTCAACAATTCACAATTTAGTAGTTTAACTGACAATGGACAGTTAAAATATAATAATGAAACGGTGCCTAGCAAATAAGAATATTATAAGTATTTCACACTTTTCAAGCACACTAAACTGAGGTGATCAGTTCGTGAAGCGAGAGCAAAAAAGCGTCTAGATTTCAAATAGTTGAAATCAATAGCGTAATGAGAACGTCATTATTATATTAACATATTTAATTTTAAATAATAAAAATATTAATTATTACTAAGTATAGCAACAAAGACATATATAATATATCACTTAATTAAATTATTCAATTACTTTACTCAATTCAAAACGTTATAATGTGGATATGAATGATTTTTTATAGGAAAAGTTATCTCCTAATAAAATTTTTAATTAGTCGAATGCTTTGAATAGGAAATGGACATTTTTTTAATGGTTGTAGGAAATGAACATTGTTAAGAAAATTAATTAGCAATTTTTTTCTGCCGAGGGAGTAGACTTCCTTTTAATTCCCCATTATTTTTATAATAATCATAAATTAATGACAGGCTGGACAACACACAACACCAAAAACCCAATTAATCCTAGCAGTGTACATTTTCCCTTGGTTCTTTTTTGCTATGAGAGCAGGGCAGCAGGCAGATGTGATTATGTGAAGGTCATTTTTCCCCATTGAGGATGCACAACTACGACCACGACACGGAGATGGGAACCGTCGTTTACTCTTCACGTATATGTTGGGCCGCGGAAAAATGGGCCCATATCTGGCCCTAGATGGTGGCCCAGTCGGCATTTGAGTAGTGTTTGATTTACGTAATAATGCCCAAGGAAAACGCAGAGTTTAATTTATAAAGGATGTTAATTGACAGTACTATCCTTCCGAAAAACCCTCACAGCCCAGGAAATTTAAATCCCTGAAAATCCAATCTTGTAGATTCCTAATTCTCTTGGAATCTAATTGGATCAACCACTGTTGGTTGCTTTTTTCCATTAACAAGTTTTTGGCAAACAATATACCAATAAATCTCGATGGATATTCATTTCCCATGGATCATCTGTTATCGGAATGATTTTGTTACTTTGATTTATGATTGATCAAATTGTCGAGTCAATCACATAATAAACATTTAATGAGTGTTCAAGATGTAAAAGAAACTTAAATCGTGGACGCGATCATTTGACTACGGAATAAAGTATTGAATCATTCATCAAATACCCTTCATTTTAGAGAAACAAACCTTCATTCAATCATTGACTAAACAAAACTAAATTGGAAAAATATCAACAATGTAACAACTAACAACAAAAAGGCTAATCACAATTAAAGTTCTAACAATAAAATTAAAAGGCAAAGCTTTTGAATACAAAATTGTTAATGAAAAGCTGCCCCAAAAATTATTTTAATAAGCGAAAAGAAAATAAATTCGGTCTTTCATTTTCTGTTCCATTCTTTTCTTTTCGTGCCCGCTGCCTCGCCTCCTTTCTTCTTCCTATTTTCTTTTATTTTTCCAAATTCCAAACGTCCTGAAAAGTGAAAACAGCAAAACCATTAAAAAAAAAACAATTCTCATTTGCGAAAAAAATAAATTCAGTGCTCTGAGTGATCCAGTCTCATCTCCAATTCCCCGACTCTCAGATTCAGAAGCAAAGCAATCCTCTTTCCGCTTCAAAATTTGTGGGTTCTCCCTCTTCTCTCGAACCCGGATTGAGGTGGGTCAAATTCTGCGGTAAACGGAAGTTGTTCTCCATTTTCTTTCCTGGGTTTTGGGGGAATAATTTCTTTCATGGATCGAGATTAATGGCGGCACCGAGGAGTATTGCGGTGGTTGAGAGTGGTGGGTTGACTGTGAGTAGCGGAGGCAACAGGATGGGAATGAGGGATGAAGAGAAGGCGAAAGAGGATGATTCTCCTTCCAGCAAGAAATCCAAGTTCGAGAGGTTCCCCTTTTCCAGATGGGAATTCGCTACTGCTATTTCCGTTTTCTTCGTCTTCTCTACTGGTTTGTTCTGCATCTACTGGACCATGCCTGCTGCTGAGTACGGCAAGCTCAAAATCCCTCGCACTGTCTCGGATCTCCGCTTGCTCAAGTAATACGTCACTTGTCCTTCTATTCATTCCTCCCCTTCTGTTTTCATTACTGTTGTGCAGAAATAGTTTTTGGGTTTTAGTTGGTTCTTTTGTTGTTGTTGTTGTTATGGGGCTTGCAATTGCTGCTGAGTGCTGATGGATGACTCAATTGAATTGAAGTGAGGGATGGTCTTTGCTTGGTGAATTGAAGTGTGACTGGATTTTAGTTGTATAGGTGAATAATGGTGTACTAGTGCATTGGGAAACCTGAATGGTGGAATAATGGGTGATGGGTTTCTTATAGATTTAGCTTCAATTGATCCTTGTAGCTAGAAGCTATTTCAGGGATCCCGTAACTCTGAGGATCAATAAGGCTGAATGACGTTCCGATATGTGTAGGAATAGTTATTCATACTTCTAGACATAGCTGGTTGAAATTTGTAGGAAGAAGTTTTGAACTTTCGTGATATGAGATCTTAATGTGTGTAATTTATTTGTGGTCAGAGAACATCTTGGAACATATGCGAAGGATCATCCTGCACAGTTCATCCTCGGCTACTGTTCGACTTACATCTTCATGCAGACCTTCATGATTCCAGGAACAATTTTCATGTCATTGCTAGCTGGAGCTCTATTTGGTGTTATCAGGGGCCTTTTCTTGGTTGTTTTCAATGCAACAGCCGGAGCATCTTCTTGCTTCTTCTTGTCTAAGCTGATTGGCCGACCTCTCGTTAGTTGGTTGTGGCCTGAAAAGTTGAGATTTTTTCAGGGAGAGGTAACTGAATAAGTAGACACCTATAACATGTCATTCCTTTGGATGTTGCTGCCTTTATGAAGTACTAGTTTCTTTTTCCCATCATGCAGATAGCGAAACGTCGGGAAAAGCTACTGAATTACATGCTCTTCTTGAGGATAACTCCCACATTGCCTAACCTATTCATCAATTTGGCATCTCCTATCGTTGACATACCGTTTCATATTTTCTTTTTGGCTACTTTGATTGGTCTCATTCCGGCATCCTATATTACTGTGAGGGTGAGTTCCTATATTCCCTCTAGCTGTGCCTGTTATGTTTCTTCATACATATTTCTCTGTTTCTGGCCTTCTTGGTAGACACATATCTCTGTGTTGATTGACTGGTTTTCGGTTTATCCAACTCTTGGTCATAGACAGTGCCATGCATGTACACACATGGGCAGTTTCAACTGCTTTCGTCGTCTGCATATTGTTGGAGACTGCAAACACGATGCGGAAAAGGTCCAATGTGATTGTCTTGTCTTGTCTTACCTGATGTAGAATTACTTCCTCCCAGGTGGTTGTTTTGATCATGCCACCTGCCATAATCAGAGGTCTTAATGTGTGAACTGCCATTGAGGGGGACAGACATCTTTGTTTTGTTTCCTTCCTTGTCTGTCTTATGGTTTTATAGTTTATAATTGATTCCGTCATAGTCTCTGAAGGTATATATGCTTCCTCACTGGTTTTTTTGTTTTTTGTTTTCTTTTTTCTTTTGTGTCAGCAATGCTGCAAGTTCCTGGACAGGGTTGGCTTTTCTATAGGCTTTTGATTTATAGCCTTGTTATCTTGACGTCGAATAGAACAAGCTCTATCTATTGTTTTTTCGTGTCCAAATCTAGTATAGGTAGTAAAGGCCAGCCAGTCTGGTACACTGGTTATTCTAATGCTGAATTCAAGTTATCAATTACTGTCACCTTTTGGTTGTGTGGTGCTTTTATGTTCTTGTGTTTATTCATTATATAGTACTAATTGCACTCTCCATCCCTGCTGTTGCTGCTGCATTTTGTATGGTCTATCAGGCTGGGCTTGCCCTTGGGGATCTGAAGTCGGTGAAAGATCTATACGATTTCAAAACATTATCCATGCTCTTCATCATCGGCTCCATCATTATCTTTCCTACTCTCTTGAAGAGAAAACGGATTTACGAATAAAGCAAGAGGAAGGGCTCCGGCGAAGAACAGAAACTGGTGGCAAATATTTATTAGTGCACCACCAGGAAGTCTTTGGGAGGCATCTTAAGCCATTGATACTTTACGGGTTGATTACTTCTCGCCTGCTTTGATGGCACACAGTACCAGAAAGATAGTGCGTAGATATGTCTTCCACCGCTATTAAAGTTCCGTGTTATATTCATTTTTAATGTAATGTTCAACTGATCAAATCTCTCATCTGGATTCCTAGATAAGCTGTTGTGAGATTTCAGATAGTCATACTGCACTGACAGAATGTTGTATTGGGGAAACCATGTAACAGTCCATAGTAAAGTTTAGAAATTAGTAGACTTTAGTTTTAATTTGTACAAGTTTTGTTGTATTTGCATTTTAGTGCCCTTGTTCCTGTGAGAGGCTGTGAGATGCCTGATGCTGAAGCATCTTGATTAGCTAAGGTTGGGTGGTTGGAATGGTTCGGTCCAGTCCGAGATGAGATTGTTCTGCTATGGTCTAGAGAATCAGATCAAATTGGTGTGATATTGGATATTGGGCAAAGATTGCAGTTACGTTCATGAAAGAATGGAGATTAAATTTACTTCTTGGTACAGTGCTATGGTTTGAGTAGCATACTAGCATTACACAGAAGGTTAGAAGTTAGATTTGCAATTTGCATAAGGGAGTAAATAGGGTATTCGAAAAGAAGATTATAAAACCCAAATTTCTAGTCTACTGCTGAATTGAAACAGTGGACAGCAGAAAACTTTGAGCTATGGGCCTAGCAGCAGCTATTGCTTACAAAATATCATACATAGAAGCATAATTTGCAGAAGTCATTCGGCTTTGAAACAACTCTAAGAACCCGGATCCAGTCTGTTGTTGAAACAACAGTAATTCGCAGATTGAGCGTCAGCACTACCCTATAGAGGAGTTGTAATACAACAGGGGAGGGGAAAAGAGGGAAATAGAACTTCAAAGAATGCTTTGACATGTTGAACTTCCAGCTACTGGTCTTTATCAACTGGATTTTGCAATTGAGTCGAGGGTGACAGCCGGGTAGTTCTCGAAGCCTGTAATGCCTGTAATTCTTACTCTTGTATTTGGCTGCAGTGATAAGTTGAAATGCCGTCAAAACTCAAAACACATCAATGAGTGAATAGCTGGGATATAAGCATCAAACTGTAAGGTTGAAGTTACATAGAAAGGGTGAGGGGGAATGACTGATACAACAGTAAGACTAGCATCAATCATGCTGCAGAATCAATAACAGTAGTGGTACTAAAGTGAAAATGGGAACACAAATAATGATCCTTTATTTTTCTTCGTTCCCCTTTACCGGGTCTTTCATGAGACATTGGTCAAGGAAACAATCCACATCTGTTTGACCTTTCAAAGCCATTACCAGGAGAGTGAGCAAATATCAACAAGCTCAGAAGTTGATTCAGAAATCGGGTATACAGTAATGAGCAGATTGAAGGTCCCAACCTTCTTAACTCCAATGCTGGATATCAATTTTCAAACTTCTTTTTTCATACACAGAAGAAACTTTAACCTAGTATCGAGAAACAAAAAACCTAATGGTGGCACTATCATGTGTTCTTCTCATGAAAGAAAGACTAAACGAAAGGAAGCAGAAGTACCTGTCTGTGTCCAATGTTTCTCCTGTAGTTCTTCTTCTTCTTATACTTGAAGACGATAACTTTCTTATTCAATCCCTGAAGTAGGCAACCATACATCAAGAGAGCGAAATAAGAAATCACCAGCGAAAATCGATAACCAACACATGGTGCAACAAGAAAGGTAAGTGAAAACCAACCTGCTCTTCAACTACAGCATGAACAACAGCATTGGTCACCACAGGTTTCCCAATGTAGGTAGTCGTCTTGGTTCCCACAAGCAGCACCTTGTTCAGGGCGATCTAAACACCACAAACACGAAAAGCATAAGAATCACAACCCTTGACAATGATAACTAGAGCTGGAAACCCAAATGAAGGCATATTCGATTTACAAACAGATGAAGCATCACCACATTTTCCCCTTAACATCCTGTTCACGATCACATACAACAAATTGGGAACTTATGCCTACTCATACAATTGAAAAGGCCTAAGCTTGCAGTTGCACTGTAACGGTTTGAGCAAATGGAGAGCAATGAGTGGTGGGGGGATCCAAATTCCAAACATTACCTTATCATTAACATTTGTGCCTTTCAACCTCTGAACATAGAGGAACCTCCCCGGGATCACAATATACTGCCTCCCACCAACCTGAGCAAATTGAGTTCCAAATTGAAGAACCCATCAACAAAAATTCGTTTTAACTTCATCAATTATACATTTCATACCATAACAACAGCAAAAATCTCCTCGCGTTTGGGCTCGTCTTCCTTAGCAACTTCCACAATCTGGGTCGCTGCGGGCTCGGCGACGGCGGGGGCGTCGATTTCGGAGACTTTGGGCACGGTGGCAGATTGGGGAAGGGAAGGCGAGGATGAGAAGGCGAGCTTTTGAGGAAGCTTGAAGGAAGACGCGAAATTGGGCTTGGTGAAAGAAAGGGGCTTTGAGAGGGAAGGCGTAGGGGAAATTTTGCAGTGAGCACTGAAGGAAGAGCAGAGGGAGAAGAGTGTGGAGGAGGTGGACGCCATTGTTTTACACCTCTTGCCCGCACGCAGAGAAAAAAAAAAGCTTGGAAGAAGGGGGGGAAATGGAGGACGCTATCCTATATCTCCTATCCGTTTCTCTACTACGTCGTTTTGGGGTAGTAATGGATTTCTGGGTAATTAGCTCCAAGCCCACGCGGCCCAATCATTGATGGGTTAAAGCCTGCTGATTGGGCTTTCAGTCCAACCTTTAAACTCTTGAAAGTGCCTTGTAAATTACAAGGATTTTATTCATAAAAAAAAAAATTACAAGGATTTGTTGGTGGGAGGAAAAATGTAAATACAGTAATGTCAATCAAATAGATGAGCCAGTCATTTTTTTTAAGGATTAACTTACAAGTCTAGTACTATGAAAAGATTACAAAAGAGTTTTTGTACTATACTTCTCACGAAAGATTTTTTTTTATAATAGTAAGGTTCGATAACAAATAAAGTCTTTTGTTAAAAATATCCATTAACTACGATATTGATCAAATATCGATTTCATTGACCCCATATTTATCAAATATCGATTTTGTTTTAAACAAAATACGATACAAAATTTGAAAATTCATTCCCAGTTTTCTCGATAAGTACATTTATACAATAGTATTGTGATATCATCTATGACTATAGGAGAAAAAAAAAACAATTCCAAATGTTACAATTTACACACTATGTGCCCAATTTTTGTAAGACAACTTACATTGAATATATATAGTTGTCTTGAAGGCAAGAATTTTTTTTTATTTTTATTTTCTCTTTTGTAAATGTATAATTAAAAAAAGTTACAAAAGCAAACCCAAAATGAAAAAAAAATATATTATTGTCAATTAGTTTGTGAAGGAGAGTCATTGACTCGAAAAGCATCGGCCAAATTGAGTCCCAAGCTGCTTCTCATGGCGGTTCTGGACCTGCTCCTCCCTGTCCCTACTGTCCCATCACTGCTCTGCCTCATCATCGCAGTGAACTCTTCATAATCTATTCTTCCATCCTGCAAAACCCAAAAAAATCGTATTAGCGAACAACGTAAATAATCCTGTGTGCGCGACTGCGCGCGCTTCACTTTCCTGCAATGTCGGATTTCTCCAAACACGTTACACAAACTAGTACTACTTACATTGTCTTTATCGATTTCTTTGATGATATCTTCCAAAGGATCCTCTCCCAAACCAAAATCCTTGCAGGCCTGTTGAAGCTCATCAATGGTGATGTAGCCGCTGCCATCTTTGTCGAAGTAAGCAAAAGCTGCTGCCAAGTTCTCCTCTCTTTCCATCTTGTTCAGGTGCAGAGTAGCTGCCAGAAATTCACCATAATCTAATGTCCCACTGTTGTCTATATCAGCCTGAAGAGCCACACAAAAAAAGAAAGAAAAAAAAAATCATCATCAACTACATTCTAGTAATCTTGATGAAAGTCTTTGATGAGTGAGAGATCATCATGATCAATTGCAACTTACAGCTTCCATTAGAGCCTTGATTTCGGACTCCATAAGCTCCGAACCGACACGTTGTAACCCGCTCTTCAGCTCCTCGAACGTGATCGTCCCGCTGTTGTCCGTGTCTATCATCTTGAACAGCTCCTTCAACCCGCCGATCTCTTCTTCCGACATCCTCTCTGCTATCACCTGCAGATTCATCAAAACATCATTCGGTTTAGGAAAATCGGTTTTCGAGTTAAGGTTGGTTAGTTCGTAAGAACCGGACCGGTCCAATTAGGAAAAACGTGTTCGTCACATGAACCGATTTCGCGAAGTTAGCAAGACCGGTTCGATTTAACTTAGAACGAAAGGAAGGTGGCAAAAAAGAGGGGGTTGCTCATACACGTAGGGCCATCTTCTTGAGCTTGTTCATAGCGTAGAATTGCTTCAAGCGAGACAAGACAGCAGAATCTAAAGGCTTGTCTGGAGCAAGATCGTCCACAATCCACGGGTCGCCTATTCGTTATCACAGCAGAGACCAAAAAAACAAATTAGTGGATGAAAATAAAAGGGTGCTAGGCTTTAATAAAATGGACAATGGAGAAACTATAATTTAGATCGAAAAGAGGCTAAAAATAAGAAATCAATATATTTCGCCGCGATTAAATAGATAATTAATCAAGTAAATTGATTGAGGCAGGGGTAAAGAATTAGTTCAATTACACAAGACTTCATGGGCAGAAATCCTCTTCCTTGGGTCCTTCTCGAGCATCTTTTTTATGAGCTCTTTGGCATTGTCTGAGATGCTTGGCCATGGCTCTGAAACAAAATCTATCTTCCCATGTAGAATTTGCCTGAAAATCCCTGACTCAGTTTCTGCCAACATTTTAAAAGTACATTAGGCCAAAATGTAAATTAGTACATAATTTTTTATTAACAAATAATTAAGAACCTTAATCAATGTTACTTACCTGCCCAAAAAGGTGGGACTCCACATAGTAAGATGTACAGAATAACCCCAGCACTCCATACATCAATTTCAGGTCCATAGTATTTCAGAAGAACCTCTGGGGCAACATAGTAAGGACTTCCAACAACATCATTAAAAATTTGCCCTACAAAATAGGAAGGAAATTAGTGACTCAAACATCATTTTAATTAGATCATTATGACCATGGAGAGGGAAGGAGAGAGAGGGGAAAAAATCAACCTGGCTTGTAGAAAATGGAGAGCCCGAAATCGATGGATTTGAGCTTGGCATCATCACTAGGGTTATCAAACAAGAAATTCTCGGGCTTAAGATCTCGATGCATCACGCCCAGAGAATGACAAGTCTCAACAACCCCGACAATCGTCTTGATCAACTTGGCCGCCTCTTTCTCGCTGTAGTGTCCCTTGGCCACGATCCTGTCGAACAACTCCCCGCCGGCACACAGCTCCATGACCAGATGCACAAACATGGAGTCCTCGTACGTGTCTTTGATCTTCACCACGTGTGGATGCTCCGACAAATGGTGCATGATCTGGATCTCCCTCCAGACATCCTCGTAGTCTTCCTTGCAGAGGAGCTTCCTCTTGGAGATCGATTTGCATGCGTAGGGCGTGTTGGAAGTCTTGTGGGTGCAGAGATACGTGATCCCGAACTGGCCCTGCCCTAGTTTCTTGCCCAACACGTAATGATCTCGGAGCCTCGGTGTCTGATGGGGGAGAACCGATAGGGTTTGCTTTCTGGCTCGTGAAGACCTCATTCTCGACATTGTGGTGTACGTGCGAGAGGGTTGCTTATTTTTCACGAGAATCTTTCCTTGGGTGACAAGCTTCTTCTAAGATGTTGGGTAGGAATCATGGATTCCATTAGGTTAGTTTTGTGGAGAAAAAAAGGGTGGAGATGAAATGAGATCTCATGTTCTTACAAGTTAGAGGATGTGTAAGAGAAAGTTGAAGAGTTTGCTAGTTACCATTCAAATGTTTTGATTTGCAATTCTTTTCCCCCCTATTGTGTTTGATGGGAGTTGATTGGCAATGGGGAAGAGGGGAAAAGAGGGATGATAGAAATTGTGTGGGTAGGATTTAATCCTCTTATGACTCCTAGGGAAATGAAGAGAAAAAAAAAATTAGGTTCCAAAGATTACTAAAAAGATGGGTGTTGTGCAAAAAAGTAGGAACTTAATAACCAAATCCAAATAATAGTTTCTCTAATTATAGTTGTCCCTTGAGCATAGAGAGATTGGAGTCTAGGAGTCAAACAATTGTTGAGATTGCATTCTCTTGGCAAAGGCTAAAGTAAAGGGATTAGCAAATTGATTTTTGTAATTTTGTGGTAGTAGTTAAGGGGGGAAATGAGTTAAAATTAATTTAATGTCTGCCTGATAACAAAAAATGAGGTGACGAGTTTGATCCATAGTATAGACATATATAAAAATAATTTTTTGTTTTTACTCTCAAAACTTAATTGTGTCCCGTGACAATGCTCAGTGCCTCTTTTCCTAACTATGAGCGTATACTGTAACTGTACCACCTGCATGTCTTACTACTTACGTCATTTTTCGTTAACTCTGACGAACGATGCTAGAAAAATATCAAAACCAACAACATCAAACGGTGGACATAAGTATATATACAAAAAAAAAATTATTCTTTCTATCAACCGATCTAGCTCTTTATTCTCTTTTCCTTGCTACAAGTCTACTACGTACCTCTTTTCATATAACACAAAATGAAACCTAATCGTGAGCCGTCATTCAGAAAAGGGAATTGATCTCTTATGATTAGTTGTTTAATTTGTTTGTTGTGACACAAAGATAGCTAGATTAGTTTGAGGTGAATGAATCCTTCTTCAAGTCTACCACTTCGAAAAAAAAAGAAGTGAATCCCTAAACACTTTTCTCTACCACGACTGGAATTGATTCGATGAACTGCTACGTAGCTAAGAATTAGCTGATCTCACGTTAGAATTGAATGAGTACTTGAGATCGAGATAGAAACCCATATCTTTTACAATATGTTATCATCGTTGCTAAATGATAACTAGCATTTTCGTCTAAACAAGGCGATTGTTGTACGTAATATAGTAAAGAATAAAGATCGTACCCCATAAAAACTATGACATTCGGTACTAAACTTTGGTTTATTATCTATAGTTCATACATTGAAGTGATTTAGCTAAATTAACAAAGAGAATAACAAGTAGACCGAGAAAGAAAATTGATAGAGTTTAGCGAATCGTAGTATAGCCAAATTAGCTTGAACATTTTGCATCTTTAAACATTTTTGCATCTTAAGACCGGTTAATTCTTGTCCTATACCATATGAATTCCCGAATTAGCTTGAACTTTATAATTGGATCAACCGGTTACGTTCTTGACATGGTATCGGAGTCTTTTGTGACTGAGAAATCTTATGTTCGAATCCCAATAATCCCATTTGTTAAGCACATGGTATTCAAATCTATCCAAACTCCAAATTCATATATGAGTTGAGTTTCGTTTGAATGATGCGTTTCTCGACAAATCATAAAGAGATATGACTGCAAATCGCCGATGTTTGCCAACCCAAAGCTTGGGGGGACTGACTGACATGCATACCAAGAATCACTATGTAATGGGAAAACAAATGATGGTGAGCTTCTTCTTTGATATGATCCCAAATTGCCAACCATTCACGTCACAATTACTTGACAAAGAAGCCATCAAAGTTGGGAAGAAGAAAGGCAGAATTTGGCCAAGTCAAAATCCGTGTTCAGGGTACCTACTTTGGAGGCATGGTTCTCTCAATTGGCTTGGTGGAAATTCCATTTTAAGAGTTTGTTTTGCAGATAAAGTTGCCAACTTTCCAATGGTATGCTCTGTGGATCCAGATGATGTCATTAAGGTTGTTTTCCAAGGCCTCCAAGTTGCTACCTCAAAACTGGAAAACTGCCAGAAAATGGTTAAGTCTGGAAACTGTTTTGTGAAGCCTACTTTGGAGCTTAATTCGAGGAGTATGGATCTTATTCAAGTCCAAAGGCTTCCACAACGTGAAACTAGGTATGTTTGTGAACAGAGGGAAGGAATTGGTTGAAGAATTGGAGTTCGGGAAGGCCTCGAACGAAAGGCGCGAAGTTAGTACGAAAGCTGCTTTTGGACTGTTGCTGGCAGCTTACTTGTGCTTCAAGAAAGGAAGTTTAAACCCGAATTTTGTAACCTTTTTAGCGTAGAATTTTACCTTATTTGTTTCCTTGTTCATCTAGGTTTGTATTAGGTTTTCTTGGCTATAAATAGCCTTCTATTTACGTTGTAAAAACTTAGACTTTGTTGATTAATCGAAAAAGAAACCGTTTTTGGGTTTGTTCAAGTTTGCGAACTTGTTCTTGGGTTTTGGTTGCGATCAAAACTTGCTGATCTGCTTATTGATCGAGAAATCACACTCGATTATATCGAAAGCTTCACTATAACGATTGTGCATTCTTCCAGGTGTAAGAATTCCCTTTCGTTTTCGTTTTATCCAATTTTCGTATTGAGAACGCATTGTTCTTGATTCGAGTTCATTCAATCTTCGGATTGATCGTGTTGCTGCGTGACTTTGATAACATACACCCCCAGGGGCGTATTATTCTTCTTCTCCTTATTCTTCTTCTTCTATGTGTCATGTAGTCCGTGGCTAGGTTGGTGAAAATGGGGGTGGGTGAATGTTTGAATGGTGATGAATGGGTGGGTTGAAAATGGAAACTAGAGAGTAAGAGTTAGTGGGTTGCTTCTTTTGTAACGCAGGCTTTGGTTTGAGCTTTCGAGTGTCGAACACTTCGCCAAATTGCCGCACATTTTGGAGCATTCGACTCGACCTAACTGGTTCTTGACATTCAGAGTGGTGAATGAGAGCCTGATCCAGCGGTAGCATCACTAGTTTGATCAATCTAGATTTCTCTGGATTGAAACCCAAGGTACTTCCCACCATGCACCTCTACCTTTAGTACGTAGCGCTTCTGTTATTATACGATGTCGTGTATTCGAGTTACAAAACTTGTTTGTCTCTCAATGTATGTGCCCGTCTCTGTCCAACTTTGTGTTGGTGCATATGTTCATGCTGTGAATAGAATAGACTACTGAAGATGTGTTACGTTACGTTACGTTACGTTACGTTACGTTACTAGAATGAAACAATTAAAACTCTGTACATCATTTAAGGAAGAAAAGCCTAGTGACGAGAAAATGGTTACAAATAGTTAATGCAATCTGTTGTTGTGCCCCGATTAAAGGAAGGGGTGGGAACTGGGAAGTGGAACTACGTAGTTTATACCGCATGCCATTTGGCGACGAACAAGGCGGTGACAAAAAAAAAACCGCTGAAGGATTTTTTTTTCATATATATTTACCCTCAACTTTTAGTATAAGACAAAAATTATTAGATATATAAATAGAAAGAAAAAGTTGACACAAATCTAAAAGCAACAATTACAACTTTTAGTTCGGATTGTATAATGCATTATTTTTTTGTGATTGTTGGTGGGACCTACCTAATACCTATAACTATGCATGCATTGTTTTACACTTTGGCACTTCCAAACATTGTATTGTTGACAATACATGCATTCGACAAACAAAACTCTAGCAATCACAACTTTCAAACGGCCCCTTATTACATTACATTGCATGATATACCGTTTACGTTTTGTTATCAGGAGCCCGGCGTGGCAACTTGTCATAGATAAAGTAATGTGTGTGCCATATTCGAATATTGAAACTCCAGTTGGTCATCAATAACTCGAGTACTTTAAGATCTCAAGACTCGGAGTGAGACCGAGTGGAAGCAACTCTATCCCGAGTGGATCATTGTTCTATACATGATCCAGGTACGTACTATATATCTTTTTCACATCCATGTTAACTGTTATGGGAATCGATTATCGAGATAGAGTGAGTGTATAATGTTTGCATGCAGTGGCGGATCCAGGGCTGTGCCAACCCAGGCCCCGGCCCAGCCCTCCTCCGGATCCAGAATTAGTTTAGTGCTTATAAAATTTTCCGATTTAGATATTTGACCCAGTGCTATTTAAAATCCTGTCTAGTTTTATTAGATAATAGGATTTTGTGTAACTAGGAAAATGGTTCAGATGAACATATCCAGACCATTACTCTAAATTTATACTAAATTTTCTATAGCCCCAATGATTTTATTTGAAAAAAGACATGAAACCTAAAAGTGTAAAGTTTCATTAAAATAAAATAAAAACTCTAAACTAAAGCACACCCTTCCTTGCAAAATTCAAAAAAATTCCCAATCCCCCCAAAATAAAACAAGAACGAGGAGATGAGCAGATCCAAAATGGATTTCTCAGCCAGCCCATCGAGCTGGTTTTCTTTTCATTCTTTTGATTAAGAAAATATTCACAAACTTGTTGAGTTATCATTTAGATCGCCTCAATTGAGTGGGGCACTAGATTCTAACTGTTCTTTCTGGTGTTTTGATGAAGAAAATATTTACAAACTTGCTCAAGAGTTTAGCCTTGAGACTTTGAATGCTATGAGATGCATTCTTTGGAGAATCCACTACTCATGTGAGGAAGATGAAGTTTCTTCTCTTGCAAAATTATTAGAGAAGCTGGAGGAAACAGGGATGGACACACAATACAAATTGATTTGTTGGTTGATTTGTCTAGTGTTGACCTAGCCGTTTCAACAACTACCATGGAGAGAATATTTTCAGCATTAATGGAACATGAACATTGATTTGTGCAACAAAATGAGCGATGAATTTCTCGTTGATTACTTAGCTATTTTCTTTGAAAAGAGTATATTATCAGTATGGATGGAGATTATATTATTGATAAATTTGCTAAATTAAAAGACCATCTTATATAATTGGCATTGTAAAGAAAACTATATTATTATATATTTTTGTTTAAGGTATCTAATATTCTATTCAAATGCGGCCCAGTGCTCTCTTATGTCCTGGATCCGCCGCTATTTGCATGCTAGCTAGAATATATATTTTGTTTTGTTTTAGTACATTGTACGTATAGTAGATTTGCAACAAAGGCATGAAATCATCTGCGATCCAGTTTAGTCAAGTGATTGAATTACAATCACGAATTTATGGGAGAAGATATACATCTTATTGCAACTTTGATTCCAGAATCCATTTCCACTCCATAGCCAAATCTCAATGTGACACCACGATGCTGATTGGCAGCAGAAATTGAACTATTTGAACCCATTTCATTAGTTTTAATTTCTTGAATTGCTATAATTTAATCGTGAAGATGGGTGGGAATAAGTTTTTTCAATTGCTATTCTTATCATTTAATCATATGAGGATGAATGGGAATAAGTTTTATTTTCAAAAGCAAGCCCTTGTGGGCGTGACTAGGCATTTTGATTTTCATCATAATTGCATTATGTACACATGGCCATGGTGCATTTTCCAACTTCGACATGATATAAAATTTAGAAAATTCACCACCCAAAAGAATAAATAAATAAAATTTTGAAATAATAAAAAAATTGAATATATGTTAAGGAGAAAGAAATGGAATAATGAGAAATGGGCAAAAAAGAAAAGTGGGAATTGAAAGACATATGTATGTGCACAACTTTGCATCTTCTAGCCACGGAATCGAGAACCCAAGCCAAAGAGAATATATAGTCTTCCTCATAAGAAAATTGGAAGTGGACACGTCTTTAGTAATTACAGGAACTATAATTAGCTTCAATAATGTTAACATAAAACTATAATCAAGCCATCAAATTCAAAGTTTATTTCTTTGATTGAAAGTAAACATCAATCATCTAATGTTCCCATTTTACCTTAAAAAGGGAACATTAGATTTTTTATGTTTACTTCCACACACCATGTATCATTTTGAATTCATAATGTAAGTATATACGATGATGGCATGAATCGGAACCCATATGATATAATGTTGGTACAGATGTATATTATCGTTGTATTAATGTATCACATGTTCGTACCATCTCTTATATTGGGTGATAAATCGAAGAGATATAAAATGGCATGTCAACCACCAACGTCGTAACTCTAGAGAAGAGAGATCGGAATATTCGAAGACGATATAATATGGAAAGTGGTGATATCTTCAAGCTCTTGTTCGAGATGATGATAATTGGAACTAGGGCTGTCAGTCGGTCGGTTTCGGTTTAACCGAAAACCGGAAAGTCGGTTTTTGGTTAAGCCGAGCGACCCCCTAGCACCACCGACCATCGACCGACGAGTTTCACACGGTCACCGCCTAACCGACCGGTCGGTTATCGGTTATAACCGCGGTTAGCCGAATTAAATACAAAAAATTAAAAAAAAAAGAAATAGAAGAAAAGTCGGTCCACCTCCACCACACCTTTTCAGACCCACCTTATCTTCTTCTTCTCTACTCACCCAAGACCCTCTGCTAACCGAAGTCTTTTCTTCTCCCCTCTCTCTCCTTTGCCTCTGCTAACCACCTAAGCCTAACTCTCCATCTCCAACCAAGACCCTTCTTCTCTCCTCTCTCACTTTTCTTTTCCTTCTGCTCGGGGACCCTCCATCTCCAACCAAGACCCTTCTTCTCTCCTCTCTCACTTTTCTTTTCCTTCTGCTCGGGGACGACCGATGGACGCGGTTCATCTGCTCGGGGACGGCGACGGCGACGACGGATGGACGGGAAAGAGGAAGGATGGAGGCGGCTGCGCGAGGCGACGCGATGAGGACGAGATCTGGACGAGGCGGCTGCGCGAGGTGGCTGCGCGAGGAAGGATCTGCATGGCGGCGGCCGGCGAGGAACGGAGGAAGGCGGCGGCCGTGAGGCAACAAGGAAAGGAGTTGGGCGGCGGCCGTGAGTCGTGAGGGTGAGGGTTTGATGAGGGGATTTAGGGTTTCAGTTTGGGGGTATGGGTTTTTCTTTTTTATGTCATTTATTTTGCAGGGAGGGGCGGAGGGCAATATATGAGGGTTTGTCGGTTTGGTTCGGTTTTTTCGGATAACCGCGGTTAATAATGGTCGGTTGCTCGGTTATCCGAAGCCTGCTTATTCTCCTCCGTCCACCGACCGAAGTAATTTTAGTCTCGATTTTCGATTAGCCGAAAACCGATCGGTTCGGTTGTAACTGACGATTATCCGCTAACCGGAAACCGAACTGCCAGCCCTAATTGGAACTATAGTTTCCCACTACCTCGAGCAAAGACTGTAAATGACGGCCATAGGCTGTAGGTGGTTTCCTGACGTCATTATTGACGTTGCCATGAAAAGAAGAAAGATATTTTTATTTTAATAATGGTGATACCTCTTTATTAATTAAAAATACAAAAACAAAGTTACAAGGAAAAGAAATTCTCAGCGACATTTGGGACATGCCCAAAATTACAAAGATATATTATTGCAACTCGGAGAATACTTCGCCTTCAATCCTGTTCGTTGAATCTCCTAGAATCTGATGATTGAAGTTACTATATACAGTATATATATATATGGTGACTACTTCGGTGCACTCACAAAAATGAGTGCACTCAATGCACCCAACTAAAAGACTAGTCTTAAGGTGTCGGATTTTGAATTTTAATTTGTAGAATTAGTGTAATAAGATGATATAACAGATGATAACAACTAATTAGTGGATTACCCTAAGCCATAGACCTCCAATTTTGAGTTCTATCCCTAAACCCCAAATTGTAAACTCTAACCTTAACCCTAAATCTCTAAACTCTAAATCATTCAATTAAAGTAACTCTTCAATGGTTTTTGTGCAAATTCATGTGCGTTATTGTTCATCACATCATAAGTGATGAATGACATCATTTTGACATAAATCGCATGTTTAAAATGACGGTTATGAAGTGAGTGTACTGAATGCACCCAAAAAAGTAAGTGCACCGAAGACGCCACCATATATATATATGGTGGTGGCGGCTAAAAATTTAAAACATTATTTTTCACGTTCCAAAGAAACAAACACAAACCGATGCAAAGTGTTGTTGTGAATGCTAGTGATCAAGAAGAGCATATAAAATCCTTATCAGCAAGAAAGTGAAAGGAATGAAAAAAAGAAACGAAAAGAGTGGACACTTTGGGATTGTTCTGTATGTGCCCAAAGTGGATTATAGATTCTTGACTTAGCTTACTCATCTTCTTCTTTCTCCTAGTTGTGGATATGAGTCCACTAGTACTCTTGAATTTGGTCCATTTTGGATGAAGAGGTAAGGTATGGGTTTTTTTTCTCCATCACCCATTGCTGAACTCAATTCACCAACAACCATTCGCGGGAGAAATCGTCAATCGAGCGTTGATGTTGTGTCTTTGCGTAGAGAAGAGGTTGATTTGCCACCGCCGAAGCCTGCTCCAGTGAACGCCGGTGGTCAGGAGCTTCGCGATGAGGAGTCCGGCGAGAGGCGGGAGTCCGTTCAACGTGGGTAGGGTATGGGTTTGTAGAAATTTATTTAGATTTTTTTATTTTTGTAATAATGAGGTGAAAAATATAAAAGTTTATTATTTATTTTAATAATTTTTTAGTTGCCACGTCACTAAGTTAACGGTCAACTTTGAGAGTTGACTGCCACATCAGCCAAAGTTAACGGAGTTGGACGGAGAGTGACCAAACGTTAACGGTTTCGATAAACTGAAGTACCACCAATGAATTTAAATATTTCGAGTGACCAAACTTGAACGTTTTTTGTAATCTCAGTGACCAACCATGCAATTAACCCGTTTTATATTCTATTATCCTTATCCATATTATAATTATAGTTTAGCTTTTGACACTCATGTATATTCTACCCCATTTGACCTAACTTATTCTTATTTTAACTAGTTTTACTGAACATAACACAAGATGTTTCCGTTTTTGTTTTACCTTTTTTGTGTGAAACTATTTTGGTTTTTATTTAATTTAAAATTTTAAATTGACACTTTTCCTTTTTCCGGGTTCGATTTGCCATTGGTACCCCAAAAAAGACTGTGGAAAACCAAAAAGTGCAAAAGCATAGCATTTCATACGAGAGCACATCTACAACTACAAGTTGGATTAGTTTAATTGTAAGCATAATCATGGTTTGATTCTTTATTTCTTAAGATCAATCTATTAAAAATACGATTTTACCATATATATTCTTTTTTTCTGAAATTATACATATTCTTATAACATTTGGATACAGTTGTGTAGTAATTATTCGTAAGTTGATAAAATTATGAATACCTAAAATACATTGCATCCGCGACTATTCAATTTGGTTTATGGTTCAACTTCACAAAAATTAAGCACCATAACGTGTAATGAGCTCATTTGGTCACTAAAGACGAAACTAATGTATAGTAGGTAACTAGGTATTGATTAATTATTAATTCATATACATAATTTTTTTTTTTTTTGCCATTGTTGTACTGAAATATCTTGTGTTGCAAACCTAAATTTGCAAAAGCTTAGAGAATGTAGGTTGATTTTTGACTTAGCTGTTGTCAAGTAGTTCTCTCTCTTTTCTTTTTCATTTTTTCTTTCTAGAACAGAATCTAGGTTTGATCCTCATTCTTTGGAGCACTACAGAGGAAAGAAAGGACCAACACATACAAGTAAGCTCCAATTATTGGGAGTGGAATCTCTCAGTTGAAGAGTAATCTCTGTAACGTGCGTGAAAGATTGAATTTCTCAATTGACCGTAAGCATCGATCGATGTTGCATTGACCAATTTGACTCTATAACCTTTTCTTCAACTTCATATATCTTTGGAGACTGTTTCATCTTGAAGTCGTCATAGATAAACTCTCACGTCGTACTGATCAATTTGACCACGTATCCAATTCAAACATATCAGGATCTCGCAATGAAAACAACAATATTTATGAGCTCAGGTACTTCCCCGACTTGATTTTATTTCACAAGACGACATCCTAACGAAAATTTATTCCAATTCTTGGAAAGATTTTTTATGTAAGGCGGCTCCAGTACTTATTTACTCCTCATCATCACACCCATTATTACATTATATTTCCATGTTAGCTAGCTAACTTGTAAATCCACTATACACCCAAACTTGTTAACAATTTATATTATATATACTCCTGAATTTACAAATATTATTTCCAAACACAGTTTTCTCCCTTGCTGCTCCATCTGTTATGTTAAGCACCTGATATCCGGATTTGTGCAAACTTCAAATCTATATAAATGACTTTTGTTTGAGAGAGAGTGTTAGTAAATAGTATAGAATCCATAATGAACCTCTGCCAACAACTCGAGTTATTGAGATCAATTTATTTTGGCATGATATCAGCATCTTCCGTGACTGAGATTGGGTCTTCTGTTCGAATCCGGTGACCCCATTTGTGAAGCACAAGGCATCATACTCAGGATCTGTGCAAACAAAAGTTATTATGAGTTGACTGGCTTTCATTGAGGGAGGTGTGTTGATAAGTGTTATAAGATCCATTATTGATTGACTCATAACATTGAATATTAACCATATTTGGATTTGATTGAAAATGGAAACATCTTAAATTAGGACGATCTTTAACCGTTCTGTCTTGGCTTGTCTAGTAAATAAAAAATTGTTTTGATTAAATGAAGTGAAAGAGAAAGGGAATCTGAATATTTTTTTTTTGTTTTAGAATTGTGGGTGAGACTTTTCAAAGGCATATGTAGGCTGGTAGTAGTATTCGACCTTATATTGCATGCTTAGCTGGCCAACTTGACGACACAAAAAAAATCTTGTACCATGCAGAATCTAACCTTCTCAACTAGCTAAGCAATGTGTTCATGGATGGATGGAGAACTCCATATCTCTTCTTGCCTTCCATGCACTTCAATTCCCTCCACCCCCGATTAAAATATTTAATCCAACTAGATGGGTAACTTGTACAACTCTATAAAACGAGTATCACCCAACCGAAAACAGGTCAACACATATCGAATAAAACCAGTCAAGTTGAACTTCCTCATCTCTACCTATCCAAAACTTGTACAAACCCCATTGTGTCAACTAGCAAGCTCGGCAATATCTGTTGTCCCGATAAAAAGAGATAGTCATTGAGTATCGAGATACCCGTATCAGATCAAAGAAAGTATCCATATCCATCATGCCCACTCTACTCCATCTATAAAACAGGTACTACCCACACAAAAAAACATGTCAATCAAATCGAATAAAACAACTCAGGTTAAAATTATCCTTCCTACCCAAAACTTTGTACAATCCCATGTTCTCAACTACCAATAACTTGGCTATGTGTATCTTTCACATCATCATCACTACTATTTACAAGGTAAAGCAAACACATCATAAATCTCTCAAAACAAACATCATAGATGCTGTGAAGACTCGGTGGACGGGCCCTTACTTCGTGATTGTCTTCAGTTGTTGAGATCATGTCTTTCTTGTATTCACTTTAGCTCGGTCCCGAGGACTGTCAACGGGGCTGCCCATAGAGTGGCAATACAAGCCCTGCTGCTGTCCTCTGTAGAGATAACGTCCTTCGATTTTGTATGATGGCTTCACTACCTGTCATTTTAGAGTTTGGGTAGGGGATATAACTATTATACTTTGATATTACTTAGGGAAAAAAAATCTCTCAAAACACTAGGATGCAAAATTACCAATTATACCCCCAACCTTCACTCCTATATATTCCCACTCTTCCATGGCTCCATCCTCTCCATTTTACACCATCACTTCTCAACCCCTCCATAGTCAAATATTCTCTCTCTCCCTCTCCATGGCCACCGATCACAAACCCCCACCGCCGGCCGGCCTCCAACAAGAATCCGCCACCGCCCACGTCGCCGCCAGCCCGCTCCGCAAGATCGCCGCCGTCGCCTCCATCGCCGCCGGCATCCAGTTCGGCTGGGCCCTCCAGCTCTCCCTCCTCACCCCATACGTCCAGCTCCTCGGCATCCCGCACTCCCTCGCCTCCCTCATCTGGCTCTGCGGCCCCGTCTCCGGCATGATCGTCCAGCCCATCGTCGGCTACCACAGCGACCGCTGCGCCTCCCGCTTCGGCCGCCGCCGCCCCTTCATCGCCGGCGGAACCGCATGCGTCGCCGTCGCCGTCATCCTCATCGGCTATGCCGCCGACATCGGCCACCACGCCGGCGACGACCTGGCGAAGAAGTCCAAGCCACGCGCCATCGCCGTCTTCGTCGTCGGGTTCTGGATCCTCGACGTCGCCAACAACATGCTGCAGGGGCCGTGCCGGGCCCTGCTGGCGGATCTTTCGGGGACGAGCCAGAAGAAGACGAGGGTGGCGAATGCGTTTTTCTCGTTCTTCATGGCCGTCGGGAATGTGCTGGGGTACGCCGCCGGGAGCTATAACCATCTCTATAAGGTGTTTTCCTTTACCAAAACGACGGCGTGTGATGTGTACTGTGCGAATCTTAAGGCCTGCTTCTTCATCTCCATCAGCTTGCTCCTCGTTTTGACCGTTTTAGCCCTCTGGTAATTGCCGTTTTTCTTTCTTTTCCCCCACCTTTTTTGACTTCTTACGTGATTATTTACATTTGCAGTAAAAATTAAAAATTTATTACTCGAGTGGATGAGGTATAAATGGTTGTCAACTGTGGGTTGACCCGGACCCGATTGAGCTAGTGGGTCAAAGGTTTATGGGTCACCCGTTTTAGTCCAATTTAGCTCAAAAATATGGAAAACGTCATTATATTGTACTTATCCTGATAAATTATATCAAATATCATCTAACATATGAGTTATAACATATAATATTACACCAAAATAACATTTCGTACTTAGATTCAACATATAGTGAAAATTCACACACACTTATATAACATTAATATTCAAATGTTCAACTTAGGATTTCAAAGATTGAGTTAGGCGAAAAGAAAAATCGGAAAATAGGCGCGTTTCGCAAAAAAAAAAAAGACACAATTTGACCTCCAACCCGGTACTTTGTAGCGGTCGACCCGGCGGGTGCGTGCGGCCCTTTTTTTCACCGGGTCAGTGTCAAAGTGGGTCAACCCGCGGGTTGACAACCTTGGGTATAATATAACAAATTTTAGTTCGTCTGTCAAAAACCGGTGGTATGATTAGGGTTAGAAGGCAGTCGGTTTTGGTCTAACCAAAAATCGTATATTCGGTTATCGGTTAACCGAACTAGCTCCTTCTGCCATCCGAAACCGACCGAGAAGGATTGCACGGTTAACCAACCACCGACCGATTGGTTACCAATTTTTGGTTTGGTTAGGCATGCAACCAAAATCTTGCTGGCAGGTTCGGGTTTAATCGGGTAACCGACCTGATGATACAGCGCCACCTGCATAATAAATCAGTAAAATCGCCTAAAACATTGGTGAAACGACGTTGTTTTGGTGGGGAACGGCGTCATATGGATATTGGAGGGGAGGTCGGTCGGTTAGCCAGGTAACCGGTCTTGGTTAGACAGGTAACCGGTTTCGGTTACTCGACGAACCGAAGCGACAATTCCCTTTGCCGACAACAGATCGAGTTTGTTAGTCGTCGTTTTTTTTTAGCCGATAACCGAAAAACGATCAGCCACCCCTAGGTATGATCGGATAGAATCGATTTTTGGTTCTTCAACGGAATTACCCCTTTTGGTCATTTCCCAAACCCGATTATGAAAAACGAAAATATATATACACTGTTTTTAGAGCCAGAATTATATATCGAATTATTAAATTATTATTATATAATACCTGCCAAACGATTGTTTCGTATATACGCATATATTTTTTTTCATGATATAAATAAAATGTCTTAAATCGATCGGACCTCGCGATTCGATAATTAAACGTAACACGCTTTACTTGGCCGGCTCAACCCGCGGTTTGACAAACCTTGGTTTGCATGGTAATCCGAGACTTAGATATGTCTTCATGATCTACAAATTACAGGTACGTGGAGGAGAAGCAGTGGTCGCCGGAGGCGGCGGCGGACGACGGCGACGAGCCGTCGGTTTCGGAGCCGATGCTCTGCGAGCTCTTCTCGGCGATCAAGACGATGAAGCGGCCGATGTGCATCCTCCTCCTGGTGACGTGTCTCAACTGGATCGGGTGGTTCCCGTTCCTCCTCTACGACACCGACTGGATGGGCCGCGAGGTCTACGGCGGGAGCTCCGACGGGAACCGGGAGCAGGTCAAGATGTATGGGCTCGGCGTCCGGGCCGGGGCGTTGGGCCTGCTGCTGAACTCCGTGGTCCTCGGGGTCATGTCGCTCGGGGTCGAGCCCATGGGCCGGTGGGCCGGCGGGGTGAAGCGGCTCTGGGGGATGGTCAATTTCTTGCTCGCGATTTGCCTGGCGCTGACCGTTTTGATCAGTAAGCTGGCGGAGTCGGGTCGGGTTTCGCCGGAGCACCCGACCCCGCCGTCGGCCGGGGTTTATGCCGGGGCTATGATTCTTTTCTCCGTCCTGGGTATTCCTCTTGCGGTGAGTTTATTACATGCCAACTAGGATAATAAATGATCCACCATTTAATTTTTGTTCATGCATTATCCATAGAGGTTAAAAAGAACAAAAAAACCATTATTATTTGCTGACTCGTGATTTAAAAAAGTATTTAATTTGTGGGTTGGGTTTTATTTTTTTGTTGTTGTTGTTGTGTAGATAACTTACAGTATCCCGTTCGCTCTGGCTTCTATATTTTCTCAGACCACGGGTACAGGTCAAGGTAAGAAATATATTATTAATCGTTAATACGCCTGGCTTAATTCTGAATTAATTGATTGGATGATTATATTAAGTTGATTATTTTGTTTTTCGTGGTTGTTTTATTAGGTTTGTCGCTGGGAGTTCTCAATCTATCCATCGTTGTACCACAGGTATGTAATGTGTCCTTTTTTTTTCTCTCTCGTTTTCGTTGTTGTATAGGCTAGTTTTGCTCGTGTACTACTGATTAGAGTATATGTCATCCTGACTTCATACGATCAACATTTTCGATTGTTGAATGCATGCATTAGTATTTACAACGACTGTAATTTAGTTTATAATTCCTTTTGTGCAGATGATAATTTCAGTATTGAGTGGCCCTTGGGATGCTCTTTTCGGAGGAGGGAATTTGCCAGCCTTCGTGGTCGGAGCAGTAGCAGCGGCGCTGAGTGGAATACTCTCGCTCACATTACTGCCATCTCCACCGGCGGATATCCCGACGACCAAAACGACTCTCGCCGGTTTCCATTAAAAACATGGAGATAAAAAAAAAAAAGAAGAAGAAGAGTTTGTGGGTATTTCAGGAAATTAATGACTTGACTGCATTTGGGTTACTTCAGGAATGGATAAATGAAGTTGATCTTCATGGATGTGAGAGTTACTTCTTCTAGAGAGAACATATATAGTGTACTTAATTTCACATTCTAAATTAAGCTTCATTCAAATAATTGTTTGTCTCCAAAATCGGAACTAGTACGTGTCGACTATTAATATCTCCGATATTGTTAATGGGGTCGATCCTTTATTTTCACCGAATTTGTGGCAAGCGTAACATGTCTTTGTGTAAAGCTGGAGAGCTTGTATTTGTAGCATCATGTTAGAAGACACTATCTGTTGTTCATTCATCAACGCATCCTAAACTCCCCACCACATTTCTTAACTCGAAACTCTAAACAAAAAACAAGAGAGAACAAACTACGAAATGACTTCGATGCTATACAAAGCTCATCAAACACACCTAAGTTCGAACCTTGAGACCAACCCATCAAGTGACCACATGTGCTGAATCATCACGCATTGGCACGTGGCAGAGTGCTAGTTAATGTACTTAACAAACGGTTTATAGGGGAAGACGACTGTTCAAAGTCTTTGATCTCTTGTTGTCTTATAGCACCTAAATTGATTGATTAGTGGTTAATTTGCTTTGGCCGGTCACATTGGTATACGTCTGACATTACTTCCATGACTTGAACGTAACTTATAAACAACTTGTTAATTAGGTGCCATCCCGCAACCCTCCAAGTAAAGCAACATCACGGTGCTGGGGTCCATATGTATAATTATGACAGAGGCACAAAGGCTAGCGTACGTATGGTGTATGATGTATGATAGTAGCGCTCATATGTATTAGTTGTGCGGCGGATAGTCCGATTCAGGTCATATCAACAGTTCAATTATGAATTATAAATTATTTACTAACACGCCCTCTCAAAGGAAAGCTGACTCATATGAGCTTGAAATTTACACAGACCTGGATACCATGGGTTTAACGGAATAGATGGGGGTAATTGAAATTCGAACAGAAGACTCTTTCGGTTTGAGAAGGCTCTGATACAAAGTCAATAACCAGAAAGTCCTAATAACTCGAGTTGTTGGAAGATGTTCAATTATAAATCATATAACATTTACTATCAGATTGAAAATTGTTGGTTATCATTTTTCAAGAACCAGTTGATCTCAATAACTCGAGTTGTTGGGAGAGGTTCAATTATAAATCATATACCATTTACTAACACAACCACTCAAACGAAAGCCAACTCATAAGAGCTTAAAATTTGCACAAGTCCGGACACCATGTGCTTAACAGAACAAATGTGGCCATCGGGATTCGAATAGAAAACCTCTCGGGCACAAAAGATTCTGATAGCATGTCAAGAAGACAAGAATCGGTTGATTCCAATAACTTGAATTGTTGGGAGAAGTTCAATTATGTATCATTTATATACCATTCACTAACAATCAGAGTTACCAAATAATAAACTTGTTAGATTTAATTTTAATATTTTTTTAAAACTTTTGTCATTATCCTTTTCATTTAAATTTCGTCGTAGAATACAATACGATACAATTCTTTTTTACTATTTTATATAATGACGTTAACATTCATGGTTTAGGTTATTTGGAAGTCAACAAAATAACTTGTAAGATGAAAGAGGGAATTCTACTTTCAAACAATCATACCCCATAATAATAATAATAATAATAATAATAATAATAATAATAATAATAATAATAATAATTCTTTCTTTCCCACCTTCCATTGTCTTTCTGTCTCTATAATCTAATATATTCAATCTCACAATCAGTCAAGTCAGTCAACCAAAGTCTTCATTTGCAACAGTAGTCACCGGTCAACGCCCCTCCCAACACGCCTTACCTTATAATTCCATAATGACAATAATGTGATCACAATGACATTGATAAACATAATTATTAGTTTATGGTTGGCCCAAACAACAAAAACAACCTTAGTCGATTGTTTTGAGGTTTGAACTATAGGTCTATTTGGATTGGATGGATCGGTTTTAGTCACGCAATTAATAAAAATTGATTTCGGTAATTTGAAATTGAAACCTAACTAATAACATAACAATCTTTTTCGACATCAAGATAGAGCGTTTCATTGTCATTTGACTCATTTTGAAATTTTTTTGTTTGTTTTTAGTTGTGATTGGTTTCAACATTGTGATGTATTGATATATAATTTCAATAGCATATTTATTATTCTTATCTCCAAAAATATATCGAAGTGAATGTCATTTTGTAAACATAAATAATATGATTTTCCAGTGCAAAAAAAAAAGTCTACACCTGGTTACTTGTTTTAATTTTTTTATTGCTTTTAGAGGTAGTTAAACACCAAATTCGACAAAAGTTACTCAAATTTTAGTAAACTTGCACCACTTAAACTAAATATGAATACTCGAATTAATGCACCCTGTCTACATTTTTTTAACAATTTCACTGTCATATCGACATTATATCTTTTATTAATAATTAACACCCCCTACAATTTCATACCACAAATTACACTCTTTCATAGGTTTTCTTTCTTCCATTATTTTACAATTTACTTTACTTGACCAAGACTAGAATCGCAAAACTCTTGACTTAGGAATGAGATTGAGTCACTCGGAAATTCCAACACACACACTCAGAAAAAGCCATTTTCTCCGTGATTTGTTCTTCTTCTTCTTCATTTCCAACTTCCCTCCTCCAAAAATTTCCACTTGTTCATCCCCAACATTTCTTTTCCCTCTCCCTATTTAACAAATTTTTAACTAACAAACTCCCAATTTTATATATGTTGACTTCCTGAACCACTTCCACAAGAAGAGAGAGAGAGGGAGAGAGGGAAAGGAGGAAGAACAATCAAGTAGCAGGCGGCAACCGGCGCAAAATCTGCAGACAGAACATGGTGAAACATGAAATCATCATCGACAAATTCATGCCTTCTTTCCTCTTCTCCTTGTTCTTCTTCTTATTATCCTGCCTTCCCTTCTCCGCCGTCTCCCAGCTGTCTCCAGCTCAGACAGCAGCCGCCGTCGACATCGCCGGGAAGCTCGCGAACAACTCAGCCGCCGTCCTCTGGAGCCCTTCCACGCAGCCCAATCCGTGTTCATGGCGGGGAGTGCTCTGCTCAGCCGATAATTCGTCCATCACGGCGCTTTCCCTATCTGGGTTTGGTCTCTCTGACTCTGATTTCTTACTCGATGTCTGCAAGATTGAATCTTTACTCTCACTCGATGTTTCGAACAACCATTTGAGCTCAATCCCTGATGGGTTCATCGCCGGCTGTGGCGGGATGGGTGGGTTGAAAGTTATGAATTTCAGCAAGAATCAATTGGTGGGTTCTTTGCAAGTTTTCAAAGGGTTTGTAGGGTTGGAAACTCTGGATTTGTCTTTCAATTCGTTATCTGGGAATGTTAGTTTTCAGCTGGATGAATTGCAATCCCTGAAAAGCTTGAATCTTAGCTGGAATAAGTTCAGTGGTCCGGTTCCTGGGAGAATCGGGAATTCGACTGGATTAGAGGAGCTTGTTCTTTCTGTGAACAGTTTCACAGGAGGAATTCCTAGGGAAATTGGGGACTACAAGAATTTGAGCTTGATCGATCTCAGTGTGAATCGTCTCTCGGGTTCTGTTCCTACCGAAATCGGATCCCTCATCAGGCTGAAGACTCTGATTCTGTCAGCCAATCAGTTGAGTGGGGCAATCCCACCATCGATTTCAAACATTCCAGCATTGGAGAGGTTTGCTGCGAATCAAAACCAGTTTGATGGCAGCATTCCGATGGGACTAACGAACTTTCTGAGGCTGCTGGACCTCAGCTACAACAAGTTAACTGGTCCAATTCCAGATGATTTGTTAGCGCAGCCGAGGTTGACGACTGTCGATCTATCTTACAACTCGTTGAATGGTGCAATCCCTGTGAATTTATCGTCTTCCTTGTTTCGCCTGAGGCTTGGGAGCAATGCACTGAATGGAAGCATTCCTACCTCGTTTGTTTCACTTCAGAGTCTGACCTATTTGGAGCTGGACAATAACAGCTTGAGTAATGTAGTTCCTCGTGAACTGGGTTCTTGCCGGAATTTGGCCTTGTTGAATTTGGCTGAGAATGAGCTGACTGGTTTCCTCCCTGAATCTGTTGGAAATCTTGTCAGTCTCCAAGTTTTGAAGCTTCAATCCAACCGTCTGACCGGTCCCATCCCGGAGGAAATCACCCAGTTATTGAATTTGTCGATTCTCAACGTCAGCTGGAACTCGCTGAATGGTTCAATACCTCCTTCAGTGTCAAACTTGCAAAAGCTCACTCACTTAACTTTGCAAGGCAATGATCTCAGTGGAAGCATACCAGTCACTATCAGCCAAATGAACTCTCTAATCGAGCTCCAGCTTGGTCAGAACCAGCTGACGGGTTTAATCCCACCAATGCCGGTTAGATTGCAGATCGCTTTGAATCTCAGCAACAACCATCTCGATGGCCATATCCCAAACAGTCTGGCACAACTCAGAGACTTGGAAGTTCTCGATCTCTCAAACAACAAGCTCTCTGGAGAGATTCCGGATTCCCTAGTTGGATTATCTTCCTTAATCCAACTCTCACTCTCGAACAACAACTTGTCTGGAACTGTTCCACCTTTCAAAAACTTTGTAGCTCTTAACACAACTGGAAATGAAGAACTCGTCTTACCTCCTACGAAACAAACTCCACCACCTCCTCAGAAAAGGAAGAAGTCGGTAGCCATGGGAGTCATTCTTGCTGCGGTGTCTGCAGTTCTAGCTGTTGCTGTGGTCGCCATTGTTGTTCTCTTGTTATCGAGACGTGTCCTCAAAGTGAACAATGATCAGCAGTCCGAGCTAGGGGAAGATGATCATGTCGTGGGACCACCTCAGCATGTCATCCACGGCAACCTCCTGACGTCGAGTGGAATCCACAGATCGAGCATCGACTTCTTCAAAGCAATGGAAGTGGTGGCTGACCCTGCAAACATCGTGCTCAGGACGAGATTCTGCACTTACTATAAGGCCATCATGCCTTCTGGAGCAATCTACTTGGTCAAGAAGCTCAACTTGAGTGACAAGATTTTTCAGATGAACGGCCATGATAAGTTCGCTGCGGAATTGGAGGTGTTGGGGAGATTGAGCAATTCAAATGTGATGACACCATTGGCGTATGTGTTGACGGAGGACAGTGCTTATCTGCTCTATGAGAACCTCAATCAGGGTTGCCTTTTTGACCTTCTTCACAAGGTCGAGAAAGAGAAGATGGTTGTTGATTGGTCTAATAGGTATAGTATAGCTGTGGGAGTAGCTCAAGGATTGGCTTCTCTTCATGGATGTAGCTCGGGGCCGATTCTTCTGCTCGACCTTTCGAGTAGGAATGTTCTGCTGAAGTCGATGAAGGAGCCTGTTGTTGGAGATATTGAGCTGTGCAAGGTCATTGATCCGTCAAAGAGCACCGGCAGCCTTTCTATGGTCGCTGGCTCAGTGGGTTACATCCCTCCAGGTAATAATAACACAAGAAAGAAAAAAGAGAGAAAGATCCTCTCTTTGGCTTGATGGTTCTCTAATCAGATCCACATATGACTGACATTATGTTTCTATCTCTGCAGAGTACGCTTACACGATGAGGGTAACGATGGCCGGAAATGTCTACAGCTTCGGAGTAATCCTGCTCGAACTGGTTACAGGGAAACCAGCAGTAAGCGACGGGATCGAACTGGCCAAGTGGGCTACCAGCAACTCCAAGAATCAGGACAGGTGGGACGGGATCATTGACAGTAACGTCAGCAGAGGCTCACTTTCCGTTCGAAGCCAAATGCTTTCTGTTCTCAAGGTTGCTCTCAGTTGCGTCAGTGCCTCGCCAGAGGCAAGGCCGAAGATGAAGAGCGTGTTGCGCATGATCCTCAACGCCCGGTGAGCGTGCGCCTAAAGCAATCCCCTTTAGGTATATGCTTCATCTGAGACGAGCGAGGCCAGACGCATTCGAAGATCACAACTCTTATGTACAGGTTAAGAAAAAGAAGCAGCTGTGTTTGTGTACACTATTTCCTCCTGTTCTACAGGTATCATTGCGAAAGTATTATACCAGTTTTGTTGTCTGTGTAATCTAGTATTTGTATCAGAGCTTTCTGTTGTTCATAGGTGAAGTCTATGAAGCCATCTGTCGAGGATCTTTCTTCGTAGGTTACAATGAAAAGGGGGAAATGAAAGAACATATATATTAACCTTACAGAGTACCATCTTCTCCACAGAAAATACTAGGGCAGGAAAATGAATGTTCAGTCATGGAGGAGAGTAATCCACAAAAACCGTTCTACAAATCGAGCGGCAAGTATCTCTTGCCCTTTTGATGAGCGACCTTTTGCTATCTGCAAAGTGGGACAAGGAAACTGTGGACGGACGATAAGTCACACGTTTCAAATTGAACCTGCCGTCGGAGATAGGATCCACCGTCCCATTCTCCACCTGTATATACGCCCGACCTATTCGAGGTTCATCAATCACCATCCACCGGACGAAGAACCCACCGTGTTCCCAAACCCCTGTAGCCGACGGAGCTCCTGGAGCTGGAGCTGGAGCTGGAATTGCGTCATCGGCGTAGACGTTGTACAATCTGACCCAAGAGCATTCCTTCCTCCCGAGCGCCTCATAGTTCAATGCCAGCCAGACCTCCAAGAAAATCCCCGCCGGCGACGACATCAAATTGGGTCGTCTGATTCCAGAGTACACTGCGATCAGGCAAGAGCCATCTTTCGCCATGAGAAACGAATCTATGGTACTAACATATAGGCGCTCCTGATTTTCCCGCGGCGGCGAGGGCAGCTCCAGCTCCGTGAACGTTTCCTTGATTGCGTCGAAGGAGACAAGCCGAGAATATCCACCGCCGCCGGAAGAAATCCAGTGGCATCTCGTGGTTGGGGATCCCGCCGCCGAGTTACCGACCCTTCGACCGCCGCCGCGGTTCAACCACTCCGGCCCGCGGCGGCAGAGGCGCCGCCACGAATCGTTCCTCAGGCTGTACACGAAGATCTTGTGGGATTTGTAATCCCAGAGCCAAACAAGCACCTTGTAGTCCTCCGTTACCGGGTCGAACCCTAACCAGAGATGGCTTCCTTCGGGCCGGAACCCGTAAAGCAGCGGCTTCGGCGGCAGCTTCTTGGCCTCTGAAGTCGTGGGATTCCATAGGATGATTTCCCGCGTGGAGAAGGGGCGGGAGATGCAGAGGATCCCCTCGGCACAGCCGGCGATGGAGTACGACGTCGTCGGGAGATAGAAGGTACGAACGGTCATGATGTGAGCGTCTCGGTTTCCCGCGCCGGCGTCGGAGGAGGAGGAGAAGAGGATTTTGGCGATGAATTCGGGGTCGTCGGAGAGGAGACGGCGCCACGATTTGCTGACGCAGCGGAATCGGGCGATGGAGGCGGAGTTCGGCAGCCAGGACAAGATTCCCGTATGTAGCTCCTCCGGGAACCACCCGCCGATTCCGTGGCTCGGTTGCCCGCCGGCAGACATCTGTGTGAGATAATCCGATCAGCTAAGCTTGATGACGTATATGGTCGGCAGAAGGGTTTTCAAAGACGCTCGCTTTCTACAATCCCTTGCTATAAGAATTCAGAAGAACTAGGGTTTGATTATTGTGGTTGTCGACTTGTCGTCCAAACCGGGCTGGGCTTCTCGTTGCCGTGACCATCACGTTATAATGCGGTTGTTGCTCCCTTTCAGTCTACGGTTTAATATAATCCAGAATCGTATCGAAATGCACATTCAATCCGGTTCAGTCGAGTTCTTCATTCGACAATAGATCCAATTTAGCCAGATCCGAACTCCTACCGCCGAAAAGAATAGTTGTCGATTCAGGCCAACTCTATCCAAAAGTCGATTCGATCATTACTCGACAAAGGGGTTTCTTTTGTCTTCTGGAACTAGAGAAGTCAAGGTCCGGCCCTTCACATATCTGGAATTTTTGGAATCAGGACATTAATGTATTTAAACAAACTCTACTTGGGTTTTAAAGTTTTCTTCTGTTTCCTTGAATAAACATCCCCCAAACACATAATGAAAGAAAGGACTGCGGTTGAGGATTAGCTCGGCACAGAAAAGCAGCCTTTCATCTGCACTTGCAGCACAGTCGTAGCGGGCTAAGCACCATCTGCAAGCGTCCTCTTCGTCGTGCTGATGTAGAGAACTGCGGAAAACAGCGAAACTTAGTATTACTAACAACTACTTCCACCACTGCCATTATACACATTACATATCAAACAGACAAACACAATACACACAAGGTTGTCTTGGTTTAAGAACTGATAGTACCGTTGTTCCCTCGAATGAAAGCATCGCCATATTTGTTCTTGAGTTGCCCATGAACATATTCCTCGGTCTGCTCCATTGCTATGTTCATATATCCATCCAAGCAGGCTAGGATACCTACACACACAAATTACCTTTACTAGATCAGCAAATATGAGAATACGAGATAACAATGCCTGGTAAAAATTTCCCCACCTGAGCTCCAAAAGCAAGCACTAAACAGTTTGCTGCTCTCAACTGCTACGCTAGTTTTCTCGAGAGAAATGTTGGGATTTACATTTCATAGATAGCAAAATACAAGCTTACGAAAGAAGTCAACTACATGCCCTTGAAAAGCAGATGCACTCAAATGAACATTCTGGGGTACAATGGTTAACCTACTACACCTGAATTACAATGAATGTATGGAACTAAACAAACAGTACAAAAAGGGTAGAGTGCTTGACAAATTACATTTCTGCATGACTGCACCAAATTGGTTGAGAGGGAACCAGAGAACAGGTTCGTGAATGTGGCATCACCTTCATTCCTATATCACATTCTCCACTAACAGAAAACTAAAATAACCCATTTCCCAACCCGAAGCAGTCATCTATGGAATCCATGCGAAAAAAACTTGGCTAAAGAGAAGATTGCATTAGAACTTGGCTACAACCCATTACTGGACTCTAATACAGAGTTCCTCAATCCCCTAAACTCAACCTCAATTTTGTTCAAAATTCATATGACTAAAGCACTTATGTATTCACTTGAAAATAACCTAAATCACATACACTAAAACAGTGTCGTCCAAGCTCGATTCCTCCATTACCAGGAACTACTATGCACAGGTGCTTCGACTTTGATTGATCAAGGCAAACTCGTAAGATTCCCCAATCAAAAATTCAATTCATGACACCACACATTAACAACCTCAACCTACAAGCTAATCGACCAAATCCCCTGGGAAGTCCTTCATTAAGCAAAATGAAATGAACTACCAGTTCTAGGAAGCCACTCACGAGAATCAGATCCAGAGCACTAAAAGCTCAGATCTTTACAGGAAGCCAGCAAGAAGACCAACCAGTTTGAGAGTGGAAGGCAAAAAGTAAGCCATGGAAGGTGAATAGTCTCGGAAAGGAAACAAACTGACCTCTATAATCAACTCCGGAATTGAGCTTAACCACAACGGGACGTCCCCGAATAGATTTCAGGAAATCGGAAGGAGTTTTAGGCGCCGTCGTCGCTTTCTCCTCAGCAGTACTCATCTCCTTTTTGCCCAAATCCCCTATCGTTACAAAATTCAAGCAGAAGACACAAATCAATCCGACCAGCTGAACCCGTTCTCGAGAAAACAGAACCCTAATCTCAAAATGCCATCTTTTACAGCTAGAGAAGCACCTTCGAAGGATTTCTTACCTTGGTAAACGACGACGACGAGCAAACCAATCAACCTGCTCCTGCCCAGCTGCCCTCCCTGGACTTGGATTCAGCTCACTCCAACTACGGCCGCCGCTCGTCGTCAGCAGCAAGCACAAAGTTCCCAGCCGACGGGAGCTTCGATGGCTTGTGGACTCTGCCCTTTTGAATGCTCGAAACTCAGGGAAAGGCCGAAAGAGAGCATTTGTGCAACTAACGTAAAGCCTAATCGGGCCGGATTCGGTTTGATTCAAGTCATGTGTACCGGTTGAAGTGTTGAACCTCTCATTTGCTTGCTTGACCTGTAATTTGCCGACTGTAAAGAAGTTTTTTTATTTTTAATATCCCGGTAATAAAGTGGTGTAACGGAATTCGAACCTGAGACACCTCACACATGAATTCGGAATATCAAACTCGGCTGTGTTACTTTTGGCGACGGTAAAGAAGTATTTGTCGCCAATAGTTTCGGAAAAGGACACTTTTTGGCCCAATTTTTCATCCAAAGAACACCAAACGGCATAAATTTGCCTACTTATACAAAGGACAGCAGCTCGGGAAGATCATGCATGCCAAGTTGAGTTGATACAGAAAAGTCTTCCAATAACTCAAAACCACCCTGAACATGATCAAAACATTGAATACCTCAAACTTAATAATGCTCATCAACATTTGAATGAAAATCAACACAGGCTTCTCAAAATCCTAACTTTGGAAGCAGATTGAAATAGGCTACATTTCTCTGGTTAAATTGTGCCTCTGGTGCTAATGAAGGGTTGTCGTTTCCCAGTTTTTCTTTCCTCCTGAAGGCTTAACTAGAATGTGAGATCTTTGGGGTCCTCGATGATTTTCGATAGAGTTTGCAAGAAGGCAGCTAGGTCGGCTCCATAGATGACCCGATGATCTGCAGTCACGTTCACCTGCAGACAGTTCCACACATTTTCCTGCTGTTAAAATTTGGAAGCTTGCTGAGAAGGGAAATCATGTAATACGTGGTTACCAGCTTGTTTTACCTGCATCTGATTCTTGATGCCAATGCGACCATCCTTAGTTCCCACTGCTGTTGGTTGAGATGCTCCCACAGCCATGATAGCACCCTGCAGAAAGATCAATGGTACAGCATCTTAAGACTTGACATTCCACAATTGTATTGAAGTGAATGATGCAGAAGAAAGGATATTTCTTTGGGGTAGTGTGTTCAAGAACTTACGGTTCCAGGTGGAAGAATGGCATCGAACCGGTCCACTCCGAACATTCCTAGGTTAGACAGGGTGAAAGTGCCTGGTGCAAATGAAAACCCAAGTTGTGAGCTACATCAATAAGTGCAAGAAAATGTAATACGATTGCCAGGCTAATATCATCTTTATTTAAAAACATAAACTGAGCAATGAAGCTCCCAAATTTGGAGCAATAAATACCGACTGCAGCAAGAACATGGCCATCCTATCCTAGGGCAGGACAGTAGAGGGTACCAAATTGGTTCGATTAGTTACTTGACCACTGGATATGTCTTCTGGGGAAGTAATTAGAGACGGCCTACTTAAGGTCAAAGAACAAAGATTAAATGTTGATGTCAATACATGGATCCTTTAAAAAAGATTTAAGTATCTTCAAATTTCTCTGGGGAAGCAGCAGTGGATGGAGTTTAGATTCTGGTTCATAAATGATCTCAAATCAACAAAAGAAGGAAAAAACATGGTCATATGTCACTGAGGTTAAAATTTCCCAAGAAACTACATCCAATTTGCTTGTAGAGCTGATCTTCCAGTGTAAGAAACAAAGAAGCGAATTAAATTACGTATGTAGAAAGCGATGGTAGCAACAATATTTTCCAGGGAAACCTTATGAGAGGTTTCTCTCCTCTAACATCGGATTCACAAAGTAAACCTACTAACCAACATGAGCTCTACATTCACAGCACGAGTAGTTGGGAAATGAACACTAAACTACCCTAGCAAAGAACCAAAAATGCAAATGTTGGATGGCTTCACAACTTTGCACAAAGATACCACGACATTCTTGAATCTGAAGAATTAGAAGCGACATGTGAATTAACTTTTGGATAAATGAGGGTGACCATTATAATATGAGATGTCAGAGATGGTGATATCGCAACTAATTCTCTCTCCTGATGAGCTTATTTCATAAGAAATTCTTGCTACACGATTGAGGACGGCTTAATGCTTACACGATTGAGTACGGATTAATGCCACTATATTGGAAGTTTCCAAGTACGATGTTCTTGAAACAAACTTTACAAACAAATGCCAACAACCTATATTCTCAACTTTAATGAGCACCACAGCTTACCCCATTCTCATAATTCTTCCCAAAACAAAACCCAGTCATGTTAGTAGAAAGCGATTTGAATACCTGTATTGTACTCATGAGGCTGCAACTGCTTTGCCCTGGCCTTATCAACCAACTCCTTCCACTTCCTCGACAACGAGTAAATATCCGACTTATCGGCATCCTGAAGAACTGGAGTGATCAACCCTCCATCAATTGCCACAGCAACTGCAATGTTGATGCTGCTGTTATACGTAAAGCTATTTCCATCTCTGCAACTTGAATTGACAACAGGGTGCTTCGCCAATGCTAAAGCTGTCGCCTTTGCTAGAAGAGCTGTCATCGTCACTCCCTTCGACTTGATCTACAATTCCAAAAAAATATCATCCATCCAAAATCTTAACAACCGTTCATTCTTAACAGATCGGATTTCGACTATGTGACTGAGAATTTTAGCTTACCTTCTTGTAAAGAGCATCAAGAGCATCGGTTGTAATGGTGTATCCAACCCTGAAAGTGGGAACTGATAAGCTCTCCAGCATATTCCTACTCACAGCTCCTTGCATTGTGGTGAACGGCACAACTGTCCCCAGCTCAACATTTGGAGCTGCAGCAGGAGCCGGCGCAGCCGTCGTAGCCGCCGCCACTGGAGCAGGCGCGGCGGCGGCGGCAGCCTCAACATCCTTAGCCACGATTCTACCCAGAGGCCCGCTTCCAGCAATGGCCGCCAACTCCACCTTCAATTCCTTAGCCAGTTTCTTGGCATAAGGCGACGCCACCACCCTCTTCCCTCCATCGGAAGCCGGATGCACGGCGGAGGCCAATTTGGCCACCGGAGCTGCCGCAATTGGTGCGGAAGCAGCAATCGGAGCAGCAATTTCTGCCGGGATTGGGTCCGCAGAGGTGGAAGCGGTGGCGGGAGAGGAAGAAGCAGCAGAAGAGCTGCTGCCAGCAGCTTTGGACCTGGCCGCCTCGATTTCGTCCTCGGTCTCAGCTAATAGAGCGATTGCGGAGCCGACGGCGGCGACGCCGCCTTCCTCGACCATGATTGCGGCCAAGTACCCGTCGTAGAAAGTCTCGACGTCCATGTCGGCCTTGTCGGACTCCACCACCACGACGCTCTCCCCCTTGGCGAGCTTCTCCCCTTCAGACTTCACCCACGACACAATCTTCCCTTCCGTCATCGTCGAGCTCAGCGCCGGCATGAAGATCTCCCGGATCTTCGCCTGCACTGCCCCGCCGGTTTTGCTCCACCGCCGGCTGATTTGCACCATCGGCGAAGAGGTGGAAGAAGAGGACCGATCTGGGTTTGGTCGGAGACATTGCGAGGAAGGGAGGAAACTGGTTTGGAGGAGGTGCGCCATTGTTGGGTTTGAAGAATGGCGAAAAGCTTCCTTCTTTCGGTTCCGTGAAGGGGTTTTGAAATTGAAATGGGGGAAAAAGAGGGGTTTTTTCGAGGAAGGGATTTCGATGGAATCAACGTGCGGGAGGGATTCTTCAATGCTGTTGAAAATGCGCTGTGAAGATGCTCTGTTTCTTTGGTAACATCGAAAGAGGGGAGAAAAATGGCGATTGGCGGAGGTCTCAAGAGTTCCTTTTCAACTACCTTACCGGTTACTCAGACAGAGAGAGAGTGGAGAAGAAAGAAGGACGTGATAATAGATGGGCCTGTCAGAACATAGCTTTCGGCCCACTTATATTGGCCCAAAATCCTGAACTGTTTTTGGGCTTGGCCCTCACACATTTTTGGCAGCCTGGCCCGTTCTTTTCTCGGTCCAACGAAATTCCCGCACAAATATTTATTCCAGACAATTAATTCATTTCCCTCCACAACGGTCGAGTTCATTTCTGATTTCGCTCACTCACTGATTCAAAAAGCAAAATCTGTTACGAGTCGGCGTCACAACTTTCCCACCCGCTTTCTCTCATTTTCTCGCCCAAGAATATTCAAGAAAGTCGGTCCAGAGAGAAAGGGGGGAAAAAAGAGAGATTCGAGTTCGAAGAAATGGTGAGCAGAAGCAGCAGCAGCAGTAGCAAGAGCCGGGAAAGATTGCCGGAGAAGAAGATTCCAGTTCTCTCAGTCTTGCAGAACTGTTCGATCATCAAGAACATCTTCGTCGTCGGCCCGTCCGACGGCGGCGGCTCCTCCGTCGCCTCCGGAGGCGGAAACCAGCCGGCGAGAGAAGGAGGTGGCGGTACGGAAATGGAGGAGGTTGTGACGGTCGGCCGGCATCCGGACAACTTGATCGTGTTGACGCATCCGAGCATCAGTAGATTCCACTTCAAGATCATCGTCAAGTCTTCTACTCACCAGCTCTTCGTCACCGATTTGAGTTCCGGTGAGCTTTACTTCCAATTTTTTGTTCTCTCTAATGAATTATTTTTCTCCGCCGCCTAGGGATTCTGTTATTGTTCGAATCTCTTGATTTTTGGCTGAGTTCCTGGTTTCGATTTGTGTGGGGCGGAAGCTCATGGAACTTGGGTATCGAGGAAGAAGATTGAGCCAGGAGTTCGAGTGGAGGTTGCCGAGGGAGATACGATCCGAATCGGCGCTTCAACCAGAGTTTATCGGCTGAATTGGGTGCCAATGAGCGGCGCTGACGATATGCAGAATCCTTCTGCTTCTTCAGCTATGGATGTTGCTTTGGTTGAAGAGAAGGAAGAGCAAAAGCCAGGGCTTGTTGAAGCTAAACAAGAGATGACGACTCCTCAGGTGACCGACTGGCTGACTTCTTTCATTAGCCGAACTGTGAATCGCGATTACCTTTTCAATCTTTTCATTGTCATTGTATGTTTTCAAGATTTGTGGTCTTTCTGCTCATTTTTGTTATGATTTCTTTGTTTCAGAAGGAAGATAAAGAACTTGGGATTAGGGATTCAGACGAAGTGAGGGAGGTTTTGAGCGGCGAAAGAGACGATGTATTTGCTAGGAAAGCTGCGAATGGGGAATTTTCTGGGGTTAGTGAGAGCAGTGAACAGTATTCATGTGAAGAAGTGTCAGGGATGGTAGAAGAAGAGGTCAAGTTGGAGTCTCCATTGCCTGCTACAGAAGTAGATATCAAGTCGGAATCCCCATTGCCTATTCTGGCTGCAGAGAACGAAGTGACTATGGTCAGTTTCATAAGCTAAATTGTGAAACCTTGTGTTCAACTTTCTGTGGTCATGCCTTTCTCTCTGTGGTCATGTTTTCAAGAATGTCATCTTTCTAACTCTTTTGCTCCAAATGCTTTGTTGCAGAAGGAAGAAGCAGAGTTTCAGTTAAGGGATTCTGAGGATGTTTTCAGTACTGAGAAGAAAGAGGTAGTTGTTTTGGAGGCTATCAGTAATGCATCTTCTTCACAAGAAGAAAGCAGAGAATGTTATTCATGTGAAGGAGTATCCGATGTCCATGATGGCTTAGATTCTTCGCTGCCTGTTATGGAAAAACAGCAACAGTCTGGCTGTGATGTAGTGGAACAAACAGAGAACCAATGCTTGGTGAAGGAAGATCATGTACAATGTGGAATGTTTGAATTAGAATCTGTTAACTTGTCGTTGACAGAGGTGGAACCAACTGAGAGCTCTCGGCAAGTGCTTTTTGCAGAGGGGAAAGTGGAAATTGGAAGTCCATATATAAATGATGATGAAGCATTGGAAGTTTCAGAGCTGGGAACTGATGGTCCAGTAACAAGACACGAAGAAGCTTCTGTAAGTTCACTGATTAAAGATCAAGAACAAGGGGAAGCTGCTGTTCTAGGATCTGATTCTGAAAACTTGTGCTATATTGCTGGGAAATCGGCTGATGCCCACTTGACGCAGGTATCTGTTTGTGAAGAGAATGACGAAACAAGGGTTCCCTTGAGAAAGGATAATGAAGTAACAGAAGTTTCAATCTATGGAACGTGTGGTTCAGTTGTTGTAGGAAGTGAATTTGAAGATAATGATGTATCTGAGTCCTCCTTTGCTAATGATGCCCTGGCAGAGAGTGGGAGCAGAGACTTGTCTCTAATATTTCAAGGAGAATCCAGTGAAGTGGCGAACCTATACTCTTCACTACTTTTTGCAGCTGTCAAAGCCCACCTGGACAGAGAAATAGCAATGATGGGAGACAGGGAACCTTCAGAACCTGCTCTTTTAGAGGTGAACTTGTCTTTGACAGTTGAGAATCTACTCGAAGCTGACCAGCCGCTGGTGTCCCATGAGGAGGGCAAAGAAGACAGAAAAGATGACGAAGTCATTGAAGTTCCAAGCACAATTCAAGCAGACTTGCTGGATAGTGGAAGAGCATCAATGAAGGACCAGAGAAGTTCAGAACCTGGTATTTTCGAGAAATCTGATTCAGTGAGCTTGTCTGGGACTGACTTGCACGAGGTTTCTTCTGTTGTGGAGAAGGAAGGCTTATGGAGCTCGTTTAAAAATATTGATGAAGTTCAAGAAGACATTGTGGATTGTGTAAGTTCATCTATGAAGGACCAGAAATCGGATTCAGTGAACTCATCTATGATGGATGAGAACCTTTCTGGGACTGAGATGCAACAGGTTTCTTTAGTTGCGGGGATGGTAGAAGACATAGCAAGCTTGTGTAGAAATGATGATGAAGCCAAAGAAGTTTCTAACTTGCCTCGGTCGGTTGAGAATCTAGTCGAGGCTGAGCTCCAGTTGGTTCCATTTGAGGGAAAATATGACATCAGCTCTCTGTCCATAAATGATGGTAAACTCACAGAAGTTCCTAAGTCCGTTTTTTCGGTTGAGAATCTACTCGAGGCTGACCTACAGTTGGTTTCATTTGAGGAAAAAGATGGTGAATTCACAGAATTTGCGAAGTCACCTTTTCCAGTTGACAATCTACTTGAGGCTCAACTGCCGTTTGTGTCAAATGGAAAAGATGAAATGAGCCTTTTGTCCAGAAATGACGGTGAAGTCACAGAAGTTCCAACCATGGTGCAAACAGATGTAGGATACGATGAAAGATCAATAATGAAGGATCAAGAAGATGTCAAAATTGATCCTTCTGAAGCAGATACAGGTTACTTGTCTTTGTTGGTACAAAATCTCTCTGAGCCTGATTTTCAGCTGTCCTTAGTGGGTAATGAAGACATCGGAAGAAGCCCGTGTATAGATGTTGATAATGAAGAAGTTTCAGAACTTCCTAACTTGGCAACTGTTAGTATTGCTGATGAAGAGTGTGAAAGTGGAAGCGAGCATGGGAAATCTGATGAACTCAATAGAAGTCCTGATTCTCTTCCAAGCTTGAGAAGTTATCATGAGAAATGTGATGAACTCGATAGAAGTCCCAAGTCCCCTGCAACCTTGAAAAGTTATCATGGAAGCGAGAATGTGGAGTTCAATGAACTGAATAGAAGTCCTGAATGGCCGTCTGTTGAAGTTCACCTTTCAAAGAGATTAGACACAGAGTTCCCTGTCAGCTTAGAGACAGATATCAATATGGACGACTTTGATTCTCTAATGTCTGTTGAGACGATGGAAGGAGATGATCTGGACACCGCAAGTAGACCACTGGAGGAAGGCCATCTGGAAATTTCCCCCCTTGAAACAGAATCCAGCATTTCTGAAGCTAATTCGCTGCCAGTCTCGTTTTCTGAAGCAAGGGATGATAAACTGATGGAAACTTCAAACTCCGAAGTTGGTAGTTTAGTTGTCCACGAAGCGGAAGAAGGGGACACGTTTGAAGAATCGTCACCAAAGATTGGAAACGTGGACATTGATTTTGATTCTACTCTAAGATCACCAGTGAAACTCATTAATACCATGGACTTGGATACTCTCTTTGTTGCTGCAGTTGAATCTGACTTGGACAGCAATGCATCGCCGGCAGAAGACCAGAGACACCTAGACATGTCTCTTTTTGATAGCCCTGCAAGGGAAGAAGCTGCATCAAAGCGAGGCCAAAGCTTGGATTCAAGCAACCCGCTGGATTTCGATTCATTCTCGTCATGTGATGGTGCTGCAGTGAGACACCGAGAACAAAAGAAGGAAGAAGTTATTCCTGTTGAATCTGAATCTTTGACTTCGCCTTCACAGCCAGTCATCCATGTCAGTGGTGGCATTCAAGAACCGGAGGATCACAATTCTACTCCAAATGCAGAACCTGGAAGCTTCTCTATCTGCACTGTATCAATGGTGACAGAATCTGTGAGCTCGTCATCTTTCTCAATTGAGGAACTTCTCTCTCAGATCATGGAGAATGAAGAAGAAGAAGAAGAAAGCATGACCCCGCAATCTGTTCTTACGACAGTACGAAGTTTGGAACAACAGCATCCCAAGAGCGAGAACAATGCTGGCAGGTCATCGGTAAAGAGAACAAGCTTTAGGCTCAAGAGAGTAGAATCTGGTTCAGTTGATGGTCAGCTCCGGAAAACTCAAAGCATGGGGAAGATCATTACAGAAGATACGAGATCATCACCAAAGAAGCTTCATTTCTCAGGTCTTGAATCGCCACCACAGAGAGAACTCTTCACTCCGGACAAGGAGAATAGAAGCCCGAATAAGTCCAGTTTAAGCAGATCGTTATCGTCTAAGATCACGCTTACTTCCAGAATCATGGCCGCAGGGAACACTTCTCCGATCAAGGAGCACTCCAGCACTCCTGGAGCCATTGAACAAAGGGAAGCTACAACTACCACACCAAGCTCAAGTTCCAGGAATAATAAAGCGAAGTTAGGACTACAACTGGGGCTAAGGAACGACAGGATGCCGTTGCAGAATCTGATTATCCGTTCCCCTGTGAAAAGCTTGTGTGGTGGTGGAGCTTCTTCACTTGGTTCTGCTGCTTCCTTTGAAACAACACCTGGTTCTTCTGCTGCGGAGCAATCTTATGTGAGTTTGAATGATCATCCTTTACCCATCTCTTTCACTTGCATTGTGCTCGTTAAGTAAAATGTAAATTTGTGGTGTACAGGTTAACCGCAGCAGAGAAGAGACAAAGACGAAGAAGTGGATAATGGTGGTGGACACGGCTTCTCTGCTGGACCAAGAGTCAAGGAAGGCATTGCAGCTTCTACAAGGTCTCAGGGGGACTAGGTTGGTCATTCCAAGAATAGGTAATGTTAGCTTCTCTGCAGATTCAGTGTTAACTGTTAAGGCCTTAATTGCTGTTAGGATCAGTTAGACAAGTCAGTTAGGATTAATTCTATATAATCATTCATTTTCTCCACAACTGAAAAGCTTTATAATCACAATTTGTGAATCTTGTCTACATGATTAGGGATTTCGATGAATGCTAATCGAGGTCTTATTTTTCTTTGCAGTCAAGAATGAACTGGAGTCACTGAAGAGGACTGGTAGACTGTTCAGGAGAAGGAACACAGCGGCGTCCAAAGTGTTGGAGTGGATAGAAGAGTGTGAACTGAAAACAGAGTGGTGGATTCATGTCCAGACTTCGATAGATGAGAGTGCAGTTCCACCCACGCCACCTGCATCGCCAGAATCTGGAGGCGGCAGCAGCAGGACAAAATGGTACACTCCTCCATTTTCATCGATGACGACACCACCTGCTTCGCCTGAATCTGGAACCACCAGCAAGACAAAATGGTACAGTCCATTTTCATCGATGCCCTCGCCGAGACGAGAAGATCATGTCCTTTCCAGTGCCTTGTTCTACAAGAAACTCTGCCGTGATGGTGAACGAGTTGTCCTGATCAGCCATGATCCCGACCTCCTGTTCAAAGCCATGCTAGAGGTAACAAACTAACCATCTCTCCCTCTCAATCTCTCTCCTCTCTCCACTTACTAAAACTGGTTCATCTTGTGTCTGGTTCAGGGTTTGATATGCGAGACGGCTCAGGAGTTCAGGGGCAGCCTGGTAAACCCTTTCTCCGAAAGGTTCTTATGGGATGAAAGCTCTCCCAGAGGGCATACCTGGTCTGTCCACGATGACGTGGTGTTGAAGGAAAGGTATTACCCTACTCCTCATCGGAAGTTGACACGGGGAGACAGTGCGAGAGGCCTGAAACTCATACTGCTCGACGACGATGACTCCCGTTGCAGTCATGGATTCTCCAGTGACTCCATTAAAACCCTGTAAGGCTTCTCTGGAATGAGTAATCAGAACTTCTTTATCTTGTACCTGCTACACTTTTCTGCAGGTTTTCTGTAACTTGCTATCCTGTATTAGCTGTAGCTGGTTTTCTCAACCAGTACTGAGAAATGAATCCCTGCTGTTATTAGCTTTCAATGCATAAAATCTCCTTATTTTGGATTCATGAAACCTTACCTTCTATAACGTACAAAACGAAAGCTCTAGACACATGAATTTCTCTACTTAGTTGTGAATAATAGTTCACTGCTAGTCCTACCACTACAGCTAGTACTAGGATTCCCCTCCAGTTTTCTGGTTGCTGTAATTACACGACCCACCAGACAAGAGAAACGAGAACGAAGCCTCAGAATCGTCGAACCCCTGTCGATTGAACTCTGGGAACCCACCACCGAAATTGCACGAATCGAAGTTCAAAGGGGAGAAGCAGCTCGCCACAGCGCCAACAGGATCATCAACCGACTTGAAGTCCATGAGAGCTTGATCACCGGAACTGAAGTCCATCCTTCCAAGGCCACTGTCATCAGCGGCAGGATCATCAGTATGTGCAAGAGCAACGACTGTCTTGGTTTCGTCAGGAGGAATGGCTGGGGTGTGTCCTTGGAACAGCGCGATATGCCCGAACAGCTTATCCTTCCTCGAGAAGGTGGTCCCGCAAGAGCAAAGCCACTTGTCCCTCCCGCAGTGCTTCTCGTGGGTCTTGAGGTCGGCCATGACCGAGAACTTCTTGGTGTTACACCTGCTGCAGACGTAGCTCTTGTCGCAGTGAGTCCTCTTGTAGTGGTTCTTGACGCAGAGGATCGTTTTGAGAGGCTGGAACTTCTTGTGGTCCTTGTTCCGCTTGCAGCCCGAGAAAGGGCACGAGTATCTCTTGATCATCACTGGCTCTGCAGCGGCTGAGCTCACTTCTTTTATCGCTGGAGGCTTTGCGAGGGCTGCAGGGGTCTTGTACTCGTCCCCGTGTCCTCTCATGTGCATTCTCAAATTGGCATCTCGCTTGAATCCCTTCCCGCATATAGTGCAGAAGTGAGTGTGCGGGGCCAGGATTTCTTCCTTCTCAAGCTGTAGAATCTCGTACGAACCAGGTGGGAGGTGCTCGGCTTCACCGTCCTCATGTTCTTCGTGCTCTTCGGTGGTGGAGTAGTTGTGGTCGACATCCATGCTGTTGTTAGGCTGCTGATGTTGCTGGTCAGGAGAAGCAGCAGCTGGTTTTGGTGTGAACTGGCTGAACTGTCCGATTGTCTTGACGGATGGAAGCAGAGTACCAGCGGTGGATATCAACTGGACGATGATGGAGGTGAGATCGGCAGTTATGAGCTGCTGCTGCTGCTGAGTCAGGAGCTCGTCCGGTTTGCTGGGAACTCGGCCTTTTCGGGTGATTATCAAATGGACCATGTCATTGAGCTGATGGATCTTTTGTTCCAAGAAAGAGAGATTGTTTAGCATTGCACTTGGATCCCACTCAGGGGATTTGTTCTCGTTGCTGTTCTTGCCTTGTATCGAATTGTTGATCTGACGATTTACTTGCTCTTCCAATGGCGGTTGTTGTTGGCCAATCCTGAATCCATAGTCCATGATAGAGGAGCTGTTGTTGTTGTTGTTGTCCCACTTCTTCTGAAGCTGCTGTTGTGACCCAAAATCTGCTGATTTCTCTTGTACCGAATTCGACAACGAGGATCTCGTACCCCATGTATCGCCACATATCTCAGCTTCAGGATCCATCTAGTATATGATGAATCGATTTTTCAAGCAATCCTGGAATTCAGCACATGAAGATAAAGCAAGGATTGACATCAGGATTGTCCCGTAACCCTAACTGAAATATCCAATTCACGTTTCAACCATCAAACCAGTTCATGAAATCTTCTGCAAATACAGGGGGATTGTGATTGAAATCAACTGTTCATTCTCTCTCACTCTCTCATCTCTGAAAGCCAAAGATCCCAACTTTCCATTTCACTCTCAAGAACCCAAAACCCCAATTCCTCGACTTCCCCAAAAAACACAAGACCAAAACCCAACAAAATCCACTCCAAAGAACAGATAAACAAGATGAACCCAGAATCTCAATTTTCCATGGCATAAAACAAAACGAGTGGTAAAGGCAGCAACTTTCGAACAGATCTATCTCAGTACAATCCAATCAATCAAAACCCAGATAAAAGAACAAAACTTTTTACCAGAATCCTCAACCAGAAGAGCAGCAGCAGCTTCGTACCATGAACTCACTGCTCTTCAAAGAGACGAACTTTGCAAGCTGGAATGCCACGCGTTTCGTCGGCTTGAACGTGACATTTGAAGACGGGCGGACCGTCCGCTCTCGAGGAAGGTGTAGCAGAGTCAACTCTCCCAAAGTCTCGAGATTTGACATTGAAGCCCAACAATCTCAGCCGTTGGTTCGTGATGAGTGGGCTGTGGGCCGTCGGATGGCAGGGTGAGGTAAAAGACAGGAGCAAGGTTGTCAACCCGCGGGTTGACCCGGACCCGGTTGAGCTAGTGGGTCAAGAGTTAATGGGTCACCCGTTTTAGCTCGGTTTAGCCCGAAAATATGGAAAGCGTCATTATATTGTACTTATCCTGATAAATTATATCAAATCTCATCTAACATATGAGTTCTAACATATAATATTACACCAAAATAACATTTAGTACTTAGATTCAACATATAGTGAAAATTCACACACACATATATAACATTAGTATTCAAATGTTCAATTTAGGATTCCAAAGATTGAGTTAGGCGAAAAGAAAAATAGGAAAATAGGCGCATTTCGTAAAACAAAGAAAAAAATGACACAATTTGACCTCCAACCCGGTACCTTGTGACGGTCGACCCGGCGGGTGCGTACGGCCTGTTTTTCTCACCGGATCAGGGTCAAAGTGGGTCAACCCGCGGGTCGACCGCGGGTTGACAACCTTCACAGGAGATAGCGTTTTCGGTTTTTTTTTTCCATTTCCCTTTTGACGGCTGTGATTTGTGGGCGAGGAATGAGGATGGATGGATGCCACGTGGATCCCAGTGGGGAGAGTAGGGATGATTCTTCATTTTTTTGTTTTCAGCCGTCTTTTGTTTTTTGTGGTTCACATTTTCTCAAAACACTTTGTTGGATTTTGACTTGGCTTTTGGAGAGGGGATTTGGGACCTTAATAATGCATAATTAAAATTTTATTGAGAATAATTAATTATTTTATATAATGCAAATAAAAAAAAAATATATGTGATAAATATATTCTGAGTTCAACTACTAGTTATGGTCCTCACCCACCAATTTTTCATTCACGAGGCTTTTACACTCTTCGATATTTCGTGCTTACCGTTTATGATCTATGTTAGCATCGTTTTTATTTGATAATACAGGGAACCTCAGTCCCACGTGCCGTTTGAGCGACAGCGGGGTCTACTAAATCACTGGAGGTATCTGCATACTAACTGGGGCTTTCTGCTATCAACATCGGAGAGGCTTCGCCTCCGATACCAAGAGTGTCGCCGAAAACGCTCAAGTGACGTTACTGGAAATCGAACTTAAGACCTCCCGCATCTTTACTCTTATGTTTGTGGACTACACTCCACGTGTGTGGACTCAATTTAATCTTTCGTTGTGTAATACTTTTCTTAACCGTCATAAAATTCTTTCTATCTTCTAAATCTCACATGTGTACAAAAAATCCTTTGTTTGAAACCTAGAAGGTAAGAAAATTATTTTATACATAAAAATTAAAGAGAATAAATCCAAAATACTCAAAACGGTGAGTAACAGGAATACATGACAAGACAATGGGCAATTTATCAAAAAGAAAATGACATAATAACAACCAGTTTCCTTTTCCATGGTGATCACTAATAAATCACTTTGCTGAGTTTCTTTTGTTGTCTCTTCATTTTCATTCTCCAATCTTGTATACTATCATCATTATTCAATAAAATAAACTTTCCCTATCATTGTTCTTCTTTTTTTTTTCCTGCACATTATTGCACAATTGAGGAATAATAAAAGTACAATTATTATGATAAGTTGGATCAAGAAGGAAAACAAGGAGAAGACGATATTAAATCTGTTATGCGTATAAATTATGTTGTTGTTGTTCTCGTCATCAACCAAATTGCAGCAATGCGTTCTTACAGAGGGATTTCTGCATCTAATCTGAAGGGCTTGGTGTTGGCTCTGTCTTCCAGCTTGTTTATAGGATCTAGTTTCATTATTAAGAAGAAGGGTCTGAAGAAAGCCAGTGCCTCTGGCCTCAGAGCAGGTATTTAATCAATTAGTGTTGTTTACACAAAATTAGTATAAAAAGATGTCGATGCGGTAAATTTGTCTGATGATTTTTTTTTAACCGTTATGATTTGTTGTTGATGTTTCTCGTTACTTCTTGATCACGAGAAGAAACAATTTATTTTTTGTTCTCTAATTGAAGGGTGCATTTTTGTTTACGTTCCTCATTTATACGTAATTATTATTCTTGAAGATGATTTGACATGTCGATTTAGGTGCCGGTGGTTACTCTTACTTGTATGAACCACTATGGTGGATTGGCATGACAACAAGTGAGTACCTCAACCAAAGTTTTCACCCTTCTTGTATATTGTTGTTTATAACCCTAATTATTATCCTTAATTACATTTAATTCCTTTTACTCTTTTTTTGGTTTTTAGTGGTTGTGGGTGAAGTTGCTAACTTTGCAGCCTATGCATTTGCACCCGCTATTCTGGTCACCCCTCTAGGTGCTCTAAGTGTGATTATAAGGTAATTAAATGTACACACATGATTAATCTAGCTGGTTAATTAAACACTTATTAATTATCCTTCACATTTTATAATTTGCAGTTCTGCTCTGGCTCATGTGATACTGGGTGAGAAGCTGCACATGTTTGGAATAGTTGGGTGTATTCTGTGCGTTATGGGCTCGACGATAATCGTTTTACATGCTCCTCAAGAGCGCCACATTGATTCCGTCATAGAAGTTTTTCAACTCGCGACAGAGCCAGGTAACTAATATCAAACTACAAACTTATATTGAAAATCCAAGATCTTAACTCAAATTCACATAAGATATTTAAAAATACATCATTATTTATATTTATTGCAGTGTCACTATTCTACGTCGGATTCGTATTAGTAGCAGTATATATACTGATCGTGCATATAATACCTCGTTATGGGCAAACACATGTGCTCGTCTACATTGCTGTTTGTTCACTCGTTGGTTCACTATCGGTATGAACTATGTACACTACTAATCTGTTAAATTCTTTATACTAATACTCCATCAAGTACAGTTTTTTTTTTTGTATTATAATACGTATCTTGATGACATTGAAATGTGATTAAGGATTATGTGTTTTGACTGTTTGTGGTAATTACTGTAATTAATGGACCAGGTTATGAGTGTCAAAGCACTTGGAATTGCTTTGAAGTTAACATTTTTGGGAATGAACCAATTAGTCTACCCACAAACATGGGCTTTCACTTTGGTTGTGATGGCTTGTGTGATCACTCAAATGAATTATCTGAACAAGGTACGTTTTCTACGATGGCGGATCCAGGAGCTAGTATAGTTCTTATGAGTTTGTCGATTTTAATCATCCTGCCTGGTGTTATTTTATAATAAAGTTGTGTGTACTTAGGAAATAGCTAGGTAAGATGAACATATTCAAAATCACAACCTAATTTAGCCTAGAAATTCTAGCTCCAATGATTCTCGTTTAAAGAAAACAATCGATGAAATAAAATTCTTAAAAGTCTAAAACATAAAAGACTAACAGAAATATGAGGTTTGTTCACTTGAGAAATGACTAGAGCAGATGGTGAAAATAAGAATGGACACACAATACAAATTGATTTGTCAATTGATTTGTCTAGTGTTGACACTGCCCGTTTCAACAGCTACTATGAAGAGAACTTTTTCAATAATGAAATAGGTGAAAACTTATTTACGCAACAAAATGAACGATGAATTTCTCGCCGATAGGTTAACTATTTTATTTGGATAGACTAGTATGCTATTGGTATGGAGGTAGACTCATTGTTGATAAATTCGCTATATTAAAAGATCGACGTGTGCAATTGATATTGTGGGAAAAAAAAAACTATGATTTTTTTACGGTAAGGTATTTAATTTTCTAATAAAATTTGGTCCAGTACTCTACTATGCCCTGAATCCGCCGTTGGTTTTCCATCACTTCATTTGTACTCTTTGTTCACTATGTTACTATTAACCGTCTAACGTATATCGTAATAAAAAGTTTGTAATAACTAACATAGTTCTTTCCTAACATGATTGCTCTATTTGTTTTCTGATGATCGTTTTGCAAATGCAGGCTCTGGACACATTTAACACAGCTGTAGTATCACCCATATACTATGTCATGTTTACAACATTCACTATTCTAGCAAGTGTCATTATGTTTAAGGTAACATTCCTTCCATTCATGACCTCATCTTTGTACGTTTGTGTGGAATTGTGTACAAAAATACAAATGGTAATTAGAACCACTACTGAATTGGATAATCTTACTTCAAGGCCTTTTCAGTCAATGAAGTTTAGTGGGTGATTCATAATCAATCAAGAAAATGAAGTTTAATGGGCTGATTTAAGGGTAGTGTGTCCATAAATATCTGTTATATCCTAAATACGAGTTTTATGGTCAAAATCGTTTTGAAAAACCCTAGCTAGGAAGTAAAAGGGATTGTTTGTTGATTGTTATAATTGTGTTTTATAGTTGAACGCTTTTTGTGTGCAGGATTGGGATCGACAAAATCCAATACAAATTGTTACAGAAATGTGCGGATTTGTGACGATTCTCGCAGGGACGTTCCTACTTCACAAAACAAAAGACATGGTTGAACGTAAGTTAACAGCTACAAAAGTCATACAATACTAGCTAGCTAGCTTCTTAATTTCCAATGTTAATGCACAAATATATCCTTGTTCGACCTCGACGACAAACAACCAGCTGAATCTATTATAATCTATCGTGAACTTCTTTAATTTGCAGCTAATACATCTCCCCCTCAACCATTGCGGATTATTAGGCATCCGGAAAGTCATAAAGGTGAATTCGATCCTGAAGCAGCTCCTCTTCGACCACAGAATACCTTATGATGATCATCAGGAAAATAGATGCCCTACGTTTTTCTTTGTATTGTAGTCTTTTATTTGATCTTTTGGTATAGACATAAATGTATTTGGTTTGTCCCAAATTGTTACTAGAATGTAAGGAGAGTAGCTTAGCTAGGGCGTTCACAAGTGAACAACTGGTCTTTGTGGACAAAAATTGTCAATTAACAACGAGGAAACTGAGATTATTTGATGGGGTTGAGTTAACATGTAATACACATTAAGTCGAGTAGCACAATCAAATATGCATGGTTTTTTTCCGCAATTGCTATAATAGTTAATTGAAGTGGTTACAATAAAACCCACAAAACCCCTTCTCACTTATCCCTTTTGATACATATCATACCATCGGTGGTGGTGTGCGGTTGTATGATTCGTATCAAAAGTGGTAACACACGAGTTTTCTAGATTTTTTTTTATTTATAATTCTTGAGTTTTGTATCGGTCTGATCTGGACTGCACCATACCGCTGCATGGCCCTAGGAGCTAACCGTAACCTCTAGGCCTCTGAATCGCTATTCATCGCCCTAAAATTCAAATTTTATCGCCCTAAAATGCACTAAATTGACAATTGCACCCTCCGACCCCAAACAAACAATTCCTTCACCCTGCCCGGCCGTCGCCGACCTCAACCCGGACGTTGTTGTCGCTGTGGGATTCTTCTCTCCGGCAGCTGCCCACCTCACCCTGACTGCCACCGCTGGTGATCTTCTTCTACTGTCGGAGCCGGAGGAGGAAGAAGACGAAGAAGAAGTGTAGAAATGATGACCCCTAGGCGCTTATTAAATAAGGTATTTTAGAGTGACGAATAGCAATGCCCGACCCACCTTACTATTACTATTATAAGTGGCTCAACAACCCTAGAATGTACATAAATCCGGCGAAAATCAAGCAATATAGTTTTGAGTGATTCCAATTTTTTTCATGTCTCAAACTTTTTTTCTCCCCTTTAATTTCCTCCCATAAAAGGAGGTTTCTGCTAGCTCATCACCTCTCCCCAAAGAAAAAGAAAAAAACCCCTAGGCGCTGCAGAGATACATTCAGCAGAGACACCAATCCATTAGGGTTTTCCCCGATCTCCATTTCCAACCCTCTGTGCATGGTGATCCCTCCTCTCTTTCTCATATTTTCACGATCAATATTATCAAAATCGCGCTTTAAAGTTGAAAAAACTTACATTTCTAGATCACCAATACGCAGAATATCTCTTTTCCCTTAGACACTTATTAATTTCGTCAAAATCGCTTGTAGATCAACAACAAAACGCTTATACGTGAGATCGCGCTTTTGACCGCATTGATTCACGGACCGTTTCTAGAGCTGACGTAGCTTTAATTTATTCTCTTGCAGGCCAACGTGGAGTCCGATGTCGCCGTCTCCGCCGCCGCGGCGGCGGCGGGGAAGAAGAACAGGACGTTCAAGAAGTTCAGCTACCGCGGCGTGGATCTCGACGCGCTCCTCGACATGCCGACCGACGACCTGGTGAAGCTGTTCACGGCCCGGGCCCGGAGGAGATTCAGGCGTGGGCTGACGAGGAAGCCCATGGCCCTGATCAAGAAGCTGAGGAAGGCCAAGAGGGAGGCCCAACCCGGGGAAAAGCCCGAGCCCGTCAGGACCCACCTGAGGAACATGGTCATTGTCCCCGAGATGATTGGGTCCGTGATCGGGGTCTACAATGGGAAGACGTTCAACCAGATCGAGATCAAGCCCGAGATGATCGGTCACTACTTGGCCGAGTTTTCGATCTCGTATAAGCCCGTGAGGCACGGGAAGCCCGGTGTCGGTGCGACTCACTCTTCCAGGTTCATTCCTCTCAAGTGACGTGGATCGCGTCGGCCTGTGTGTCGAGGGTTTTGAATTGCGGAGGAACGAAGTGGCTCGACTGAATGTTTTTTTTTTCGTGGGTTTCGCGGAGCTTTTTTTTTTTCTTCTGTCTGGTTATTAGGTGGAGGGATTTGTGTTTCTTATGGGTTTTTTATATTTGGATGTTTAGGGAGCAGCCAGGGTTGAACCGTTTGAAGGGTTTTTTGTGATTTTTTCATCAATAATGGTAATAAACATTGAACTAAATCATTATATGCCATTATCAACCTTATATATGCATTTTGTTTTAGTAGGTTTTCGTTCTCGTTGAATGAGATTCGTGAGGCAAAGTAGAGGTTGGACGACTCTGATGTATTCTCTCTAATGCTTCACTTGAACTTATGTTGAAGAGTCAACTCAATACACAATAGTATATGTTCAATCTTCCTTTACGTAAGATAATTTTTTCCTCAAAATCCGAATATATAATCGATGTTAACTCTTACATTGCTCTTAATAGGTCTCTCACATCTAAGTTTCTAAATCAATGGGCGTAGACATCAGTTAAGCAAAACCAGGAAGGTGTAGGGATACTTTCCCATAATGAAACTAGATAGACAATCATCTCCTAGTGGAATATCTAATATTTGATTAGGAACATATAAATTACAATTAACACAAAGATCTAGCTTAAACTAATGTCATAATTGAACTGAAATTGAGATGGAACAACAAATATATTATATTTGAGATATTCCTATGAAGGAGACATGGACAGGCTTAGGTAGTAAGAGACAAGGAACTCTCCACCAAGTGGGCTTAGGTAGTAAGAGACAACTAGTCATACAACAAAAACAAAACAAATGAATGGAAACAAAAGCAATAATTATTGTTTAATTATGAGTTAGTACTATAATTTGATGGTTTTAAAATTGAGTGGTGGATGATGAGTTGACAAGGTTGAACGATTTGTGTTGGCTTGGCAAAAGATTAGCGGATTAGGAGAGAGTTTTGCATATCATCGCAATCCCTATCTTTCTCATGAGTCATGATCAAGCACATGTTCGACATTATATCGACATATTTTTGAGTTTGGTGAGTTACGTGGAGACTTATCAGTATTTGTGAAATTGTACTGAATCGAAGGTTCCGTCAGAAAATCTCATGTTGGAGTCTAAGATAATTGATAGACGGATTTTTAGCGGTACGAAACGGTTGAATCTTAATTTCAGTACAAAATATTTTATATCACAGACTTTTTTCAACTTTCGATACAATTCTACACTCTTTGATACAAAGACATTCCTCCTCCACCACATCTGCCTCGCCACCACCACGAGTCAGTTACTACTACTATGTAAACAACCACCAAATTCGAGCACCGGGTAACAAATTGGGCGGTGGATTTTGAATTTTGAATAATTTATTAGTGAAGTTTCATATTTATCTCCTACGTCACGGATTCACAGTTTCATATGGTCAGATTAAACCTTCTACTCAAAACCTAACACTTGATCTAATACGATAACGAGTGAGAAATTTATATGCGTATAATCGATTTATCGGATGAGATGAGATTAACCAGCAAAGTAATATGACAACATGATACTCATAAGGAAAATAGTATATGACAACATTTCTATAAGAAAAATTAGTGCGCGAAATTAATTAAAATATCCGCGAACATAGAAAATTAATTATAACAGAAAATATACGGATATGCTTCTCTTCTCTCCTCCTCTCTCTTCGCCACTTCCCGTTCGAGAACTCGCTGATTCAGATTTTCTTTCTTAGTACACCCTGAAAATTTTCTAGGAAAGGGCAGAAACAGGAAACACCAAAGGCCAATATCTCTCTTCGATTGGAGAATAAGGGGCGAAAGAGAAGAAAGAAAAAAGAAGCTTCAAATCGGAGTCGGAAAAACGGGAAGATTCAGATACTCTGTCTCCTTGTTCGCCGTCTCTCTGGTTCCTTTCTATCCTTAAATGGAAGCTGACGTCTCTATCCTACATCGAATCTAAACCCTAGCTTCTTCTTCTTCTTCCTCTTCCTTTCCTACTTTCCCCCCTTTCTGTCCCTCTCCCTCCCTCTCTCTTTCGATCAACGAAATTTCAGGTGTTCTGGTGTTCGATTTGTCCAGCTAGCGATGGAGAAACGAGTAGTTGTAGAGCTTCTATTGTTGTCTTTCTTAGCCTGTTGTTGTTTCATGACTTCAGCGAGTGTGGTTCTGATGGGGAATAACGTCACCATGTCTTTCGATGACATTGAAGCTAATTTCGGTGAGTGATTTCACCCTTTTGAATTCAGCGTTTGGTTGCCGAGAAACTGATCCTGAATCTGTTTTTTTTTGTGCAATGGGTTGTTGAAAGTCTGTTCCTTTTTCTGTTTGTCGGGTGATTTGCAGCTCCGCCGGTGAAGGGTTCGGGCGAATGCGGAGTGCTGTATGTAGCAGAGCCTCTTGATGCCTGTTCAGATTTGACTAATAAAGTTGTGAACGCTTCGAATTCGAGCTCACAATTTGTGCTGATGATAAGAGGAGGGTGCAGCTTTGAAGATAAAGTTAGGAGAGCACAGCAAGCTGGGTTCCATGCTGCGATTGTCTACGATGATGAAGACAGTGGTTTATTGGTTGCAAGTAATAACATTTTGCCTCTGTTGAAATTTTAATCTTCTCAAAAGTTTCAGCTTTTCTTATGTTCTAGTGTGAGTTCATCTATTTATGGTTGTTGGATATAGAATTCTGTGTGACGAATGTCCTAGTTTACGAAATGCTTGCTTAGAAGATCACATCCTTGCTCAAGCTCACCTAGGAGCTTGATCTTCACTTGTCCATTTTACGCAATGGATATACCTTTATTGGTTGCCAGCTTCAGTTTCCGCGTAATCCTTGTTCTAAAACCACATCTTTATGCACCTTTGATTAGGAATTTGTGTATTTTTTTGTGAGGTTCTTGTAGCTCTATGAGTGATAGAGCTGAGTTGCAGTGTATGGCAAGTTGACTTTACTAACTTATTCACTAATGATCTGCATAAGCAGCTTAGGGCGTTGATAGAATTGGAGAAAATTGTTCTGTGATTTATTTTTCTTCATCTTGACTTTCACCTTTTCCTTGTCAGTTCCTGATCGTTTGGTCTTGCAAAATTTAAAGTGGCAGGGAACTCAGCTGGCATAAGGATACATGCAGTCTTTGTCGCAAAGTCTGCAGGCGAAACACTAAAGAAGTATGCTGGGTGGACTAACGTGGATATATGGATAATACCCAGCTATGAGAATTCAGCTTGGTCTATCATGGCAATCTCTTTCATCTCTTTGCTGGCCATGTCAGCAGTTTTGGCCACTTGTTTCTTTGTCCGGAGGCATCGCATAAGAAGAGACCGTCCTCGGTCTTCTCGTGCTAGGGAATTCCATGGGATGAGCAAGCGCCTTGTGAAAGCAATGCCAAGCCTCATCTTTAGTTCTGCTGTTCAGGAGGATAATTGTACTTCAACAACTTGTGCCATTTGCCTTGAAGATTACAGTGTCGGGGAAAAGATCCGGCTTCTGCCTTGTCGACACAGTAAATTTTTATTTACCTTTCCAATTCCATCTTCTGTATTCTTATATGCCAGCTTTTATTAGGCGCTATAAATTCACTCTTTACTGTTCCGAATGAAGTAATGCTTGAAAAAAAAAGAAGGTTTAGTCGTGCCAGATGGGAATTAGTTCGCACCATTGGCCAATGTGGATCTAGTGCAGTTAGTCAAGATACTGAGTATTTGGAACAGGCTGATTGTCAACTGATTAATAGGCTTTTCTTGTATAGGGTTTGATAAATGACAATTGCTTGACATTTAAGATCTACTTGCACTTGTGGGAAAGTGCAAGTAGGTAGATGCCCTCATTGCATGGAGTCCATGTAAATCACTAGTACTTGCATTTAGTTAAGTTTGTTGTCCACCATGACTGATATGCTCGGTACCCTAATTTCCATTTTGTGAATTTTGCAGAGTTCCATGCTTTATGTGTCGATTCTTGGCTTACATCATGGAGAACATTCTGTCCGGTGTGCAAGAGAGATGCAAGGACGAGCACAGGGGAGCCACCAGCATCTGAATCCACACCATTGCTCTCATCAAACCCGTCTTCGGTAGCTTCCTCTTCTGTTCTATCATCCTTTAGATCCACAACATCGTCAGCTATAAGAATTGGTCAGCCATCTCGGTCCCCGTCAGTTTCTCATTTCCCTTCGTACTCCGGTGGCACCCCTTATGCCCCGCAGTCCTCCATTGGCTCGTGCCATCAATCATCGTATTCCCTCAGCATGAGCCGAAGCAATGCTGATCTAAGGAACATGTCTTCACATCGATCTCAAGCTTCTCATTTGATTTCTCCCTACGGCTACCCTTCCATGTCGCCCCTGAACACGGCGCGCTACATGTCTGTATACAACCCTAGTCCAAGCAATGCCTCGCCGAGCTTAGTGGGATCCACGAGTTATCAGCCTCGCCCTCTACATTGTAGCGAATCTAATGCGAGCTTAGTGGGATCCACGAGTTATCAGCCTCGCCCTCTACATTGCAGCGAATCTTATGCGAGCTTCTCACCGTTTGCTTCTACCCACTCCCTTCCTGACTGTTGAAAGCCAGGTTTTGGAACTTTTGTTTGACCTTGTCATGGTATAAGGAAGTTAACCATGTAAGTACAATCTTCTCTACCTCTGATGTTATTCATCAATGGTGTGCTGCCTTTTTCCTTCACAAAAGGCCCTCTTTCTCTGGTTGTAAATTATAGATGGGAATGATACCGAGATGGTCGGTATTTGTTTGTAATTGGTTTCCATATGGAGTTTGACAAAAGAGTGTTTGTGGAATCGAGGCAACAGGGAGAAGAGTTGATCTTAACCATGGATCTAGCTTTTGGGGGTTGCTTTTTATTTCTTTCTGGTGTGCTTTTTTTTTTCTGGATGAAATTGGTGTTCTTCTTTCTTGTAAAGTGACAGAGTGACCAAATGTTTCATTTCGCAGTGAATTTCTTTGGACTGGGTAGATGGTTTAGTCTCTCTTAACAGTAAAAGTAATTGTGGTATGGTAAAGTAGGAGTAGGCTAAAGAAAATGGCAGGTTTTGTCAGTCTTGTCGATAGCCATCTTATAAGCATTTAGGAAAGGAGAGTAATGGAAACTGTCCCATAACTTGATTTGTGTATCTACGTTGTGTTACTGGCGTTGTGTCCAACGTGAGCAGCCTGTATGATACGTATCAATAGCGGTGTTCAAACGGATTGGTTATCGTGGTAACCATATTAATCGGTAGCATTCGGTTAATTTGGTTTAGTTAATTTGGATAATTGGTTTGGTTTGGTTTGGTTAAACAATTTAGCTTATTTGGTTTGGTTTCAACACTGCTAACCAATGAAACAAATTAACCAATTAATGATACACCTAATATACAAAATTATTTATACTTCCATGCAACCAACCAAACCAAACTTTCGTGATTCCCTATTTTATTTTCATGTGTACAACAAACCAAAGCATTATGGGTCAAAAATTAAATGGGTCTGCCTATTTACTAAACCAAAACATTTTGGACAACTACTAGATTTTAGGATTACGTACAATACCATGACAATCACATTAAACTATGTATAGTTTAAGTGTTTCGTATGAGAGCTTTAACTTCCTGATGAGTAGTATTGGTATGTAGTTAATATTTATGTTAAGGGTTTGTTGTAAGCTAACTATATTAGGTGGAGAGATGATGAATGATGTATTAACTCGAATGATAATGATAATTATAGATGGTTAGTCTTATTATTATTTTATTTATATAAATGATAGTCTGTGATAGTAATAACATATGGTTATGTTTTATTCATTAATAGCATAATTGTTTTCATGTAATGTTATGTTATTTGGTTAATCCGATTATCTGATTAACCAAACCAATTAAACTTTGGTTTGGCTAATTTGGACGGTTTGGTTAAGACATTTTATTCCATGGTTAATGAAATTTAGACTTAATTGGTTTGGTTATTACCACGGTAACCATTTGAACACCACTACGTATAAAGTTCTCCCGTAGCAGCAATGAAACTGAGATTTCCTCTTTCATCAAACTTCAACAAGCAGATATCATGCCCACCACACAATTATGATGTTATAATGTAACGGAAAATCGATAATTCAAAAAAATAAATAATAGTAGATTATCTATTTATGGGCAAGATGTGCGTTTGCTTATTTATGGGCAGGAAAGATCAGTCTCATTATATTTTGGGAGATATAAATTACAAAGGCGTGATAAGATATACACAACTTCTTCAGGCGGTCTATCAATCTAAGCGCCATCATTAGTTTTGGTATGATCTACAAATGCATAATTTGGCACCGGATCCAAACTATCACCACGATGATGATGCAGTTGCTAGGCAAGGAACCGTAAAGCTACAACCGCTGTCGGAGTAGAGATATGGTAGTGACAATAGTCGCCATCGTTTATCACTCCAAAATAAACGACGACGACTGTTGCATTTGCCTCGAGTTGTTTGCTGAAAATGTGGTCACCATCGTCCATGGATGTCGCCGCGTATTCCATCAAAGCTGCATCCATGATTGGGTGCTCGAGTGCAGCCTGTTGTCCCCCAAGTGTCCACTATGTGGCCAACTGGTTTATGCAAGAGGTTTACGAGCTTCTTGGTGGGTCGTCTACAAATATATAGAAGTAGATTTGGGAGCCGTTTTTCAGCATTTCAAATTTTCTCTAAGGAGAACGAAAGTAGTAAGGGTAGATTTGTCTTCACAGTTTTTTCTTATTCATAGAAAAAAATACATCAATACTGAAATTTGAACCATGGTTTTTTTAAACAAAGACATGAATCATTACCAATTACACTAAATGAATTTCATGTATCTTTTTAAACTACAAAACATACAGAAACCTAAAATCTTAAAAACATGACTTTTCCACTACGATTAACTAGCTCACTAACTCTTCTGTAAGTATGTATTTGTTGTTTGATATTTTTATTATTAATTCAATTTAAACAGTCAATTTAGCTACCGGTTACAAATAAACATTTCGAATATTTTGAAAACTTTAGAATGTACATCGTAAATACGTCATATTCAAATAACATCTGACCAATCCGTCAGATACCAAACTAGTTTCTATTAAGGATAAAGTCTTTAATTGTTTTGAACTCCCTTTTCACTCATGGTCGCAATATAACTTTTTCCTACCCTAGAAAGGAAATATAACTCAGAAAAGTTATATAAAATTATATAACAACCTTCATAGGATAACATAATAGTACTATTTGTATGCATACTCTAATACAAGAGGCACAAAAGAATCATATATACAAATTAATCATACTACAATACTCAGTAATTTCGTAGTCGAGTTAGGCGCATGTGGATGCAACTACGTACTTGAGCATTGATGTATTTTTTCAAATAATCTCTCGTTACTTCCTTTCCTTTCAGATGTCTTGATCAAATCTCATATTCCCTTTTCCATTATAACGTAAAATTGCCGTATTAACACTTCTTTCATGCAACTATTCACACTTCACAGTTTTCGTTGAGAACTAAACTCTATAAATATATGATATTGATTTTTACAAAAAAAAAGGGTATTGTTTTGAGATATGGATAAGAGAAAGAAGAAGAAGAAGAGAGGAAGAATCATGTTTCAACATTACATGGCAAGAGAAGGATATTGCGGACAATGAAAAGAAATCGTTGCTAAATGAGATTCAAACTCTTCGAATAATGGGTATTCACTGTCGCGTTTATAGTTTTTAAATGTTCTTCTACGTAACATAAGTAAGAGGTCTCGTATTCGAATTTGTAGCTTTTTTTTCTTCATCTGTTGTGATTTTGATAAAAAAAAAAAATCAAGGTTGGTATGGTCAATGGTGGGTGCTATGAACGATGAGCAATTGAAGGAATACTTGAAGAATAGGGCCTCAAGAGGTGAAGACTTCCAAAATCCAGAAGAAAAAACTTCCTCCTCCTAGGGACCAAAAAGTAAGCCAGAAAAATTTGAACCTTCTTTCTTTTAGCACTTTTCCCCCTTCACTTCACTTCTGCTCTTCATGTTCATCCTCTTTCGTCAAACTTCTTGTAACCTGGAAAAAAAAGCAGAAAAAGTTACCTGAAAATTGTCCTCGGACATGACTGTTCTTCTGTATACATCAGTTTCTATCCAACAAATCTTTCTGGTGCAACGTGTACATCTTTCACTCCACATCCCTTTTCAGTATATGAAACCTACTACAAATACTACAATCACAAACTCACTAGCTTTCAAGTGACCTCTCATCATTGTAAATCAGCAGAGAATACTGAAGAACGATCAGTGATGACTGCAAAAAAGAAGGGGGGAAAATCACAGATCTTCTAGGCTTGCACTCAATTTGCAATCGTTGAATTGATCGCTTCTGAGATCGTATGCCTGGAAATAGTCATTCCATCTTTGTCTTCATAAGTGTATCCAAAATTATGCTACGATTTTGCATTTCTACCCCCTCTTCTGCTGACTTCTTCACACAACCTGCAAGGCAGTGTGTCGAGACTTAATGAACGTGTTTCCCCATAGTTGCCGAGAACACCACATCTCCTCCATGCATGGTATTCGGCATATGCCACTGCATCATTGGCTAGAGCCTTAACATATGAAGCGAGTTCGTTCATGGAGCTGAATTTGCTCCCGTCTATGATTGAGTGAGGAGGAATGAAATCCCACACATTCGGCGCCCCAAAATAGATTGGGACCGCTCCAGAATCTAAAGCATAGAACAACTTTTCCGTCACGTAACTCTCGGTGGCTGTGTTCTCTATAGCCAGCACAAATTTGTAGTGAGACATGGCACAATGTAGATGGTCCCACCATCTCGGTTTCTCACTGGTAGCGCTGGCGCACTCTGGGTATAATGAAAGGGCCATGTCAAGTCCACCGACATTGTTCAAGCACTTGCCAAAGGAATGGTGAGGCAGCAAGCTGAGGAGAGACTTTGCGCGCTTGTTTCTTTGAGCTAGACAGCGTGAGGAAGACCAATATACAAGTGTATCCTTCAAATAAAAATAGTTTGAGATCATTCAATGCTATTTCCATCTCTTTCTTATGAAGTATCAAAAGATTGGAAGCATTAATACTCACATTGTTCTTCCTTGGAGACACATTATAATTTCGACCATTATGAAACAGGGCACCGGCATAAGTTGACTGAACATCATCTTCAGCATGATAACTGATAAATACATCTTCCATACCAGAGCGTTTTCTGCCGGGCTCTAGGTCCATATAGACACGAAGTGGATCTCCATTGCGTCTCTGACAACCAAAATAGATCACATTTCCTCCTTATTATTTACTAAAAACAACAAAGAGGCACAGAAATTATTTGTGCACCAACTGCATACCCCTAGGACTTCGACATTCATATGTAAGCATCGTATAACAAAGGACAATAGGAAAGATGAGATTATCATGCTGCCATTCCACACAATTGCATACCCTCGATGTTTAAACTTGACTACACTAGCAAGCATTAGAATCCAAATACTACAGCATTTAACATAATGCAACACAACACTTTTTCCTCTATGAACACCCATATCTAGTAGTTGCCATAACAGCACTAGTGGATCTTTATAACTCTGTAACTGTGGAGCATTTCCCCCTGCATTCTCCCTGCCAGCCATTCTGGTGCCAAAAAGGGAATTCTTATGAGCTTAAATATTGAATGTTCATATGATGTGGAGTGTCCGACCTGGCAAGGCCTGAATACATGCAGAAAGGGACAGCACTAAAATATGCTTAAGCAACTATACAAAGATCGCATTAGATTCTGAAAGTACTACTGATCTCCAAAAGAGCCAAACCGTCTTCCATAGAAGACATTGACTATAGGCGCGCATCTTCAAATTCAGCCCTGTTTCCATATCCCGATATATGTGATCTATAGTTCTTACTGCAACCCGATTCACAAGCCAGAAGTGAAAATATATTCCTGAACTAGAAAGAAACTGAAAGGCACATCCAAAATCCGGCATCTATCGCGTACACCAAACCACATCAAGCGAACTAAGACAATGTGACCGACCCCATGTTCAAGCAATCTAAAAACCTAGTCTTAACACCTCAAACCAAGTTCTTCCTGCATCAAAATTTCCATCCACCATGTTCTAGACCATTCATCGTCACACAAGCCAACTACTTGATCAGCAGAAACACATCGCTCCCCTCATCCCAGCCCACAAAGATTCAACATTTCCTATTGTCTAATCTAATTGAAAATATAATGAAATGAATCGGCAGAGTTACCTGAAATGGAGGCGTAGTGGTCTCAAACAACAAAGCATCAGGCTTGTCAGCAAGAACAGCCGATTTACTCCACAAACAGCTCAACCCACATCGGCACGGATACAAATTGTCCAAATTATCAGGGATCCAAGTCCACCCTTTGACCAAAACGCTCACATGATCCATCTTCAGCTCGCCGCACTCCGAATCACCCCCAACCCGCTGCAGAGAGCCCGTCGAGCCATTAAACCCAGAACCGCCGGAGGCGTGGATCGCATCCTTGTGGCCTTCTCTGAACCGGGCGCAACCCACCTGAGAGTCCCACTTCTTGTAAGCAGTGAACAAGTCGACGAACGGGTCGGCCTTCGTCGGCTCGACCCGAAACCCGGAATCGGATAGGGAGGTCGTCGTCAACGCCAGAGGAGGAAATTCGAGGAACCCGGCGAAGAAGAAGAGGATCAGGAACGCGGCCAGCAGCATCAGGGCAATGGTGATTGTGTTGATCGGGTTCTTCAAGAGCATTGTGCGCCAACGGAGAATTTCAGGCGTCGGGAATTTCCGGGAACTTTCTCTCTCTTTCTCAGGGTTTTGGCGGAGAGAGAGAGAGAGAGAGAGAGAAAGTAGAACGGTTGGTGGGTGGCGGCGATTTCTACCCCTTAGCGGTTACATGGTCGCCGTCGGAACAGTGAAGAAGACTAGTAAAAGAAATGGTCGAAGCAAAAACCAAAGAAAGGAGCCTGCAGATCGAGAAACGCTGGTTTGGTGGTCATTGGTCAACTTTCTTCAAGGTTCAATCACGTTCTGGTGCCTAGAGTTTGGTCCGGGTAACGATCGAGTACCTCTACTTTTCAAATCATCAATGGTGGATAGGAACAACAATGGGTAGGGGAGGGGTGAATAAAAATAACTGTAACACGACCCACCATCCAATTCGAACCAACTTATCCACATTTATCGTTAAAATTCAGGTTTAAGCAACTTTAAGGTTGGTTGATGGTTTTCATTGGTAAAATCCGCCTCTTTTGGATTGAGTGCGAATTTTACGTTATGCAACTCATAAATAGCCGACTCGACCCATTTGTTGTCTCTTCAAGTGAGGAGATGAGCTTGTAAAGGCCATTTACTTGCAATTCAGATTCCAGTAATTGCGACAACACAAGAAAATCTTCTAGTAAACAAAATTGTTGTTTCCTAAGATGGTTAGAGTACTCTAACTATGAGTGTGTGATGTTATTATCTTCTGCTATCTGGTTCCTCAAATACGTGGAGTCCGATTCATCCTATAAAATCGACTTTTGCCTACAAAACAATGATTTTGGAGATACATTGAGCAAAACAATGCTTTTTACAAATGCACCTTACATAACAATACTGCAATATGCAAACATCTATATCATGGGATTGGGATAATGAACATCTATTTGGAATTTACAAATACATTGAAGCTAAACAATAAAAATGTTCGACCACCCAAACAAGCCAGCCATACAAACCTTGCTAAAGTTTAGCTTTGGCTCCTTCTATATGTTGTTTTACTCCCAACTCAATTAAACAAACTAATCTACAGCAGGCCACAACACTATGTGAGATACAAAAAAACGGCAAGAGCTTAGTTGAGCAGCCGTTCTAACCAGGTCAAAGAAACAGTAAACAATAGCAGAGTTGATATAAAATGCTTGAACTCCTCAGGTTCTTGCCATTTGGGACAGCTAGAAATCGAAATCGAAGGGGAGGCTCCATATGTTTGCCTGACATGGACATAGCAGAGCTGGATGGGAAAATGACAACAGTGTTTGAACAAGTTATATGAAACCCTCCCTTCTCAGATTCTCCCTTGCAACCCTTTTGTTTTCTTGACAATAAAATCTAATTCATTACTGATAAGTAGGAGGAACATGTCTCATGGCTGCCATTATATAACCCCCATTACCACCACAGAACCAAAGTGAGAGTGAGAGATTAGAGAAGAAATCAACTGCGTGAGAGAAGAAAGACAACCTTGCTCTAGTATTTGCCTATTTGGGTTGTGCAGAAACAAACACAAGTTCAACAGAAACAGCAAGAGGTCAAGAGAAGGGAAAGATGGGCAGAAAGAGAAAAGCTGGGGCTGCTGAAGCTGAAATCATGCTCAAGCAGGAGCAACAAAGAGAAGGAAGTGACGAGTTCCATGATGATGGTGATAATCAGGTGGAGGAGGATGGTATGGCGTGGGATGAAATGGTGAGTGAAGCAACAGGAGGAGGAGGGAGGAGAGGGAGGAAGAGGTTCGTGGGAGTGAGGCAAAGGCCATCCGGCAGATGGGTTGCAGAGATCAAAGACACAATTCAGAAGATCAGGGTATGGTTAGGTACCTTCGATACGGCTGAAGAAGCTGCAAGAGCTTATGACGAAGCCGCCTGCTTACTTCGTGGCGCTAACACGAGGACCAATTTCTGGCCCTCTGCTGATCCTCATCGTCCTCGCCACTCTTCTACCTCCTCTTCCTCATCCCCATCACAGCCTCCTGCATTGCCTTCCAAGATCACCAACCTTCTCCTCCAGCGCCTCAATGCTCGAAACACCCACCGTCATCTCTCTTCCTCCTCTTCCAGGGTTGTCAACAAGCAGCAGCAGAAGCAGCAACAACAATTCGTAAGAGGAGGACAAGAAGATCAAGTCGATGAAGATGAAGAAGATGATGATGAAGCAGCCTCATCTGAATTAACAGGTTTCTTCAACCATTTCACTAACGCCAACCCCATCACCAGTATTGGGACAAACACAACAACCAATCATCCTTACATGACAGCAAGCATTGCAGACTCACCATCAACTATGAGCGATGATAGAAAGGGAGATTTTTGCTATGATATTGTGAATGAGGGCTCAGCAACAGCAGCAGCAGTCACAGCATGGGATTCAGACAATTGTCATAATAGTAACTTTCACCAGCCAATCTATTCCAACGCAGTACAGCAACATACAGGTGATCAGTTAGTTGATCAGGGTGGTGATTTGGATTTGGATATGGATTTCAATTTCGTCAACTATCTTGGAGCACCCTCCGCAGCTGCAGCAGCTCACTACTCTCCGTTCGAGATCGCTCAGGAGATTCAGGAGGAGCCTGTGCTGGAACCAGATCATCAAAGCAACAACAATGGCATTGATGACGACGAGCCATCAATGCAGCTGAGAGCAGCAATGAAGCGGATGAAGTACGAGAGGAAGTTCTCGGCTTCTCTGTATGCTTTCCACGGGATTCCTGAGTGCTTGAAGCTGCAGCTTAGTGGGTCGGTATTATCATCTCCGTCTGAACAGTTATCCAGCCTTCAGAATGCCTGCAGAAGGAACAACAGAGAAGTGAGTCATGAGATAGAGCAGAGGGCATTGGCAAAAGAAGATAAAGATGAAAGCTTTATTATGGCAGATAAACATCAGAAGAACCCAGAAAGCACCACAGGTGAAGAATCGACTCTATGGAGCTCTCTTGATCTCCCACCAATCTGCTTCGTCTCATAATTACTCAAAACCGAAATTTGCTTAGCTTTCCCTTTAATCTCACATCTTAACCATACCCACTTACTAGTATCACTGTAATTTGAGCAATGGCGAAACTATCGTTATGATATCTCTAAGGAGTGTTAAGAATTGGGGCTTTTTTCCTGTTTAGGTTAAAGCTTCGGTAGCAAATTAGGGGGAAAGGGTTAGGAGAGCATAATGTATACAGTATACATACCTGACAAACAGTGAATCGGAGAATTGAGAAGCGATGGGGCCTGCTTTCCCTTGACGCTGGTTTCCCGCCGTTTGAAGTAGTTCCCCGGCATCGTCATCGGCGGCCGGCAGCTCGCCGGTTTCCGCTTGGAAGTTTGGAACAAGACGGAGAGAGTAGACAGAAGCTGAAGGCGTAGTGACTGCTCCACTTGTCAGCTGGAGCTGACTTCAGTCTGCATATGTTTAATTTGCAATTAACCAAAATAGTCACCTAACTTTAGACCGATAACATACTGGTCACTCATCATTAAGAAAATATCAATTTCCCATTTACCTACATGCTAAATACGGTTCTCGACATCTCTCAACTTACATTGATCAGTTTTCTCTTACTTATTGGGTGGAAAAAGTAATTCAAAGCTACTTATTAGATGATTTTGATTATCGTTCATAGTCTATCAACAATGCTCAAATGAGTACTATTTTGAGCACCATAAAATTTCGAGTGAATGCTATCATACAAGTTCTCATAGTATTATGACGATAATGAGCACTTATTGTTACCAATACCGTGTAATGGTTACCATCCTAGAATAAGGCATCACATCCACAAATACTGGTGATCGCAACGCTTATCCACAGATACTGTTGGATGTGGTACTTTGCCGACTCCCACTTGTCAACATCGCTTGCCAAGTAGAAGTTAGGGTGCAACATGTTGAGCACGAATGTGATGCCGCCTGAAGAGGATGATGCCCACATCCCTAGCTAAACTAGCTAGAATTTTGGCATGAGTCAAGTTACGTGTAAACTATGTACGAGTGAGTAAATGCGTGAAGGAGACGCATAAATCAATTGTGCTTACTCTTGACATTAACGTGCGCACAGTTCCCGCATAAGCAGGTCATTTTCCCTAAGAATGAAGGCATCCAAAAGATTGTTGAACACTTGAATGCCAATTCATATACAAACCAACTAGCTATAGCAATAATTGCACACCACATACGCACATAATATTTTGTCCTTTAACCATTTATTTCCCTTGCCTACTTGGGCACACATGAAGCAAAGTTGTCATACAAACATTAATCAACAATCATTTCTAAATCTTTTAAAAAAATAACCGTTCATTCCCCCTTTTGTAATATACGGTACTAGATGGTGATGTCGTGTCTTGTCGCGAGACGGAGATGGTCTATGAGCATGTATTATGTGGTCCGTTATGATGTTTTGTTAGTATCATTAGCCTAAAATTAATTCTTTATTAGTAGTTTTGTCAGTAGTATTGATTGAGAAGAGATATATGGCGGTCAACATCCAATTTAATTTTTTTGAAATTTTTGGCTAATAATTGATATTTACCTAAATCCAAGTAGACCCATTGATTATGGGAAGGGAATGAGTGACTTATATATGGGTTTGGAAGTTTGTATATGGGTTTGGGTATGGATTCCCATTTATTCGAGAGTGTTTTAATTACACATACAAAAATTAGACTTATTTGTAGGACTTCAAAAGTTTAGGTACCAAAATGTAACACACACAAATTTTAGGTACTAAAATATAATGTTTCATTAAATTTTTTAGGACTTATATGCCAAAAAAATAAATTTATGTTATAAATCTAAAGATCTATTAAGTTTAGGTACCGAACTGTAATTTGCATAGTTGAGGCTTGATTCCTTTATGATGATGCATTTAAGATGATAAATATTTATTTTTTATGTAAAAATGGAACTATTTATTTGAAATATATAGATACCTAGCCAAACATTCTGTGTATAATTGTTGAAAATTCTAGCCAGGGTGAAAAAGAAAACTCTAAAGAAAAGCAAAAGAAATACAAATTGGAACTCGCTTAAAATTTCACACTTTCAAATCTCATAGTAGAAAATGACGACTTTCTAATAAGTAATAACCATATATCTTTATTTTTAATTGGGCTCGATATTGAGCTGAAAAAGTTAGTGATTCATGGTTCAATTATACATTCTCTAAACTGTTGATGAGTCATGTATGGACCCGTTCATACTTGTGATTAGAATACATAAAAATAGTATACTAATTAGGGTTAGGCGAAGAAGGCAAAGAAAGAAATAAAGAAAGGGTAATGGAAGGAGAGTGGAAAATGAAACGAAGAGAAAGTAAATGATGGAAATGTTTGGTCATTTTTGTAATTATATTAAATTTTAAATTATTATTTTTGTTACTGCTGATTATTTTAAACATTGTTCTATTAAAATGTCATACAAAAACTTCATACAGATCAATATCTCAATGTACTCGTATTATATTTTACTAAGTATGTTGTCATGTCACCGAATAGAATGTTCTTTTAAAAATGGTAATTATTATTTCAAATGGATAACATACATATTTTTTTGAAGTAAAAATCCCATGGAAGACCAAAATGGACGAATCTTCTCCTACAGTTGAGTGATACAGTATCTTGCATGGTACAAACTAAATTTATATTTTGATGTTATGGTGGATTGGATTCGTGGATTCAAGTGAATCTAAACATTCGACCAATATGTAAATTTATAAAATTGTAGGTATGAAAACTCATAAAATTAAGATAACAAAATATAATTATTCAATGATTTTACATTAAAATTAAATTTGGGGCATCAAAATGTAAAATGTACATTATAGTGACTAAGTTGTGATTTAATTAAATTTGGAGTATCAAAATGAAATTATTTAGGCAACAGTAAACCAACTTCACGTTTATATATATACTAGAAAAACACCCGCGCTATGCTGCGGATGATGAACGACGTGGTGAAATTTGCATTTGCTATATAATTTTGTATTTACATTATCAAATATTAAATGTTCTCTTGACATTCAATCATTATTCATAATTAGAAAAAGAAAAAAAAATGGTAATTAGACTATATAAAAAAGATGGTAGCAGTGGGTTTCCCATGCCCACGGTTTCCTTAAATAATTAACCCAACCCTAATTGGTCGGAATGTGTCACGGGTTGGTCCATATAGGATTACATTGGAACAAACCGACTCTTGGACCGGATCACACCGAATCGAATATATTGTGATACGATCCTTAGTCTTATAAATTTTATAAATACTAAAGAAAATTAACTGAATTAACTTTTGGATTGGACCAAACCAGACAAAATCGGATGAAATACACTATTGATCTGATCTTTGATCCTAAGATGCCTTGCATTATTGAATAGCAATTTTATGATAAATCAACATATTAAAAGAATAAAAAATAAAATGATACAATTAATAGAAACTAAAGAAAGTGAGATTTAAATAAAAAAGTAAGAACGGTCTTTGAAAATTCTCTCTAATGCACATTTGTTAATTGAGATATCAAATGAAAATTTTTCTTAAAGATTAGCATATCGAAATTGGAATTTTATCATAGCATAATAGAACCCGATATCAAGATTAAGATGTATAAATTTGGGCCTTCATAATTGTATAATGGAGCCCAAAACCCTACAACACCATTTGACTATGAGTGAAAAAAGGATTATAAATGTTAGAAGTAGGGATTGAACCCGTGATACAAATAGTACATCATTATCAAGATTCCCCCAATCCCCAACCTGCCTCTGTCCCTGCCCAAAATCCATTCTTAATTTATTATTAAAAAAATTGACTAATTAGCTAGAGAGTTTAGGCAACAGTAACAATACTTCATGTTTATATATATTAATTAATATCAATATGTAATATAAGCCGGGAGCTAGTTCATTTTTCGTAACTCGTAAGTTACTAGGAGATATCCAATATTACATTCGGCAACATTTTGTTTTAGACGCCCTCTTGCAAGAAATTACATTGCCTGGAAATTTCAAAAAGCATCTTATGAATGAGGAGACTACATGTTAATTCCTTAACATACTTATTCTGATAAGTCAAATTGTTGGTGGAGTTCCAAAACTATATTTTATATCATCTTTTGTTATCATATATCCATAGAAGAGTATGCTTGATATAGTCACCAATAGTTTGGAAATTGGATAGCTTAGGAATGGGGAAAGCTCATGCAGAAATAAAGGGTTATGCTTAGGAACAATGGACTGACCCATATGCTAGGAAAAAGATAAACATTAGTTTTGGTTACAAGTTTGAAAAAAACAAAGACAATTGCAAAGCATGCAATGTGCATAATGTGGATAAGATTGGGTATCGGTTGATTCGGTCCACAATGGAACCGAATTGATATAATATTGAATCAAAAGCAAAGAAAAAATTAGGTACCGAATCAAAAGCATTTTTGGTTCATTTGATTCGATCGAGTCTGGTCTAATTTCAAATTCACACTTTTTTCTTCATACTTAAACCCAAATTTACAGGGCCAAACTCGAATCAAAATGTATTATATGTGATCCGATTTAATCCAAATATTAATTTGGTACGATTCATGCCCGTCGTTGCCCACCCTTTATTTGTAGATTAGGTCAACACCAAATCCATTTGCCCACCAAACGTTTTCCTTTTCTTATCATTTCCCTTCTCTCGCTTCCCATATGGTGTGGAAAATGACAAGTTTGCTGAAATTCAGATGGTTCGATTAATGCAATTTGGTGGGTGTTGCGTGCTGGTGGTGGTAGGCCACTCTCTATAATTCAGATGGTGCATGCTTCAAAGCAAGATATTTCTCATAATATAAAGAAAAAATATGTTAAACAATGTCATAGTGATTAAATTTTTTGGATTAATGCAAGGTTTGTTAATATATAGAAAACAAATATGTTAAACAATGTCATAGTGATTAAATATTTTGGATTTATGCAAGGTTTGTTCGTTAAGAGAGGTATTATGTTCGAAATATTTAAATCATATTCCTTATTTATATACGAATAAGAATTTCGTCTGTTGATAATACTATTAATCTTGAACATGTAGGCCACAAACAATTCAAAGTGGAAGATATATAAACAAGTGAGGCAAGCAAAGGGGTTGAAGAATTTATTTCAACATTTTTATATAAAATTTGCTTAATTAAGTTGTTAGAATTTATACTATATATATATACATGGTTCGTGCTATGTCATGTCATTCATGAGATCGTGGTTTCTTTAAATTTTTCGATGGATAATTAATGGGAAGATTGATGTGGGCAAGTGGCTTTGTTTGACAATGCAAACCATGCATGCTACTTTAATTTTAAGAAAAAACTACAATATGAATCATATTTTGATTTCATCCCCTTACTTTAGGAAATGGTTTTCTTGATGTGATTAAAATCCTTTATGGTATGAGGGATTAAAAAAATTTCGGATAATAATCATATAAAAACATGCATTGGCTCGAGATTGAAATGATACATATTGATCAATACTTGTGTTATTTAGCATCCACGACAAATGATGACTTGGATTCATTGTACGTGACAAATCCTCACGACGAAAATTATCGGATTAGGATATATTTTGTTCGAAGAAGCAGCAACAAGAGTGTATGTTGGGGAGCTAAAGAAATAGCTAGAAGAACCCTACTCGTTGAATGAATTCAAAGTCTAGATTTAATCTCGCCATTGTTTTGTCGTAGATTGTACTACAATCGTCAATGAATGAAATACAACTAGATGTCTAACTTATAACTCAACTCAACTACTACGATTACCAATCTTCATATGAGTTATTCTAATGGTAACCGGAGGATGAAAATATCCACCACATCTTATGTTGGAACACTTGTTTCTATTGGCAGTTGGCACTGTCTTTTTTTTTTTAAACACGTTCTACTTGTGACTGGAATTAGTTGCTGTGGCTTGACTGACAGCAGGACCAACACACGGTGATCAATAGCAGGTTTGACCACCTCAACTCCATTTTTTTTCCAACCAAACAATTACTAATATACAATTGAGAATCTCCAATCAAATTTCAATATTTTGTATGATTGGTTTTGATCCACCTAACATTCAGATTGCTTCATGGTTTTCAAGAACCTAAGGTGAAAAAAATTGGGTCTTTTTACGACAAAAATGAAGGTGTATGATCAGCGGCGCGCGTTTCGTGGTATTTTTGTGTTTGATTAATTTAGTGGGCTGTTGAAGTTCAACGCTATCAAATTATTTTGACTACCATTCGAATTCCATCAACAATACTCAAATGAGTATGTTTGAGAACTATAGAGTTTCAAGTGAGTGATATCATACAAGTTCTCATCAATGATATGACGATAAGAACTACACCTCTTATAACCATTACCATGTAACGAGTATCACCCTAGAACGAGAATGCATGCTAAAATGGATTAGTTGTCACCTCGAATAGTTAGTTGTACAACTACACGCTCTTTAAAAATCACAATCTTTCGATTTATTCGGAATATCGATATTCATAATTCTCCAAAAATACTGTAAAGTTGATTAGGGTTCATTTGATTTGTTGGGACCATGAAAGGCTTAGACATGTAGTATTTTATTCTTGTGTTGTGTGAGTGAGAATCTTGCACGTCGATCTATACAAATACAAAGAGAAATTGATTTGGTAGTCGATCAAGATGTCTACTAAGCGCACAGTCAGCTTGACTTGACTTGCAACACAATTCAAGGTATTGTCCTTTTTTTTCATATAGCGGGTAGTTGTTCTCATTTAATTGAGATCATTTAGATGGGTGTTGGTTTATAAAAATAAAATAATGAGTGAATGAATGAAAAATAATAATAAATTAAAGGACTGGTTCAGTGGCAAGGTTGTCAACCAGTGGGCTGATCCGGATCCGGTCGAACTAGTGGGTCAACGGTTAATGAGTCACTCGTTTTAGCTCGGTTGAGCCCGAAAATATGGAAAGAGTCATTATATTGTACTTATCCTGATAAATTATATCAAATCTCATCTAACATATGAGTTATAACATATAATATTACACCAAAATAACATGTCGTACTTAGATCCAACATATAGTGAAAATTCACACACTTATATAACATCATTATTCAGATGTTCAATTTAGGATTCCAAAGATTGAGTCAGGCGAAAAGTAAAATCGGAAAATAGGCGCATTTCGCAAACCAAATAAAAAAAATGACACAATTTGACCTCCAACCCGGTACCTTGTAGCGGTCGACCCGGGGGTTGGCAACCTTGTTCAGTGGTAATGTGAGAATGAGACTATTTGTAAGAAACAGTTGATTTCAATAACTAAAGTTGTTGGGAGAGGTTCAATTGTGAACCATATATACTTTAATAACATACCTCGTCAAAATTAAAGCCACTGTATATGGGTTTGAAGTTTGCACACATTCAAACACCATACTCATTCGTCATTCCAGTCAACCTAAATTTTGAGCCAAATTTGTTAATTTCTTTAAAATTTTGGACAACACTGTGTTATTTAAAAGTTCATACCGAAATTGTCTGTTATACTAAAGATCGAGGCAAAATAGGATATTATCCCAATGAAAAAAATTATATTTTAAGAAAAATCTCTCTTAATTTAGTATTATTAAAAGAAGAAGGATATTTATGTATGCATCTGTGCATGCCATGCCTTGCAAGTTTTTATATGTAATGACGTGTAGGAAAGGATTGTAAGTTGTGTGGAAGAGTGTTAGATATTTGATTATGTAAATTACTAACCATAAAAAAACCTTGGCTTTTGAACTAGCTTGTATATACTTTGGCAAAAGACCAATGAAATTGGTCATTCCTTACATAAATTTACTTAAATTTCACATAAAAAAATTCTTAAGTGATAGAGGAATTATATACAACTTTGCTTAAAGTTTTAATGAAGACGAGGTAAGACCCTGTTTCTTTTAGATATTAGTATTCTCAACGGGACATCATCGACATAAAAATCCTACTCAACCTTTATCTTTACCTCATTCAACTCCTCTCCCCCAACGAAAAAATCATCATCGTCGAGGGAAGAGGATGAGAGACAACCAACGATGCAATGACTTTATCAAAGCCTAAAGACAATAATTAATTGAAAGTCTGCACCAATTAGTTGATCGTAATGGTTATGTATTGCCACTTATAAATATAATGATACACACCTACTCATGAATGATATATTATCATAAAAAGACGACATCAGTGATGACGACAACACTTATATAGAGTGAATCAATCATAAGATCCCTTGCGCTTTCTTGATAATCTAGCAATAACATTAAGGAGAAGAAGGAAAATGTTGCATCCGAAAAAGGTAAAAGAGTATGAGTTAACGACATTCACATTCGTCAAACGCATGGCTGGTGTCACCATCATCGTTATCGTTTGTCTGTGTAAAAGACTGAAGTTTTGAACTATACAATTATAGGTGAACCAGAATGCAATATATTTTAGGATTCAACATACTATAATTATACACACTATGGAGTAGATGCATAACCAAAATCACAAATTACACAATTTAGTGACACTAAACATATTTTTATTATTTTATTTCATAGACAACACACAAATTAGCTACTATCTACCCCTAGTTTGCCAATGTGTTTTATTATTCCCATGTGGCAATAGGCAAAGAGTGTTTGTTGACTAACCACAATATCTTCCCAGGAGACACCAAAATATGAATAGGTAAAAAAAAAAATTATTATATTCAAGTCTCCAATTAACCCTTCCACCTAACCTCCTTCCCAACTAAGCATGCAATGCAATTTCTTGGTCAAAGAAATCAACCCCCGAATATGAAAAAGAAAAAGAAACGTTTTCTACCAAAAAAAAAAAAAAAAACCGATAACACAAGTTGCCGGTGGAGATTCCAAAACTCTCAAAACCAGCCAACGGCCACCGGTGGAGATTCCAATACTCACCTAAAACCAGCCAGCGCCACCGCAAGCAGCGTCGTTTTGTCCACGTAGGAAAAGCCTCACCGGAAGCTCCCGGTTTTTTTTTTTTTTTTTTGCTTATTATTTATGAGTTTAGTCTCTCTCTTCTTCTTTGTCTTCAACTTCCTCTCTCAGCTATAAGTATCAGCTCTTGTACAACATGTTCCTTTTTCTTCTCTCTTCTCTCTTTTTCCCCCTTTGTTGTTTCTTCGTCTCTTTTCCTCCTTCCGTCTATTGGCCGCCGGCCAATTCCCGGCGAATTTCCCGTTTGGTTGACGCCGGTGGAAGAGAAACCAACCCCTCTTTCCCCTTCCCTTCCCTATTTATCTCGCCATTCCTTAAAAAGGTTAGCTCTTTCCCTCTTCACACTTCTCTCAGCTCCTCTCCTCTCATTCAATTCATTCTCTCTTTCTGGGCATATCTATAGATCTGGGCTATGTTTGTTTCCCAGCTAAATTTGGTTCCTTCTCGCTTCTGATCTTCTAGTTTAGCATTTTTCCATTGAATCCCATTGCCCCCATTTTCTGGATCTTGATCTGTTTGAGGGATTGAATTTTTGTTCTCTTCATCTCCTTTTTTGTGATGGGTTGTTTTATTTTTTATTGTTTTGCTCATTGTAGTTAGACAAAGTATGTATCTTGTATAATGCAGGGATGTTTCAGTATAATATTCATATAAAAAAGGCTATCTTTAACCTCTTTTTTATTCATTTTGCTCTGTTTCTCAAGAGTCAAAACCTTTTTTGTTTAGTTGTTTATACTTCTGTTGTTGTTCTGGTGTGCTTCATTCGGTCACTCTACATGCCTAGGAATTTGTTTATTGTTTGATTTAAAGAGCTTGGTGATGGAAGGAATGTGATGTTATTATCTCACATTCTTTGAGAACTTGGCTAGTTCAAAAGTGTCATTCTGCAGCTGCCAATCCTCTACTTTTAATCACTGCTTCTCGTTGTTGTCTTGGTATGGTAATTGCTGGATCGATGTGGAAATGAGTAGTGTTTTGTTGGGTTTTACTTAATTCCCTTAGAATTGGATGGTTACTCATTGATTATGAAGAGCCTTTAGGGGGAGAACTTAAAGTTTCCATCTTATGTTGTTGATTGTTTACAACTTGTAGGCTGCAGCTTTGTAGTTGTGGATTCTGCTGTTTGGGGAACGACTGCTGACTGTAAGTAATCTTCGTGGTGGTAGGAGCAAAGCATTTGTTTCGGTTGGTTGGATTTGAAAAGTTGAAAGAGTGAGAGAGCAAATGGATGGGCCTAAGGAGGGGGGACTCAGGAATGTGAGCTCAACATGCTCCATATCGGAAATGGATGACTTTGATCTCTCGCGCCTCCTTGACAAGCCGAGGCTGAATATTGAAAGGCAAAGATCATTTGATGAGAGATCGCTAAGTGAGCTCTCAATCGGGCTGGGAAGAGGAGGACATGATAATTATGAGAACACTTACTCGCCTGGTGCACGGTCGGGGTTCGACACACCAGCCTCGTCTACTAGGAACTCGTTCGAACCCCATCCAATGGTGGCAGATGCTTGGGAATCTCTTAGAAAATCTATTGTGTACTTTAAAGGTCAGCCGGTTGGAACTATTGCTGCTGTTGACCATGCCTCTGAGGAGGTTTTGAACTATGATCAGGTATTGTTTTCCTGTTATTCCTTTGATAGCATTCCTTTATGATGATTGTCTAGTAAGTGGGGTATATCCATTCTTATTTCTATGATACATGATATGTATTTCATTCCATATAGGCTTAATGATCCTGAAACTAAAATCTTGGTGAAGGTGATGAATTGAGCGCTAATTTCACTATTCCGTTCCAGGAGTGAGAAGGTTGAATAGTAAAGACTAAAGACCTTTTTCAGGGTTGTTCCTATTTGTTTCTATCTATTGGGTGGGGGGATGGGAAAGAAAAGCCCGAGGGCAGGCATGAACTGAAACAGAATCTGTTGATGCTTTTAGTTACTCGCGAAAATTTGTCACTGGTATTATTGTTAATGAATTTCGTGCATATTTGTAATCCATGCATATATACTTTGCATCAGGTCTTTGTGCGTGATTTTGTACCAAGTGCTCTGGCGTTTCTCATGAATGGAGAGCCTGAGATAGTAAAGAATTTTCTCTTAAAAACATTGCTTCTTCAAGGGTGGGAGAAGAGGATAGATAGATTCAAGCTCGGAGAAGGAGCTATGCCTGCTAGTTTTAAAGTTCTTCATGACCCTGAAAGAAAAACTGATACCTTGATTGCGGATTTCGGTGAGAGTGCCATTGGAAGGGTTGCTCCAGTTGATTCTGGATTCTGGTGGATCATCTTGCTACGAGCTTATACAAAGTCAACTGGGGATATGACACTGTCGGAGACTCCAGAATGTCAAAAGGGAATGAGACTTATACTCTCATTGTGTTTGTCAGAAGGGTTTGATACATTTCCTACCTTGCTTTGTGCTGATGGATGCTCTATGATTGATCGCAGAATGGTAAGTTGAGGGTCTACGGTTGTTTCCTGGAGTTGATACTTCTCTTGTTTTACCATGTTAAAAATGAAGCATTATCCCTAGGTATTGTTGAGAGTATGTTGTGTACCTGACACTATTATTTCAGGTTTCATTAAATAATCAGTTTTTGAACATCTTTTCAATGAGTTTTTCAACATCCTTTAGTTGTCCCTTGCTTTTAGTTATGCAGCTTTCCAGTTCCGTGTTGCAACTTCAAAACTCTGCAGTGGTCTAATGTCTGTTCTCGATATGCCCATTTGGGTAAATAGCTATATTATTCTGTAGTGCATGGCATTTACCAAAATGCTCGGAAAAGTTTTTTTTTTTTTTGTTCTCCTCTCATTTTGACTTCTCCCTGAAGGAGTTCCATACATTTTGCTCAAACTATGTCCTGCGTTGACTTCATGATTATGGTGTTTTCGGCATGTCTATTCTTGCAACTTAACAAAGGCCGTGATATCCTTTTGTTTTGCAGGGTGTATATGGCTATCCCATTGAAATCCAATCACTCTTCTTCATGGCATTGCGGTCTTCTCTATCCATGTTGAAACATGACACAGAAGGCAATGAGTTCATTGAGAAGATCGTGAAACGGTTGCACGCCTTGAGTTTCCACATGCGGAGTTACTTCTGGCTGGACTTCCAACAGCTAAATGACATATACAGATATAAAACCGAGGAGTACTCACACACTGCAGTAAATAAGTTTAACGTGATCCCCGATTCTATTCCCGATTGGGTGTTCGACTTTATGCCAACCCGCGGTGGCTACTTCATTGGCAATGTGAGTCCAGCAAGGATGGATTTCCGATGGTTCGCTTTGGGGAATTGTGTTGCCATCCTAGCGTCTCTCACCACTCCGGAACAGTCGATGGCCATCATGGATCTCATCGAATCTCGCTGGGAGGAGTTGGTTGGAGAAATGCCTCTCAAAATTGCTTATCCTGCTATAGAGAGCCATGAATGGCGCATTGTCACGGGCTGTGATCCCAAGAACACGAGGTGGAGCTATCACAATGGCGGGTCTTGGCCAGGTCTGTCTCTTTTCTTCTCCATCTTATTTGGCTAATATTTCTCATGCATTGGTTATTGAATACAAACTATCATCTAGGGGGCGTGTAGAAAGATTGCTACTTGCTAGTGCAGTTACTTTCGAACTTGGAAATTAATAAAAGAGAGCTCGAGTTAGATGCTAAGATTGAGTATCACCATTGTCATTTTACTCTGCTGATACTGGCCCCTCATGAATGTTTCCCTCATCAGTACTTTTGTGGATGCTGACTGCTGCCTGCATCAAGACGGGAAGACCCCAAATTGCGAGAAGAGCGATCGATCTTGCCGAGCAACGGCTGCTGAAGGACGGTTGGCCGGAGTACTACGACGGGAAGCTCGGTAGATATGTAGGTAAGCAGGCAAGGAAGTATCAGACATGGTCCATCGCTGGATATCTGGTGGCAAAGATGCTGCTCGAGGATCCTTCGCACTTGGGAATGATTTCACTCGAAGAGGACAAGCAGATGAAGCCTGTGCTCAAGAGATCAAGCTCTTGGACTTGCTGATTACCCAGATTTGAAAGTGTGACTGAATTCTTTAACTCTCTTCTGGTGGAACACAAACCAGTTCTTCTTCTTTCACGTGCAGCAGCTCCTTGATGGTAATTTGAAGTAGAAAGATTGATCTTTTCCCCCCCTTCATTTTCTTTGTTTGCTGTCCATGTGATGATTTGTACAATAGCCAAAGACTGAAAATTTGGTTGCTTTCTTTCTCGAATAAGATTGGCATTTTACTTCTTTTTTTTTTTTTTTTTGTCTTGGCGGGAAGAAAGATAAGAGCTTTCTTTCAGTTTCTGTTTGGAGAGAGAGAGGGGACACTAGAGAAAACTTTCAGGATTTGATTTGTGATCATTAGTTCTACACTATGGTTGCCAAATTATTGGTCTTTCCTACGGTTGGTTTCTCGGGAAGAAACTGTGTTTTTGAAACATTAGTTTCATTCAGTTCCTGTAGGGAGTTTAACTGAATTCTTATTTCGATTTGGTTGGACTTGAGAAACATTCAAAATTAGATCATCTTAGAGCGATACATTGCATATTTTTCTTCCCCCCAGTCAAAACATAACCAATGGTTTACAATACATATCTATAGAAGTCCGTCAAAACGACATGTATTCGAACAATGAACTCATTTCAAGCGGAACTTATTTTAACAACTTGTCATCCAACCGAACTGCTGAGAATTGTAGCTAAGATGAATTTGAGAAACTCAACAACTGCATAGTTAATACGCAAAACAATATGGGTTGAGTTGAGTCTCTGGAAAATTAAAAAGGTTCCATTGCCGGGAATCGAACCCGGGTCTCCTGGGTGAAAGCCAGATATCCTAACCGCTGGACGACAATGGAAGATGTTGGCTTCTGTCGCTCCAAAATTTTAATGGAGAATAAGTTTTAGTATAAGTGTAGAAATATTTTGATTCCTTTTTTCCCCCTATCTTTCTAGTATATTTTCTTGTATTATGCTTTAGTATATTTCTAGTATTTTCAATATGCATGCTTGTATTTGTTTACAGGCAGTGCTATATTTCTGGCATGCACAACTCATTACTTATTGATAAATTGACATAAAATTAATTTATTATACTATAAACGAATTTTAATTGCAATAAAGACCTAATCAGATCTCTTTTCTCCTGATGCCCATTCGATTTTTTCCCCAACAACTCTGAAATCGTCTAGCGACATCGACAATTCTACTAGTTTTTTATTCTAAGAATTACATGTGCAAATGTAAAAAGAGGCATTTTCCAGCTTTGAGTTATATTAAGAACAAGTTTCCAAGTCGATTCGAAGACCAATTTGTTGATGCTAATTTAGTGAGATACATTGAAAAAAGACTTATTTAATAGTGTAGACGACGAATGTTTTTTGCGTTTCTTTCACAATATGAAATCTCTCCGTGGTTGTTAAAAACAATGATTGTATAGTCGGTTATTTTTAATCTATGAATGAATTATGAAAATATAATTATTTTTTTAATTAAATATGTATATATTTATATTATGAAAAGAGGACAGGGATGGTTTGAAATGTTGGCTCCGCCACTGGATATATGAACTACATTCTACCCGCAAAATCACCAAAAATTACGTTACTTTAATCACATGCTACTAGAGAAGAAAAAAAAACACATATTGCAATCAACCATCTAACAAATCAACTAATCAATCGAAAAATCCCATTTTAATCAGCTTCTAATGTGAACCATATAATGTAACAACTAGATCATTATTTACACCCCCCCAAAAAATGGCAATCAACTAATTAATTAAGGCGCCAGGCATGAGACGCTAGGAAAATTGGACGGCGTGGAAGTGCCGTGGGCGTTAATGCAGACGGCGTAAGTCTGCACGCCGGCCGCCGCCGCCGCGATGTGGACATCTTTCATTACAATCCCGTCGCAGCCGTTCCCCGAGGTGCCCTCCTCGCAGTGGAAGTAGATTGCTCTAGGGACGCTCGAAGTGCCCGACACGCCGTCGTATGTGACGTCGCTGATCTGAATGTTCGACGGCGGGCTGCCGGTGCGGTTGTTGACGTAGTCTTGGTTGATTATGATTGGGTTCCCGGCGTCGATCATCCTTAGTCTCTCGAAAGTGACATTCTTCACGTACCCACTCCCGCCCTGAAAAAAAAAAAAAAAAAAAGAGAGTTACCTTCACTATATGAATCATTTTTGGCGGTGGCAGAGCAAGAAATCTAAATGAGTTTGTTACGAAATGTATACAATTTTGAGAGTTGAGGGGAGCGTTATAGCCCCTCGCCTACCAATAATGTGGCTCCGCCGATCCTGATTGCTTGCAAGTTCCACACCCTAATGGATAGGGCGGAGGAAATATAGACCAGATATCGTTTGTAAAATCGTGGACCAACCCGGATACATACAGTTTGGTCAAGATTGCAGACCATTAAGAACGATTTTGTTTGGTCTATGATAATGTATTATAAGATGTATTGATTTACTCTTGGTCTAGTCTGGTACATACCGTGATTTACCAAATCAAATCGTGGACCCAATCCCATTCTCGGCTCGTGTTAGAAACTCGGTACTTGATCACTCTCCCAAATCCTCGAGTGTGATCAGCTCGTGTTTATGAAACTATGATGCAAGTTGGATTGTTGATCTGACTTTATGTTTTTTTGTTATTTACTTGAATGTATGGTATCAGAATTATGCATGTTTGATGAAATTTATGTTTTAAGGATATAAAAAACATATTTTTTTCTCAGTTATTGGGGTTCGATTTTGTGTGTGTTTGACTAAATAAATTGTTAATTTTACGCTCTATATATATATGTATGTATATATATATATATGGTTATGTCTTCGGTGCACTCACTTTTTTGGGTGCATTCAATGCACCCGCCTCATAATCGTCATTCTGAGCAGGCGATTCATGTGAAAACGATGTCAATCATCACCTGTGGTATGATGAACAAGAACCACATGAATTTGTACAAAAATCATACAAGATTCACTTTAATTTGAATGATTCAGGGTTTAGGAATTTAGGGTTAGGGTTAGGGTTTGCAATTTGGGATTTTGGGTTGAGATTCAAAATTGAAGGTTAATAGGTTAGGGTAATTGGTTGATTAGTTGAGATTCTATGTTATATCATCATATTAGACTAATAAAACCCATTAAATTTCAAAATTTAATGTATTATGACCACTTTTAGAGGTGGGTACACTGAATGCACCCAAAAAAATGAGTGCACCGAAGTAGCCACCATATATATATATATATATATATATATATATATATATATATATGGTGGCTACTTCGGTGCACTTACTTGTTTGGGTGCACTCAGTGCACACAACTCTAAAAGTGTCCATAATACAACACATTTTGAATTTCAATTAGTACTCTCAATCTAATATGATGATATGACATAGAATCATAACAAATCAATCTATTACCCTAACCCCTTAACTTTCAATTTTGAATCCCAACCCAACATCCCAAATTGTAAACCTAAACCCTAACCCTAAATCCCTAAATCCTAAATCCTTCAAATTAAAGTAAATTTTGAATGATTTTTTTTTCAAATTCATGTGCATCTTGTTCATAATTCATAAGCAACAATTGATATCATTTTGACATGAATCACATGCTCAGAATGATAATTATGAGGCGGATGCACTGAGTGCACCCAAAAAAGTGGGTGCACCGAATACGCCACCATATATATATATATATGGTCAAAGATCGTATTGAACCGAACCACATAAACGTGACATAATCTGGATCGTGTAATATTTGGTCCGGTGATTCCTAATCTATACTCCAACTTCTCTATCTAAACGACACACCCTATGTTTAGAGTTCAGACCATACCGTTTCCCAGCCATGAAAAATTAGCCTATTGTAAACTTTGAAAGTCTATATAAAGCCGCCATATATAGGATACCTGCCAAGTCTTGATCCTGGCGCCACTAAGCGTCCGGTTAAAAACACAATCGGCGACGCGGACGTCCGACACCGTCTGGTAAGCGCCGTCCTCTCCCAGGCTACCGACGCTGATCCCGTGGCCCGGGCCGCAGGCGACCCGGGCGACGTCGACGTGGGAGCAGAAGCCGTTGATGGCGATGCAGTCGTCGCCGGTGCCGATGACGGTGTCCCGGACGCGGACGTAGGAGGAGCCGGAGATGTCGATGCCGTCGGTGTTGGGGCTGTCGCCGGGGGCGGCGATGGCGAGGCGGGAGATTCGGACGATCTTGGAGGCGGAGATGCCGATGTGGTTCTTTGCGCTGTTGAGGTGGCGGAGCTTGCTCAGCCGGAGGCGGTTGCAGTTGTTGAAGTACAGCGCCTGCAAAGATAGTTACCGGTCGTCGTCGATCAGCGGTTACGTAAGAAATAACTACCATTCAGCTGGTGCAGTAGTTTAAAGTGTGATTGCGGAAATTTTAGCGCAAGGGCCGGATGGTTTCTTTACGTAAGGAAAAATCAACCTTGTGTTACTTAAAAAAAATGTTAATCTATTATGTGACGCGCTCCTGATTTAACTGCTACGTAAAAAAAATAAAACTGTCACTCATCATAATCGTTATGTAAATGATACGAATTTTATCGTAACCATTGTAAAATAGTCTAAAGTGATTTTAAAATATTTTAATGGTCTAATTTGTTACGAGATAATTATATACGAGTTAACGTTAAAGTGGTAACTCAAAAACTTACCGTGGGCCGAGTGCAGTTGAAGTCTTCGTTCTGCATATTGTGAATTAACCAGCCACAAAAAAAAAAAGTGTCAAATTATGGAATGTGAAGATGGGACGAAATATAGAATAAAAAAAAAATATTCCAAATGTTGACGCTTATAAGATATATATATATATATATATATATATATATATATATTTATATATATATACATTTAATTCATAAAAAGAAAATATACACGTTAGAAATGTGTTTTAAAATAAAGAAATAGAAATCATAAATGCAACGTACTTTGCATAAATCCCACCAAAGCTGGCCGCGGCCGTCGAAGGAGCCGCCGCCGTTCAAGCTCAGGCCGTCGACGTTGAAGAATGCAATCCATGTCTGCCTGTTATTCCTCCACGCTGCCTCATCAGTCTCGTCGGGCGCCACTATCCTACCACCCACCTTTTTTTTTTTTCATTTCATAATGATATAAGTATCGTTATAAATCAACTAATCCCAATAATTCGAGTCTTTTTTTACGATGGATTTTCGTTATATTCTTTATTTTTATATTGTTATTACCTGAAAGTGAAGGCGATAGGAGTTGCATGGACCTTGGAAAACCAGAGGATTCAACAGAAATTCACGGTTACCGGCGGCGGCTGGTACAACCAGAGTTGGCATGTTGCTGGCCAATGATGATGCTCCACAGACATCGCTCCATGCTTTCAGAAAAGCCTTTTTTTAGTTATCATTTCATAAGAAAAACAAAAAAAAGCCTTATTAATTACTTTTTCCAGACAAATTAATCGGTCCAATAACTCGAGTTGTCTATACAGCTGGTATCAATAATAAAATCGACACTAAGCTATGGGGCTTGAAGCTCATGCAAATATAACATATATTGTGCTTGAATTGCTTATTAATATTGATATCTGAGCGTTGTGTATTCAAACATGAAACTTTGTGTCAAGAACGGGAAAGAGGTTCTGGCCGGTAAATGGATCTTTACACAACATAGTAATTTAACAAGTCCCCTCGAACAAAAGTCACGGGTTTTGAAGTTTGTACAGGTCGGGAATATCATGTGTTTAATTAATAAATGGGTTCGAATAAAAGACCTCTCGGTTACGTACACAAAAAGGTTGCGATACCATGTCAAGAACCAATTTGTCTCCAGCTCGAGTTGTTTGGAGCATGGAAATCAGAGCAAGGAAAAACAGGTGATATAAAATATATCTATTCATAGTTTCATACCTGTGAATTATCCGTTTTTCCATCTGCAACAGCTCCATAGTCGAGCACATTGAAGATGTTTGATCCATTGTTAACACTTGCACTACTTATCTTGCGAGAAAAGCAAGAGTGAGGGAAGAAGAAGATGAGGAACAAGGAGAATGCTAAACCTAAGGTTGCCGTGATGTTGAAGCAACCCTTCATGGTTTCTGCAGAAAGAAAAGAGGAAAGAGAGAGAGAGAGAGAGAGAGCAACTGTAAGGTTGAGATATGGGATGTTTGAGAGAAATCAAATGAAGATGAATTATGGCATGTGGAGGATATATGGGGGTGAAATTGACCCACCAATAATAATGTTAATTGAGTAAACTCTAAGATGCTCTGTTGATCAATTTTCCCAACTCATCAAATTATCCTCTAATTTGCTCTGATTGTAATTGGTCTCCCTTTGTTGAGATGGTGATTTACTAGGTATTAATACCCACACATATACCATTATTTTGGCTGTATTATTCTTCTTTAGGAGGAATATGTCCAAAGCTAGAGTCTGGTTTTGTTTTGGCATAATGCCATTTCAAATCTCTTGTTGACTCTGTTTTTTTCCTTTCTATTTTGGGTTTTCACACTTTGTTGGTGTAGTAGGAATGGTACCACTTCCAACATCTGCAATTTCTGACTTTCTTCTGAGTTACATTGTATGATGTTCAGCTGTTCTTTTCGCATAACATTGTATGATGTATCCCGAAAGACGATTCATCAGCTTCACCTAGGTGTGGTGGCGGATTCTTTAGATGGGATCCTTGCTCCAAGAGCATCGCCAGCTGGTCTCGTCGGAGTTCCTCATAGATTGACGCGTAAAACGCTATCGCTATCTCCTTTAGAGTTAGTTTCATTGATTTTTTTAGGCGGACTCCTTTTGAGTACTGTTTTGAGGGTATATGGAGTGAGAGTGTGTGTTTTTCCTAACTTTTCTCTTGTTATCTCTAGGACGGGAAAAAAAACTGTCGATCAAGAATCAGTACCATGCTCTTCTTTGTTTTTTTTTTTCATACAACAAAGTAATTTTGTTTACACTTCAAAGACTACAATGGTGTTACAAACTATGTACTTGTTCATCTTTCAATGTCTCACTTTTCATCTCACTGCAATCTGAAGAACTTTAAGTAAGATTTACAACAGATACACAATAAACTTATCAGAGTGGGACGAAGGAATACACAAACTTCAGGAAAATAGTCAGCCAACTTCAGGAATACACAATAAACTTTTCACACCCTCTCAGCAGTTCCCCTCCCCAAGGATCAACCTAGTCAGCCAACTGGGATCATCAGCAAAGGGCTTGCACGACATCGGCAGCATCCCAAGGTCGCGGCCGATTTGATCGTAATCGTTCAGAGCTGCTTCCATCTCGGCTTCCACCGAAGCATTGTCCACTACATCGATGGCATTCATGCGTAGAACGTCGGCGTAATGCTGCTCCATTTCTGGATCATGGCGGAAGAGATCCCTCGCAGGGCCCTGTATCGATGAATCCAAACACTTAGAAGCTAAAAGGAGATGGGTCCAAAGCATAAGAGGTCAAAGTGCAATGATACAAACTGGGAGTTTTCTGAGAATTTATTACCTGACATAATTCAGCATAATGTTTGTATATCTCACTGCTTTCGTCTTGATCAGCCAGCAGTGAGCCACCGTACCATCCCGTGGCTTCATCAACAGAGGTCATTTTGAGGTATCTGTACAGGCGAGAAAATAGTAGATTTCAGCATTCTGAGAAATGTGGGCGATGACGGGGGAAAATGCTCTTTAAAATAATGTTACTTTTGGAAGACATCTTGTTCATTGGCATCACTGGAAGAGGACAGCCAATTTATATCACATAGATAGCCAATGCCACCATCTTCGTCGCCTTCATTATCTGTTTCTCGCTCCACTTCCTTCACAGCCGTCCCTTCATGTTTCCTCTGGCCGAAGAGCCAATTTGGACTTTTAAGCTGGATTTCACTGCACAAATGGGGTCAGAACTCAGAATGCGTGTTATATCAAGGTGAGCAACCGCTTAACTGAACCAGAAACATAAAAACCATTGAGGGATACTTAAAACAACTGTTTGTATTATATGGTCACCAGGTAACTGTTAACCCCCACCCCTATGAATATTTTATGTTAGGGACACTTACGCTGCATCAGGTGCGACGCCTGAGGTTCCAGAGCCATAGCCTCCTGGTCGTTGATCGGCTTCACTCGACAATCTAACATCTCTTATCGAACTGCATGTCCTCTCGATTAACTTATCGAAGGATGTCAACTTCATTCGGGAAAAGTCTTCCTTGCAAGCAGGAATAGGAGCAAGGTTCAATCCTACACCAGGTCCCAGATTTGTTGTCTCAATGCTGCAAATGATGTTCGTGCAATTCAGTCAAGTGGGAGAAATTATGATAACTGTAAAATTTTCTCTGTCTGCTCACCCATTCTCCACAGGGTCATCTCCAACTGCTGCAACGTGAAGATAGTAGTCGGTATCTAACTCCCAGAGAGCCGGTCTCCCTTCTTGTGGCCGGAAGTAACCAAGGAACCTGGTGAGACAGAATAGGAACCATTCAAAGACTTTTACAAGATGTTATAGTCTAGTTTCAAAGTGCAGAGGAAAGCCCACATACAAGTTTATCGCATCCTGCTTTTCACCATCAGTATAAGCATTGCTGTAATATCTCTTGATTGACTTAATAAACTCTCTAGATTGAGTTGTAGCTTTCCACTTCCCTTGCCTCTCGAGGAAAACCTGAAATATACAACGACAAAGTTGAAGGACGAGACAAGAATCACTATCAATCAACAAGTAAAAAAATCTCGGATTAAGAATAGATACAGTGTTGTGCGCAGCCGAGCCACCATACTGTTGTGCCAGAGCGTCTCCCATACTCTGATACATATCCATGAGAGCCGCAGCAATGGAGCTATCGGCATCCACTTTGGGCACATCCGTGAGATTCATTGCGTGAAGTTGGCGTCCTAAAGCTGCTAAACCATAAGCATATTGGGCAACATTGGTGCGGTCCAAGCAGTCGATGCAGTTAGTACGAAGAACTCCACTTTGCAAGCATGGTCCATCAGTGTTGGGATTGTCTTGGTTGCTACTGGGAAGAGGAGCTGGCTCTCTGTCTCGATTAAGAATGGAGTTCAAGCTCTCATTACTGCTTGCGACCCGTACAAGCTCGCCGGAGCCAGTTCTGATATCTCTAAGTGAAGCATCCCTGTAAACAAATAGAGGACAAGGGAAGATGAAAAATGTCTCCTTCCTCTTGAAATAAGTCCCACACCAACTTTCGTTGAATATATAGCCTGTCACTCTATAAATAGGTATAATATAAAGAAATACTTGGTAATAAAACTTCAAAACCTAATTTTTCTAGACTTTGGGGGTTTTATTTGGAGGGGGGAAGGGATGTTGGAGGTGAAAAATATGTTTCCCCAAGGCTAGCTATGCTTTACGAATGAAGGAAAATATACCGCTGCTACAACAGTTGAAAGAATGGAGCTGAACAGAACATAAATTTCAAGATTAATTCTTAGGTGTGCTATGTCCACACAACTTTTAAAACATTTTTGCTCCTGTGGCCTAAATATAGAAGACTGGACTAGTTGGTGCCTCTAGTCAATCAAATAACCAAGTTTTCAATCGATATTCACACTTTTACTTAACTCTTTCAAACTCTTGCACTCTTAAATTTCCAGGATACAAGCATCAGAATTACCTTGCAGTGCTTGTTCGGCTCAACACGTTGGCTCTCCTCTTGACAACAACGGTTTTACCACTATAATAGAAGCCAGTCAAATCCAGTGCTTCCCTTGCTACAGCGCCCAAAACAGCTAAAACGTTGGCTGACTTGCTTTTGAAAAAAAAAAAAAATACAGCCTAAGTGTCAGATTAAGGACACGAATAACCTAAACTATGAAATTGTCAGACACATTTTCTTACGTCTTGGCAAATTTGTGGAAGTCCCAGTGTATGAATTTCAAATGGCTTTCCTCTGGAAGAATTGTGTTCAAATATCCAACAGCATTTGCGAACTCCCTCCTAAGCATCATTTCTCTAGGCCTCTTCTCAACCGTCTGCAAATTTATGCATTTTGATGGTTTTTTATATACAATTACAGCAGAGCAACCATAAAAATTCAGTCATAGCTAGCACTTGCCTGAAAGGGCTTTAAATACCTTAATTAAATTTAGAACGATGATTGGATTCCCATATCTCTTCATCAGATCTTCAAAATGCAGTTTTGTTGCCTCATACGTTGGATCATACCTTTGCACTATTGCAGAATGAATAAGTGGAATGCTCATAAAAGATGGAGCATGATAGGTATGTAATACATACAATGGAAAGAAAAGCTATAAGAGAAGTAAGTTCTTACAGACGATGTCAGGTTTTGGACTAAATCTTGAAGCTTCTTGTGACCAGAAAAGGGGAATAGAGCCGCGCATTTGTACTACTGAGCTCATTTTCCCCTTGCATGAACCAGCCTCATCATCAAGGACAATTTGTTCTGTTTCCACATCATTTGCTACCCTTCCCCAATCATTCACTCCTCTTTTCAGGTAACTGCCAATTCAAGCATTGAAATTTTCACAAGTGTAGGACATAACTATAACACAAGGGCTCTGACAAAAATCCTCTTAGCATCCAAATGCAACCATGAAATACTCTTTGTCAATGTCATAAACATAACCAGCAGAATGACTTCAACTGAACATTTGGGAGCAAATCTCAATAAGGAATATTTCACAACATGACTTGAAAAAAGAACATTGTTACTACATAAAGTGTAATAGAGTAGTGCATCTTAATCATAGAAAATCAAGTCCCTACAGGAACATCTGATTGTTGGAAAACAGTGAGCATAAAAACTAGAAAGCAGCATTGCACAAGCTTCAAAATCCCTAAAAATTAGATAGCACATAGAAGGAATGCAATGGCAAGGTAGTAAACAATACATCATAAATTAAAAGCAATGCATACCGAGTCCCTGCAAAATGACGAGAGCGTCTGGAAACCAAAGATACACTGAAGTCCCTGCCAAAGATTGACAACCTTGTCTGCAATCATAGGCGACAAAAATTATCAAAATTCTGAAGCACAAATGTTAAATATCTTAAGGTCATCAGACCCCAGATTAGGATGAGGACAATACAGCACAAAAGTTCCTAAAGTATACATCAGGTGGCTGATGCAAAAATTGTGTAAGTGGTATCTCTAGTACTGGAAATGTTGCATGTGCACAACCATATTCAGCAAATTTTGTTGAAGTAAAACGCAAAAAATTCAACATTATCTACATTGCAAGTGAGTAAAGTTTTATTATGGTCCAAAAACATACAGCTAAGATATCACCCTCATAAAAAAAAAAACATACCGAGTACAAATATAACTTGGTTGATAGTTACCAACAGCAACAATTTCTACAGCCATAGCACCACAGATGAGTGGAGAAAAATAACTGCAAACCTGCTTGAAGTTCCCGTGGACCAAAGCAATTGTCCAAATAGTATTACTGCATCTCATCCGAATAGGTCGCGTTAAGTACTCATTCCACACAAATATGTCATCATATGACATCTTGACTTCGCTTGCAGAAGACACATTCTTCTGCAAACATTGCATTACCGGATATGTATAGCTGAAGAAGAAATCCTTTGTCAAATCAACACTGGACAACAGTTTCTTGTACCTGCACTAGATCACAATAATACTAACTCTGACAGTCGTTCCACCAGCACTCTCTCTAAGGAGAGAAGGATAGCTTTAGCAGAAGAAAATAGAGCAAGAGGAAGTACCTTAGCTCAGTTTTAGAATGTGCAATATCAGTCTGAATAGTAACATGAGGGACTGTAATCAATTGGCTTTCGTCTATACCATATATAGCATGGCCACATATGCAACCTATTTGCCGACGCTTGGTGACCAAAATCAAATAATAAGACTCCAGAAACTTTATACAACCTGAAAAAGAGAACAGGGAGCATTAACACGATAATCATCATGTATCGGAATGTTGAAATAAATATAGCTTGTAAAACCAACCTGCAATTCCATAAACCTTTGCCACAAAAGTTAGGCCACCAGTCGAGCGATTTCCTTCAGCAATCCGCTGAAGCAAGCTCTTCATTTCTTGTGGAGAATAAACTACCGGATCTTCACTAATATTGAGATCAGACGGCTCTGAACGATCAATCTTTAACACCCGAAAGAACCTCTTGTTCCTATCGCTCCCAATTAAGTAAAACCTCTGCTTAAACGAACACAAAAGAATGCAAAGTTGAACAAACTCCAGTGATGAAAGAAAACGAATCGAAACTTCATAAAATACCACAACATAAAATGAACAAATGTGCCCACTAACTAACTAACTAACTAACTTCCAAGTGCACTAGTTCTTGATAAACAATGGTGAAATCTAAGTTAGGAAACTCGTATTAGCTCTCACATGAGTCTCTATCAAACACTGCAATGATCCCGAAATCAATCAAAATGACCCCTAAAGTATCAAGTCCACTTGAACAAATAACCAGGGAAATTGAAAGTACGTTGTTCTCTACATTTTCCCAGAATCCAAACATACTCCTCCAATTCGATTACAATTGGACCACAAGCAGCTAAACATCTGCCTGCGAATGCCCCACATCAACAGCCACAAGCCAATCTCACTTTTCCAATATCTTCTAATCATAAACTCATCCATAAAAGGCGACAGCAAAATCTCAATAGCAAAATCTACGGCAACGAAGAACCGAAATAGGGAGATGAACTTTCAGCCACAAACCTGTCTGGTCTCGTAGAGCTTGAACTTCTCGAGGGAGCAATCCTGAGGATTGATCTCGAATTCATTTGAAGGATGGATTTTAGCTGAGGTGCCAACGTAAGCCGCCGGATTGTTGGATTTCGAACTCTCCGATTTCGCCATGGATATCGCCGGAAAACAGAATCGGACCGAGAAGAACACAAACGAAATACGAAAGGGAAAATGGAAATCGGGCTAAATCCTAAATCGCCGTGTCGTCGTTGTGCCTTGAAAATGCAGCGGCGGAGAGAGAAAGGGAGAATCGGAATTCGGGAAAAGGTTCGGGTCGGGTCAATAGATTCCGCCGTTCCGCTTTAAGAACTTAAAATGTACTTTTTTCCGAATTGATCCTTCAACTTGAAATACTTTCCATATCAAGTCCTCAGATTTCAATCTTTTTCACCAGTACTTCTCAACCTATTTGTTGAAAAAACAAATTGGCTGTTGGCTCTTGAGAGAATGCCCATGAGCTGCTCACCGCGAAAAGATGGGAGCTTTAAGCTGTAACACCACTCACTGATAGTGAAGAAGGTTCTTCGTTTGTGGGTAAATGCTAGACAGAGCTCATTCTAGAGCTTGGGACGCCATAGTTAATTGCAGCGCTTCCTCGTCCGGTGGTGAACTCGATTACCAATTCTTCGCTTCAGTGCTCAAATCCTGCGCCGCTTTCTCGTCCATCAAATTCGGGAGCGCCCTCCATGGTCGTATCTGTAAACTAGGCCATCTCTCTTGTCAGTACGTCTCCAAAGGTTTGCTCAACCTGTATGCTAAGTGTGGAGCTCTCAGCGATTCCAAGAAGTTATTTGGAGAAGTGGGTGATTGCCACCACGATGCAGTCTTCCACAATATACTCTTATCTGGGTTTGCTGGCTCGAGGAAGTACGAAGCTGAAACATTGCAGTTGTTTACCAGAATGCATTCTGCTGATCAACCAAAGCCTACTTCTGTTACGATTGCCACCGTCGTTCCTGTATGTGCTCGCTTGGGAGATTTATATGCAGGTAGGAATGTTCATTGCTATGCAATTAAATCTGGCTTGGAAACGCATACACTTGTGGGAAATGCTTTGGTATCAATGTATGCGAAATTGGGATTGGTTAATACTGATGCCTATGCTGCCTTTGATAGCATAATTGCCAAAGATGTTGTTTCGTGGAACGCGGTTATTGCTGGGTTTTCTGAGAACAAGTTGATGAGTGATGCGTTCAGGCTATTCAGGTTGATGCAAGAAGGTGAGGTGAAGCCGAATTATGCCACCATTGCTAATATTCTTCCTGTATGCTCATCACTGTATAAGGACAGTGGCTACTGCTTTGGTAAAGAGATTCATGGCTATGTTCTCCGAAGTAACGAGTTTCTGAGGGACTTGTCGATTTATAATGCTCTTGTGAGCTTTTACTTGAGGGTTGGACAGATAGAGGCAGCTGAGTTGCTTTTTCACAGGATGGAATTCAGAGATTTGGTGTCATGGAATGCTATCATTGGAGGGTATGCATCGAATGGCAAGTGGTCAAACGCCTTGGGAGTGTTTGATCAAATGCTTGACCTAGACGCTGTCAGGCCAGATTCGGTCACATTTGTAAGCGTGCTTCCTGCCTGTGCACAATTGAGGGACCTGAGACGTGGGAGAGAGATCCATGGCTATGTTCTCAGGAACCCCTTCTTGTGTGAGGATACATCTGTATCCAATGCATTGATGAACTTTTATGCAAAATGCGAGGATGTGAAAGCAGCACATCGAACATTTTCCATGACTGATAGGAGAGACTTGATCTCATGGAACTCTATCCTTGATGCATTTGCTGGAAGGAGCGATGTTCAGTTTGTGCATTTAATAGAATTGATGTTTATAGAAGGATTTGTGCCCGATTCCATTACCATTCTAAGCGTGATCCAGTTTTGTGAGAATGTTTTGAGGGAAGATAAAGTTAAAGAGACCCATGGCTACTCAATCAGGAATCATTTCTTACATTCTACTGATGAACCTAGAGTTGGAAATGCATTACTTGCTGCATATGCTCAATGTGGCAATCTTGATCATTCCTTCAAGGTCTTCCAGACCATGTCAGAGAAGCGGAACTTGGTTTCCTTCAACTCCATGATTTCTGGATACCTGAATTTTGGATTGCATGCAGATGCATATGCCATCTTCAGCAGTATGCCTGGCACGGATCTCACGACTTGGAATCTGATGGTGCGAGCGTATGCAGAGAACGAATGCCCTGACCAAGCTCTCAGTCTTTTCCACAAGCTACTAGCTCGTGGATCAAAGCCCGATGAAGTTTCCCTTATGAGCCTCCTGCCAGTATGTGCTCAAATTGCTAGCTCAAAGCTCTTGAAGGAATGTCATGCTTATGCGATTAGATCCTGCTTCAATGATCCCCGCTTAAATGGTGCGTTGCTGGATGTCTATGCAAAAACCGGTAGCATAGGCTATGCCGAGAAGCTTTTCGAATCAACGCAACATAAGGATCTAATTTTATACACTTCCATGGTTGGTGGATATGCAATGCACGGTATGGGAAATGAGGCAGTTAGGGTTTTCTCTCACATGATCGAGTTGGGTGTAAAGCCAGATAATGTTATCTTCACCGCGGTTCTATCTGCTTGCAGCCATTCCGGCTTTATAGACAAAGGATTGAAAATCTTTGACTCTTTGGAGAAGGTGTATGGAATAAGACCAACTGTAGAACAATATTGTTGTGTGGTCGATCTTCTTGCTCGAGGTGGCCGAATTCATGATGCTTATACCTTGGTGAGTGGGATGGTGAAGGGTGCTGCCAATGCAAGTATATGGGGCGCTTTGTTGGGCGCCTGCAAGACCCATAATGAGGTGGAGTTGGGGAAAACTGTTGCCGATTCTCTATTCGAGATGGAAGCGAATGACGTTGGTAATTATGTTGTACTTTCAAACATCTTTGCAGCTGATGAGAGGTGGGAGAAAGTAGTAGAGATTAGGAAGCTGATGAAAGCGAGGGATTTGAAGAAGCCAGCAGGGTGCAGCTGGATTGATGTAGAGAGGAGAGAGAATGTGTTTGTGTCAGGAGATATGGCTCATCCTCAAAGGAACCATATTTATGAGGTACTGATCACGTTAGATTCGCAGATCAAAGAGCCGCGTCAGGTAGATCAACAGTTCGGGTTACAACTTTTGGATTGTCACAAATGAAAAGAGTGAAAACTACTACTGCGGGATTCTTCCCTTTGTTGCTGTCTCGAGTTCTTGAAGATTGTGTAATCTTCCTATTGTTTGAATGAGAGCCGTCAAGAAGAGCAGAGAGGATTTTGCATGAATCCTGTTGGTAGCATAATATGGTATGTTCAGCTAGCTGCGGCAAGATTAACTTAATGAAATCTCAGGGTTTTATTTATGCTACACATCAGTGCTTCAGTTTGATTGCTGCCTCAAAATGGGAACCATTTGGATAGGTTTCTGTTGCAACCAACTTTAAATAAGTTCTGATGCTTCTTACCATGGCAGCTCAATTAACAGTCTCCTCCCGCCTTTGAACTTGTTTGGTTCCCAAGCATCAGATTTCAATGGATGAGGTAATTTGCTGTAACAACCTGTTCATGAACTTTGATTTGGTTAAAGTCTCTGGTCTTACCATTCTCTCTTTTCTTGTTATTGTGAATTTACCTAATCCAATTTGAGAACTGGGAAGAAAGCCATGTTATCATTTTCAGCCTTAAGATCCTTCCATATGTTAACTTGTATGTGAAGTTACTATGTCCACTACACAGGAATATGCTGATCTTTTCCCAAAGCCTTATATGAGCCAAGATGTCTAATGGTGCTCTGTGAATTCTCACCTTCCAACTAGGATGACAGATATCAACTCAAATGTCAATACGATCTGCTCAACTCCAATGTTACCGGAGCAATGAGCAACTTGGGGCTGGGCATCGGCTTAATTCAGCCTCATGCCACTGCCACATCGTCCGTTCGTCATTCAAATTTTCGGCCTCCAACATCTCAGTCAGTCATGCAAAAGAGTTTCCATTTCCACTGACAATGTACTTCAACTTTCAAGCTTAGTATTCACTCTAAAAATGAAACAACCATTTCAAAGATATTCCCAGATTCTGTAACTGGTCGATCTTTATTATAGAGTGCATTTAACAAGAATCCTAACAAACAATGAAAGCAAAACACAACCAAGCGAACTTAATTCAACCCAACTGTGAGTAGTTCATACTAGGAATCCAGCAAAAAAAAATCCAAACTTTGGTCCGGAAATCGCACATGAGCGCCAGTACCAGGCTTCAGGCGGAAGCAGTCTTCTTCTGCTGGAAAATGACAGCATATACTGGAACTCCCACGCCAATGGAGAAGGCAGTCAGGACAGCAAGAGGCATCTTGATTTTCTGATACTTCATCCTGTCCAAGTTGTACATGTGCTTAGCATGCATATAGAACGGTTCATCATGACCATGGCCTCCCATCCTCTTCACCCCGGTCGAGTGGAAACTCCTGTTCACTGCCACAACACATCACAGACGCTTTGCTATCAGTTGGGCAAAGCAAAATCGACAATTTGCTGAAGACTACTCCAGGTCACCAAAGCTAGCTGATATAATAACTTAATAAGCATTACATGGCAATAACAGTATCACAACCCATTTAAAGCACCCATTTTTCAAGTTTGTAATTAACCTGTGATACAACAGTTAGCATGCAGGGGAAGATAAGATTCTCAAATAATCCATAAAGAAAAGAGGTACAGGTTACGTGAGGTGAAGTGTCACATAGTTATTTCAGCAACAGGTAAACGTCAGGCAAATGGAGGAACCCAGGAACAGGAGCTGGTAAAATTTTGGAAATTGACCAAGATATGAGGGGAATTAGAAGCAGTTCCATGACTGCCCAAAATCTAATCAACAGTTAGCATACAGATATGTAATTGCTCAGTCTAAGGAAGAGATCAGAAGTTGCATCCACAAATAGGACTCAATTCCTAAGGAACTGGATACAGAGACTAATAGCATATGATAATTCTACCAAAATGAAACTTACTAAGACAAGGTAACAGCTCAAGAAACTACTACAACAGAGATCAGCAAATAAAGATTTTCACTTTACACCTTGACGGTTGTTCTAATAATGATTTTCTTCTACACCATAACTCAGAAAAAAAAAAAAAAAAAAAAAAAGAACGAACACTGTAAAAATATAAAAGCCTTTCTAAGCACTTCGATGGTGGCATTGCCTGTAACATACACAAACTCAGATAACTCCATATTAATTCTTACTGCCTTCAACTGCGCCCTGCAAAGCCATCATTTCCAAATAGATGCATCTTCAAACAAATCATTATCCCGTTCCTTAATCTATCATCTCACCTACTTAGTGGACATTCAACTCCAAACCCTCTTCTCGACATAGAAAAATTCGGATTCCACTAATTCTCCGCAACAACAACAAAAAAAAAACAAATCATGTTTACAAACCCTAATCAACAGGACTGGGGAATCAGCAGGCAAATTAAAATTTTCTCCACGCCGATAAGATCCGGACTTGTTAACGAAATGGCGATTCGAAACTCCAACTCTCCACTTCCAAAGACTAGGAAGACGATGACTATAGAATTCGGTTCAACTGAATTCCCCCGCATTTCTCAGCAACCAAGCATCGCGCGATAAGAGAAACGAAAAGAACAGAGTTTTTGAAAACAAACCTGATTTGGACAGGAGCGATTCCGAGGCTGCGTAGAGCCTGGAGGCGGATCTGAGACCTGCGTTCATAGCCATGGCTTCGATCGGCTTCTAGCGAGACGAAGACAGAGAGAAGAGCGAGCGCGAGGGATTGGGAGTTGAACAATTGGGGATGAAAGGGTTGTGGTTTTCACTATTTTCTATTTTAATTTATAATTTATGTTTTTAGTATATAGTGGCCAGTGCCCAGTGGGCGTTCCATTGCATTGAGGCTTGGGCTTAAGTTTGGGCTTGAACGTGGCCTTTGTTTATCTCTCCGCACAGCAGGTAACTGGGCCGAGGTCCATTTTCCCATTTACCACTCCTTGTATCAAAACGAAGGATTGTAAAATCAATCAAAACTGCACCGAAAAAAAATCAACGATAAGTTATTTTATGTTATTGAAAAAAATTATGTTGAAATTAGTATTTAATTATCGTTTAACTGTTTTATACCTTTAAAATTATCTATCAATTTATACTCTAGTAAAAAAAATCGAGTCAAATTGTTATTACGATATGATTTTAAAAATACTGATTAAAAACTTAAAACTGACAAGGTAGAATCCACTAAACACATGGAATGTCGCATATACCCTTTTTTTCCCATATACAACAAAAAGGAAATATTGGTTTCACATTATCATTAATTGCCCTTTTGACAAAAAGAATCTAGTAGTAATTGTTCTAGATAGTGTTTTTGTAACCAATAAGCTACCATTTCATAATCCCTCCTTTTGAACAGGTCAGCCATATAAAACACTGTCATTAAATGATTGGTCAACTATCCATATTAAAAAAAAACATATCTCAGAATATCAATGCCATATAAATAGCACTCCCCTCTCTCTCTCATCGCTCCAAACATTATAATCTCTTCACATTGCACAAGTTATTCTCTCTTTTTAAAAAAAAAAAAAAAGTGAACAAGCCAAGCATGAAGAACTCCACCATTTTCCTTCTCTTCTTGGTGACACTTTTGGTCATCATTGGTAAGTAAATTCCCTCCATCATATAGAGAGATATTGCTTGATTCACAATTATATATCATCGTTTAGTCTATCTCGTTCTTGATTCTCGATATGTTTCTTTACCCTATCAATATTTGATGAAGATTAATCCTTTTCTGAATTCTTATGTTTTGATGAAAACTTGTAAACGTTCTTGGTTTATGCTCAATATCACAAAATATCACCTTTTTGCAACCGAAATGTACCGTAGTAGTTTTGGTTGCTAAAAACCCACTATTCGCGACCAGTGATGGAATCGCATCTAAAGTGGTCGCTAATTTCTCCTCTCTTTTTTATTCAGGAAACGAGGTGGCAATAGCGACGAGGGTTGGTGGTGCTGGAGATGGGGGGAAGAAGTGCAAAGTAGGGACGTTCGAGACGCCTCAGTGCGTTCCCCAAACATGCTTCTTTCAGTGCGACTTGAAGTACGGGAACCCAGTTGTTGGTCAATGTGAAAATGGTGCTTGTATTTGTTATGGCCCATGTTGATCGTCATTATAGCTATTTCTTGTAACTTAATTAGTGCATCAATAAAGTTTTCTTTCCTTCGTTATTGCTAGTGCTTTCATGTTAGTGGAGTGATTGTTTATCAACTATTGCAAATATGATTATCTTTTGTTAGGGACCGCAACGAGTTTGGTGTGGGGCCGGTTTATATATATAGTGGCGTTTTCAGTGCACTCATTTTTTTGGGTGCATTCAGTGCACTCATTTCATAACCATCATTTTAAACATGTGATTCATGTCAAAATGATGTCAATCATCACTTATGATGTGATAAACAATAAAGCACATGAATTTGCACAAAAACCATTCATGATTTACTTTAATTTGAAGGATTTAGAGTTTAGAGATTTAGGGTTAGGGTTAGGGTTTACAATTTGGGGTTTAGTGATAGAATTCAAAATTGGAGGTCTAGAGCTTAGGGTAATCCATTAATTAGTTGTTATCATATACTATACCATCTATTACACTAATTCTACAAATTAAAATTCAAAATCTAACACCTTAAGACTAGTTGTTGAGTACAATCACGTTTTTAAAATTGTAATCATCCTCGTAATCAAAATGTGGGGATGTAATATGGCATTACTACAACTAACGAGTATGCGGTTCGGGGAAATCCCGCCCGCACCATACTAAACAATCATGTATAAAGTTTTCGATCTAGTCTATAAATTTTATTTGAATGTCAATGTAAAATGAAGTTTATTTGTCACATTATTTACAAATGAGAGAAAATGAACAAGATTTGTGGTATGAGAGAAAATCGTAATGATTTAGGGATATGAATGAATGAAGTGTTAAAGTGAATGAGTCTATGACATAGTTATAACACATATTCAGGTGTGTTCGGTGTGAATACTGAAAATACCAAAACCGCACTAAACCCACTAACCTCTTTGTTGGATTCGAAGAGAACCCAACCAAAAATAGTATCAATTGATTTTTTCCTCACAAAACAAATTTTATTTCGATTGGATATCTACGATGATGAGTTATTGTCATTCTACTTTGTGTACGATAAATTTCCTGCATTTTGAGTATATACACGAATGGGGGGGGGGGGGGAGCACTTTCAGAAAGAAATGAAATTGTCCATTAGATAGCATAAAATCATTGGAAATATATGGCAAAAATGAACTTATTTAAGAAGGAACAAAAAGGCGTTGTGAAGGCAGGGATATCTCGGACAACATTCTCATTGCACAGGAGGTTATGCATTTCCTCAAAACGAAGACACAGGGCCGAGATAAGTGGATGGCTCTCAAGCTTGATATGGAAAAGGCGTATGACCGAGTAGAGTGGGGATTTCTCTTTGCTGTGATGGAGGCATTGGGGTTTGATTCTGCTCGGATCAAGTTGATTAAGGTGTGTGTTACAACGGTCACATTTTCCATTTTATTAAATGGCCACTCTCACGGCTATTTTTGCCCGGAAAGGGGTCTTAGACAAGGTGATCCTCTCTCACCTCTACTCTTTTCCATTTATACCGAAGCCTTTTGCACCTTGATCTCTAATGCTTTTTCATCTCAGCAGCTCCATGGATTGAAAATTCATCACCTAGCTCCAGTCACTTCTCATTTACTGTTTGCTGATGACACATATTTGTTTTTGCGAGCCTCTTCTACGGAATGCTCTAATCTTCAGCAGTTACTTAACCTCTATGAAGCAACTAGTGGGCAGAAGATCAACCTTCAAAAGTCGAAAGTGTGCTTCAGCTCCAATGTCTCAGCTCAAGAAGCGTCCGATCTAGCGACTATTTTGGGCATGGATTCCATTGGTGAACTTGACAAATATCTAGGCCTCCCCGCTCAGATCCAATGTCAAAAGTTCAGACATTCCGGTTTCTCGAGGATGCCTTAGCCAAAAGGATTCAGCATTGGAAGTCTAAATCTCTCTCCTTGGCAGCAAAAGAGGTGGTGATCAAGGCGGTTGGGTCAGCAACTCCGGTTTATGCGATGCTTTCTTTCCACCTTCCAGCCACCTCTTGTCGTCGTATGAATGGACAGCTCTCGAGGTAGAGGTACTGGTGGGCCAGCCAAGACAAGGACAAGGGAATTCACTGGATTTCCTGGCCAGCCATATGTGTAAGTAAGTTTCGTGGAGGCCTTGGGTTCCGGGACTTCGATCTCTTCTACATTGGCTCGAATGTACAAGGCTCGCTAACATCCCCATTGTGACTTTCTTCATGCTTCAACGGGTACTCGACCATCCTGGGTTTGGCAGGGTGTATTAGCTGGTAGAGAGTTGCTTCTTAAAGGGCTTCGGTGGCAGGTAGGGTGTGGCACTGCCATCAGGATCCTCGACGACCCTTGGCTACCTACTTCTCCCCCTTCCTCTCCGTCTCTCCTCCCCGGGGTCCATCTCCCCAGTCTGTATGTGGCATCTCTCACCGACCCTTTGACGCGGAAGTGGAATATACAGTTACTTCGGTTGTACTTTACTCCTGCCAGTATAAAGTCGATCCTCTCTATCCCTATTCCTCTGACTCACAGGCCTGACAGATATATTTGGCATTATTCAGAGACAGGTCAATATTTTGTGAAGTCGGGGTATCATCTCCTCTCGGATGCTCGCTCTGAGTTGTTCAACACTCTTCCCCCTCATTTGGATTCACGATTCTGGAAACTGCTTTGGAGCCTTCCTATTCCTCCTAAACTGAAGTTTTTCTTGTGGAGGGTTGTTTGGGGTTTTTTGCCTGCTTGGCGGTGCTCCATGCCAAATCCCTCAGCGGCTCTAATGTATGTCCTGTGTGCTCGGACGGGGTTGAATCTATTTGCCATTGCCTGTTTGATTGCAGAGTGGCGCGCGCAGTATGGGATCTCGCTAGAAAAGATCACGTCCGTGTGCTTCTCGCAGGTATGATGCCTGACTTAGCATGGTTTACTATTTTCTTCTCTTTGCAGCTCAGCAAGGTAGCCATGGCCGAATTAGTCTTCATAACCTGGCGGATTTGGAAGGCTCGTTGATGGTCTTGCTATGACAAGGTCTAGTTCCTCCCTGGTCCTCTTTTGCGACAATTCTTACAGCAAAAGGAGGAATGCACAACAGCCACTTCTACTCCATCTACAAATGGGCGTCCCTTGGCTCGGCAGCCTACCTCCTCTCCTTCGCCATCCTATCCCCCGGGTGGACTGCTCATTCGGTTTGATGGGGCGACTAGGCATGAAGTAGGTGGCAGTATAGTCTTTGTTGGATTCTCACCTTCTGACTCCATCGTTTGTGCCTACGGTAAGTTCTATAGTGGTTTATTTTACCCTTTTGTGATGGAACTTTTAGCGTTACGGGATGCGATGGACTGGTGCTTAACTAGGGGTATTTACTCTGTTTGTTTTTGTGGGGACTCACAATTGGTGATCCGGCGCGTGACGGAGGAAACGACTCATCATAACATTGGCGGAGCAATCCTGGATGAAGTTCGGCTGATAAAAGCATCGTTCGCGTCTATTCGTTTTGTTTTTTCTCCTAGTAGAACTAACATGGCTGCCCATTGCGTGAAGAAAACGGCTCTTGCATCGGCTAATCAGCATTTGACTTATTTTCGTTATTTATTTTTTAATTATTTGTAATTCCCTTCTATTACACTTCTATCTATGGAAAAAAAAAAGCATATTAGAGGGTTTAAGAAAGCATTATCTCTTCAACTTTTAACTTCAAGTTGAATTTCATCCCTATCACTTTCCGCCCTAAATAAATGATTTTAAACAATAGAATCAATTCACATTATACATTCATGCATTGCCCATTTCATTGAATCGAATACCTTCTATATATGGATTTTATTATTATGCGGGGGAAAAAACAGGAATCGTTGGAAAGGAAATTACAGCTTGCTCTTATAGTTTTTGGAAAATGGAACTTGGTAGGCTAATTATTTGACATACATGCACATCCTAGAAATTTCTTTATATATATAAAAAAGATATATCCTAGAATTTTCACATATACATATTTGGTGAATTTAAATACCATATTTGTTTTTAGTATACATGCAAAGTATATGGTATACGCCATTAACGATTTTGATATACATGCATATCCTATAATCTTCCGTTTGCATATAAATAGAGAGCTTAAGACTCCGTACATTCAAAGTGACAATTCAGGTGACTAGTGATATTAACACATTTTTCGTTCTTAAATACTTATATCATGAGGAGCTCCAACATCTTCCTTCTCTTCTTATTGACATTTCTCATCGTCGACGGTGGTAAATATTGTGATAATATTTTTCTTTTACATCTTTTTGGTGTTGATTTAATGACGAATCAATAATGCAGGACATGGAGTGGCAATGGCGACTAGTAACATTGAAGGCAGTGGATTTTGTCAGATAGGAACGGCACAAGCAGTCCCTATCTGCAGCCCAGAAACCTGCAACGTCGCCTGCAAGTTGAAGTATGGGAATGGGGAGACAACCATAGGTTTCTGTGGAAGTGACCAAACGTGTAATTGTTTTAGGCCATGTTAAGAAATAATGGGTGTTTCGTGAGTGGGTTGGGTGGTTTTCGAGATAAAATTCTACGCTTTTATAATTTTGTTGGGTGATGAAAAATGATTTGCACCTATATATTCGTAAAATTATGGGTGGGTTGCGCGGATAACAGTGAACCGTACCTGGATTGGTTTGCAAGTTAGCTATTATTAATTTGGACGTGTGTTGTTACATCATCCAACTACAATTGATTCAGCAAACACATTGGAAGAGGACTATATCCAGCAATATAACACTCCCGTTTCCACCTTGTCTTCGTATGAGTCATAATATGAGCAACTTCATTTTCATTTCTCGTAACATGAATTCTGCGTTTGTGTTTATACCTAAAAATAATTTAGTCTTAGATATCGCCGGCGTCGCGAGATTAACGACGTCGGTGATAAACAATTTCAGCGGTGTTGATACCTACAATTATTTTAGATTGAATTAAATGTCGCATTAGTGAGTCTCGACATTTAATTCGATGCCGCATGATAAAGAACGGTGCCATTTGGAGTCAAGCAACGTCGCAGGGAGGGAAAACGGTATCGCAAGGAAGCTCAGCGGTACCGCGACACTGGAAACAACACTGTTTACCGGAAAACAAGATGTGAGCCGCGCGATTAGTGTTGGTGTTGGAAAAGGGGTTATTTATTTATTTATTCCTTGTCGGAAGGGGAGAAGCGATACCGCGTGGAGACAAGCGGCATCGCGGAGAATTAAAACGGTACCGCGGATTTGAAAACGATACGACGAGGGGCCTTGGTAAGCTATGTCGTTTAGTTAAAAACTATACCACAACGGATTGGATTTTGGCGAGGGCGGCCCGGCAAGCCCAACTACACCGAAGACGAGAAAAGCAGTACTGTTTGGTAGAGAACAATATCGCGGAATGAAAAACGACATTGTTTGATGGGACTGGGACGAAGCAGTTCAAGGTCGGCATCGATTAGTGAAAAGCGATGCCGCGAAAAGATTAAACGGCGCCGAGGGATGAGAATTTGACCGCGTGACAATAATGAGCCGATTTAATTAATTAATCTTTTTAATAATTATTTTAGACGGTGTTGTTTAGATAAAAACGACGCCGCGGGAGGTATCAACGACACCGCGGTGTCATAAACGATATCGTTTGATTAAAATGATATCGCAGTGGTTAAGAGCTCGGCCAAGGGTGGCCCTCTAAGTCCAACGCCACTGTTATCCCAAAGCAACATCGTCATTGTAGCTTTGTTCCACGTGAGATTCACGCAGAATAAAAATCGAGGCGGTTGAGACACGTGGGAGTTCACGACGGAGCAGTTGAGGAAGCGGTTCCACCGAGCGTGAAGACTACGAAGCGGTTTTTTCGAAGAAAAGCAGTGGAGCAAGGAGAGAGAAAGGACAACCAAATCAACACAGAAACACATCTGTCAAACTTTGCCTTTCTTCTTTGTAATTCCCTTGTAGAGCTCTCCTTCTAGGAAGGATCTCCATAGTCGTAGCAGTAGTCATAGTCGCGGAGCTCTCCACATGAATCTCCATAGGAGTAGTTTTAACGTAGATTCCCCCCCAAAAACTCAAATACCCTCGTTCGAACATTGTTTGGAGAGGTGTGAACCGAGTCACGATCGTTCTTGGTTAGAAGTCAAAGGTGCATCGATCAGATCAACATCGCCAGGCGGTGGATATTTGACGGTCATGTTGATTTCAGCATTCAGAGGTGCATCGATCAAATCAACATCCCCCGACGCCCAGCGGTGGATATTTGACGGTCACGTTGATTTCAACAGTCAGTGGTGCGTCCGATCAAACGACACCGCAAAATTTTCTGTCGCGAAACATCAAATCAACATCGCCGGAAACAAATTCAGCACTGGCGGTGGTATTTGGTTTTCCCGAGGAAAGAAATTTTGGTGCGGTGAGCGGTGGCACCGACGGTGGTATTTGGTTTTCTGGGTAAACAGTTTGATAAGTAATTCCCATCTGAGTGTGCACCAGTTCTCCGTCGACTGCAATTTCTGAAAGAACATTGTTCTCTTAACATTATTACGTACGAAATAATAACGATCGATGGTTTCATCAACGATCAGAGTATAAGATCATCTCCCATAATTATTATTAGCTAATGAATTATGATTTTTCTACTTCCGTTGAAAAAAAGAGAAAAAATTATTTTTAATATGTGAGGGCAAAATAGTCAATTTCCACTTTATTTTACCGTTAGTTAACAGAATTTTGAACGGAAGGATATGTGTGTTATTTTTCGATAATAGAAGGGCATGTTTGTGTATAAAAATTATAGAGGGGCATGTTTGATAATTTGCAATAGTACAAGGGTATAAAATGCTATTAACCCTTATTTAATTTGTACAAATGAGAGAAAATGAACAAGATTTGAGGTATGAAAGAAAATCATAATGAATTAGAGATATGAATGAACGAAGTGTTATGAATGAGTCCATAACATAGTTATAACACATATTCAGGTGTATTCGGTGTGGATGCTGAAAATACCAAAACCGCACTAAACTCATTATCTTCTTTGTTGGGTTCGAAGAAAAAAAAAACAACCAAAAATAATATCAATCGATTTTTTCCTCACAAAACAAATTTGATTTTGATTGGATATGTACGGTGATGAGTTATTTTGTCATCCTGCTTTGTGTAGGGTAAATTTCCTGCTTTTTTAGTCCTTTTATGGTATATACACGAAGAAGAAGAAGAAGAAAAAAGAAACAGAAGAGCCACCACTTTCAGAAGGAAATTTTTTCCTCACAAAACAAATTTGATTTCGATTGGATATGTACGGTGATGAGTTATTTTGTCATCCTGCTTTGTGTAGGGTAAATTTTCTGCTTTTTTAGTCCTTTTATGGTATATACACGAAGAAGAAGAAAAAAAAAAAGAAGAGCCACCACTTTCAAAAGGAAATTTTTTCCTCACAAAACAAATTTGATTTCGATTGGATATGTACGGTGATGAGTTATTTTGTCATCCTGCTTTGTGTAGGGTAAATTTCCTACTTTTTTTAGTCCTTTTATGGTATATACACGAAGAAGAAGGAAAAAAAAAACAGAAGAGCCACCACTTTCAGAAGGAAATGAAATTGTCCATTTGATAACATAAAATAATTGGAAATATATGGCAAAAATGAACTTTTTTTTTAAAAAAGGAACAAAAAGCATATTAGAGGGTTTAAGAAAGCATTATCTCCACAACTTTTTAACTTCAAGTTGAATTTCATCCCTATCACTTTCCGCGCTAAATAAATTATTTTAAACAATAGAATCAATTCACATTATACATTCATGCATTGCTGATTGCCCATTCCATTGAATCGAATACCTTCTATGGATTTTATTATCATGCGAAAAAAAACTGGAATCATTGGAAAGGAAATTACAGCTTGCTCTTATAGTTTTTGGAAAATGGAACTTGGTATGCTAATTATTTGACATACATGGACATCCTAGAATTTATATATATATATAAAGATATATCCTATAATTTTTTTTAAGGATATATCCTAGAATTTTCACATATACATATTTGGTGAATTTAAATACCATATTTGTTTTTAGTATACATGCAAAGTATATGGTATACGCCATTAACGATTTTGATATACATGCATATCCTATAATCTTCCGTTTGCATATATAAATAGAGAGCTTAAGACTCTGTACATTCAAAGTGACAATTTAGGTGACTAGTGATATTAAACACATTTTTCGTTCTTAAATACTTATCATGAGGAGCTCCAACATCTTCCTTCTCTTCTTATTGACATTTCTCATCGTCGACGGTGGTAAATATTGTGATAATATTTTTCTTTTACATCTTTTTGGTGTTGATTTAATGATGAATCAATAATGCAGGACATGGAGTGGCAATGGCGACTAGTAACATTGAAGGCAGTGGATTTTGTCAGATAGGAACGGCACAAGCAGTCCCTGTTTGCAGCCCAGAAACGTGCAACGTCGCCTGCAAGTTGAAATATGGGAATGGGGAAACAACCGTAGGTTTCTGTGGAAGTGACCAAACGTGTAACTGTTTTAGGTCATGTTAAGAAATGTGGGGGTTTCGTGAGTGGGTTGGGTGGTTTTCGAGATAAAATTCTACGCTTTTATAATTTTGTTGGCGATGAAAAATGATTTGCACCTATATGTTGGTAAAATTATGGGTGGATTGCGCGGATAACAGTAAACCGTGTCTGGATTGGTTTGCAAGTTAACTATTATTAATTTGGATGTGTTGTTACATCATCCAACTACAATTGATTCAGTAAACACATTGGAAGAGGACTATCCAGTAGAGGTGGGCATTCGGTTCGGTTTCGACCGAACCGAAATTATGAATACCGGGTCCCCGAATTCTCCCAAACCTCAAACCGAATTCGAACCAAATTATAATTCGGTTCGGTCAGTTTAAACCGAACTATAATTCGGTTCGGTTTTCACACAAAACCGAATTTGTGAAGCTACTTGTATTTTCTCACTTTTAAATTATTTTTCACCCCTAATATAAACAATAAATATCAATTATATGCATCATCAATGATAAAACCAAACTTTTCAACACATAAGTCATAAAACATTTCAAATATTTAAGTCTAAAAACAACTACAGACATAAAAATCCACCATTTGGAGCTTGCAATTATAGTATTTCGGTTTTTCGGTCGGAAATTCGGTTCGGTTGAAAGAACCCTGATTTCCGAACTATCCATATTTTCCTTCCGAACCGAATAGCATTAATTCGGTTTCGGTTCGATTTAATTCAGTTTCGGTTCGGTTCAGGTTTACCGAACCTTTTGCCCACCCCTACTATCGAGCAATATAACACTCCCGTTTCCACCTTGTCTTCGTATGAGTCATAATATGAGCAACTTCATTTTCATTTCTCTTAACATGATTCCGCGTTTGATAAGTAATTCCCATCTGAGTGTGCACCGGTTCTCCGTCGACTGCAATTTCTGAAAGAACATTGTTCTCTTAACATTATTACGTACGAAATAATAACGATCGATGGTTTCATCAAGGATCAGAGTATAATAGTATCATGTCTCATAATGTAATTAATATGAGATCTAAATATCAATTTTCATACAAAAAGGTATGTCATACCCTAGATTTACCCGAGTTACTACGAAACACCTAATTGTCATTTCTTCATTGAGTGCTTATTTGTGTTTGGTAAGACATTTTCTTTCCGGGTGTCTATATACACAAACGATATCCGCTAGAATAGATCATCCAATAATAGCAAAGACTATAAAAAAAACGGGGATTAAACACGACACTTTCAAAGAACAAAATATATATCCAAAGTTCAAGGGCTTTCATAACGTACTTTCCACCTTCCATGGCGGAAGGATTAATATATAAAATTCGTTCCAACACTTCTAATTAACATACAGATTATAAATCATCAAATCAAAACACAATACTACACAAACAATGAACGCCGCCGCCGTCACCGCCGCAGCACTACTACTCTCAACAATCCTAACAACAACAGCCACCGGGCAAGCCGATGACGTGGCGCAGCCGGAGTGGAGCCTGTGGCCGTACAAGCACGTCCACATCAGCAACGAGCTGGGGTCCAGCGTGGTGATGACGGTGCATTGCAGGGGCAAGAGGTTCCTGATGAAGACCAAGGACCTCGGGGTCCAGTACGTGGGAGACGGAGGGGAGTACACGTGGCGGTTCAGGCCGGGCTTCTTCGGAGTCACCAAGTACCCTTGCCACGTCACTGCCGTCCACGGCAGCCAGTCGGTCCACGTCGACTTCGTGTCTTACTCGTCGAGGAATCGGCACTCGTTCGTCGAGCACAAGAACAACGTGTACTGGGCCGTTAAGCGTACCGGCGTGTACGCGAGGGACGTGACCAAGGGGGCGAGTGGGGATGTGTTGAAGTACGTTTGGGTTCATGACTCATGAGAATTGGTTTTCGAAACATAGTATCGTCTATCCCTGTAGTATATATGAATTTGTTAGTTTCAATTCTCAAAGACGACATAATGGGCATTACGTTCGGTCGCGCACTAGGTTGTAACTTTTCTTCTTCCCCTGGTAACCCCCATTTTCTTGGTTGTAGAGCCTTCCCCATCAATTAAAAAAAATATATGAAGCAAATGTTCGTTTTCGAGTCGTATGGAATTTATCTTGGTTTATATTTAACCCGGAATAACTCATTTGGCAAAAAAAAAAAAAAACAAGTAAGGGGGCCCACGACAATCGAAATGATGCACAATGAATCAGTTAAAATACCTCCTCTCCGGCTAGATATTTCTTTTAACCAAGGTTGTCAACCCACGGGTCGACCCACTTTGATCCTGAGCCGGTGAGAAAAATGGGCCGCACGCACCCGCCGGGTAGACCGCTACAAGGTACCGGGTTGAAGGTCAAATTGTGTCATTTTTTCTTTGGTTTGCGAATTGCGCCTATTTTCCGATTTTTCTTTTCGCCTGACTCAATCTTTGGAATCCTAAGTTGAACATTTGGATATATATGTTATATATAATTGTGTGTGAATTTTAACTCTATGTTGGATCTAAGTACGACATGTTATTTTGGTGGAATATTATATGTTATAACTCATATGTTAGATGATGTTTGATATAATTTATCAGGATAAGTACAATATAATGACTCTTTCCATATTTCCAGACTAAAACGGGTGACCCATTAACCCTTGACTCACTAGCTCGACCGGGTCCGGATACGCCCGCGGATTGATAACCTAGTTTTAATTCACTCCTCCGTTCTTTAAGTGGCGAAATAACACAACATGTGAATGTTCTATCATATAACAAAACCACTAGACTATTCATGCAGTACTTTGATTCAAAATACCAAATAACCAAAATGATCCCGCATCCAATAGTGATGGCAATGGAGTGGGGCGGGTACCTCAATACCCATGCCCCGACCCACGCTACTACGGGTCGGGTAAAACTCACGCGGGTACGAGGTTGGGCGGGTCGACCTACTCTTACATATTATTTGAAAAAAAAATATACGTAAATTTTACTTTTTACGATAAAATAAAGAGGAAAACACTTTATGAATGAAAATAGTTATAACATAACGGGTAATTGAGTTTAACAAGTTGAAAGATCGACTCTAAATAGTTGAAGAAAGTAAAAATAGGAGAAATAGGGTAAATGCCACATTTGGTCACTTAGATGACTAAATCATGTCATGTTTAGTCACTAGAAAAAATTAATATAAATTTTGGTAACTCGAATTACTGAAACATGCCACATTTAGTCACTCTCCTGTTAGTTTCCGTCTAACTCCATTAATGGAGTTGGACAGAGGCTAATGGAGAGTGACTAAATGCGACATGTTTCAGTAATTTGAGTGTCATTCAGAAAAAAGAGCAATTCGAGTGACTGGAGTTGGACGGAGGCTAACAGAAGACTGACTACTAAATGCGAACTGTTTTAGTAATTCGAACGACCAAAATTGATATTAATTTTTCTAGTGACTATACATAACACGATTTAGTAATCCCAGTGACCAAATGTGCCATTTACCCGGAGAAATATGTATAGAGATTGTAAGAAATTGAGATAGAATTGACAAAAAATGGAGCGAGGCAGGATAGGGCAGGTCGGAAGTAGATACTCATGCCCCGCCCCATGCTACTGCGAGTCGGGTAATACCCGCCAGGTCATACCGGATAATACCTGGGACGGGTTGAAATTGTCACATCCAAACCAGTTTATTTATTTGCAATGAAGGTGTCATGGGGCTCGTCGTATATGTAACAAACTAGCGTGGGCCCCGACCATTTGGCCGGAAGAAGGTGAGGTATGAAATTTGATAATATAATGGGGTGTATAACTTATTGTTGTATAGTTTTTTTTTGGGAAACACGTGATAAAAAGTAGTGAATTTTTGTTAGAAAGAGACATGAATTATGCAACGAATCAAAAATCAGTCTTATCAACCAAAATCAAGTACCTATTACCTTGTGAAACAATATTTTTTCTGGTAATATGATGAGGTGGAGTAAGTTTTATAGAAACCGAATTCCAGAATATCGAATAAAAAATCGCCTATCCCGCCGGTTTTCGGGAAATGAGCATCTCACAATTGTTGTTAGCTTTTACTCGGCCCGTTGGCCGGTTAATTTGCTTTATAAAACTTTCGTCTTGTCATCATTGTGTTTTCTGGTTTTTTGCCAAGCCATGATAAAATCTAAAGAAAGAAAGAATGAACAACACGATTTGGGATAGGAACCATTGTTCCTGTATCCTTAGAAAATGGTGGTAAACATGGACTCACCTGCCAAACTGGTTTGGATTGATATTTTTATCGGGTATCAGGGAACCATGTGATTATAAATTAGTCTTGATCAAAACGGGCCAAAACTTGAAATTCAGCCTATTTGACCGACCCATGCCAAACTCTAATTATTCTTTACTTTTAAACTTCTATTTGAAAATAAAAAATAATGAAAGAAAAGAGATAACTGCAATTCACCATTTGCACATCACTGATTCGGGAATAAAACTATAGAATTTCGAAAGGAAACTGAAAATGTTTAGGATCGTTTTAATGTTAAAAATAACCAAATAGATCTTTCTGTTTCGTCTTTTACTAACAAACACCAAATGATTCCCTATAATATACACTATAATTTAAACATTATGATATCAAATAATTACATAATATATATTTGAAATGATAAAAATTGGACTAATTGGGTTGGTCGAGGTTGAACCATTGAATAACTTTAAAATAAATTATATTTTAGCCACTAAGATATAAAATAATAGCATAATATATATTATGATAGAGAAAATAGCTTGTTTTAGAATGACAAACCCATGATGTACATTTGTTTTACTTGATGAACAACTCCCGTGTAGGTCAAGCCCATTCAACTATTTTATTTTATGATTAGCGGTTAGTGCATTAGAATTCATGCATTAGTTTATTGTTAATTTTTTTTCTTTTTAGCAATAAAAAGGAGTATCGTTTTTGCCTTTTTATATATATTTTACCACCACGGAGAAATAAAAGAACTTAAAGAAAAAAATTGACACTGCTGGATCCGTTTAAATCCGCATGTGTACAGTAAGTTGGTCCGTTCCACAGAGGAAAAAGAAAAAAAATTGACACTCCCTATTCTACCCTTCATACAAACGCTCATGGAGCAGGAAATTTGAAATGGGAAAAGAGTTTTTTCCTCTCTGCGATTATATGTTTTTAATTTAAAAAAATACAACAAATGTATTTAGTATTATTGGTTATGATGTTTGGTTTTTATTGTTTAGATAGATGTTCAGTCGGAGAAAAACCACAATCTCATCCTCTTCGTCTTCGGCTGCCTGCCATTCATCTTCTTCACCACGAACTCCTCTCATCCACTTGCTCCAGCCGAGGAACCCGGACGACGATTTAGAGAACCGTGCACAGCGTTTCTTCCAACGCTCTATAATGTAGAGGAAGATCAGGTGACGACAAGCGGCAACGGTTTTCGACTCATGGGGTTAGAACAGGGGAAGTCAGATGGGATGATAGAAATGGGTTGTTGGTTGATCGATTCGAATCTTCCAGTCTTTTACACTGGAGTTTTAGCTTCAGGGTTTTGGCTTTTGCCTTTCTCTTCCACTTTTCATAAATTAATAATCTCATTCCAATTTAGATCTGATTGAATCCAGTCAATCTACAATCAACGCAGGCGGGATTTACAGCGGCGGAGGGGAATCAGGCTCGAAATCATCAACGGGCCGGCGAGAGGGAGGGAAAGAACGGAGATGGGAGCGCTTTCTGGGTTCTGTATTCAAAATGGGCGTCAAAATATCGCTGGAAAGGATTTTCGGTCAAAATACCGTAAAATATCGTTGAATATCGCGATATTTATTAATATATTGTATCTCGTCAATTTCAATTTCTCGTCAATTTCTCGCGTTTCGATTTTGGTTTTGAGGACCCGAAACGTTTCGCGTTTCGGCCCGCCGTTCCACGTTTCCCGAGTCCTTTTGATGGGTTTCGCGGGTCCTCTGAAGCAGGTGCCGCTGGGCCCAATATGTGGATGGGCCAAGACATTTAATCGCTCCGGATAACTTTTGATCATGCAGGCCCATATGAGCAACCCCATCCAGAGCTTTTTGGTTTTATGCCGGATTCTGGCCGATGGGGACGGGCCCAACTCCGGCCACCCCTGGCCCTAAAGCTACGAAGCTGCAGAAACGGATAGAAGGCACGGAAATTTACGGGAGAAACGCCGAAACGTGAAACGTTTCTCCACCTCAAAACCAAATCCGAAACGCGATAAATTGACGATAAATTGTAATTGACGAGATATCACGATATGAAGATATTTCGCGATATTTACGAGATATATGCGATATATTGATTTTCCACGATATATTGGCATGAAGAGGTCAGATAAATTGCCGGAAAAAATCTTTTTAGCGCCAATTCAAAATAAAACCCCCATTTTCCCCCATGGCGCTCTCACCTTCTGCATAGTTTGCTCCACACTCTTCTGAGTACCGCGAAACTGTTCGAGCCGATGAGTTCTCCTCCACTAATTGGCGGCGGCGACGACGACGAAGTCAGTTCGATTTCTTTCCCCTTTCCTGATTTCTTTCACTTCCTCAACAATGTTTCTTGGGCTCCTTTCACTGATTAATTTCTGCGTTTTCCCCCCCTCACTTTGTTCTTTGAGTAGGGCTTCGATTGGGAGGCAGCGGTGAGAGAAATCGACGTGGCTTGCGAAAATGCGAAGCCCTCCTCTTCTTCATTCCACCACAGCCGGCCGTCTTCCGTGCTCGATTTGGATGCGGAGAATCGCCGCCCCGCCGCCGGCGGCGCTTGGAATTCCGAGGTAGCGTCCAATTACTCGTCGTCGTCTTCTCTCGTTAATAATGGAAGGAGGACTGGGAATTGCAGGCAGATGACGCTTGATAGTTTCGTCGGGAAGGCGGCGGCTGTGCGCCAGGTGAAGAAGTGGGTTGTTGAGGATGTAGAAGGATCTGCAGGGAGCATGGGTGAGGTTAGGGAAGGTGGATTTAGTTGTGTTGAGATTGATGCTGAGGCCGCCAAGACTTGGGTATATCCAGGTCAGTTTTTTTTTCCCCGTTCTTTCTTTTGGCGATTCCTATGTGAATCTCGTCATTGTTGGTAGTTGGTACCATTCTGTTTGAAGTGCTATCAGTTTGTTGTCAACAACAGGTTTAATTTTTTTGTTCTTTCCTATCATTTCCATCTGAAGTTCGTATGAAACCAAGAACTTAGTTGATTGGATTTGGACCACCTTTATAGTATCATCCGTATAACCAATTTTGGCACTCGCGGCTGCAGTCAATGTTCCTCTTCGAGAATACCAGCTCGCCATAACTAGGACAGCATTGTTTTCAAATACATTGGTGGCATTGCCAACTGGCCTTGGAAAGACGCTTATTGCCGCAGTTGTTATGTACAACTACTTCCGTTGGTTTCCAGAAGGTAAACCTAGTTGCAGCTTGCTCCTTATGTATTATAGTCAAAGTTAACTCACTTATTTGTTACAAGTATGAATCGCTTGGAAACATAAATTCCATTTTCGTTAGTGCTGCCAAGAACTTTTGCTTTCTTTTCCTTTCCTACTTTTGAAATATGTCAGCCCCTTGCTCATTTTCTTTATGTAATAAGAGAGAGTAAATAAGTTAACCTTCTCAGCCTATGAAACATAGATGGTCCTTATATCAGCACGGCCTCTTCCTTGTATTCTTTGGTCATATAAACTCAAATGGGGATGGAAAAGCTCCGACCTTTTGTGCTCATTATATTCAGAAGCCATGCTGATTTGGCTCTATTTCTTTCTCTAAGTTAGTCATTCATCAGTTCTTATCTAGTTTCTTGGAAAATAATCTCCAATCCACTTATTCTTGTTTCATTTGTTCTTTCCTTTTTATAGGGTGTTTAGTATACTTCTTACGTAGTTGCTTTTATATGTAAATTTTAGGGAAGATTGTTTTTGCTGCTCCTTCTCGGCCACTCGTACTTCAACAGATAGAAGCATGTCATAATATAGTCGGAATACCACAAGTAAGATCCTTTTCCTGATCAACTGAACAATCGGCCCCATGGTTTCTTTTCCTGCAGTTCTTTTATTTTACATCTTCATGAAACTATATAAACCTATTGCAGGAATGGACAATTGATATGACAGGTCAGATAAATCCAACAAAACGAACAGACTTTTGGAAAACGAAACGGGTGTTCTTTGTTACTCCCCAGGTCCTGGAGAAAGATATTCAGGCCGGTAAGTTCTAGATCTCATCCTGGTAATATAATATTCATTGGAAATTGTTCTCCTGTTGTCATTTCCAAAAAAAGAGCTTCCTCATTCAGTAAAATCGTTGCAGGAACATGTTTAGTTAGAAATCTGGTGTGCTTGGTGATTGATGAGGCTCATCGAGCAATGGGGAATTATGCTTACTGTGTCGCAGTTCGTGAGGTTGGCTATCCTTTTATCATGAAAGTTTGGGTCTTTGTTGGGTGAAATTGTTAATTACTTGAAGTACCACTGATACTCTGTAGCTGATGGCTGTACCAGTCGAGCTTAGAATATTAGCCTTGAGTGCTACCCCAGGATGTAAGTCACGCAGCATAGTTTCTACCAATGTTTTAACTTTTGAGCAAAAATAGAATGTAACCTGTGCAATGTTAATGTGAAATCAACTGCTCAGCAAAGCAGCAGACAGTCCAGCAAATTATCGACAACTTGCAGATATCAACCCTGGAATACCGTGATGAAAATGATCCTGATGTCATCCCATATGTTCACAACAGAAAGATTGAATTGATTGCGGTATGAACCACTGTTTATAATGATATCTTCAGGAATCATTTTGGTGAACTATGCGTCTATGCCAGCTAATGACATTAACGTCTTCCTTGTCAACCTAATAGGTGCCTATGGGAAAAGATGCTCTTGACATAAATAAGCTGCTCTTGGATGTCATACGTCCGTATGTGTCTCGGCTTTCTGCTGTTGGACTTTTGCAGAACAGAGACTGCCAGACTGTACGATTCTTAACTGGTGCATTCTCCATGTCCATGGCTTCGAAAATCTTGTGGATTATGTATGCTCAGTGGTTTTTGGAGCTTAAACTTTACAGCTATCAAGATGATTAGTTTCTAATCTAATTGCTTAAACTGATCGTACTTGTTTGTCTTGTTGCTCAATGATCACATATATTTGGTTTTTTCTTACTCACACTCAACGTTTTACAGTTAAGTCCTCCAGATTTACTCAATTCACGTGATAAATTTCGTCGAGCACCCCCACAAGACCTTCCACAGAATAAGTTTGGTGAAATTGAAGCTTATTTTGGAGGTCTTCTCACCCTTTATCATATAAAAAGGTTACTTTCCAGCCATGGAATAAGGCCGGCATATGAGATGCTGAAAGAAAAGCTGGAACAAGGGTATCTTCTTTGCCATCTCCACTCAGACTGCGTTGACTCGACCACAAGAAGATTGCTTTATACTTTATGCTTATTGATTTATTTGCGCTGGGAGCACATGCGTTTGTTTAGGATCTATTACATCATTCCATGGTAGCAGCCTAGTTTAATAGGGTCCAGGGTGCCAAATTTTGTTCCACATGATAATTTTAGACTAGTTTCTTTGTCTGATGCCTCACGGCTACCACTGTAGACTCGCAGTAGTCAGTGATATAGTTCATTTTGTTATTGTTAAATGTGATTGTCCTTATGCAATCTCTGCTTGGCTAAGCTTAATACTTCCTTCTGCTGTTATTAACTGCTTGCTGCAGATCATTTGCAAGGCTAATGAGTAGAAATGAAGATATTAAGAAAATGAAACTCTTAATGGAAAGAAACTTGACCCATGGTGCACCTAGTCCCAAGTTATCCAAAATGTTGGAAGTACTGATTGACCATTTCAGTGAGTAGCGTATGATTGTCTTTTTCAAATAAATAAATGAAGTTAATATTTGACTTCGAGGTTGCCTTTGTACTGGTTTGCTGCTAAATAACTACAGTTCTTACTAAATGATGCAGAAAGCAAGGAGTCCCAGAACTCACGGGTTATAATATTCTCTAATTTCAGAGGGAGTGTCAGGTGAGAAAGTGATTTACCTCAATTCTCAATACAATAGTGTAGTAAAATCATGCATGGGATTGCATTTGTGTTCCTGGCATCTACAAACATGTTACTTATGACTCGCCAGCCATAAAATATTATTATTCAATTTTACCGGGACTAATTAGAATTAGATAAATTGTTTGCTCATTTTGTTCCCAACTTCATGTCCATATGACTTTAAATCTTCCAGTGTATGTGGCTAACAAATTTCTACCGTCATTCAGGGATATAATGAATTCCCTAGCCAGCATTAGTGATTTGGTGAAAGCAACTGAATTTATTGGTCAAAGTTCAGGTTCGATAGTTTTCCACTTGTTGTCCTGCCGTTGTGGTCACCCCTTGCTAAACTATAAGCTCTGTCTTTCCGAACCCTTTAGATTGTGATGTACTGTTATCTTGTTGATGACAGGTAAAGCTTTGAAAGGCCAATCCCAGAAGGTCCAACAAGCTGTGTTGCAGGTACTAATACTACTTTTCTTTGCTTTCTTTGATCTATGCCTATGCTGACGTCAATCGTTGTCAGAAATTTCGAGCTGGTGGTTACAATGTGATTGTTGCTACATCAATTGGCGAAGAGGGCCTGGACATAATGGAAGTTGATCTTGTAGTATGCTTTGATGCCAATGTATCACCACTAAGAATGATTCAGCGTATGGGTAGAACTGGAAGGAAACATGACGGCAGAGTTGATATCCTTCTCTGTTGGTTTTATAATGTTTTCTTTGGTTTTTACTTTTTATTCAATGGAAGTAACCGTCCTTTTATTCTAACTCTACCACTAGTCGGTTCTATAATCTGTATGTCCCTTGAAGTCGCTCCTTGACTATGACTCACTGGTTTTAGCTTGTGAAGGGTCAGAAATGAAGGGTTACACTCGAAAACTAGCCAACAGCAGAACTATAACGAAACACATGCACAATGGCGGTACAAGTAGCTTTAGTTTCCATTCTAGCTCAAGAATGGTGAGACTAATTCATGTCACTGGGTTGTACCTTATGGATGTTTGTTTTAGTCTCTGCTTATATTTTTGCATTTTCATCCCAGATTCCCCACATTTTCAAACCAGAAGTCCAATTTGTTGAGATGTCAATCGAACAATACATTCCTCGTGGAAAGAAAGTTAAAGATGCCACTGATATCCAGACACCTATATTCACTAAGAAGCTAACTGCTGCCGAGAGTGCTGTGGTTGCCAAGTATTTCCAGCCTTGCCCTTGGAGGCCGTCTCTTATTGCCTTCCCAAGTTTCCAGGCATTTCCCTCCCGGGTGCATCAAGTAATGCACTCTCACAGAACAGGGATGCTGATCGATACAATGCAAAATCTTCAAGCTTTGTCCTTTCCTCTGGACAGCAGAGGGTTTTCCTTTGAGGTGGGCTTATTCTGCTTTGAGGTTTATTCTTTTACCCAACAACTATTGTGATGTCCTCTTAATTATCCTTATGGATGCAGGATGAAGCAGCTTCAGGTAAGTGTCAGGGAACTGAGAGCCCAAATAGAGATGATAATGATGAAGAAGGTACTTTTTACTGAATTATCTCGTAGGACAGTTCAACTAGGTTCTTTGACTGATTAATTACATCAGTGTGGTATTAATGGTGTGAACTTACTTGTCTTCATCCTAAACTTCACCCAATATATACTCTATACCACAATTTGTTACAGGATTTACTTATTAAAGAGCCATCTTGATCCAAATGAAAATGAAGTTCCTTTTTTGTGAATGATGGGATCGATTTGTTTATATCTCTCTTTTCTTGATATCTTCATATGATATGTATAAGCATATGCATACCTCAGTTAAATGCATCGTGTGCAGCCTTCCTTCCCATTGTTTTTCAAAGGCTGTTATCCATTGCAGTTGTCTGTCTATTTGATTCTGAATTGCAAAAAAGTGGGAAGCTACAAAATGGCATAGTTCAGTGTTGAGGGAGTGGAGGAATTATAGAATTCTTGATTTTCGTCCAGTAGGAGTTAGGTCTATCTTTCATTTTCATATAATTTGCTCGCCGAGGTTGTCCTATTTGGTTTGAACTTCTCTTGAGCTAATCTTTGAACTCTTTGGTGAAACTTCGGGTGCTAAGGTGTGACATTTGAAATTGTATGCACATCTCGATCCTGTTATCCATTCTTATTGCATTCTGAAACTTGTGCATGCATGGCAGACTTGGGAGTGGGCTATGGCACCCCAGAGCACAACTCACAGAGCAATTCAAGGGATTCTGAAGGACCAATTTCTCAAAAACTGACAACCAAGAACCTTAGTGTTTTAGATCTTACTGGGGAAAGTCATTCAACTCATGCTTTTCTCTTTGGCTCTGATTTTGTTTCTGTGGATTCTCTTGGCAAGGTCCTAATTTCATACGTCCCTTCACTTCCTTTGAAACTGGTATCATATCCGAGGTGTCCTGACAATGAGGCTGTACCTCTAAACTGTGCAAAACGAAGTCCTTCACATTTGAAGACTTTGGTTGAAGGCTCCAGTGGACCGACTGTTCTACAAAATTTTTGCACTCACTTACATTCACTGTCCGAGGATCCGTGCAAAAGAAATATCTCTGTGGATGGCTTGAAATTGTCTGAGAGTGCAATTTTGGTGGGAGATATGGTGAACGGAGGAGATAGTGTTGGTGATAGCTTTGTTGATTTTGGGATCAATTCGCCTTGTCCGAGTGCTGATGAGTGCTGTCACAGTCGTGAAGATACTGAACTGAGTCCTCGCTTAACCAACATGATGCAAAATGGTGTTGTTCCAGAGTCTCCTACGAATGATCATGGTCAGTTTACATCTTTTAGAAGGATGTGGTTGAATTGGCTTCAGGTATTATTTAACTCCATTCTATAGAGGAAATTGATTCAGTGTTGGATTATTTTTTTGCAGATTTGCTGAATGATAAAGAGAGAGCTGAAATTATCACACCCATGAAACTGCATACCAGATTGCTGACTGTCTCTCCAGGTCCTTGGAGAAATGAATCAAATGCAGCTGCTGTAATTGGGGAAGCAGATATGGCTGATCCTTCTATCATTGATCAAATTCAGACTCCTTTGCGTGAAACAAGTGCTGCCAAAGTAGACAAAATTGTCTATTCAATTTCTCCTGCTCCCAAAGCAAGCAACTCCAGCAAAGATTGGCCTTTCAGTCCTGCTGATGATAAATCAGACAGTGTTAAACCAGTACGCAGACTTAAAAGACTCCGAAAAGTTGGGGATCTTGAGAAGAATAAGAATCCTGGAAGCATTAAAGATGCTCCTTCTTTCCATGAAGCAAATCCTAATGTATGTGTCAACGGAGCCCACAGAAATCAACCTAAACAAGGGAAAGGTACCGTGGAAAAGCTTTTGTCTCTAACCGCTATCTGCTTCCTATATAACTGCATTCTCTAATAATGGCTGACTGGGATAAGTTATTTATGGCTGTGTAGCTTCTATTGTTGCTTGTCGAGTGGAAAGGCCGGATGTTTTATATGGAAGTTACTTATTAGCATTGTCGTTCACAGGTAAAAGGGAGCAATTTGGCATCATCCAGGACTTCATTGAAGAGGAAGCCGAGTAAGTTTGAAGTCTGACATTGCTGATAAAAAATAATTCTATCGTGCCAGTAATTCTATCGACTGGGATAAGTACCTACCGATATTTCCACATTGAGTTGCCCTGTGTAGTTGAATAACAATATGGTTTGTCTTGTTTCCTTTTACTGCATATAATTTTTCAGGGTTTCTGAAAATGGCGAAGTATCCGAGGATGAGAGAGTTGATGAAGATGATAATTCGTACGACCAGAGTTTTATAGACGACAGAATAAACCCCACAGCTGGAAGTGCTGAAACACAACCTAGTCGAGTGGACATGATGGCAGTTTATAGGTACTTCCTGGTCTCCCTTAACAAATATAACCTTTTGCTTTGATACATAGTTCATGTTTGTCTTATCAATCCATTTCCCATTCCAAACTAACAAAGCTTTATGCAACAGGCGTTCGTTGCTCAGCCAATCACCAATGGTGAGGGAATCCCCTTCAGCATCTTTTACTCCAGATTGCAACTCTTCTTGCTCGAGCGGTAAAAACAATACCACTGGATCTTCCTCTACCAACACGCTTCATTCACTAAGGACACCTCTACATGAGAACCAAGAAGGGCTACAGCCATCTCCAGCTGTTCCTTGCACCGCAGCCTCTAACATCCCAACAGAAAACAGCACTATGTTGGAGATGAGGAAGAGAAGAAAGCTGACTTTCCATCAACCTGCAGCATCTGTTCCCATAATCAACTTGGAGGAAGAATTCTCTAAGCAGTTGGAGGCTGACCCGAATCCTTCTAACAACATCGATGATCCTGATACCCATGAAGACATGCTCTACGACGATCAGTTCTTTGCTGCTCTTGATGCTTTGGAAGCACAAGCTACGACTACTCAGCAGAACAGGCCTAATTTATCTGTACAGAAGCAGGATACTATGTTGCCAAACTCAGAACTCCATGGCACACCAACATTTGATCTCGGGATTTAGTAGTAATCCTCCAAATCGGCAAAAGGTTGAATGCTTTGCTAGTGAAATGTCCTGCTGCTGCTGCATTGCAGTGCATTGTACAGATCGGCTCGATAGGGAAAGTGGATGTATAAGTTATATTCGACAACTTGAATCTTCTTGTGAAGTGCCTTGTACAGAAAGAGGGAAAGAAAGGGAATGGTGAATCCCATTTTGGTTGTCAGGCTGCTAATGAAAGATTTCTAAAATAAACACAACCAGAAATCAAATAAAGAAAATAAAAAAAATCGCAAATATCGAACCTAATGGTCTCAAAGCAAATTCGGAAATTTTAACCCGTAAGAAATTGAATAAGAGAAGAGCGAAAGGGGCCTTAAGCCCCCACCCAAGGGAGTGTTCCCCGTATTCCCGACATGCTAAGGGAATAGAGAGAGCGTAATATAGCAGTTAATTCCCGTCTGATCTTACCGTTAGCTGTATTCTCATTACTTATCAAATGTTCAAGAAGCTCACGTTTCTCCGGTTTTAACCGTTTTAAATCCTCTGAAATTATCAACCGGTTTGTTTTTAGAGGTAAAACCAGAGGAAACTTTTAGAGACGGAGACATGACCCGTTACAAAAACCACAAAATACAAGAATAAGTTCATTCCTACCAAACGATCCTTAACACTCTGTTTAGGTAGAGGGGTAAATGGGAGGAGGGTGCAAATGTGAGGGGTAAACACAGTTTCCAACACATTTGCACCTGTTTGGTTAATTTGGAACAGTAGGGGGTGCAAAACGGGAGTGCAAATTTACTGTTTCGGCTTACCCCCGAATTGGGGTGCAAGGGAAGGAAGGAAGAGAGGGGGAGGGGGAAATTATGGAATTTTATTTTTCTAATTGTGTTATATATAATTATATAATAATTAATATTATCAATTTTTTCTTTTTATAAATATCATTAATGTAAACATTATTCGGGGTTGACTATTTGACTCTAGAAACAAGTTTATCAATGTTCGTCAAGTCAAATCTAAATCTCTTGGTTGAATCGAATTTGCATTGAAAATTAGAGATACGAGGTGTTTGTGGAAAAGATAGAGAGAAATTGTTTGGTTAACTCAGTTTATTTGACTAAATAGTTAAAACTTACAAATTCGAACGTGTTTGACTAAGTTTGACAATTTAAGATTAAACTATACACGAAAACCCTATATAGGATGACCAGTTACGAGTTGAGCTTCGAGTTTTGAGATCGCTCGATCAATGATTATTACAATTGTTATAATTAATTATTATTTGAGCATTATTATATAATAACTATTTTTAGTAAAATATATTTATTATTATATAGTAATATTTATTTTATTATTTTATGATAATATTTTAAAATCTTAAAATCCATTTTATAATCTTAAAATCTATTTTAAAATTTTAAAATCTACTTTAAAATAATATAATTACTTACTTTTCACTCTATTTGCACCCACTACTTTTTCATCCAAACAACAATTTACCCCTCCACTTACAACCCCAACAATTTACCCCTCAACTTGCACCCCTGCAATTTGCACCCCAGCCAAACAGAGCGTAAATAACTAAATATCCTCGACGTGACCCGAAATAGTGAATTGGGCTAAAGCCCAGATGAGTACTAGATTTAGCCCTCGAAAACCAGAAAACAAAAGGAAGCTTCACTCTCCCGCCTCCGGCGATTCCCCACCGCCATCTCCGAGCTCCCACTCTGCCCATGGCGGCGTCTCGTCTGGTTCCCAGATTACATTGCCTTAAGAATACGCTCCCCTTATCTCCACCCTCACTGATTTCTATCTGCTTCCGCTATCATCAATCAGTTTCAGTCCCCTGTGCCGGTGACGTTCACCACGACGGCGGCTCCAATTCATCGTCGTCACCGCCGGTGGAACAATCTCTGGCCCGCTCAATCTGTTCCATGGTAAGCGAATCGTTCTGGCAGCAAACTTCTCACGCGAGTAAATCGCCTCCAGAGCTCGTTCTGGGGATAAACCCTGAGGATTTGTCCCGCGAACAGGCCATCACGGTTGTTGCTTCGCTTGCGGAGCAAGAGGGCTCGATGGTGGCTCTTAGTTTCTTCTATTGGGCGATTGGGTTCCCCAAGTTCAGACATTTCATGAGGTTTTACATTGTCTCTGCTACTTCTGTACTTGGGAACAAGAATTTTGAGGTAGCTCATGAAGTGATGCGGTGTATGGTGAGGAGTTTTTCTGAGATTGGGAAGTTGAAGGAGTCTGTGAACATGGTTATTGAGATGCGTAACCAGGGATTGGCATTGAGCTCTAGGACAATGAACTATATAATCGAGATTGCTTGTCGGATGGGCCTGTTTGAGTATGCAGAGGACGTGTTTGATGAAATGCGTGTTAGAGATGTGTGTCCGGACTCGACTAGTTACAAGTTGATAGCTTTGGCTTATTGCAGAATGGGGAAAGTGTCAGTTGCAGATAGGTGGTTAGGGGATATGGTTGAGAGAGGTTTTCTTGTTGATAATGCTACTTGTACTTTGATGATTACCGCATTTTGTGAAGAAGGGTTGGGGAATAGAGCATATTGGTATTTCAATAAGTGGATTCAGATGGGTTTGAAACCGAATTTGATAAACTTTACTGCTCTGATCAATGGGTTGTGCAAGAGGGGGAGCATTAAGCAAGCATTCGAGACGTTAGAGGAGATGGTGCAGAATGGGTGGAAGCCAAATGTTTATACTCATACGGTCTTGATTGATGGGCTGTGTAAAAAAGGCTGGACCGAGAAGGCATTTAGGTTGTTTCTTAAGCTTGTTAGAAGTGACAATTACAAGCCAAATGTACATACTTATACTTCCATGATTAATGGGTATTGCCAAGAGCACAAGTTGACTAGGGCGGAGATGTTATTCAGCAGAATGAAGGAGCAGGGATTGGTCCCCAACACCAATTCGTATACTTGTCTCATCAATGGACATTCTAAAGCCGGAAATTTCGAAAGAGCGTATGAATTAATGGATATCATGGGTAAAGAAGGTTTTGCTCCTAATATATTTACTTACAATTCTCTTCTGAATGGGTTATGCAAAAAGCAGAGGTTTTGGGAGGCTTATGAACTGCTTAAGACGGGAATCCAAAGTGGACTACAGGCTGATAAGGTGACTTACACCATCCTCATGTGTGAGCATTTCAAGCAGGCTGATTACAAGTGTGGCCTCGCATTTTTCAGTAAGGTGTTCAAAAATGGATTCCAACATGACATGCATACGTATAACGCACTGATTGCTGCTAGTTGCAGACAGAAAAAGATGAAGGAAAGTGAGAAATTCTTTGAGGAAGCTGTTAGTCTTGGTTTGGTTCCTACAAAGGAAACATACACATCCATGATATGTGGATATTGTCGAGATGGAAAGGTCAGCTTGGCTATGAAAATTTTCAGCAAGATGAAAGAGCGTCGATGTTTGCCCGATAGTTTTACCTATGGAGCTCTAATAAGCGGGCTCTGCAAAGAATCCAAGTTGGATGAGGCCCGTCAGTTGTATGATACGATGTTCGATCGTGGCCTGTCCCCGTCAGAAGTGACCCGTGTGACATTAGCATATGAGTACTTTAAACAAGATGATTCTGCAACTGCAATTATCATCATGGAGCGCTTGGAGAAGAAGTTGTGGATTCGTACTGCTACTACATTGATCAGGAAGCTTTGCAGTGAGAAGAAAGTGGGGATTGCCTCACTTTTGTTTCATAAATTGCTGGACAAGGATTCAAATGTTGATCGTGTAACTTTGGCTGCATTCACCACATCTTGCTATGAGTCCAACAAGTATGCTCTTGTCTCTGACTTGTCAAAGAGAATTTCTCGATGATTTCCTGACATGGAGCAATTGATCGAGCTCAACGTGGATCTATACTGCTTCCACTTGCCAAGGGGTATTTGCTCATGCCGGGTCTGCTCTGAAACTGCCTTCACACTCAGGTTAGCTTGAAACAGTTTGATTGTCCGATCTCCATGTTAGTGTAATTTATTATCTTCCAGCTTGTTTTGAAGGTTCGGCGAGTAGTATGCTGTTCTCATCATTTCATTTTCCTAAGCGAATCAATTGGCTAAGGATCTAGCTTAGCTTTAAATCAGGTGCAAGCAGCTGGAGAGCCTCTTACTTCCCATGTTATTGTTCATCTTTTTTGTTCATGTAATCTCAGAAGAGAAGAACTATGATGAATGCTCCCTGCAAGTTAGAGAATATAGGACGGTACTTGCCAAATTTATCAGTCTTGGGACTTGAAGTTGGCCATCATCACCAGAATGAGTTATTTGGGTTATCACGGGTGAACGACAGCTGTTCATTATATGGCATAAATGTCGTCGGGATATAAGGGGCAACATAGGCTGATGGTAAAGAATCTAGCATGTTGGTATGACCATACCATTTCAGAAAGAACAGTTTTTACTGATGCATAATCCTTGGGAGTGGATATGCAGTATTTCATGCTAAGTTGAGTACTTGAGTTACATGGCTGGCCAAGGAAATCATTTGGCTAGGTGCAGATTCACAGTATGGAGAATATGCTCCTATTGCTTCTTGGCTGAGGGACTATCACATTGCCTGTAATTTCTGCTTCATCTCCTCAGAAGGCCGATTCGTCTGTTAAACGAAGTGGGCTCAATGCGTTGAAAGAAGAATCTCTTGTTTTAAATCAGGATATGATTTGGTGGGTTTAGACTTTCTGCGACAATGGTTGCTTCCCTTAGTCTTGAAGGTCACTGATGGATTACAGAATGGAAGTTCGGTGTTACGACATTGCATGACATCGAGGGCGCACATCTACACTTGCAAGTTCATTATACCACCAGGTAATTTTGTTTGCTTATTAATTGTGTAACAGCATAGTGAGGTTTTCTCATTTCCTTGAAGATGCATGTCTTAACTTCTTGGACTGACTTCTTCCTCTGACTAACCCCATCCGTTAGATTGAAAAGAAAACTAATGTCCAAAACTAATTAATGAGAAACATCTCCTCCTTGACTAGTCATACACTCTTATCAGACTCCATTAATTTTCCAGATTCTCCTGCACCAATCCAAATCCATTAACAAGAAAGAGAGAATCAGAAAAACCAAATGAAGAATTATGTGTCATTTAATTTTGACAGCTTTAGTGCCTTTATAAAAGGAGAGTAAACAAACCAGTCACTGGACTCCTCACCTCACTGAACTTCACAAAAAGAAGAGAAAGAGATCATCAGAAACCGATTCCAGAATGAAGAGCTCCACCATCTTCCTTCTCTTCGTAGCGACCTTCTTGGTCGTAGCTGGTGAACTTCCCCATCCCCATTTTTCTCTCTTTATCTCTGTTTCCTCGCTTTTGCGTCGAAATATCAATAGTATTTCTTCGTATATATCGCAGTAAACACGCGCCCTTGATTTCCTTCTTTTTTTTAGTAAAATTTTTCGAAAAAATTTGACTGTGCAGGAAATAAAGAAGTGATGGCAGCTGAAGGAGGCTACTGTAAGAAAGGAACTATCAAGCAGGACCCTAGCCATGACTGCTTCGGTGAAGAATGTAACTTTCAATGCAAAGGGAAATTTGGACAGAAGGCTCAAGGGCGTTGCGAGTATGAGTTGTTCTGCACTTGCTTCCTGCCCTGTTGATTCATTTGTCTTAGAACAATATATATAAAACCCAATGAAAAATTTTTCTCTGCTTTCCAACTTTTGAGATATTGCAATGTGGTATCGTATACGATTGATTGGCGTTAAATTAAGGGGGATTAGAGAAATCGTCCACATACTGCTGTGTTGGGACGGGATAGCGTGACAACCCTTTAGGGGTTGTCAATTTCGCTTCCCTCATTTTTGCCGTCCATCATCCTTCTTCATCTGGCGGTCAGGAGCATAAGGATTTTTTAGTAAGTTTTTAATTCTAATAATTTTGAATTACCACTTAAATGTATGGAGAAAATCTTGGAGCGTGATTGGCGGGAGGTGAAGAGCCTGTTTCGGTTGGGACTCTTTCCCTTCCATTTTTGGCTTCTCCCTCGTCAAACCAAAACCCTCATCAAACCAGGCATCAGTAGCTTCGGAAAATACCACAACACGGCCGTCGCCATACAATGGGTGACTACATCAGCAACGACGACGGAAAATGGGGTGGAGCTGAACCTAGTTGCTTATTCGGCTTTGACCTTAACGTCCCATTGACAAGCAACGACGAGAATATATATGAGATTGGAGCTAAGCAGTCAGACCCAACGGAGAATGGCGATGATGGCGACGTTTTGGGCCTGGAGGAGTTGGTCAACGAAGACCATCCGGAATGGGACAAAATCACGAACAACATCCAATATGGCGTCGACGTGGAGAACAACGACCATTTCGTACTGCAATCAGGATATCACGCTCATTCAGACGACAGCGTGGCGGAGAATGGCATCGACGACAACAATGGTGGTAGGGTTAACATGTGTCTTTACGACTTCCATTGCATTTGTACCATTTTAATAGTGGTACATATAACGTTTCTGCAAAAAAATGTACCAGTAGTTATGGTTCAAATTATTTAGTGATAGTATTATTGTGGTGGTAGGCACATAATGGAAATCATCTAGTGGTAGTCACATACTGGTAGACATGTAGTCGTCCGGTGGTACTCCCTTAGTGGTAGTCATTTAGGCGTAGTAATTTAGTTGTACTTCCTTATTGGTACCTGGATACGGATCATGTACTAGTAATCATCTAGTAATAGTCGTGTACTGGTAGACACGTAGTCGTCTAATGGTACTCCCTTACTAGTAGTCATATAGTCGTAGTGATTTAGTGGTACTTCTCTAGTGGTATCAACCATCGTCCGCAGTAATTTAAAAAATAGTTCGATTTGCTAATGCATTTGTTCTTTATTTACAGGTTTGGTATCAACCATCGTCACATCAGACAGTTCAACGTGGAATCACCTGCGTTTCCAGAACCAGGATGAATTTACATGTTTTTTACAAGAGTTATACTCATGGAAGATGATTCTCGTCGAGAATTACTACCAGACTTAATAATAGTAAATAGTGGCATTAATTTTGTACCAGTTGTATTAATAGTACCAATGTCGCTGATTTTGTTCTAGAGTGAGTAATGGTAACTAGTAGCATAATTGTGGTACCAGAACCATTAATCAAGTACCAGTAACATTAATTTGGCACCAGTACCACTGATTTAGTTCCAGATTGAGCAATGATTAGTAGCAGCATTATTTTGATACTGATACCATTGTCTTTGGTACCAGTAGCATTAATTTTGTACCAGTACAACTAAAACATAACCAGTAAAGGGTTATGTAGTTAAAATGACTAGGAAGAAGGTATTAAATTTTCACACTCAAACACCAAACTAATTGTGCCAATGTAGGAAACAATATTTTTACTTCAAACCTACATGAAGCAATGATTCTATTTCTGCTGTGACACCTAAGTATATCGACGGAATAGTGCCTCGTGCATATCAGTAGCTTTAGCAAACAAACGTACGAGTACCACTACTAGTAGTTACTGCCTACTGGTTCATGTGCCACTGTTAGTGACTGGTACATGTACCAGTAACTAGTAATGATACAAGTACCACTGCTAGTTATTGGTACAAGTACCACTACTAGTTATGGGTTCATATGCCAGTAACTAGTAATGATACAAGTGTCGCAACTAGTTACTAGTTCATATACCACTACTAGTTTCTTGCACATGTACCACCATTAGTTATTGGTACATGTACCACTGGTAATTACTGGTACGTAGTTGTACAAGTACCACTGCTAGTCACAGAATACTTATGGGGAAAACTAGTGTTGGATGTAATGCGATAATGCCAATGGAACACAAAATCAAATGTATTACTGCAAGTTGCCGCTACTTTGTCCAATATAATTGGTTTACATTAAGAAAGCAATAGACAATTATCATACGCCTCAAGATTTGTTCATACTACGTACATAAACAATTATCATACTCCTCAAACTTTTTCAGTATAGCCTTCCTCTCTTTCGAAATGCTAGATTACAGAATTTCAATGTTTGAATTCCGGCTGCACTTCTCCCAAATTGGCTTCAACTTGCATCTACTTTTTGCTTCTTCTTCTTCTTCTTCTTCTCACAGGGAGTCTCTGTTATCACCTCATGTGGCCGTTTTTTACTAGGGCTCGGATCATAATATGATGACTCTCCTTCACAGATGATAACCTGCCGAGATTCATAGGTAGCATTTTTTTTGTTGCAAGTTATTTTTTGTCGTCGCTGTGTAGTTCTCGCCATTCCTGGTACCAAAAAAAATAAAACTACATTGTTATACAGATTTAATTAAAACTTACTATGCTACCACTATAAACCATTCAACAGTGCCACAAACTACCACTAAGGACTAATACCAACTTCAACTACCACTACCAGTAACAACAACTTCGACTACCACTACCAGTAACAATTAATTATTTTAAACCCACTACTGCCAGAAAAAAATTTACTGGTATGCAAATATCAGTGCTACCACTAATATACTACCACTGCAACTAGTACAAGTGAGTGGTACCCTCTTATTAAACTACCACTATTAAACTACCACTACTGCTAGTACCAGTGGTACCATTCAATTAAACTACCACTATCATACTACAATTAAAATTGGTACAATTGCCACAACTACCACTAAAACCGGTACCAATAGTGTCGCCTCTGTAGTGATAGCAACGCTACCAATTCAAAGTACCACTCGATTATACAAAAACCAAATCGAAACAAGCCACACAAGCAAGAAAGGATTGCATGATTATACCTCGCTTGTGATGGTTTGCACGACAGCAAGAAGGGACGATGGCGGTGACGGTTGCTGGGTTTTTTGGGAGACGATGGAGGGGGAAATGGTTTTTGGCCAGACGAACACTAAGACTTTGCACTCAACACGGGACCGGGTGAGAAGATGGCAGGAAACGCCGAGAAAATTGATCGGAGATGGTGGAAGGGAAGGTTTTTGGGAGAAGGTAGAGGAAAAGGGTTTGGGGGAGACGAATCGTTCTACGAGAAGGGTGGCTGATTTCTCTCCCCTACCAAATTATTTCCCTTTTCAAAACCTGGTTGACGTCAGCGCATTAGTGGGCAGGCGGATCCACTGTGGGCACTCTCTTTTTTGCCCGTGGCCATCATCAACCGTCAGATGGTGAGGAAGGGGGACGGACGACTACTAAAGGGGAAGCGAAATTGACAACTTCTTTAGGGGTTGTCACGGTATCCAACCCCTGCTGTGTTCTGTCGGATCGAGAATAACACAGGTATCAGATCCCAGACCGATAGGCTATTTCAGAGGGCGTATGCAACAGTCGAACCACGCGCGCGATTAAATTACGATTTTAGTACGAAAATGCATTACCACTGGCCTTAATCATATCGGTATATACATTCTCTGGTACGATTTCACAATCATTTGCTACATTGTGATACAGAACTGGAGCTAAATCATCAAATTTTTTGAATCTTACTTGCCGACATGTATTTAATATGATGATGATATCGCTTCGAGTTACAACCATTCATTGCCTTTTCTGAAAATAAAATTGTTATTGTAATGATTATTACGTAAAATTTTGAACGTATCAAAACACTAATTAAAAGACGAGAAGTGATAAATTATTTTTCCTATAAATTAAATTCATATGCTTTCTTGTTCGGTGTATTACAGTTTGAAAACCGAAATCATTTTAAAACGAGTCAAATAATCCAAATTAAGTCAAATCCGTAACTAATTGTTTCGCTAGGTACACGAGGATTCTCGTTTTGGAAACAAATCGATAGTTACCTGTAAACTCCGTAACTGACGAGTGACATTCTTCATATAAGCCTAAACGATCATTTATCATCGAGATCCTCTCGCATCAATTTCGTCAATAAGAGGTTAGAAACAACATTGACAATGACCCAAAACCCACAATTAGGCATCCTATCGACTCCCTAACCCTAACCCTAACCCTAACCCACAATTAGTCATCCTATCGACTCACTTGATCGAACGTCGCCGCCGAAAAGAAGAACAAAACCGACCGAAATGAAGAGCTCCACCATTTTCCTTCTCTTCTTGTTGTCCTTCTTCATCGTCGCCATTGAAATTTCCATCTCCATCTCTTGTGTGATCTTTCTCTCTGCGACGACACTATTTTACTGAACATATGTAACGTTGAAAGTCACTTGCAGGAAATGAAGAGGTGATGATCATGGCGGCAGCTGCAGGAAGGTACTGCATGCGATGAAGGCGTCGTCAAGCTTCCGCCGAGCTTTGATGAATGCTACGTCGGCCCAAATTGCCGTTGGAGTGCAGATGCTCCTTGCCTTGTTGATTTCTATTCGTCTGAATTGATTTCAACAAATATTTTCAAATAAAATTAAGTATCGGGTTTAGGCCGTTACAAAAAAAAATATATCATTTGAAATTTCAAATCGATATAACATTTGTAAATTTTTGTGGTGTTGTCGAATACGTTATAGTTTGTTTTTTGTATAATTTTAAACAACCATATCCCGTCCTGCGTATACTATGACTTGAACCATGATTATAAATTCACTAAAAATATCATTTCACTAACTTGTTCGATACGATTTCCTATATGAAAATTACCCATGTGTAGAAGGTAATTTATGAGGACTTGGTTTTTCTTGGAAATAAGTATATGATTCTTAGACGAAATCCCGTCGAAGTTAACAAATTTTAAATAATTGGATTCTCCGGTCCTATAAAAAAAAGAATATCAAAGACAAATGGAGAGATGTAATTGAAAATCAATCGTCTTATTTGCTAGCTTCCTAATTCTTTTTCGAATACGAGATCGATCCAATGATAATATATATCACTAATTTTGAAACTTGAGGTTTCAATCAGATTCAAATTTCTTTAAATACCACTCTTATAAAAATATCGATTGCCCATTAGAGAAAGAATTTGGCCTCCAATAATTAAGCCTACGACGATGATATATCATATACAGCATTCTCGAGCGCTTTAGTTTCTTTACGTAAAACAGAATGGCGACGTGCATTAAAATGAGCATCCTAGGAGCTCCCATGAATCCTTTATTTGTGTGATATATACTTTGATATTTTGAAGAGAAAGAGAGGCGCAGATGATAAAAGAGGAAAGTCTAAAACAGAGAGAAAAAGAGAGAGAATGACTCGAATCAAAAGTATATTATTAGTTACGTGTTGCAATTTCTTTTTTCTTTTTTCGCATGGGTGACAAATCGCTAAACGGATATTTCAATGCTCATATCTGTCTCATACGAAGTTCGGATGAAGTTGAGCATACATATGCGAGTACAAATTGAGATAGGTGGATCCGCTCTTACAATTTAATTAAAAAATACAAAAAAATAATAATTTATTAGCTAAAATTGTCAAGAGTAATTTGGTTCAATAACTCAAGTTGTAGGAAGATGTCCAATTATGGATCATATACCACATAATAACACACCCTCTCAAACGAAAGCCACCATATATGGGCTTGAAGTTTGCACGGGATCTCAGACGCCATGTGCTTACCAATGATGGTTATCAGGAATATTCGAACATAAGACATATCGATCACCGAAGGCTCTGATACCATGTCAAGAACCGATCGATCCCAATTACTCGAGTTATGAATAATATACCACTCACTAACAAAAACAAAGGAAAATACTTCATGGATGAAAAATAGTGACACTAGAATGAATAATTGAGTCTAACAGGTTGAAAAATAAAATCTTGCACCTATTTAAAGTTTCATTGGGTGCAAACATGATTAAAAAAAGTCAAAATAGAAGAAATACAAATTGAGCTAGGACGAGTCAAACGCGGGACGACACAACTAGTAATTAACCCATGCCCTGCCCTCACGCCACTACGGGTCGGATACTACTTACTAGTTCCAACACAAGTAATCAGAGTAGGCACCAAACTGGGCGGCAGGGGCGGACCTAGGTGTTGCTAAGGGGTATCGTCCAACAACCCTTCGTCCGAACATTTTGTGAATAACCTATATATTTTTTTGTACAACAAATTTTAATACGAGATTTCCGACCCTACTTTAATAATTATAGCTGATACTCCTTCATTCGACACCCCCTTTTCAGCAATTCTGGGTCCGCCACTGCTAGGCGGGTTCAATTATTGTCACCCCTTAAACATCACTACTATGAATAGTACTGTGATCCACTTCTACTTAAAGCCTCAAAATAGAAGAAACACGGAAAATTAAGTTAGGACGAGTCAAGCATGCGACGACGAGACGAACAAACGATATGCACGCGCGTGACTTCTCATAATACCAAGATAAAAATATCTGTCTTCAAACCCCATTTATACAGTACGCGATTTTCATTCCAGTTCCACCACACTCTAAGTTCGAACTATCTTATTCCCCTCTAGCCGCCACAAGCCAATGGACATGGAGACGACCGATCCCGCAACCGAGCTTAATAGCACCACCACCACCACCGACGCAGCAAACTCCCAACAACGCATCAAGACCAAAACACTCCTCCACCTCCTCCTCAACTGCCTCCTCCTCATCGTCGGCCAGGTCGCCGGCCCGATCCTCGGCAGGATGTACTTCATCCACGGCGGCAAGAAGCTCTGGCTCTCCGCCTGGACCAACACCGCCGGCTTCCCCATCCTCATCATCCCCATCGCCATGTCCTATAAAGCCCACCACCACCGGCCCAATAAAGAAGCCCACCGCCGTTTCCTCCCCAGCAACTGGCTGCTCGGGTCCAGCGTCCTCCTGGGCCTCCTCCTGGGCCTCACCGTCTACCTCTACGCCTTCGGCACGGCCTACCTCCCCGTCACCGTCATCTCCCTCGTCAGCTCCTCCCAGCTCGCCTTCACGGCCGTGTTCGCTTGGTTGATTGTGAAGCAGAGGTTCACCCACTACTCGATAAACGCCGTCGTTCTGATGACCTTCGGCGCCGTCGTTTTGGGGCTCCACATGGGCGAGGACGTGCCGAGGGGCGAGCCGGTGGGGAAATACGTGCTGGGTTTCTCGATAACGATTGGTGCTGCGGTTTTCCATGGCCTCTTCCTGACGTTGGTTGAGTTCACTCGGGCTCGAGCTGGGGTTGCGATCACGTTCGATGTCGTCATGCAGCTTCAGTTCGTCATGTCGATGGTCGCCACGATGTTCTCCACCGTCCCGATGATCATCACCGGGGGATTTCAGGTAAATTAATATATAAAAAACGGGTATACGATTTAATTTCAGCACTACCGAAACAATATCTTGCTGCTCTGCTAATTTTTTCGGCAGTGGCGGATCCAGCTCGTTCTTGTTTCCTTCCTGACTAGCCTAGTCATCAGGTCGAGCTGGATCGGGCCCGAATTAGCGGGTCACTCAAATCAATCTGCATACTGAATTTTTTAAAATTATATTTTGGTATCCAATTTTATTTTTCTCTTGCACTTTACTTCCTAAATTTTGCTTTTTTACAAATAGGTCCATAAATTTCAGTGAAAAAATTACACTTTAGTACCTTTATATTTGTCCTTGCATTATAGTACCTGAATTATAAAAGATTACAAACAAATCCAATATATTGGTACTGTATCATCCCTCAATTGCAAATGATTAGTATTGTTTTGACTTACATGGTCAAAAAAGTGACTCGATCAGATCGACCTTAAACTGACCAAGCAAACAAATTGACCCACCCCGATCCTCATGATCAGTGACGGATCCAGGGGTGGCCATCCCTGGTCCTGGCCCAGCTAGGGGTGGGAAACGGTTTGGTCCGGTTAAAACTGGACCGGATTAACCCGGTTTTTTAAAACCGTTTCGACCAATACAGCAACCGGAAATTGGATTGGATAGGGAGCCGGTTTCAACCGTGACCGGACTGGATTGAATCCGGTCCGATCCGGTTTCAACCAAAAAACCGAAACTTTTCCTTTCTCCCAAAACGACAGCCGCTCTTCACCTCCTTCTCTCCCGAAAAACCACCATCTCCAAATTCTCACTTCCATTTCCAATCCCACAGAGAAACCCAGCAGATCCCTCTCAACCCTCATTTACTTTCCTTCTCTTTCTTCCTCCCAAAATCTCAACCCTTATTTTCATGTCTTCTCCGACCTCCGTCATCACTGGATCCTCGTCGATCTCGCCTCCGCCAACAGAGCTGCTCCTTCCCGTCCTTGAATTTTTCCGAACAGAACTGCCCCTGCCCCTTCATCGTCGACCTCATCTCCGCCAATAGCCCAATAGAGCTACTCACCACGCCTCCGCCAACATAGTCTCGAGAGAGAACGAAGAAGAGGAAGCGGTGAAGCAAGAAAAGAAAGCGACGGAGTGTGAGGAAGATTGGAGGAGATAGATCGGCGGTGTATTTGGCGCATGCAGAACCCGACGGAGAAAAGCTCGAGATGGGAATCAATAATCGTCGACGGGTTGTGTCTTCGGAGTCCTTCTCCTCTCGTCTTCTTCTTCTTCTTCTGGAGTGAGAGCCGACGATTAGACAGCCGAGGTCGTCGTCGTCGTCGCCGTGGGTGAGAGGGGTGAGAGATTGAGTTTAAGATCGAGAGAGGAAGAGGGAGAGGAGAGCGGCGGCTGTAGGAGTTAGGGTTGTGGGTGGGGTTATGGGTTTCGGGCTTCAAAACTAAAGAGGTTGGGCTGGGCTTCACTGGGTCGGGCTTGGGTTTGGGCATGGGTCTCGGGCTTCATAGTAAGGAGGTGTGGTTTGGGCTGGGCTTCACTGGGTCAGGCTTAGTCTTGGGTCTGTTATCCGGTTTCCGGTTAAAACCGGGTAAAACTGGACCGGGACCGGGGCGGTTATTTACCCTCAACCTCAGACCGCAAACTGGATTGGATTAATGAGAATCCGGTTTCCGGTTACAACCGGGACGGTTTAAACTGCCCGGTTTCCGGTTTGACCGAAAAATCCGGACCGAATTCCCAGCCCTAGGCCCAGCCCTCCTCTGAATCCATAGTTGGTATAGGCTTTTCAATTTTAGGTATTTGACCTAATGCTATTTTATAATAAAATTGGATATAATTAGCAAATTGATTTAGATGAACATATTCAAATCACTACTCTAAATTTAGCCTCAAAGATTTTTCGTCTAAAAAAAATGAAACCTAAAATTATAAAGCATAATAGACTAAAAGAAATATGAGGTTTGTTACCTTGAAAATTTACAAGACAACTGGTGGTATAGGAATGGACACATAATGCAAATTGATATTGATTTGTCTAGTGTTGACGCTGCTCGTTTTAACAACTACTACAGAGAGAACCTGAGAGAACCTTTTGAACAAAGAAACATGTAAAAACTAATTTGCACAATAAATGAGCAATGAATTTCTTGTCAATTGCTCAAGTATTTTATTTGGGACAGTGTATACTATTGATATGGATGTGGACTACATTATTGATGCATTTGCTAAATTAAGATACCGTCGTGTACAATTTACATTGTAAAAAAACTATAATCATTAATTATTTTATGATTCTAATTTTCTAATAAAATGCGGCCCAATGCTCTTCTATGTTCTGGATCCGCCAATGCTCATGATAGTATTTGGGCCGGCTCAATAAATTTCTAGGAAAATGCTTAATTAGCTTATACAACCCTAATTATAGATACATATAATTTTCAACCAATGAGCGCGAGCGAAAGCCACTTTTGATGGCAGGGGTGATGAACCGAAACTCTCGAGTTCGAGAGTTTGCTTGTAACTCACAAGCGAAAGAACGATGATGTTTGTGTCGCGCGATAAACTTCTTTTAGCTCATTGGTTAAGACTTCTGGCTTCTTTTTTTGCAGACTATGCCGGAAGAAGCGGCGGAGTTCGACCTCGGGGAGACCAAGTACTACCTGATCATCTTTCTGGCGGCCATAGCTCTCCAAGTGATGATCATCGGTGTTTTCGGAGTGGTGATGAGCTCTTCTTCCCTGTTCGGCGGGATCATGACTTCTCTCATGGTCCCCGTTCAGCAAATCTTCGCCGTCATCTTCTTGCGAGAAGGGTTCAATGCGGAGAAAGGGATGGCGTTGGCGCTGTGCCTCTGGGGATTCGCGTCTCACCTGTACGGAGGTTACAAGACCTCCTCGTCGTCGTCGGAGAAGAAGGACGACGGCGGCGACGATGACGAGTCATCGGTGGCCGCCACGAGAATGATCAGTTGAAGAGAAGAAAAAGGTGGTTGGAGAGAGATTGGAATGGAAATGTGACGTTGTTTGTGCTAGCTAGCTAGTGTTACTTTTGCATGTCGCTGTGTTATAAATATATGTGGTATCTATCTAGTACTGCCTCGTTAGAAAGTCAGGTCCAGACCACCTTCGTTAAAGCACATTTCAATAGTGTTAAAAAGCAGCAACTTTCCATTCCTTATCTCTATGTCTCTCTATCTTTTTTTTCCCCTGCCTCTATCGTGTAACGGTTTCATTCTTCGTTGACTAGTCTCATTCTCATACCGACGATACTGAGTTAAAAAAAAGAAAGATCTTATGTTCTTTAAAAATACTAGCCTATTATCCGGCCCGTTGGCTGGATTAGTGTATGTTACCCACTTGTGGAATAGGAGAAAAAGCAAGTGAGAGTAGAAGGAATTGGGATTCCACTTGCTTAGGACCGACCCACTAATCCGATTCTTCCCGACCCGCCCCAACCTAAAGGGTCAGAAAGAGTCAATAAGAAAAAACGAACGGAGAGGATTAGTCATATATCTTGAATCTTCATAAGTGGGTCAAACAGGATCAAGGTTGGGTGAGGGGAATTTTTAGCGCTAAGCAGAGTTATGGTTGAATAACTTTACTTAGGCCTAGAAATTGGTGCTGATGCAGACTGCAGTTTTTATTATACCATCATCAATCATCATTGAATTAGTCCTGGGCATCCCTCCCCGTTGTCGGTCTGAATTCTAATGATGGCTTCGTTCCTTGCACCAGCCATATCGGCGAGTTGTCATCTCGAGCATGATTTGCCTATGTACAAATGATACAATTAGAGTATGAAACTGAATTCAAAGAAAGGAAAAGAGAATTCTATCACATGACAATAAATACACGCATAATAGTGAAGCTAAGTGAAAGTCATTACTCGCAAATCAATTTTCAAAAATTACAGACTAAACAATGGCTAGAATGGCACTGAAACTACCAAGAATCATGGACGAAACAACTTGTCAAATTAAATAATCCTTATACTCAAAACTACCTTCTAACTTGAAATAGGACATGATCACAGTTCATAGCTCTCTTCTCACTATGAATTGGTTGCAGCTCGTCCTTATCACTGCCTCCCAAGCTCAATTCCAACAGAATAGAGACAGTTATGTAAGATAACCATATCCTTACTGATCATAATTCCTTTCTTCACTCCATTTTTGTCAGAGAAAAGAGTTAACCCCCTCTCCTGCATTTCCCTTTCCCCCTCTCTTCTCCCTCTTCTTCACAAACCGATCCCTAAACCAGCAACAACAACACAAAAATAGCCTTCGCCTCTGCCATCTCCATCTACTGAACGCGTTGGTGGCAAGACAGGACTGCAGAAGCAAAATTTTCTAAAATCAAACTAAATTTTTTGAAGGAGACCTAACCACGAAAAAAGAGTAAAGCAACAATGCTAATAGTTCAGATGGTTGGTTTTGATGTTATACATTGCTTTTGTTCTGGTCTCCAGTATATCAACTGCATGATTTAGAAGCAAGTCCTCCTGTTTGTGTCAAACGAAAACATTCATGGGTTCTTAACTCCCCTGTTAGTGTAAAAGCAGCAGCAGCGGCAAAGAAGTTTGACAACACAGCAAGCACCCAGGCAAAATGATACAATGCAGTAGGTGATATGTGTCTCGAAGGTTTTGAGTTACTAAAGTTCATGTTAAAAATAAACATGAATTAAAATGGATTATTCTATTAAGCAAACATCCCCTCTAATCATACAAAGATCATATATCCAATTCACAAACAATTAAGCCATAAAAAATATCATACATCCACCACCTTTGATTGCCTAAATTTGGTTTTTCGCAAAGTTATGGACTCTTAAGGGTAACGTTCATGGGTAGTCTGTTTCATAACTCTAGAGAGCACAGTAAGCAGCCACCAGCCAGACACAGTGCGGTAGGCGAATATGATTCTCAATTCACAATTTCTCACCACCGGAAGTAAGAACAGACCATAATAAGCGTAACATTCATGGGTGGTCTGTTTCATAGCACTACCACACAATTTGTTAAAAAAGAAAGAAAGGTATTTAGCACCACGGTGGAACAACTTTTACAGGCCAACAACGACAACATGCTGCAACCACCAGAACTAGTATCACAACTCATAGGGAAAATCAAAAGAGCAATCGTCAAGCACATACACCATCACAAAAGTCACGGAACCTGATTCACAAAGCATTCAAACATTTGAGGACATTTCTGCAAAGGTACAACTTATATGTCTTTTTTCCAAGCCATTTCCATCAACATGCTAATAAATTTGCAATGCATAAAACAAACGGGCCAAAACTTGAAATTCAGCCTGTTCGATCGACCCATGCCATATTCTAATTATTCTTTACTTTTAAACTTTCTATTTGAAAATAAAAAAAATAGTGAAAGAAAAGAGACGACTACAATTCGCCATTTGCACATCACTTAATCGAGATTAAAACCATGGAAATTCAAAAGGAACTGAAAATGTTTAGGATCGTTATAATGTTTAAAATAACCAAATAGATCGTTATGTTTAGTTTTTTACTAACAAATACCAAACGATTCCCTATAAAATACACTATAATTTGATCATTGTGATATCAAATAATTATAAAATATATATTTGAAATGATAAAAATTGGACTAATTGTGTTGGTCGAGGTTGAACCATTGAATAACTTTAAAATACATTATATTTTAGCCACTAAGATATAAAATAATAGCATAATAGAAAATAGCTTGTTTTAGAATGACAAACCAATGATGTTCATTTGTTTTACTTGATGGCCAAATCACATGTAGGTCAGGCCCATTCAACTCTTTTATTTTATGGTTAGCGGTTAGCCCATTAGATACCATGCATTAGTTTATTGTTAAATTTTTTATTTTTAACAATAAAAAGGAGTATTAGTTTTTCCTTTTCATATATATTTTATCACCACGGAGAAATAAAAGGGTTTAAAGAAAAAAAATTGACACTCCTGGACCCGTTTAAATTCGCATGTGTACGGTAAGTTGGCCCGTTCCACAGAGGAAAGAGAAAAAAATTGACACTTCCTATTCTACCCTTCCTACAAACACTCATGGAGCAGGGAATTTGAAATGGGGGAAGGGTTTTTTCCTCCCTGCTATTATATGTTTTTAATTTAAAAAGATACAACAAATGTGCTTAGTGTGATTGGTTATTATCCTTGTTTTTCTTTAAAATGGTCATGGTTCGAATCCCAGTACGTGTCTTTTTAATGAATAAAAAAAAGTAATTGTGAAGACCAAAATGTCCTTCCTACTTTCACTCTCGTTGCAGGAAATTAAAAATGTCATAGTAATGCACTGACATTTTATACAAATGTTCCCCTAAAAAAAATGACATTTTATACAAATGACGCATAAATGTGAGGAGAAGAGGAGATGGGATTGGGTAGGAGGAAGGGAGAGAGAGAGGAACAAACATAAAGTGGAGCTGTTATTTTTTTTTTCTTTTTTTTTTAAGAATGAAATAGATTTAATTTTTTGTTGTTTAGGTACTGGTTAATAGATTTGAATTTGAGATTTTCAAGTTGGCCAAATTCACTTGTATAGCCAAAAATTCGACGTTTGTGATAAATATAGCCACTTTTGGAGAAATACCAGAAATAGTCAGAATTTTGAAAGTTCGATGACAAATATAGTCATTTCCGTTACATAGTTTGACGGCGTCAATGACACCGTTAGTCTAATTAACGGAATGATGATGTGGCTGCCAACTCATCACCCACGTCAGCAACAAGTCATCAATATCATTGCCACGTCATTTTGATTTATCTTTTAACAATTCTGGGTGGATAAATAAATAAATAAAATTCCAAATAGTCTTTTTTATCTAAAAATATTAAAAAAACAAAAAAACAATAAAAGAATAAATAATTTTATCTCACATCCCTCTGACCCTCTCTTCTCTCTGCCTCCGCCCGCAACCGTCTTTCCTTCCTCCACGGACGATCAAAACCAATCGCCATCACCTCATAGTACCATCTCCAATCTCGCTTCCCTCGATACCGCTCCTCCCTCGACCAGTAGCAAGCCAGGTCCCCCCCTCCCCCCAAATCCCGGGGAGACCACTGAAACGACAGCCGACAAAGACGCCGACCAAGAGCGACGCCTACTTCACACCGTTTCCTCCGTTCGTCGTTTCCTCTGTTTGCCGGGCACGGAGCCTCCAGATCATCCGCCCTCGTTCTATTGGTAAGGACCACAAAAACCTCGTAGCTTCGAGCTCAATCAGTCGCTAAACTAACTCAACCCGTGTTCATGAACCGAAGTTTTGCCGGCGGGATTGCGACGATTTAGAGCTCCGAAGCCGTCGATGTTGCAACAGGAGCGACAGTGAGTTAGATCTGGGGGTTGGTGGTGGCTGTTGCGGATTAGAAATAGATCGTGGTTAGGGTTGAATTCGGTGTGATAGTTGAGATGGATGGAAGAGAGGTGGTGAGTGTGAAGGTTGGTGGTGGCTGTCGGTTTGGAAATTGGGGAGGAGGAACATGGGGGAGTGATTATGGGGAAGAAGGAGAGAGATTTGGAAGGTTGGGTGGGAGGGAAATTGGGGAGGAGGAACAGGGGGAGTGATTCTGTGGAAGAATGGGGAAAAAGGAGAGGGATTTGGGAAGGTTGGGTGGGAGAAGAACGGAGAGGGAGAGAGAGAAAATAAAAAAAATATTTAATTATTTAATTATTTTATTTTCATTTTTTCTGATTATTCCAGCTCATATTTTTAATGATTAAAAGATTGACATGTCAACTTTTTCGTTAGTCCAGTCAACACGTTGATTAATACCGTCAAACAATTGGATGGAAGTGGTTATTTTTTGTATTTATCCAAACGTTGCTATATTTGGCAAAACCGTCAAAGTTTTGGCTATAAAGATGTATTAGGCCTTTCAAGTTCAAGGCTTTTGGAATTACCAAATTTTAATTGAAGTCTATCTTAGAGTACATAAATTTTCATTAAACCCGATACAATGACAATCAAATAATTTAGTTAATGCGAATTTTTTTTATTGATTTTGCAACCAAGTTATTTAATTATCTAAGATTTTTAAAACTCTTGTTTAAATTTACAATCAATAATATTTGGCGGAAAATTTAGAATCGTTTTATGTTTCAAAATTACTTGGTTTGAAAAAGTATAATAACTTTGCTACCGAACTTATTTGGTTGGAATATTCTTGCTTCCTTTTGGTCTCTTCAATTTTGATTCGGTTAATAGGATTATTTTAATTGAAACCCAATTTATCAACATCTTTATCTTCCAAAAATGTAATTTAGTATGTAGTAAATGATAATCTTTTCGCAACTACTTGTAATTTGGTTGTAAACTTTTTGGTTGCAAAAGCTAGTAGTGACAACTGACAACTACACAACTCTGAATCGACAACCTCCTCACCCGTAAGTAGGGATGGCAATTTCGACCTGACACGTTTTATCCTACCTGTTTGAACTGTTTTGGGGCGGGACGGGCATGGGTATTCTCGTCGACCCGACCTGCCCTGACCCGCCCCATTGTCGACCTGTTCTTACTTAAATTACATGTAATCTTAGTCAAATTACTTAGGATTTTCCTTTTATTACATCATATTTTAGCTACAATAAAGTTGTAATTATTGAAAACCTCAATTTCTTCAATAATTTATCTATATTTATCGTTATATGGTTTGTTTTCTTGGTCTTAAAATGATAATAATGAATATTTCTAATGTTTTCCATATAAATTGCGTACACATTGGGTCGACCTACCCAACTCGCGACCCATGATAAATTACCCGACCTACACCCGACCTGTTACCGGGCGAGTATGGATATCGAGATACCCACCCCGGGCCTTCCTCATTGCCATTCCTGCAAGTAAGTCCCCATGTGGTCTAGTGGCATTAATATTGCATGTGTTGCATAAAATAAAATAAAAAACGTGCCCCGTGGCTACGTTTCCTCCTTCCATAAACTCAGCAAGACAATCCCTTTAGACAAATATCAAAAGAAGAAAAACGATTTGAGCACGAGAAAAAGAGAGATAATCAATGGATGAAAGGATTTATGACATTCGGAGAAGGTTGGCACAACAACGTACACCACGCATTCAACAACACAACGTGGTCATGTTCCTTCAAGACGAGTTGTGGGGTTGGGCTCCTGGTGTGAAGCAACCAATACCATTCAGAACCATAGACAGAGAAGACAGACTGTTCAAAAGTTGGTCATTAATTCTTGCGGTTCCCGATCGTGATTAATTTGCACATTCACACCTTCGCGAATGATTGATTGATTGATTTCGTATTCTACTCTACATATCGTGTCGCGTGATCGATGATGGTAAAAGTGTGAGGTAGGATAATTTGTAATATAAATTGCGGTTTAATCATCGTGGTTCAATGGTTTCGTTACTGTAAAAATCGTGTACTGTTTTGGAATCGCGGTGTCCGGTATTTCCGATACCGATACGATAGGGTTTCTAAAATTCTGATTGTATATAATTATTCATGGCCACTATACATGGGTTCTATAAATAATAAAGTTATCATTTTATTATTATTATTATAAATGATCAATATGACGTATCATAGCCTCCATTCGCCATAGAATGAGACTCATAGAGTCCTTGACAGTCATACATGATGAACCGGTGAATTAAATACCAGATAAGAAACGAACAGAACATGAAAATCCAAAGGTAAAGAGTGACCCCCACAAATGGCCAGATAATCCGCACACTTGTTTCATTAGTTCCCGTTAAATGCGGGAAATCGACTCTTCCCGATCGAGAGCAAGAAGATCATCCTGAAACTTTTCGCTGACGCGGTTGCACGTTGATGATCCACCTTCTCCCTGCGTTGTGGAGAAGCTTTAGTACTGCACAAATAAAGGGATCGATTCAAAGCAAACGCTGCAAGACAACATGTTGTGCGATGTCGAATCAAACCACTCGGAGTTATTGAAATAACTACTAACCAGAAACTATATATCAAATTTCAGAACACAGTAAAAATCTAATGAGGCGCCATGTGGTAGTTGGCTGCGTGCTGCCATTCACCATTAATGCTCCTGCAAAAACCACATTCCACTACAAAAACAGGTAAGAAGAATCCATAGACGACGACGAGAAGGAGAGAAATAATGGGAGCTGTGGGAGAATCACCTGGGTATGGAAAGGACCACAAGGGCTTTAATGACCAACTGCGTCGCCGTCACGAAAAGAGGAAATGGAGCAAATGGGACAAAGTCGTCGTCGCGACAGTTTTAGTGACCCATTTGCTGGCCTTTTGCGGTCTGTTCTGCTTCAGCTGGAAAGGGTTTGGTGTTTTTCTTTTGATAGGCATCGTCACCAGCCTCTTCGGTATCAATCTCAGTTACCACAGGCATCTCACCCACAAGAGCTTCAAGCTCCCCAAGTGGCTCGAGTATTCGTTTGCTTATTGCGGAGTTCATGCACTTCAGGTACGTACGATATCTCGTTCGAAGAAGTTCGAGATTGAATCTTATATCATTTGTTCGATGACTAAAATGTGTTCTCGAATTCCTTTTTTTTATATTTGTGGACAACTACTTGAACCACGGGAGAAGACTAGTTATATATCTCATCACCATCGATCTCACACGCGTTGATCCATTAAACGCAAACCTTTTCTTCCTTGTGTTCGAGTTTTAAGCGAAAGATATGGATTGATGCATTAACATCTAATTCGCTATGCGAAAGTTTTGATTTGAGTGGGTATGTTATGTACGTGCAGGGGGATCCATTGTCATGGGTTAGCAACCACAGGTTTCATCATCAGTTTGCTGACACCGAAAGAGATATACACAGCCCGATCGTGGGGTTTTGGCATAGTCATATGGGTTGGATGTTCGATTTGTCATCTATCAAAGAAAAGGTATATATTAATTGTTCGATGTAAATTGAAAAAATTGAATGAAAAGAGAAGGTAGTTAATGTGAATTGGCGATTTCATGTGCTCTTGATTTTTATTAGGGGTGGCGGTTCGGTTAATCGAACAAAAAACCATTAGAAATAAAAAAAAAATTGAATTAGCCAATTGCTCAAAACCGAATCCGATAAGAGCTTACTAGGTTCTATTCGATTTATTAAAGTTTTTCTAGTTGTTAACGAAACTGTTAAAGGTTTATTGATTTTACTCACTAAAGAAAATCAATAGATTATAAAATCAGTTTAGGTATTCGATTAAAACCGAACAACCACCCTAAATTTGATAAATGTTGGTGTGCTCTGGCAGTGTGGGAAGCGAAACAATGTTGCTGATCTGGAAAAGCAAGTCTTCTACAGGTGGATTCGGAAGACCTACATTATACATCCTCTGAGTCTTGCTACTCTCTTATATTCACTTGGTGGATTCCCCTACATATGTTGGGGAATGGTGAGCATTATATATTCAATCATCAATATGAATATAGAATTTCTCTCAACAATTTGACTTAGTGGGGTGCATTTTCTAAACTAAAAACATGAACGGGTTCAGGGTGCAAGGGTGGTGTGTGTCTACCACGCCACATTGTTAGTCAACTCAGCTGCTCATACATGGGGAACTCGAGTTTGGAACACTGGCGACCTGTCGAGGAACAACTGGTAATGATCGATTTAGTGTTTTTATCATATACATTAGAGTTCACTAGGGTTTTCAACAACTTGCGACGGTGTAAGTGCTTTGTTGCTATGACTTGATGTCAGATTATCTGCCATCAACTGACAACACCCATCCAAACCCACAGTAGATGTGCCTATACACATCTGTTGTTCTGTTTTTGGTCTGGTTTGTAACATTTTCACGTTGGATTATTAGAGTTATTTCATATGGAGAAGGTGCTAAGTACATCTTCTCATCTCTCTGTGTTGTGAAAATGGTATCCCATGTCTATGGATCAACTAGCACACATCATGTTACCTAGTAAACCACGTAAATCTATGTGTTCGTCACTTTCTTGCATCGTCGATTTTCCATTTTCGTGGTAACATGTTGTGTGTCGATCAATCAGGTGGGTTGCAATTATGACATTTGGAGAAGGTTGGCACAACAATCACCATGCATTCAATAGCTCAGCAAGGCACGGGCTGGAATGGTGGCAGATCGACATGACCTGGTACGTGGTGAAGTTCCTTGAAGTTGTCGGCTTGGCCTCTGATGTGAAGCTACCAACTCAAATCCAAAGACAGAAGATGGCTATCAAAAGTTTATCAGTAAATTAAATCATTCTTTATTTGTCGACGACAGACAGCCTCTTCTGATGTCTGGAATTGTAGTTAACTCTTCTGACCGTAGATTAGGTAAGACACGTCGTGTTAGTGAATCAGGTAAATCTGTATGCTCTTTACTTTCTTACGTTGTTGATTTCCCATTTCGTTGCAACATCAGATTAATTACTTGCATGTCATCCGAGCCTTAAAATAGCATGCAGTGTATTTAGGTTTTTATACATTGGTCTTCAATTAATATCGATGTTGATGCAAGTACTAGGTCTGAATGGTCTATGCATACTTTAAATATATCCACATAAATTGTCAAAGAGCCTTCGAGCATTCCATTTGTTTTCCGACGAGAAAATATGTGTTGAAGAAAATTGATTGGACCTTTGACTTTTTTGGACAACAATTACTAGGACACGACTCACACTTCTTCAAACAAAGTTCGAACGAGGGTGTTTGATTGATGATGAAAGTAAACTATAAATTCTAAGTTAAGTTACTCCTACTCCTATCGAGGTTCAGCGAGACCGCCAACTACAACTAAGGCTACATTGCTGAGAAAAGGATGAAGTTTGACATTGGGTGTCAAATGGTTGGTTGTGAAACCCCTTTCTCTGTCAACCCTTCCTCCTATTTATAGCCATGGGGAGATAATTGTCATAGAAAACCACCTCTGAGATAACTCCCGAAAACAACCACTCCATACTTCCTCGGAGTGATGGTTACTCCTTCAACCGCCTAGGTGCCTCTCTTGGAACTGTCACGGGTATTGGAGTGTAGCTTGTCTCGCCTAGTCTTGTTCAAAATCTCGTGTCATGCTAGTCTTTTGATAAGCACGTGGTGTCTCACAAAAGGGGGTCGTGATCCTCTTGCCTCGCGGTCATGGACTCCTTACTCATGTACATGGCCCTATTGTCTCATGGTCAAGGACTTATTATATTTTGAGTCCCTCGGTCTTGGTTATCAGGCAGCATTGCCTCTTCATTTGCGGTCATGGACTTCTTAATCATGTATGTGGTCCATCTCGTGACACGGCATGGCCTTCTCATACTTATAATTTTTCAATCGTGCCTAGGGACTTTTTTCTCGCACCCATGCCTCTTCTCGTGAAGCGGCATGACCTTCTCATACCTAGTATATTTCAATCGTGCCTAGGGCCTCTTGTCTCGCATCCATGGCCCTTGTCGTTGAGATGGCATGTACTTCTAGATCCTAGACGGACATGGCTTTCCTCGTTGAAGCGGCATGTCCTTTCCATAATTAGAATATTTTTTGTCTCACATGACTCCTCTCGTGAAGCGGCACGTGCCTCTAGATTGTAGACGGACATGACCCTCCTCGTTGAAGCGACATATGTCTCTCCAGACTTAGTTTATTTTTATACAATCTCGTGGCATGACATGGCCTTCTATGAGAGGCCCATGACACTCATTGAATCATGTATATGAATACTGTGACTTAGTAGGTTGGGCTTAAAATCAATATCCATAAGACCCAACTTAAATAACATTAATTGTTATAATTGATGTGACCTTATAAGTTCATTGATTACCTTGTAACTCATCAATGTGGTACAAGATAATTTTAGGTGTAAATACTAAATATCATTTCTAGTGATGGCCTTGAAGACGGGTTTTTCGGTCAATCTAAAAAAAATTATTCGCTTTTGAAACCTTTGAGTGGATGTATAAGAAAATGATTATATAGTAATTATTTCTCGACTTTTGACATCTTCCACTAGACATATAAGAAGATGGTTATATAGTAATTATTTCTTGGTTACTTTAATACTTTTATTAATTCAATAGATTACGATGTTATGGCAATTTTCCAACCACGGTTAATTAAAATATGATCCTAAACGCCTTTGGCGTCTGTCTTCCTACCCAAAAAAAAATCCAATTCCAAAAGAACTTATGACTAACTCCGTCTGTTTTTTGAGAAACGTCTTCTCCTTTAATTCTACTCTTTGAAGTTTTAACTACTGCTCATCTTGTAACTAACCAAACCCTTTTATCGTAAATTCGACTATTAATCGACTACCGTCCGTGGTTGTTATCTGCTCTTTGACTTGTTGATCTGTTAAAACATAAAAAGTGAGAAACGTCCCCTCCTTAGTTAGCCATATACTTTTATGACTCCATTAATAATCCAGATTCTCCTTCACCAAACCAAACCAAACCAAATTCATAAACAAGAAAGAGAGCATCAAAAAAACCAAATCAAGAATTAAGTGTCATTTAATTTTGACAACTCGAGAGCCTTTATAAAAGGAGAGCAAACAAACCATAGTCATTGGATTCACCACATAACAGCAAACTCTCATTTTCTCACCTCACTAAACTTCACAAAAAGAAGAGAAAGAGATCCAGAATGAAGAACTCCACCATTTTCCTTCTCTTCCTAGCGACCTTCTTGGTCATAGCTGGTGAACTTCATCTCCATCCCCATTTTCTCTCTATCTTTGTTTCCTTTTTGCGTCGAACATCAATAGTATTTCTTCGTATATATCGTAGCGCGTATTTATGACACATCCCTGATTTCATTTTTTACTAACAAGTAATTTTTTTTTTAATTTTACGGTGTAGGAAATGAAGAGGTGATGGCAGCTAAAGGAGACTACTGTGAGAAAGGAATTATCAAGCTGTCCCCTAGTCATGACTGCATCGGTAATATGTGTAACTCTGCATGCCAAGCCAAATTTGGACAGAAGGCTCAAGGGCGTTGCGAATATTTGGCCTGCAAATGCTTCCTTCCCTGTTGATTTACTGTTTTTTTTTTCTTTCCTTTGTGCTAAGATTCGAACCTAGATTGTGGTTGGTTTATTGTCTTCTAACAACAAAGTAAGAGAGAAGGCAAATGAAACCCTAAAAACCTGAGTTCTCATTCCATCAATCTGCCTCTTATAGGCTGAACCAACAAGTGAAGACAAGGTTCATTACAACCATTGTTTTGTAGCTTGGAAAGGAAACAAGCTGTCTTGCAACGAAAGGAAAAAGCTACAGAAATGGTAAAGCAAAAACGGTAGCGTTCCAAACTGGTCTTCATGTCTCCAAAACGCAGCGCAGAGTGGTAGTCGTCCGAAAGCAGCAAAACGTCGACGTTGGAGAAGATGACCGTTGGGATTGAAAATGGGATTTTCAATCTGTTACCCCCCCCCCCGCAAGCTGGTGGGCATATGTTTCGCACACCAAGCTTGGACAATAATGTCTGAAAGGGGGAGGGAGAGAGAGCTTTAGTAAAGAGATCTGCAAGTTGATGAGTCGAGGAGATGTGGAGAAGCTTGATGGATCCAGATTGTAATTTTTCTCTGACGAAATGACAATCGAGCTCAATGTGCTTGGTGCGCTCATGGAAAGTTGGATTTTTGGCGATGTGGATTGCACTTTGATTGTCGCAGTACAGAGCAGCAGGGGAAGAACAGCCGGCCTGGAAATCTTGAAGCAGGAATTGAAGCCATTGTATTTCACAAGCTGTGTAAGCCAGAGCACGATATTCAGCTTCACAAGAGGAACGAGAAACAGTCCGTTGCTTTTTGGTTTTCCAAGAAATCAATGATTCTCCAAGGTAAATGCAGAAGCCAGTTGTGGAGCGGCGAGTATCCACACACGCCGCCCAATCAGAATCAGTGAAAGCCTTCAGTTGGAAAGTCCCTTTTGTTGGAAAGAAAAGGCCAGTGGCAGGGGCTGATTTCAAATACCTCAGTACTTGAAGAACAGCTTTGAAGTGGGTTGTGGATGGGGCTAACATGAATTGGCTGAGTTGTTGAGTTGCATAGCAGATGTCTGGCCTTGTAGTTGTTAGATAGATTAGCTTGCCAACAAGAGTTCTGTACAATTCTAGATCTTCAAATGCATTGTCAGTAGCATTGGTAAGATGTATTTTGTAGTCCATTGGAGTGGAAACAGATTTGGAATCAAGTACTTGTGCCTCTTCCAATATCTCCAAAGTGTATTTTCTTTGAGATAAATGAATACCTGTGTTTGTTCTTGCCACTTCAATGCCTAAGAAGTACTTCAAATTGCCAAGGTCTTTGATGCTGAATCAATGTGCAGCATGTTTTTGAGTTCTTGAATCTCTTTAATGTCATTACCACCCAAAACCAGATCATCAACATAGATCAGTATGCAGGTGTAACTGGTGTCAGTTACTTTGAAGAAGAGTGAGTGATCTGCCTTGCTCTGAATGTAGCCAATTTGCTGCAACTTGTCTGTTAACTTGGAAAACCACTGTCTAGAAGCTTGTTTCAATCCATAGAGTGATTTCATGAGTTTGCAGATTGGATTGTCAATGCCTGGGGGTGGGGTATAGCCTTTAGGAAGAGTCATGTGGACCTCTTCTTCAAGGTCTCCATGTAAAAAGGCATTATTCACATCCAGTTGGTGAATATGCCAGTTTCTCATTGCTGCAATTGCAAGAAATGTCCTTACAGTTGTCATCTTAATAACTGGTGCAAAGGTATCTTGGAAATCAACTCCTTCTTGCTGAGTGTTGCCTTTGGCAACAAGTCTGGCTTTGTGCCTTTCTAATGATCCATCAGATAAAAATCCTTATAGATCCACTTGTTACTGATTGGTTTCTTTCCTTTGGGCAGTGAAACAACATCCTAGGTGTGATTCTTCAAGAGAGCTTTGATTTCAAGCTGCATTGCCTCATTCCAGATATCAAGTTGGGAAGCTTCTTGGTATGTTTGAGGTTCTCTATGGCTGGAAATGTTTAAGAGGAAGTGTTTGTGGGGAGCAGAAAGTTTTTCATAAGAGAGTAAAGATGAAAGGGGATACCTGGAGTCTTGGATCTGTTGCTGACTAGAGTGACTGATGCTGTTAGGTCCTTTGGAAAGGTAGCAATGGTAATTTTGAATGAGATGAGGTGGGGTTCTTATGATTCTATCAGAACGTCTAACATTCTGAGGTGGGGGAGGTGGTGGGGAAGGTGGTGATGATGCAGGAGAAGATAATGGTGATGCAGGAGAAGTTGGTGGTGGGGGTGAGCTAAGAGGTGAAGGAAGTGGAATAGTAGGGGTTGGAGTAGTAGAAACAGGAGGAGGATCCTCATGATTAAGAGAAGAATCAGATGTAGGTATGGGGAAAAAAGTTGGACTATCTACAGGGTTGCTGGATGTTGGTTGGAAATCTGGTGAAGTGGATTTGAAAGGAAAGTGGGATTCATAGAAAATGACATCCCTGGAAATGAATACTTCATGGGATTGGAGATCATATAGTTTGTAACCTTTGATGCCAGATGGATATCCAATAAAAATTGCTTTCCTGGCTCGAGGTTCAAACTTTTTTCTGTGGTTTGCAAGGGTGCTGGCAAAGCAAAGACAGCCAAAAACCTTTAGATCTGTCAGGTCTGGTGATTTGTTGTGTAACATTTCGAATGGTGTTTTGTTTGAAAGAACAGAAGATGGAACTCTATTGATTAGGAAGATAGAATGTTTGACAAAATCTCCCCAGAATGAATTTGGTAAAGATGACTGGAATTGGAGAGCCCTGGCAACAGCAAGGATGTGTTGGTGTTTCCTTTCAACCTTGCTGTTTTGCTGGGGTGTCTCAACATGACATTTCATGAATGATCCCAGTAGAAGTAAAGATCCATCTGGAATTCTTTGCCTTGGTCACTTCTGATGGTTTTGATTTTTGTTTGAAACTGTCTTTCCATCTGTTTGCAGAAGAAGATAAGTTTAGGTCTGGCTTCTGACTTAAGTTGTAAAAGGATTATCCAAGTCATAGTAATCATCAACAACAGTTAAAAATATCTAAAACCATCATATGAAGGAACTGGATTGGGTCCCCAAATGTCAACATGGAGAAGTTCAAAAGGAAGTGAGTTACAGACTGGCTGGAGGGAAATGGTAGTCTTTTCTGCTTAGCAAAATGACAAACATCACAAGGTTGATCCTTGTGTGTTGAAATGGAGGTACAAAATTGATTGAGAAATGGAATTTTAGAATGGGAAGCATGCCCTAATCTAAAATGCCATAAGTCAAAGGTGGTGGAGGAAGCAGCAGAAACCAGCTTTGGAGAAAGGGAAGCTTGAAGGTAGTAAAGACCATTCCTTAGGCTAGCAGAACCAATCACTTTCGTCTGCTTCAGATCCTGTATAAGACAAGTGTTTGATTTAAAGGTTAAGCATAAGGAGTTATTAGAAGTCAGTCTGCTAACTGAAATCAGGTTGAAGGTGAAATGGGGAACAAACAAGGTATCATAAAGAATCAAATCTTCACTGCAAATTGATGTGCCTGAATGTGTTGCTTGAATCTGCTCTCCAGTTGGAAGGGTGATGTATATGTGAGATAGGGGTTTGGGATTGTGGAGATAGTCCAGGGAGCAGACTATGTGATCTGAAGCTCCAGTGTCAACTATCCATTTAGGTTGGATAGAAGAAGAAGCATTCAATATAGGCATAGGTAGAGAGGGGAGAGGAAGAATACCTTTCTGTGTTACATAGGCAGCAGCAGAGAAGGAAGTGGAACCTCTGGATGGATTAACCATGTTCATTAACTTGTCATAGTCTGCTCTTGTAAGTTTGACTTCATCAGATGGAGAGGTTGAGCTAGAGAGATTGACAGTAGGTCTTGTTCTTGGAGGACCAGTAGAGGGGTTTCTAGGAACAAAATTTGGAGGATAACCATGTTTTTGGAAACACTTGTCTTCAGAATGCCCTCTTCTTTTGCAGTGAGTGCAAGTCACAGGAACACCAGTATTGGAAGTGGAAGGTTTGGTCATGCCAGGAGGCCAACCATGCTTCTGAAAGCAAATATCCTCTGTATGTCCTTCTCTTTTGAAAAATGTGCAGTAAGGGGGTTTGTTGTTCTGAGAAACCCTCCTGTTTCCAGGTTGAAAACCAAGGACAGAAGGTTCAGTGCTCAGTGAAGCAACCATTTTGCCAGATTGAGTTCCATAGATCTGTCTTTCATGCGGCAACATGCGTTGAAATACTCTATTGATGTTTGGCAGTTCCTCACCAAAAAGAACCTGTGCTCTTACTCCAGAAAAGTTCTCATTCAAGCCACGAAGGAATTTTATGACATAGCTAGTCTCTTGGTATTGCAAAACCCTTATCATGGCAGCACAATCATTGTGACTAGTTGGAGTGCAGGAACAAGGTAAGATGGATTGGTAATTCTCTAGTTCATCTCTAAGAGTAATCACACGACCATAATACTTTGTCACTGTTTGATTACCTTGCTGCAGGGTAGATAAGGCTTCTTCCAGTTCAGCAATTCGAATTAGATCTCCTGAGCCAAGAATGGTTTTCCTGATCTCAGATGAAGTGGCCTGTTGAAGCCAACTCAGGACCATGACGTTGTTCCTCGTCCAGGCTCCATGGCGAGGATCTGTGACTGCTGGTTCTGGTATGGTACCATTGATGAAACCAGTCTTGTTTTTAGCTGCAAGAGCATTGAGCATAGCTCTGCTCCAGTCATTGTAATTTGTGGGGGTGAGAAGGTCGCCAACAAGGAGAGTGCCAGGTTGGTCAGAACCATGTAGAAAGAAAGGGTCAGACAAGGGATCCTGAGGAATTTGAGGTTGAGGAACAGGCTGTGCATTTTGTTGCTCAGCCTGTTGAGGATCTGCTTGATTGTCGGCCATTGTTGTGGAAGAAAAGTGTGGCGGCTAGGGTTCCATTGGAGGCTCTGATACCATAACAACAAAGTAAGAGAGAAGGCAAATGAAACCCTAAAAACCTGAGTTCTCATTCCATCAATCTGCCTCTTATAGGCTGAACCAACAAGTGAAGACAAGGTTCATTACAACCATTGTTTTGTAGCTTGGAAAGGAAACAAGCTGTCTTGCAACGAAAGGAAAAAGCTACAGAAATGGTAAAGCAAAAACGGTAGCGCAGAGTGGTAGTCATCCGAAAGCAGCAGAGTGGTAGTCGTCCGAAAGCAGCAAAATGTCGACGTTGGAGAAGATGACCGTTGGGATTGAAAATGGGATTTTCAATCTGTTATCTTCAAACATTGTAGAACAATGAAAAACTTTTAAGAATAATGCTGCTTTCCGACTTGGAGATACTGCAATGTGGTCAAATGACTCAATCCCGTGTTTTAGAAATCGTACTCTACCGTGTTCGGTTAGATCGGGAATAACGCATATATCATATCTCAAATTGATAGACGATTTCATAGGCGTAAAATGGTTGAAGTACGCAATTAAATCACGATTTTAGCACACACAAAAAAATACATTGTCAGTCACCTTATTTCGGTATATTCTCCAATATGATTTCACAATCATTGATCAATCAATTTCTAAAAGTATTTATTGATTATTATACCATACCGTTCAATTGGGTCAACTGCAAGAATTGTCTACCGTCATCTAGGGATGGGCGGGTTGGGTGGGTTTTGGTTTCAAATTGACCCACCCGCTTACTAGCGAGTTGGAATAATTATGACCCACAATCCACCCACGTACTTCTGCGGATTGGTTGGGTGGGTGGCGGATGGGTATGGTTGGGTCATGGGTCAACCCGCAAAAGCAATTCTCCAACTAGTCATTAAGAAAGTTGACTAACATTTATAATAAGTTCATAGCAAATTAGTAAGATTGTATCAATAATTTATGATTTTGATACAATTAATAATTTATACTTTCCATCCCAATATTTAATGGATATTAACAATAATTTGCATATCAATATCCAATATCTAATGGATATTGCACAACACAATAACCAATAATAGTAGTCAAAACTATTCTTCATTCTCTACCTTTTGAAGTATATAGTCAGACTGTAGTGTAGTTCGAAAATATTATGAATATTCAATACTATAAGACACAACATTTTTCATGTACAAATCGGATGCGGGTCATGCGGGTGACCCGCAATCCACCCACCACCCACCCACATAAGTGCGGGTGGGAGATTTATCAATCCGCAATCCACCCACATCAATCACCCACTGCGTGCGGGTCGGTTATTTACGGGTGAATCAATATCAAACCGCGGATTACCCACCCACGTGCCCACCCCTACGGCGTCATCTAATCCGGCATGTTAGAGAAATCTTATGAAAATTCATTAAAATGTCAATTTGATATAATATTGGTAAGTATTGGTGGTGTTTAGGAATGGCAACTTTGCCCATACCCATGGGTTTCTTACTATCCAACCCAATTGGGTTGGGTATGAAATCCAAATAGATGGATATGGGTAGAGTTTGATGGGTTTGTACCCATACCCATTTACTTTGGGTTGAGTTGGGTTTATATCAAATGGATTTGGGTTAGTACCCATGCCCAAATATAAATTACAGTTTGGTACCCAAACTTAATAGATATACATATTTAGTACCTAAATTTAATTTTTTTTTTGCATATAAGTCCTCAAAATATCGATGGAAATTATATTTTGGTACCTAAATTTTTTTGGTCTTACCTTTTGGTACCTAAACTTTTCAAGTTTTACAAATAGGTCCATTTTTTGCATTTGTAGTTAAAACACCCTCAAGTAAATGGATATCCATATCCAACCCATACCCATTTAGATTATGGAAGCAATATTCATACCTTACCCAAACCATGGTCCATGAAACCGTACCGGAGATCGTACCGGGAGAGTCAGCGTTAGGGTATTTTATGGTAAAACCGTGGTTTAATCGTAGTTCAACCGTTAGACCGTTAAATACCGCCTACCAATTTAGCCTTCAAGACTGATATTTCGTGGTTGAACCGCCGGTACAGTACGGTTTCATGGACAATGACCCAAACCCATCTATAAACCCCCCAAATCCATATGCACTTCACCCATACCCAACCCATTATCAATGGGTCTACTTGGGTTTGGGTATAACTACCCATGGGTGGGTAATTTGCCATCCCTAGTGGTGTTATCGGTATGATACTACCAGTTCAATATATTAGTTTATTTAATATCATTTTAGCAATCATATTCCACTCGTATATATACGTACTATCGATAGAACCAAGTTATAAACCACTATAATATCATTTCACAAGCTTGTTCGATACGATTTTCAGTACGAACCATGGAAAAATACCCAGATGTAAAATGAAGTTTATGAGGATCTAGTTTTTCTTGGAAGGAAAAACTTGATTTTTTTCGATGAATCGATTTTTTTAAAGCAAATAACAACATTTTTAGCAACATTCTAAACTATCGTAGGTGATGTAAATAATGATATCTCTCGAAACATATCAAACTGTCATGATTGATAAATACCGGACATTTCGCGACAATTTTAACTTGGTGGTAAATTTTTTGGTTGGAAAAGATATTTATTCTTGTAGCGACATCAAGGATCTCCTAACCCGTAAGTCCCCATGTGTTATATAAAATACGTGCCGTGGCTACGTTCCTCTTTCCAAAAACTCAGCAAGACCATAATAATTACTAGATTGAAATCCGGCCCGTTGGCCGGATGCAGTATCCCAAAAGCAAAAATATATGTACTATTAAATTAGTGAAGAATAAAAAAAATGAACAAACATCATAATATTTTACTAAGCAAGATATATTTTTATTGATATCAAAAGTCAAAATATTTGAACTATTCAACTAATGGTAAAATAAAAAATGGAACATGCATCATAGAGTTTTCTTATATTCTAACCGGTTCATCAACGAAAATTTTTACTAAAAATTAAAAATAGAACTCATGGAAGGGGACTAACTCTTAAAAAACTTAATCAAACTACATTCAATTTACTACTTGAGTAGAAATTACTATAATTTTTCTTATGGACTTCTTTGCTATTGCTTCACCATATGTATCATCATCTCTGTCAATAATTATAGTTTTATATTCATCACTAAAGTGTCTTTATCCATCATCAATAGTCTATCTCTTATTCTGAACAACATCACTACTCACTATCGCTATTCTTTTTTTTAATTCAATACCTCCATCAAACGAATTTTTCTTCTTCACCTTCATTTCATTGAAATTTTACTTAAGCGTAAAACTAAGATGTTTGCAAATATAAAACCTTTGGATTTTGCTACGGTGACATGCATGTCACGGTGACATGCACTTTTCGGTCGACCTCATATAGGATCAGGTCGACCTAATTTGTTGTTTCAGTGTAAAAACAGTTTCATGGTGCCTACTTGGGAGATTCATATCTTACAATTGGCTAGATGGAAATTGGAGATTAAAGGCTTGTTTTGAAGCTGAAGTGTCCCTCTACACATTAAAGTACTTGGGAGCTCAATAGAAAGTCCAGAAGACCATTTTTGAACCTGAGCAAAAGGTTATGCCAAAACAGGGAAACTGCCTGGAAATGGCTAAGTATGGCAACGTGTTTGTCAAGCCTACTTTGGAGCTCAATTTGAGAAGCATGGATGCGAGTCAAGTCCAGGAGCCTCTACCACATTAAATTACGTTTTTTTTATATAAAGGAAAAGCATTGGATGAAAGATTGAATATCTTTAAGGCTTCAAACAAAAGGCTCCAAGTTGCTACAAAGGCTGTTTTTCTGGCAGCTTGCTTGTGCTCGAAGTCTGCCAGAAAAACAGCCTTCGTAGCAACTTCGACTCTTTTGTTTGAAGCCTTACAGATATCCAATCTTTCATCCAATGCCTTGAATTTGTATAAAAACATACCTAATTTAACGTGGCAGAGGCTCCTGGACTCGACTCGCATTCATGCTTCTCGAATTGAGCTCCAAAATAGGTTTCACAAACACGTTTCCAGACTTAGCCATTTCTAGGCAGTTTCCCAGTTTTGGCATAGCCTTTTGATGAGGTTCAAAAATGGTCTTCTGGACTTTCTATCGAGCTCTCGATCACTTCAATATGTAGAGGGACAATCCAGCTTCAAAACAAGTCATTAGTCTTCAATTTCCATCTAGCCAATTGTATGATATGAATATCCAAAGTAGGCACCATGAACTGTTTTTACACTGAAACAACAGATTAGGTCGACCTGATCCTATATGAGGTCGACCGAATCCTAAATGAGGTCGACCAGATCCTATATGAGGTCGACCGAATTCTAAATGAGGTCGACCTAATCCTAACTGAGGTCGACCGGAAAGTGCAAGTCACCATGACATGCATGTCACCGTATAGTTTTAAAGATTCTTAATTGGCTCCTAACCCAACCCAATAGTTTAAAATCCCACACGTTTAGTTTCCAAACTAAAGATTATAAATATTTAAGTGGACATATTGATTATTAATTAATAAAAATCCTAAAACTACACGTATACATAATGTGGACATATTTATTTGATTTAGAAGTCTAAAAATATTTGGCCTATTTATTATTAATGAATAAAAATCCTACTACTGCACGTATAAATAAGTATACATATTTATTTGATTTAGACATCTTATGTACAAGAAATCGGTCATATAGTAATTATTTTTTGGCTACTTAATACTTTCATTAATTACTTAGATTCTTCTGCAACAATTTGCCACAAAGAGACACAACTAATCAATTTGGCTTTGCATCATTGCATGTGGACTTCTTTGCACTAACTAATTATATGCAGAAACTTTATAGCTTCATTAATAATTCAGAATCCACCATAACAATTTCTCCACCAAGAAAGAAAGAGGAATGGAAAGAGCCAAATCAAGAATTAAATCTCATGTTGACTCCCTAATCCTTATAAAGGCAAGAGAGTTAATCAGCTGGTCATTGAAATCGAATTCTTTGTTTTTATCATTTTTCTCACCTAATTAGTCCACCAACGATGAAGAGCTCCACCATCTTCCTCCTCTTTTTAGTGACTTTCTTGATCATTGCTGGTGAACTCTCCATCCTCATTTTACCTCTTCTCTTTAATTTTGAATTTTGGGTTGTAAATAATATATTTCTTAGGTTATACATTCGAAATTTTGCTTATAATTAATTTTAATTTTTTAAATATTACGTATTCCATAGGCTAAAAATATTTCTCAATGATTTTGTATAGGAAATGAAGAGGTGAGAGCTGCTAGCAGAAATCAGGTTTGTAAGAAGCAACAACTCCCACCATATGAATTCAAGTGCTTTAAGGATGAAGACTGTGTCCCTGGCTGCAAAGATGAATATGGAGATAAAGCTGTTGGCAGATGCGATAGCCTTTTTTTCAGATGTTATTGCTACTTTTACTGTTAAATTAATTAATTGTAATATCCTCAACCAATTGTGTAGGAAAATAAAATTTTAGTTAAGGATGATCAATGTCAATTTATGTATTGCCCTGCCTTAGCACGATGTTTGGAGTCTGCTACGAGATCGAGGCAACATGACAATTTTAGAAATTAGGTTTGCGTATTATTATTGTTGTTCCGTTACTATTATGTGTATCATATACTTTGAGGACAATTCGTTATAAACTTATAATTAGGGCTGGGAAACGGTGTGGTCTGGTCCAGACTAGACCATATATACGGTCTATAGTCCAGACCGAGAGGTTAAAGTATAGACCATAGACCAGACCACAGACTATACGGTAGGTCCAGACCATGCCTGTGCGATCTGGTTTGGTTCAGATAGACCTCACTCAACGAAAAATGAACAATTTCTTTAGTCAATCACACAAAAAATTGAACCAATAATCAAGAAAAATAATTTTTATTTGCCTTAAAACATTAATCCTAACATGCATGAATAAATTTGATACCCTAAACCTTTGTACATAACAAAGATATCAAGTAAAAGCATCCCAACTTGCACCATAACGTTATAAACATTAACATAATTAATGTCATATGGAGACACGATTATCTCTACTCTCTGGTTAAATGTGGTTCTGAATGAAGGAGGGACGAGATTCACAAAATTAAGGTTGAGACTTGGGTGTCGTTGTGGGAGTTGGGAGAGTGGTCGAATGGGTTGTTAACACGTATTGACAAGTCGGTTGGGTCCGGTAAACCGCGGTCTAGACCAGACCACACCAAGAGATCAAAACATAAAATAATACAGACCATGGACCAGACCATACTTAATGATCTACGGTCCGGACCTAACTGTGTGGTACGGGTTGGACCATGGTTTTTCTAACGGTCTGCTCTATTTTCCCAACCCTACTTATAATTATTCATTATGTGTTCTAATCAGACTTGTGTTTAGTTGAGATAAAAGCCCAATAATAGGCCCAAACGGTTGAGTCCAGAACACAAAAAAGCGGCCCACAAAGGATGTCCCAAACGACACGAGTTCAATCAATCCACCAACAGAAAAAGATGGCCAGAAGCCCAAAATTGTGGCGCCAACTGCCAAGCCGCCAACGACGTTTGAGTTGTAGCCGAAAATTTGGAGGCGGGAGATCAATCCCCTACGGACACATTTTCCCGCGGAGAAATCCCCTCCTTCCCTTTCCTTATCTGGACCTAATTTCCCCCTAATGCTCAGCTTCAAATCAGTCCCTCTCAATTGGAGTAAACAATTATCCCCTCAATCGCCGATTTTGAATCAGTCGGAACAATCTTCAATCGTCAAAGAAAACAACAATGCCTTCTCTCGCCGTTTCCCGATCCGCAGAAGAACCGCTGACGCCTCAGAAGCGGAGACTGAGATCCAACTCCACGGCGGCGCCGGAAACCCCGATCTATGCTCCGACGAAGCGGAAGTCGCCCCGCCGATGTCTCGACTCCACTCCCTCTTCTCATCCGAACTTCGTGAGTTTTCTTCTTCGCTCGGCTCCGAAAATGGAGTTTAGGCTTACGGTATCTGATCTGATTTTTTTCCCGCTGTGTAGTCAACAAGGAACGATTCAATTGAACCGATATCGAACTCATCGAAATCTCCTGCCGAGGAATTGAGCGACGATTTCTCTGAGATATTGAACTGGAATCCTAGAGGTGAGAGAGTGATAGCTATTTGGTTTGATTCTTGATGACTTTCACTTTCATTCTTCTTGATTGTTATTTTTTTTTTCAATTGGTTCGGTAGATGCATCGCAAATAAGCGCCGTGAAGGAGGCGTTGCACGTATCGACAGCTCCTCCTACGATAGTTTGCCGGGAAGAGGAGCAGAGAAGAGTGTTCGATTTCTGCAGGGCTTGTGTCGAGAAGGAACAATCTGGGAGCTTGTATGTGTGCGGATGCCCTGGGACGGGGAAGAGTTTGTCAATGGAGAAAGTTTCGAATAAGCTGATCGAATGGGCCAGAGATGTAAGGATAGAATGCTGCCTCTTCCAATTGAAAATTTGAAAGCAAGTCAACTGTTTTATTCGACTTTGATCACGGTTAAGAGTTATTTTCTCTTGCATAGGGTGGATTTGACCCTCCAGAAGTACTGTCGATTAATTGTACCGCGCTTACGAGCTCTTCTCAGATTTTTGGCAAGGTGATTTCTATTCAGGGTTTGCAGTATCTGCTGATGGTTGAAATGCAGTGAGTGTGCTAACTGTGCTAACTATTTGTGTTTGGCAGATAGTTGAAAATGGCTATGTGAAAGTGAAGGGAACTGGTGCCCCTTTGCAACATCTCCAAAACTTGTATTCTCAAAAGCAGCAGTCTTCAAGTTCAAAGATGCTGTAAGAACCATAGACCTTTGTCCCTTATACTGTATGATTGCAGAATAAACCTACTAAGAACTGTTTGTTGGCAAATCAAAGCATTGATTTGATCTTCTAGAGACAGTACTAACCAATGATGTTGCCATTGCAGCCTCATAATTGCTGATGAGTTGGATTATCTAATTACAAAAGACCGAGCTGTGCTTCATGATCTCTTCATGCTGACAACTCTACCTTTCTCTAGATGTATACTGATAGGTATGAATCTTAGAAATATTAACCTGAGCAGCTAATGATTGTTCATGCAGGAAGATTGAATTTTGCTATGTGTTCTGTCTTTTGCAGGAATAGCAAATGCCATAGATCTAGCAGATCGTTTTCTTCCGAAACTGCAGTCGGTGAATTGTGAGTTCTTCACTCGCTGGGAAAAAGAACCCCTTCGAATTGTTATATTTTTTATATGTAGAGCAATGTCCAAAGATGTATTTGCTCGAGTGAATTGTCTTTCATTGTGTTAATCTCTCCTTGCTTGGCTGACATTGTGAGAATAATTTGAATGTGGACTGGTGTTAGTTATGGGCTATGATTTCAGTATGTGCTGAATTGTTTGATCGCCATCTATGTGATAGGTAAACCCTTGGTGGTAACTTATCGAGCCTATTCGAAAGATCAAATACTCCGAATCCTTCAGGAGAGGCTCATGGTAACTCCCAACATGTCCTGTCTACATTTCGTTTAATGGCGAAACAGCAACTTGATATGATTTAAGAATATCTCATGCCGTCTTTTAATTGTAAGATGTGTTGTTGCTGTGTCCCAGGTACTACCCCATGTAGTTTTCCACCCACAAGCTTTGGAGCTGTGTGCCAGAGTAAGTACACATCTTTATTTTGTGGGCTTTCCATATCCCTTTGTTATGAAACAAAATTTTCATAAGATTGATTTGCCTATTGATTCCTTGTTTGCAGAAAGTTGCAGCTGCATCTGGTGACATGCGCAAAGCACTTTCTGTTTGCAGGTATGCAGTTTCTCTCCTTTTGTCTGATTTTGCTTGTATTCTCAAGTTTTGCTACATGTTTGCCTAATGGTCAAGTTAAATTGGGCCGACGAGAACACTTGCACAATGTTTTCCTTGACTAAACAGAGCATCCTTTGCCCTTGTTTCAGATCTGCAGTTGAGGTTCTGGAAGCAGAAGTAAGAGACTCTAGAAATAACATGGACTCAGATACTCAAGAAAATTCAGTTGTAAGTCATTTTCTGCCCTGCATCATCCACTTCGTTTCCAATTTAACCCACTATCCCTAACCCAACGTCAAGAAACAAGCCTCTGATTAAATTTTCAGTTCGCCTACGTTCTAATTCGTCCCTGAATGACTTGCTAAACCCGCTGCAGGTGAAAATTGATCACATGGCTGCTGCTCTGTCAAAGGCATTCAGGACACCTGTAATCGACACCATTCAATCCCTTCCTCAGCATCAACAAGTGAGTCTTATTATTTTTTCTCTCTTTTCCTGGCTAAACCATAGGATTATCCAATCACAGTAGCAGCATACTATGTGTCATTGACCTAAAACTCAACCGAAAATGCAGATAATCCTATGCTCAGCAGTGAAGTTCTTCCGCGGAGGAAAGAAGGATACCATAGTAGGAGAGGTGAGCTTCTTTTGTTACCATTCTACCAAGATGCATAGATATTGAACATCTCGATAGTCTTTTCAACGTTAGCTTTGTTCTGCTCGAATCCTTGCTTTGCAGCTGAACAAATCTTATGTCGAGACTTGCAAATCAAGAATGATCCCACCTGTTGGAATTTCCGAGTTTCTGAGTATGTGCAGAGTGCTGAATGACCAGGCAAGTGACATATTAACATAACACATCCATCATATAACACAACTTTCATTGCTAGCCTTCTCATCGAAACCAGTGACTAAAAGGTTTACTCTTTATCACTACAGGGACTAGTGAAACTAGGACAGTCTCGAGGTGACGATAAACTGAAGAGGGTGACCTTAACAGTAGACGAAGCTGACATCAACTTCGCATTGCAGGTAATATACAGTCTTAACCATAACCAAAGCCAAAGTATCGACTCTGTTTCTGCCAGTGAATTATTGCTAGCTAATTTGATGAATGCAAATCGCAATGCTGGTTTGGGTGTTGGCAGGGAGTTCGTTTCTTTAGGACCTGTCTGCAATAGAAGAGTGCCAATTCTACTTCACAAGTTGGGAGAAGAGACCAAATTCGCCTATGGAGAAAAGGGGAAAAGCGGAAGAAAATGGAGAAAACCAACCACTAGCTACGAGCTCAATGGTTACCGCGTGCAGCTCAATCAAAAAGGCCACCCATGCCGACATCGTCGTCCTCCGATTCATCTTCTGGTTCCGGCTTCTTCTCCTCCTTAGCTCCACCGCGCGGCAGCTCCTCCTCCGCTTGGTGCTGCCGGGGGCCGCCATCGCAGCTGCAAACTTGCTTGGGTCCTGAAATCCATCACAAGATTCCAACATCATCCATCACAGGATCTGCGAGTACTCGTCCAGCAGCCTGCACAGCTTCTTGTCGTACTGCACCTTCTTCTCCGCCTTCGTCACCTTGATCGCCATCGATCTTTCAGTGGATCGAGCAAACTCAGAAACACAGACACTCGCAGTGTTGACTGTTGAGTAACAAGAAATGTGAATTTGAGAGAGTGAGGTTGGTTTTTGACGTTTAAGTAAGTGTGTAACTGCTTGGCGTTCATCGTGGCATTTTGCATGCCTGAAATGTATAACGGACCTCGCTTTCTGTTTCTTGTGATTTTTGGGCTTTGCGTTCGAGTGGATTTTAGGCCCATAATCTCTCCCATTAAATCCGGTCCAAAACAATAGAGGCCCAAGCTGGAGCATATAAAAATGGCAAAATATTTTCGGAGCAGCTTTTATTTAGTCTTTCAGACAAAAATTCAAACACTCGGCGAGCCGGAAGGAGGAGAAAAAAATGCAGCAGAATTCGGTCTCCATGTGCGAGCTCTCACAGTTCCGCGCTTCCTCCCTTCTTCTCACCAGACCTTTCCCGGCAATGGGGAGAATCCTATCCGTTGCTCTCCCACAGTCTCCGCTGCTTCTGCGGCTGCCGGAGGTCAACTTCAATGGACGACTCACAAGCGGCAGCTGCACTTCGTCGAGGTCTATTTCTCTGGCCGACGGGAGCTCTCGCTTCGGTTCCCACAAATGCGCCGCCTCCACTTATCAACCGATTGGTAAAATTGCTTTTTTGCTATTCTTCTGCTTCCGTCTTCTGTTTGGATGTTGGGGGGAAAATGAATGGGAAAAGCAATAGGAGGCGGATGAAATCAATTCTACTTTGTTTGGGTTGAGAGGGAATAGTAGCATATTTGGAATTCCCGCCGCTGCTGATGTTAGCTAGTAGTGTGATTGTAATGATTTGATTGCTGGTAAATCGAATGCAATAGGAATGGATTGATAGGTTGATTGGTTGAGTGAGTGTCTTGTGATGAAATTGGGAGCTGAATTGATTTCTTTAAATATATAGAAATCGACATCTGTGAATTGAAGTTGTGTTGTTCGATTGCCGAACTCTTTAAATATATAGAAATCGACATCTATGAATTGAAATGTGTTGTTCGATGGCCGAACTCTTAGAATGTCATCTGGTTCTATCTATGGGGACTTAATGTGCGTGGATATATAAGTATTCAGTGCAATGATGGCTGTAAAGTGTGATCATTACTACGCGGTTCCGACCTTCATTCGATTTGTGCAAGTCATGACTCGGTAGTACTGGCTTGTTTTTCAGTTGATCAATCAGAAAAATTTCATGAAGCTGCAAAGAAAGGGAATCTAATTCCTTTACACCAATGCCTACTATGTGATCATCTCACGCCAGTGCTTGCTTACAGATGCCTTGTAAGGGAAGATGAAAGAGACGCACCAAGCTTCTTGTTTGAGTCGGTTCAACCTGGTCTCGATGCTTCCACCGTTGTAAGTTGACTTGGTTTCCTTTTTTCTCTCCTTCTTTCTCCAACTGCGTGTTTTCTTCTAATCAGGAAAGTGTAGTTTCTGTTATGACGCGCCTCTTTTTTTTATTTAGGGAAGGTATAGCATCATTGGGGCTCAACCAACCATAGAGATTGTGGCAAAGGAGGACATGGTTACAACCATGTACCATCATGAGAACCGTAGGGAGGAGCAGATAGTGGAAGACCCAATGGATGTTCCTCGAAGAATAATGGAGGGATGGACGCCTCAACTTGTTGATGAGCTACCAGAATGCTTCTGTGGTTAGTCTTTTTTATTGCAATCTACACTGTTTCTATGATTGGCTTGTTGAAATGGCCCTACACATTCTTGATATTAGATGCTTATTGTTATGTCCATTCTTGGACACACATTTCTTGACTTGAAAATTGCATATGGATCAGGTGGGTGGGTTGGTTTCTTTTCTTATGACACTGTACGGTATGTTGAGAAGAAAAAGATGCCTTTCTCTGCTGCTCCGACTGATGATAGAAATCTCCCTGATATGCATCTCGGTCTTTATGATAATGTTATTGTCTTTGATCATGTCGATAAGGTGCGTAAATACAAGTCGCTTTATATGCTTCTTATTTTATCATCTCAAGACCTTAATTCGTTTGCTTCATTCCTGTGTGTTTTCTGGTTCCGATGTTTTTTTTATTTCTCGTCCCCAGAAATCACACCTGATTCACTGGGTTCAGTTGGATCGGTATTCTTCCACTGAGGAGGCCTATAATGATGGTATTGATCGGTTGATGAACTTAATCTCTAGAGTTCATGATATAGCACCGTGAGTAATCTAGAGATGTTTTATGTGTAGCAGTTTTGTCTATTTATCGCTGTATTAAGCAAGCCTTTCTGTTTTTGCAGTCCAAGGCTATCTGCTGCTTCAATCATGTTGTCACCTAGTCTTTTTGGCCCTAAACTGGACGTCTCAAGCATGACAAATGAAGACTATAAGGAGGCAGTATTGACAGCGAAAGAACATATACTAGCTGGTGATATTTTCCAGATTGTATTGAGTCAGCGCTTTGAGAGACGAACATATGCAGACCCATTTGAGATCTACAGATGTCTGAGAGTCGTGAATCCAAGCCCGTATATGACTTACCTACAAGTGTGCCCACTTTGAGCCTAGTCCTTATCATTTGAACAGCAAGTTATTTATCATTACAATCTAATGTTTGAGTACATCCTTATCAGGCTAGAGGCTGTATACTGGTTGCTTCCAGCCCAGAAATTCTGACACACGTCAAGAAGGTAACTCCAATTAGCACTTGTTCAGGTGGACTTTCGTTTTTATGTTCCGATTCTTCATGCCCAGCCTAATATTTGAATGAAGTATACAGAACAAAATCACGAATCGACCCCTTGCTGGGACTGTTAGAAGAGGAAAAACACCGGAGGAAGATCTAGTGTTGGAAAATGAGCTGTTGAACGATGAAAAGCAATGCGCAGAACACATTATGCTTGTTGACTTGGGAAGGAATGATGTGGGAAAGGTCGGTTCTTTTTTGCTTATCAGTGTCATGTACTCATGTATACGTTGTGTAACGAGTAACAGAATAAACTCCCTCTGCTTTATTGTTTAATGGGGTATTTTCATCAGCTGGCTTTTTCATGCAGGTCTCCAAACCGGGATCAGTGAAAGTTGAAAAGCTTATGAATATTGAGCGCTACTCCCATGTTATGCACATCAGCTCAACGGTACAAATCTCTGCTTCTCAATAATCTAGATACAACAGTTCTTTACTAGTTTACATCCTTGTGAATATGCATAGGAGACTCTCTCGTTTCTGTCATTTTATGATTCTCTCTTGGATTTCTGGACCAACAGTCACTGTGAGTGGGAAGAAGGCAGCTCCATACATGGAGAGCATAACGGTCTCCTACGTGGAGCAACCATTGTGTGACAGGTCAAACGGAAGTATTGTATTAATGTAATGACTCAGATTTCATTTGCTGACAGGTCACAGGAGAGATACTCGACGACTTAACCAGCTGGGACGTCTTGCGTGCTGCACTTCCCGTCGGCACAGTTAGTGGAGCTCCTAAGGTCTGTCTCACCGGACTTCCTCTACTGAAACTCTTTTCATTCCATAATTTGATGAACTCATTCCAGCCTTACATTACTATAATGCATCATACTAATACAATTCTCAACATTCGTGTCACATATTCGGGGTATCTATCGAAAACTGCAGGTGAAAGCAATGGAGCTGATCGACGAGCTAGAAGTAACTCGGCGTGGGCCATACAGCGGCGGATTCGGCGGCATTTCATTCAACGGGGATATGGACATTGCCCTTGCTCTGAGAACCATCGTCTTCCCCACGAGCACCCGGTACGACACGATGTACTCGTACGCCGATGTCAGCAAACGACGAGAGTGGGTTGCTCACATCCAGGCTGGAGCCGGGATTGTGGCCGATAGTAACCCCGACGACGAGCAGAGAGAGTGCGAGAACAAAGCTGCTGGTCTCGCTCGCGCCATCGATCTGGCTGAATCGTCGTTCATGAACAAGTAAAACCTTATATCCGTTGGTTTTTGTCTTCAGCAGTAATCTTCTTGTGTTGGTAAAAAGCTTTGCTTTAGCTTCTGCAATATGTAGAACCGTAGAAATAGGATTATTTTTCAATTGCAAGTGGAATGGAGGGAAATGGTGTTAAGCAATTAATTGGGCTTGGTCCAGGGATAGTGGACTACTGATCCAAGTCCATCTATTGACTTTGGCCGGCCCATGAAGCCATTTTGCATTGAGCCTAAGCTCCTAGGTAAATGATCAAGTATGACCTATGATTAGGTAGTTGATGAGATGTTAGTTAGGTTACGAGTCCAACAAAGTGGGACTGAGAAAAGGAGAATGGAACCAAAGAATCGTAACTTCTTTAGTGTTACCCTGAATAATCTACTTTTCATTCAAGTGGGGATTCGTCTTTGGTATGGTTGGATGAGCTCATCAATACCCACTAGTCTACTCCTATTAGGGTTGTCGTACTGGATCAAACCGACCGCTTGTACTGAATCATATCGAACCATATATAATGTGTAGTTCTTGGTCCCATTAATTTATAAATATTGAAGAAAAAATTGTCGAATTGACATTTGGATCGAACCAAACCTGATCCAACCTGAATGCAATGTCGGTGTGCTCTTTGGTTCTAAGATGTCTTTCACTGTTGCACCGTAATTCTTATGAGTTTTGGTTTAGTACGGATTATGTTGTTGCACACTCCTAACCCCCATTATGACCAAGGGGTGGCCAAGTCTTTGCACTGAACCAAATTAACAAGTGCATAGGATCTTATCTTTTTGCTTCTTTTGTTCTTGATGAGCAACCCATTAAATTTGAAATCAAAATCGTCTTTAAATTTCAAGAGCCGAAACCTAATCGAAATCGATCATATGCATTGACCAAATCTTTTGCCCACATATGTTCTTCCTGAAAACAAGACCCAAAAATATCTAGCTAATATCTACAGTATGCTAGCTATCACAGAGGCTAGTACTAGAACAGCCAAAGAACACGTTGGTTGTATTAGGTGAGCCAAGTTTTTTGGTACATTAGGTGCTTGTCTGCCTCCTCCATTTGTGCTCTGCCACTTTCCTTTGAACAACCCCAACAAAAAAAGACACTGCTTTAACGAAGACAAGTTTGGCCAGAAGTGCCCATAAAAACACTGTTCCCAGACCTCAACATATATTTACTTTTGACCTTCAGAAGTCTGCTGAAAGATCATCCATGGCCTTATTGCACATGAGGAAGCAGGTGAATCTAGGCCAAGATCAGAGGGCCCTAAAATCGGAATGCCATAAAGGCCAGAGTTGGGTGTTTATTATAGGAAGTAAGAGGGAGTGTTGCTTGCCAATGTGAATCAATCGAACACTAGTCGTTGAATCGACAATAGCTGATATTTCGTATTACGCCTAACTGGAAGAATAAACAAACGAGTTGCTCAAGTGGTAACTAAATTCATTTTCATGATAAATATCGAAACTTTGACGATAAGTTAAGTTTGAGCCAGCCAAACCACTTTATCACACCTTTTTCGTTGTCAAAAGTGTTCAATGTGACACCATTTTATCTCAATGACTCATGTTCATGCTTAAAATAATGGATGTGTTCACCTCTTCGCCATATAATAAGAATGATATCACACACACACATATAAGGGTGTACTAGTCTTCCTAAAAAATTATTATGTTCCGTTTTGATTTTTTTTCCTCCCCTGCTTAAAGTTCGCTCTTAATATAAAACTATATACTATAACGTGCATGAATTAAATACACATCACATATATAACTTTGAAATCCCGATACTAAATTCGCCTTTTTCCTTATTAAATGAAACGCAACAACTTAGATTTATCATGATGATAGCTAAGTTTGCGTCCCTCCTTGCACATACCCTAATTCCATACACGTCCTAACTACCTCAAATCTTTTAAACTTCACGTTTTTTACCCAATGTTCATCACGAGCCTCATGACATTTTGGTTCAAAAGATGGCTTTACCTAATCCTACTCAAAGAAACGTGGTTCCTCATCATAAAAAAGAACCCTTTTCCCATAAAAGAAAGGAGTTGAGGGATCAAAACGTCATCAAATACTCATTCCAGAACTGATTCGTGTTCATCTAGACAAAGAGGGAGCAATTGCACAAACGGTCCACAAACTTCGGTTCATTAACAAATTGGCCACTTACCTTTAGGGATGGCAACTTTGCCCATACCCATGGGTTTCTTACTATCCAACCAAATTGGGTTAGGTTTGAAATCCAAATAGATAGATATGGGTAGAGTTTGATGGGTTTGTACCCATACCCATTTACTTTAGGTTGAGTTGGGTTTATATCAAATGGATTTGGGTTTGTACCCATGCCCAAATACAAATTACAGTTTGGTAACCAAACTTAATAGACATGCATATTTAGTATCTAAATTTTTTTTTCATATAAGTCCTCAAAATATCGATGGAAAATTACGTTTTGGCACCTAAATTTTTTTGGTCTTACATTTTGGTACCTAAACTTTTCAAGTTTTGCAAATAGGTCCAATTTTTGCATGTGTAGTTAAAACACCCTCAAGTAAATGGATATCCATATCCAACCCATACCCATTTAGATTATGGAAGCCCCAAACCCATCTATAAACCTCCAAATCCATATGCACTTCACCCATACCCAACCCATTACCAATGGGTTTACTTGGGTTTGGGTATAATTACCCATGGGTGGGTAATTTGCCATCCCTACTCACCTTTGCTAGGGACAATGAATTCACCATTGCACTTCGTAACAACAACAAAATAAAACAATCACTTCCTCTATTTCATCGAATCTCTATCATAATAAACGCGTCAATCGATCCAGTTTAAATCAATCAGACACTTCTTCAAACAAAACCTAGTCAGCCAACACAAAGCAGTTCTAAAGCACATACAACACAAACTCCATCCTAATCTCTACCTCACCATCCTAATCTCCATCTGTTGAATAACTAGACTATGTTCTCAACCCATTTTTACTCTCTTTTTTTTTACCAGGTATTTTCCTTCTGATCCGAATACGCGAGACATGTATGAAGTTCAAGGCAATCGTGATGCTCTTCATCATTGATTCTGGTTGAGGATAAACGAAATCATTATTTCGTCAATTCCAAAATTTAATAGCGAACTCGACGTATACCGAAAAATTTTGTGACCGAGTTTTGACCGACCCCAAAAGTTGAGTGGCGGTTTTGAGTAATTGACCCCGAAAGAGAAGAGAGAACACATGAAAGAAAGGAAAGGAAAGGAGGGGAAATGAAAAATCCGACGTAAAAGTAGAGCTACCTACCAAATCCAGCCCCCTCATATCTGCAACCACTTGTCTTTCTCACCAACTTGGTCAAAATCCCTTCTCCTTCCCTCTCTCTCTCACCACAGATTTCATTTCAATTCAATTTTCACCCCATTTTCTTCTCTCTTCTCCACTTTCCATCCTCTCTTCTTCTTCTACCTTCCTCCCTCCCTCTCTCTGCTCTATAATTAATACTCCATTCTCAGTCCTCTCTTATTGGCAACACCCACCTTCCCTTTTCTTCATCTTCTCTACAATAAATTCGCTCTCCCCTGTTTTTCCTCTCTCTCAGACTTTTCGTCGAACAGTTAACAGACAAACGAGTCAGGTACTTGTGTAAACCTGCTGTTGACGTCTCTCTCCACGAAACCAATTTCAAACAAGAGAAGAGAAACAGAACCCATTTCTCCGATTTGAAAAAGAGAAAGGAACACACCATGGGAAGGTCTCCTTGTTGCGAGAAGGCTCACACCAACAAAGGCGCCTGGACGAAAGAAGAAGACCAGCGCCTTGTTGATTACATCCGCACTCATGGCGAAGGCTGCTGGCGCTCCCTCCCCAAATCTGCCGGTTAGTGTTTTTTCTGTTTGGGTTCTTCCCCAAAATAAGAAAGGGAGGATAAAGCGAATTCCTTTTCCCCTATTTTGGCAAGTTTTTTGAAAAAAAATTTGCTCTATGGATTTTGTTTTCTGTAGGGTTGCTTCGGTGCGGGAAGAGTTGCAGACTGAGGTGGATTAATTACCTTAGGCCTGATCTCAAAAGAGGGAATTTCTCTGAAGAAGAAGATGAACTCATCATTAAGCTTCACAGCCTTCTTGGAAACAAGTAATTACCTTTACCTCAAACTCAAATCCCCCCCTTTCCCAGTTCCTCTGTTTTTTCAATTCCCCTGTTTTTTTCGTTTTTGGGCTAAATTTCGTTTCTTTTTTTGTCCACTGCAGATGGTCGTTGATTGCCGGAAGACTGCCGGGAAGAACAGATAACGAGATCAAGAACTACTGGAACACTCACATCAAGCGAAAGCTCATGAGCCGCGGGATCGACCCGCAGACCCACCGTTCCCTCAACGAGAAACCAACCTCCGCCGCCGTTCCCGCAACCACCACCACCACCGTCACCGCCGCTGCTGTTACTGCTCCGACGAAGCCTACCCAGTTGGATTTCAAATCGGCGCCGGCTCAAGCTCAATCCATGGCGGAAATAAACCGTCTCCTCCAATCCAACACGATGAAGGCTAGCAGTATCCTGGATTTCAAATTCCAAACGGTGGTAAAAGCAGAGTCCGTCGAGGAAAACAACTGCTCCAGCAGTGGGATGACCACCGACGAAGAACAGCAGTTTCAAAGGCCTGCCGTCGCCGCCTCCGGCGGCGAGCGGCGGGAGGAATTGAATTTGGATCTTACAATCGGACTTGCTACTCCATCTTCTTGTTCTCGAACGACGACCCGGCCGAGTTCGGCTTCCTCCGGGAACTCTGCCGAATCGAAGCTTCAATTCCACCCAAAATTTCAATTTTCCGGCACGGCAGCTACGGCGCCGAGGACGGCGGAGGCCGTCTGCTTGTGTTGGCAGTTGGGCGGCGGAGCTCGTGGGAATTGCCACTGCCAACATTCTCCCGGTGGGCGGCAACAGCAGCAGATTAGATATCAGTATTGCTAATAATAATTTCCAGTTTCATCCCTTAATTTCTGTTTCTTTTCCATTTTGGGACAGATTTGTGTTTACTATTTAGGTTCCTTTTTTTGTTCTTTTAACCTTTTTGGGTAAAGCTGAATCTAAGATGGGGGAAGGGGTAAAAAAAGCTTTTCACTGGCCAAGTGTAATTGTAAGGTAAAAAAAACAGCACTAGAGAGATGTTCAAAGTACTTACTATGTGGTAAATGTTATTTTTACTCCATGGGGTGACACATTATATCGTATTGTATTTTGATGGGTAGTACCGTAGCAGAAGTAGTTTTAGAACTTGGGTTTGAAAATATAAATACAAAATTACTATCCAACATTATTAAATGCCTTCTTCTTCAACCTTCTGGTTTTCTTATGCATTAGTTTGGTTGTCGTGCGCCCAATCCGATTATGGTATTCACAGTTTATCTATGAGAATTTGTTTACTGGACGTACAATCGTTGATGAATTGTGGGTTGGACACATTTTGGAGAGAGAAAAAATGCCACCCACTTCCATCCAACGGTCACGGAGCATCATACATTCGATCCAACACTTGTGCATAATGCGAGCATGTTATCACAAATGGGCTATGAGCACCTTAGCCGAGTTGTACTCACCCAACGCGCTTTTAGGTTAATGGTATATTATTGTAGCTTTGCCACTCAAAACATCTAGTGGTGAAAACATGACCAAATTACTTCTACTCAATCGGATGTCAACAACAAACTGGTAATAGCATTGTAACATGAATGTGTTGGATTCAAATCGAACTACTCTTCAATTGTTTTCCTGTCATTTTTGGTGTTTAGTTATAAGTACTATGTACAACCAACAACAAAAATCTAACACTACCAACCTAAACCCATGTTTTAGTTTGAAAATCAACCTAACATCCCACTATATATGTTTTCAAATAACAAAGATCACTTAGCTGTAAAGCTGAAACTCGACATAGTGGGGAAAATGGAACATTGTACTTGAATAAATTCCCAGTGTTTTAGGGATATACCATGAGACCAATTTCATGTGGGGGGATGAGGTTCTTCCTTATAGCATGTGATCGTGTTTTAGGGTCATATGGTCATATGGTCTGTTAATTATATATTGTTTTTTATCATAAAAAGTGTAAAAGCATCTTGTACCTAATTAGTAATTATTAGGATTAGTGTGACATTAATCTACTTTCTCATTTGAATGAGTTTCATATATGTAACCTTTCCTCTCTTTTTTTTTTTTCTGCATGTACTGAGTTTTCATTTCTAGAAGTAAAACTTCATGTTATTAGGAAAATTTAGTGAAAACTATAATTTGTATGCATAGTTAAGCTATTGAACTTGCGATGAAGGTTCCTAACCTATATGATCATCATATTATGTGTGCATGTGGAGCTAAAATTATACCAAAACACTTTAAGCTCGGTTATTTAAGCATTTTATAAGCATTATGACATAGAATTCTCTATAGGTAGGGTGCTAAACCTGCGTGGATGTTGCAATACATTAGAGACAGATCTTCATATCGACAAAGTATGAGAGAGATATGGGAGTCATAAGGAATAATCTAACATTAACTCACAAAATGTGCTTTGTGGTGAAATGAATGAGCTTTTGTAAGAATTATGAAGTTAAATATGCTCATAGTGAAGTAGTTTAGATATGGATGACATCTTGTCTCTTGAGAAGTCACCATGATGCATCCCAAAAGTAAAACTGTGTGGAAATGGGCCCAAAACATAATATTGATTAGAAAAAGGAGTTAGGATGTTACAGATGCTTTTGTTAACATAAAATCATGCTTTTGTCAACATAAAATCGAAACGGTTAAAAGTATGCTTATTCGTCTCAAGTATAAACTGTTTAGTAGCAAGTGAGTTGTTAAAAAATCGGCATGTGACATATACTCGCACAATAAGAAGATAAAACATAAGAACCACTTTAGTTTTGTTAATTTATTTGACATTTATAAATTATACTAACGATTCAATTATGATGACATGTAATAAGGATGTATCAATCGACAATTTTCCTGTTAAATGAACCGGTTAAATTGACCCTAGTCAATAGGTCAAGTATAGATTAATCTCCAATGTGAGAATTGACTTCTATCTTAGTCTTTAATGTCAACTAAACTCTATGGCCACTTATAACAAATATATGGATAAACTAATCATAATGGAAGTCGATCGAGTACAAGGATTCACCATCTCTTGTCTCTTGGACTTCGAGGTGCGTTTGTCTTTAAAGGTAATTGTTTGGTTGAGAAACAAACCGTATGCCATTAGTTAGCAATTAATTAACAAAAGGTCATTAATGAACACTCCCCACTTAGGACAATATTTCTTTTTACCAATAAGTAGAACTTAACGCCAAACACGTCCGACAAAAGTAACATGACAAACAAATAGGTAGAACCTAATAATAACTAAAATTGGAACAACTATCTACCTTCCTAACTTTTGAACTAAATTTTCCATTTTCAACTAACTAAAATTGGAACCCAAATTCATCCCAATCTTGCAAGGCATGAAGATGGCCTCCCTCCCTCTCTTTTCAACTAACTCAACATATGCATAATTTTCATACTTTGACCTAACTCATGGTGATCACCTAAGCATCACCAGTTACACTTCTTTTTAGGGTAAATTACATGTATACAATCAAATTTTCTATGGTTTTACCTCTAAACATATTATATGTATATTTATGTATACCATACCACTTCCTATTTTGGGTTGGATAAGTTGATGGTACATGTGAGTATGTGACTTAGATTAAATACTTTGTATGTTTGTTCGTTGGTTTTTCACACGACACCGCATAATGAAAGACAGTTTTCAATCTCGTGTGGATATCATTGATTTAGTGTGTTTATACTTTAAACAATGTATGTCGTTGGCTTCCGAAATCATTTCAATCCCGAAGTTCATATGAGTTCGGACAAAAGCATAAAACAGAACAATCATTTCATCCAGAACAAAAACCCCTCATAAAGTTATAATGGATTAGTAATATTCCTAGTGAAGGTTAATATAGATTTAATTTGGCCTCTCCTTACTTACTACTAATTACAAATGCAGGGTAGGGATGGTTGGACTCTCTAACATGGTCGATTGATATCGCAACCGACGCTTCGGTGCTCGCTCAGGAATCTGATCTCATATTTGCCTCCCTTCTTCACCATCCCTCATCACGACAATCGGCTACACGATATTTGAATGCTTCGAATTGTTCACTCTTCCCATTGTTCTCATAATAGTTTGTAATCGAATCGTCACAGTTAACTAGTGCATCCGGTTTCTATTTGTTCACATATAATTTTCACCTCGTTGTATTTTCTAGTCCGAACTTGAACCCACTAGAAAAGTCAAATAATTTTATAATTACTCACAAAAATGGAGTTTTTTTTTGGCAGACACTCCATGGCCAAGTAAAAGATTTGCTTATTTTTTTCCCATGTGGGTGCACAGGCAGCTAGCTGAAAAAAAATAATAAGTAGTTGGTTGGTGGTGGTTTGGCAAGTGCAAGGCTTCTAGAACCTTAACTAGGGTGGGCAGTTGTAGTGGGCCCTCTCCTTGAAACAAGCCCAATGTGGTTAGGCATACCAACCATTATCTAGTTCGTAAATAGTTTCAATTTTTTTTTATATAAAAATTAAAAAATAGATTCAAAGGGAAAAAAAGGGGAAAGAAAGAAGGTGAAGGCACGTGAATGGAAGGTGATAAGAAGGCCCACAAACACAAACTAAGGGCCAAAATCGACCGATCCACCAACTCATCATCTCATCCAAAAACCCTTTTTTTTTTCTTCCTTATAAAATAGGAGGAACGCCAAATTGCCCACTCCCCATGTTCACAACAACTCATACATATATATAATGAATCAACAATTATAACAATAGATTGCTTTGTGTGAGATTCAAGACATATAACTAGGGATACAATAATAGAGCAAGCCCCTCTTGATTTGCCATGTTAATTTGGTAGATGATTGGCTGGCCCCATGTGTGTCAATCACTCCATGTTATAAACATCCGATCAACGTTTCAGTAGCGTAATAATGATAATATTTCTTAACTGGAATCGAATTGATAAAACATCTCATGAAAATGACCTTACATTTTTTATAAAAAAAAAAGAAAGGTAATATGGGCGGGGTGGATTCGGGAATGAGTTCTTCGAGTATCCGACCTAAAATCACTAAACTATTTATATGATGTGTTTCTCTCAGACCCTGAAATCGAGTATCCTTAAATCGCTTCTATCGATAACAATTACTTTGCTTATTTGGATCTTCTGATGATTAAGTAGTTCTCTTAGACCCTTTGTATAGGCTTTTCCTCGCATCTGCTTTGATACAATACGTATAAAGATGTCTCAAAAAATACTCAACTCGTTAGATTTTGTTCTATACCTGAAATATGATATTAGACATTATCAATCCGGACAGTGCCTTGCTCTCTACCAAAACATGTATACATTATTATTATTAGGATTTCATATTTGGTATAGCGATGTACCTACCTAAGCTCATTGCTATTCATCATCACTACTCAACTTATTGATCCATGAGTACTAAAAACTAAAAAGTACACGACTTTGTCAATGATAGGCTTGGACTTCTAATATTGCACGGAAAGGACACACATCAATTCTACATTGAAATTATTGTTGCTCTTATCAAGTACACGAAAGTGCCAAACAAATTCATTCAAAAAATTACTATACTCAAATTTCCTACCCCTTCTAATCCCCTTTAATAATTGGTTCATTAATTCCCATGCATAACAAAGAATCGACCCCATAATTAATAACATCATAAAACAGTTCATCCATGTAAAGAAATGAAGAAGTTAACCATTAACATCAACTTGATTTAATATGAATAATCAACTAGTTGGTCAATTTGGTAGATCGATCTGAGCTATATAGCCTATTTTCTGCTCACGAATAAGACAGAAAAGGGCCACCCATCATGAGCTGATAATCCCCACAGAAATGGAGTAATTAAGAAAGCTAATCAAGGGATTAATTCATGGTAATGATGAGTAAATCAGGGGGTAATGCTAATGCACGTGAGTAGAGAATATTAATTAGAACCTTCTCACCTGTTTTTATTGTAAAGCAAAAAACAACATGGCATGTGTTTTGAGAGGCAGGTAACCGAATCTCACAATTATTATGTAACAATCATTAATTTAATTTCTAAAACCATATAATAAATAAACTACAAGGGACAGCATAATTGAAATAATGATAATTTATAGAGAACAGTTGGTAATATTTGGAGTGCAGTGTGATTAATATTAAATCATAATTGAAATTTCAAATAAAAATAATTAACTAATCAGATTAAGGGAAAATGGAATTTCAAACAATTCTCAGCTCAGCCAATCTAAGCCACGCTTGTGGTGGATTCTCTGTCCAGCTCAATCCTTCGTCCGTTACACGTCTGACGTCTGCATTTGGTACCTAATCTTTTTTTTTTATAAATGAATAGTACCTAATCTTTTTGTTCAGTGCTAGTAACTAGCTAATTTTCTATATATACGTGAAGGCAGGGGGGATGAAATTGTAAAGGAAATAAAGTTATGGGGCAGAAATGGAAGGATCGAGGAAAATTAGGGCAACGTCAACTGTTCAAGCTAGCTAGCAAACAAAAAGGGGTTGGGTTACCCGTTGTGACAAGTTAGTGATATATTATTATATACTTTACAATTACTGATGTCAGATTAGCTTACTGATAATATAGTTAAATAGGTATATTCCTTCTTAATTAATAATTAGGGTTTGTAGTCACCGATTTATCTCTGGGCTATTCTGTTTGGATAAGATTGATGAAAAAGAGGTTAGGGCTCCTTTGGAGAATTAGAGTCTAAATCTCTAGATTCTAAACAATCCAAAGATTTGAATTCTCCGGATTGTTGAAAAAAGATTTGAAAATGTTCATTGTTTGATAACTGCGATTGTTAACATACAATAAAAAAGAAATTATATTTGTTTATAAAATGGCATATTTTATGCTTAACCAAACTAATTAAATTGGCTCAAAAAAATATTGAAAATTTTATCAATATGGATATTTAGTGGGATAAATTAAAAAAGGAAGAGATAGAGTAAGAGAGAGAAAACCTCTAAAATCAAGATGTAGAATCTCTCTAATTAGGAGAGATTTGATATCTCTAGATTTTAGAAATTTAAAATCTCTAAACCTACAATCCACGATACAAAAAGTAGCAAAAAAACATAACATTTTGCCAAATCTATGGATTCAATAAATCCATCATCCAAATCTTGTTCTCCAAACGACCCCTTAATGAACATTTATTTCTTGTACTTACATCGTAATAATCCGTGGTTCAGACATAACATGCATGTTAAGTATTCGTCGATCCTTAACTATAACGAATTTGGGTGACATTTTCAGGAATAAAGGAATGAATGTCGTAATAGGGGGATTAATCCTAGTTAACCAGATCGAATAATAGTCGAACTTGTCAAGAGTAATGTAATTGTTTTCATTAACATAATAATCAGATGTTAGCGTACTTAATTACTGTATTTGACGCGTACAGATATTGATTAATATATGCTCTCATGCACATGAATTTCGATGGTGTACACGTTAATTGGCGCATCTTTGGTCGGGTATATATTTAGTTAGCTATAATTATAAATAATTGTGTTTGCTTAATTGCTTTAATATTCCAGGCTAGTTTATAGTATAAGCAATTGCCAATTGGAAAGGGCCATTTTCAGCAACAGTAGTTTGGTGAGGAAGCAAACTGATAACTAATATGAATTAATTAATTAATTATGACTTAGGAGGAGGCAAGGTCTACCTAATCAGCTTAATTAGGTAGCCAACTGTCTGTCTGCATGGCCATTAATTTCCTTCAACATGTGTCATCTTTCTTCCCCCACATGATTTAATGCTTCCAACTTCAACCTCACTTTCTGTCCTCTCCAATTTTTCATATATAGCTAGGTATTAATTTATATGGTTGTAAGTTGTGACAAGCTAGTTTATTTAATTGGACATAGCCTGGATAAGATGAGGAAAAATTGGGACAAGAATGATAATTGAATAACTCAGTGTATTTTGTAGGTTGGGTTGTCAGAATTTATGTAATATTACAATAATATATATTGTTATTTGTTAGCCTTGCATGAAGTCATAAATTGACATGAAAAGCATTGCCGACATTGTGGTGGCAAAAATAGTATCACTACATGATTGCACCAATATGATGACATATGTTACGCGATGTACGAATATGTTACGTAATCAGTCAATCAATAATTCGGTAAGACTTGACAAACACTGCATTGCATCGGAGTCGTGCAATCATGCACTCTCTCTCCTCTACCCACATCAACTATCGGTACTCCCCATTCGATATATGGTTGCACGAAAGTCGACCTCCCCAGCTTCATCCACGACTAGTAGGGATGGCAAATTACCCACCCATGGGTAATTATACCCAAACCCAAGTAGACCCATTGATAATGGGTTGGGTATGGGTGAAGTGCATATGGATTTGGGGGTTTATAGATGGGTTTGGGTAAGGTATGAATATTGCTTCCATAATCTAAATGGGTTTGGATTGGATATGGATATCCATTTACTTGAGGGTGTTTTAACTACACATGCAAAAATTGGACCTATTTGTAAAACTTGAAAAGTTTAGTACCAAAATGTAAGACCAAAAAAATTTAGGTACCAAAACGTAATTTTCCATCGATATTTTGAGGACTTGTATGCAAAAAAATTAAATTTAGGTACTAAATATGCATATCTATTAAGTTTGGGTACCAAACTGTAATTTGTATTTGGGCATGGGTACAAACCCAAATCCATTTGATATAAACCCAACTCAACTCAAAGTAAATGGGTATGGGTACAAACCCATCAAACTAGAGGTGGCAATTGGATCGGATTCGTGGATTCGTTCATTGGATTGGTGGATCCATGGATCAAATGGATTGGATCCAATGGATTGGTGGATTCATGGATTGGATCAAATGGATTGGTGGATTGATCCATGAATCCAAATGACATCCAAGGCTGCGACCAAAATGTAAATTTTGAAAAGTTTAAGTACTAAAATGTCATAATGAAAAAATTTAGGTACCAAAATATAATTTTCCAATGATTTTTTCGTATAAAAATATAAATTTTAGGTACCAAAATGTAAAATATAAAAAATATAGGTACCGAATCGTAATTTGCCATTTGGATCCATGGATTGATCCATGAATCCACTAATCCAATTGGATTTGGATTAAATAGATTGGATTTAAATGGATTGGATTAAGTGAATAATTTGGTGGATGGATTGGATTCATGGATTTGGATCCTAATTGCCACCTCTACATCCAGTGGCGGATCCAGGAATTTTTTGTAGAGGTGTCATCTTTCAATAATTAAATTAATAATTAAATTAAATAATACATAAATAATAAAATATCCAATTAGTACAAATGTTGACAAAAAACCACGATGTGTTTTCATATTTCGAAAAAAAAAACATAAGATAGATTTGGTGTCTACACTGCTCAACAAATCGGTATATCCTACTAAATCGCGTATTCTATTTCTAACATTGTTCATGATGTAATTCAAAGTTGAAAAGACTGTTTCAACACTTGTAGTGTAACCATAAAATCAATTCAAATTAGGGGCACCCCTGGCGATAAGAAATCGTGTTTTTACCATTACATAGCATTTAAAATCGAACAACAAATGAGTTATAACCTAATAGAGAATATGTTTATTAATAGGAGTGTCCTAGATTTGAATAACACAGAGTGCCACTTATATTTTTTTTTAACTATACGCAAACTACTATCGAGGGTAAGATAATCGTTTATTAAAATTTTAGTGGTGTCCCAGATTACCAGTTATATTTTGTTTATCCATACGAAACTACTACTAGGAGTTGGATAATCGTGTTCCCAAAATTTAGGGGTGTCACGGGACACCCCTAAAGCATCATGTATCCGCCATTGTCTACATCAAACTCTACCCATATCCATCTATCTGGATTTCATACCCAACCCAATGGGATTAACCCATGAGTATGGGCAAAGTTGCCATCCCAACGACTAGGGTGCGAATTGATGAGAGTGATTGTTGATATGGTGGAGGAGAGGCTTGCAAACCTCCTGCATCGCACTTTTTTCTGAGATATAGCTAGCATGTTTCTCCCACAATTCATTCAACTTGTTCTCTTAACATCCTAATCAAAATAGAATTTTCTTAATAGGGACGATGTATGTGTGAACAAATCTACCCACAATGAACCTTTTACGATAAATGTCACAACCCAAGATATCATGGGGATCCTATCCAAAATATATGATATGGCCTTGTAGGGTCACAAATAGAGAGAGAGAGAGAGAGAGAGAGAGAGAGAGAGAGAGAGAGAGAGAGAGAGAGAGAGAGAGAGAGAGAGAGAGTTGATGGACTAGTGGTTGTGGAATTTTTCCCCAATAAGGTGGTAGTGAAAGTGAACAAAGTTAGGGGAGTAAGAAAAGAATGGATAGATTGTGAGTCATTCATAACCAATTAGGTCTATTGTTAAGGAGGTGTGGGTGGTAGATAATCAAAATCATATATGTCTTTTTCAAAAAAACAAAAACACAACTAGAAAGATAAGCTTCATGGAAACTTTTAACTACACATTTTGAGATAATACCAAAGAGCCTTGCTTAGGAGCTTTTGGTTTTAATTTAGGTGTGCAAGAAATATTTTTGGGTTTGTCAAAGTTAGGATATACATAAGGGATAAACAAAACACCCAACTTTAAGTCTCATGGAGGATAACCATTAACCCTATACCATGATCCACATCACATTAATTATTGTGGAACATGTCATCATTATCGGTTAGAACTAGAGTGATTGACGGGTTGTATAAATTTTTGAATTTGTTCGACGAAATTCTAATGTTTCTATAAGGAAAAATCAACATGATTAACGTGAAACAACAAACTTTTAAACTTTCTTATAGAATCGAATTCACAATTGACATGACACGTTTTCGTAATAACTTCGAAACTGGATTTCTAATTAACTTTAACCTTATGCTAAAAATGCATTGATTATGAATTTACGATCTCTCCGTGCAACTCCATGTTACAAATTTTGCAAGTATATGAGATAAATAACTTAGCTGATAATTAGACAATAATAGTATATATAGGCTGTCTTCAAAATTCAAATGGACAGTGTGAAAAGACATGGAATTAGGGGAGTAGCCGAAAAGAGAGTTTTTACTTCTAGAAGGAAAACCGCCTTATCTCTTATTGCTTACTTTGTTTTCTTTCTCTTTGACATACATTGTAAAGCAATTTTGAAAGTTATAATCAAAAAAATTAGAGATAGGCTATTTTATTTTAAAATTGAAATTGTCATGATTAAATCGTTTCTTATCGTTAAAACTGCTTATCATACTAGATTTGATATCCGAGATTTTCGATTCAAACGGCCAAATCAATACAATAGAGTTTCTAAAATATTACTTACTGGTTACATGAAGAAGGAAGTTGATATGAAATCCTTTTTTACGTAATAAAAAAACAAAATGAATGCATTTTACGTACAATATGGATATGGTCTGGACTCTGGAGCCATACAGACAAGGAAAAGGTGACAACACATGAAAGCAATAAAGAGATGAAGATGAGAACTCAGTTTCATAAGAAAAAAATAAAATTAAAAAGAATTTTGGGTTGCGTGATGAGAGCAAGCAAGCAGTAACTGCAGTTGCAAAAGTGGCACCTTATTTTTGGTAAATTTGCAAAAGTGGACACTTTAGGGTGGGATTGGACTGAAAAGACTGAAAAAGAAAATATAATGGATTGAAATTAAAATTAAAATAAAAGTGGGGGAAACTGAAAAGAAAGGTAGGTGGAGGTTGGTAGATTGTGACGTTAGAAGCTGCAACTACATTTGTCCTTCCTCATCAATTCATGCATTTACTACTACATAAATAATTGAATTTTTTTGGTTGGAAATCCCAATTGTTTTGGGATATTAGCATAGGACTCCCTAGGCTTTAAGGAAATTCCCGATTTAGTCTCTATGTCTTGAACAAGTTGATTTTGGTTCTATACTAGGAGGAATTTTACAATACTTCACAATATTGGTGCTTTCATTTAAAGAAAAAAAAAATCTTTTTATACTATAAAATGAATTTGTACCATAAATCATAACATATGGTTTCCTACAAATTTCTTTATTGTACAAACTAAACTTGTACCTTTAATGTTACTGTATAAATTCGATTTGTACCCATACATGGTGTATAGAAGGTTTGACTTTATTTGGTCATTGATCAACTCGAAATTGAACTAAATTTTTGTATTTTTAGTTACTTTGGGTTTTTAAATTTGTTAATATGGTAATGAAATTTATTTGAACACTTACCAGAATAGTATTTTTTTTTTAATGATGTGTTTCTTTTGTGAAAAATAGAGAGGGAAAATAAAAGAATAAGAGAGTAAATTTAGATCATTATGAATTTCAAACATGGGTATACTTTGAAATTTTAGGGCTCGCCAAATATGGTGGCCTACCCCTTGGGCTTCAGGCCCGTATTCATGAACTATACAAATATTGTTAGCCTATAAGCTATCTTGTAAGAGTAAGACTGTGCGGAGCTAATCAAGTTTGAGTTGGGCCCTCCGCCTATAATCTTTTTTTCCTTGGATTTCGGCCTGCAAATGATATCTTGGGTCAAAGATTGGATTGGGCTAGGTTACCTTTCCAGGACCCTATAAGAAGCTTGGACAGTCTCTAGTCCACCACTTGAAACGAAAGAGTAAAGAGTAAAGACACTAAAAGCAAGCAACAGCTTCCATCCATTACCATCCTTAAAAACACTACAAACCATCTTTCAGAAACTACCCATCATTCATACAAAACCAAAATCTACAGATCTACGGGGTTGCCTATTCGGGGGGTTAAACAAACTCTATACATGCGCAGCAGGAGGAGACAGACACTTGACATCTTCACACCGGAGTTGTCGGACAAAAAGAAGGCGAGGGAACCAAGGTTGGGCGGGCAGCAAGCTGCTCTCACTGGCTAGACGCGAAGGAGAGCTCGTTGGGCTTCCAGAGACCTGAGAGCAGATTCGTTGAAGTGCTTACCATTTGGTAGCAGCAACCCGCCTTCACGCGGTAGCATGATCTGTCTAGCATTGGGGCCACCATCACCGGGAGCTGGCGAAACTTCCTTCATCTGCTTGACATACTTAAAGAACGCAGAAACCTGGCGCGCATAGCTTGAGAAAAAGAGATTAAACAGTACATTAGTTCATCTGCAGATGGACTATAGTGAAGAAATGTGCAAGTAAAGCAATAGGACACCAAGGTCTCACAAGCTCATTTAGATGGGTAATATCAGGGGAATTGGATCAGGATTCGGTTAGTTTCGTTCACCTCTAATCTTATCCACAGTTCACTAATACTTGAATTATCTCAGTGAGAAGGAAAAGAAATAGTACTAAAGACGAAAATATGATACTTACTGCTCTTTGGCTTCTGTATCCCTGTTAAGGTCAATGTTTGCTTCACAATCCAGAACCAGAGCCGGAACCTAACAATAACCAGGATAGGATTACAACCACCTTTCTCCATAATCAAGTGGTTTCCCTAATAGTAAAGGCAATATATCATACCTTCTGAATGCTGGAATGCATGTGATCACCTTGCAAGAAGAACACTTGATCCCTTATATCAGGATGTATCGAGCTATCAAGTTGCAAGGGAGGCCTACTGACAGAAAAGACACCATGATCCCCAGTCTCAGAGGGAAACAGCCAGCTCTCATGCTTTTCATGCAAGTCTCGAAGATAGTCTAGGGAAACTCCACCCTCTTCTTCCCTCTTTCGATGTTTCATTCTCTTGTGACAAGTGTCAGGGGTTGCTCTGAGATAGATGAACCCATCTGGGATAAGACCGGGTAGAACTGATACAACCGGATCAAACCATGAGTCATAGATGCTTATCTCCATCTCATTCATCCATTTCGCTTCGTGCACTGCTCGTACAAACACCTTTTCAACAAAAACAAAAAAAAAACCCCAACATACTGAGTAGTGAGTACTAACACAGAGAGAAACAAAGGATAAACTCCATAGGGAACAGTCATCCCCTCCAGAAACCACTGGTCGTGGCTTCATTTCAAAACACAAAACTTCAATATGATCATTGACAAGGCAAATGACGAGATATCATCAAATTTCAAAATAGCTTACCATTCGGTCACTGAAAACGCTTCGCTCCAAGAGCCTAAGAGGCTTCAGCCCAATTGACGACTCTCGTTCCTGCATAACCCTTGTGACGAAAACGTAGTTCTGGAACGTGTACGCATACCTGTCTGGCTGAGCATAGAATGCATCCAGTATATTGAAGTGGTCAGGCCCTATATCCTGCCACTTATCAATCGGTTCTGGCACCACTTCAACAAGGTCTCTGAGCTCAATCGTATCACTGACTATCTTCTGAAGAAATGTAGTCTTTCCAACACTGATGTTACCCTCCACGCAGAACGTAATCCGCTTCTTCGGAATGTGACGGGCATCCGAGCTTGTATCTTTCAGCTCTTCATCTACACTCTCTTTGACGAACGTTGTTATGCTCTCGGCATGGTTTCGGTGGATAATCCCTACTGAACTCCGTAAATACTCCACCATTGTCTCATTTTCTTTCCCTAGAAACTGCCATTTTTCCAAGCGCATAGAGTTCAAATTAGCTACAGTTCTAAAGGGTATAATTCAATTCAAGCAAATTCAAAAAGGTTTCAGCAAATGTTACCTTGTCCTTGTACAGCTGCTTGAGCTCAGCCATGCCGCTCAGCCCTTTCTCCACTAATTTCCTCAAGTTCTTAGGGCCAACACCAGGAATTGTCAACAAATCAGCGTTACTGACGGCGTCGCCGCTCGGCGAGCCCCTCTGCCGCCGGCTTATCTTCCCCTGCTGCTTCTCCTTCTCTTCTTCGCCGCCGTCGTCATTTTCACTGTTCTCGCTGCCATCATCCCCACCGCACTTAAGCCCTTCAACAGCGGCCGCAGATGCATTAGCAGCAGCAGAGCCCACCTGCTCCGCTGCCGAGAGCGTGCGGCGGCAGAGGAAACGACCGACCTGCCAGGCCCGGAGCGGGGTTCCAGCTGCTGTGGTCCTCCCGGCCCCTTCGATTGCGCTGCGGCAGGCGCTGTAAAGGGTAGAATACGAGCGAGAACACGCGGCTTCCGCCTTGGGAACCGTTAAAGAAGGATTCGGGAAGAAAGAGGAGGCGGCGGCGGTGGAGGAGAAAGCGGCGGCGTGGCAGGGCATTGAGAGGAGAGAAGAAGAGGGTTTTGAAGGGGGAGCTCTGAAGAATTTAGAGAGAGTGGGTTTAAAAAGAGAGGAAGAACAGAGGAGCGGTGTGCTCCTTGACGGGCTCCGTTGCAACGACACCTTCATCTCCGGCGCCGACAACAAGCATTATCTCCCACGGCGGCGAAGGTAGAGACGAGTGACAGGAAGGCGGGAAACGGAGTACAGGGACAGTGAAGTTAAAAAAGAGCAGAGAAACTGTAAAGGGTGAGAAACGAAAGGAAAAACAGAAGGAAAAAAGGGAGTAGAGATTAGAGAAAGTGTGAAGAAGGGCTTTAGGTTGAAGAAGACGAAGAAGGCAGAGGAATTTTCACTCTGTGTGTTTAGGGTTTTTGCTGTCTGTCTCAGCTCAGCGGTCTTCACTCTTCCCACGGTTTGTGTTTTTTTTTTTTTTTTAAATTAATTAAAAAAATTCTTTTTCCTTTTCCTGGCGTGGGGTTTATTGTAATTAATTAATTTTGTTTGCTCAACGAAAAAGCCAAAAAGGACGAACGAGGGGGAGAGAGAGAGCAGAGCAGAGAACAATAAAAAACATGGGCTGGCCTTTCGGTTTTCGTGACCCGAGTTTGGGCTGGGCTGAATCGGAGAATTGATCCATCATAATTCACTAAAATTGGGCTGCAACGACATGATCCAATGGAGTTGTCGCCTTGTCGGGGTGGACATTGGATAAGTTGGGCGGATTCTGACCATAAAACGCACTCACCCGCGCTAAGACGGATTGATAATTTTTAACCACCTTCATCTATATTTAGTCACAGGTTGGGTCAAGGGATGGTAGATGACGCGGGTGGGTTTGTGGGTCCACCCACATAACAATGTATATAATATAAAGGAGTCAACTTGACATGATAATCGGTGGAGAGAGTTATCGGGCGAAAACAAGAAGATGGCATATGGGAAAAAAGATCGAATTAGTTATGAAATTGGATGAAAATTATATTATGGAGGAGTTTTCTATAGATGTAGATGATTATCAACTGCAGGGAACTAAGGAAAATAATTCAACGGAGGAAAGAGAGGTGATATAGGCACAAATATCAGAGGAAAATATAAAGGAAAGAAGAGGGGATCGTTATTTCAAAGGTTGGCTTTGAGGTTCAATCTCCAAGAGCATTCCTAGTTTCCGTCTAACGTCTCCACTCTCCCCCCTCCAACTCCAACGACTTTGTTCTTTTTGCTGTTGGGTTAAGCGGTCACCCATGCACCCGTCCACAACCCATCTGCCACCCACCCACAGACCCATGCACATAAGAAATTTGAGTCAAATGCAGATGGGTCGACTAAAACTCGCAAGTGATCCGCCCGCATACCTAGCCCTAGTTGTAAGTATACCGAGAGTGTCTGTTAGGTTTTTATCATAATTTGAACTTGGTTGAGATTGTTAAATATTTGTATTGTTATTAATACATCATTTTTTTCGGTACAAACATGGTTTGCTTGAGGTGATACAGACTATCATTTGAAATGAAGGATAGTTAAATCATATATTTTAGTTGAGATGGTTTGAGTGAGATTGCTACATTTATTTTTGTTCCAACTATATCCCTAGCTCATTGTATGTGTTGTTCAGGGTTGAAAATGAATCAAACTGTTCACGAGCCGCTTGACATTAGGCTATAGAAAAACTCATTTTGACACTCGACTTGTATTATTAATGAGACGTGTTTAAGCCAAGCATTGTTCGGCTCGTAAGTCTTGTGAGCCATCTTGATTCGCTGGCTTGTTAAACTCAACTCGTGAGCTAGTTCGTTTTTTAGCTATGAGATGGCTCGACAATATGGCTAGCGAGCCACCTCAACTAGAGACTGTATGAGGGAATAATTTAATAGCTTATCATTGACTTGTTGATAATTATGGGTTTGTTATATTATATATCCCATCACGTATGATGTTTATGAATGGATGCACGTTGTTAAAATATGTCCCATTCATATTTCAAAAATAAATTATGTACCATAGTTTGCTCAGATACTAATTACTGTTAAATAACGTGATATTAACCATTTAAAGTTATGAACCAAATGACATGACTTCGTAGCTCGACCTGATCTCGCTAGCTAACTGATGAGCCAAACTCGATAGCTCATTAATGAATCAACCTCGAGTCGAGCTCAGATCAAATACAAGTCATGATTTTAGTAAACAAACCAAGTTCAACACACGACTCGTTAACTATATTAGAACTCAACTCGACTTGATTCGATTCAACTTATGTATATTTTTTTTTCCAAAAAATTAACTATAAAAAAACCAAATGATAAATCAAAATACAACCAACCTCATATCCATAAACCCTAATTTAATAACGACCCCATCCATTTAACTCCTCAACCACAAATCTCACCTATACTTCCAACTACCTCACTCTTGTTTTTTCACTTGCCTTTATTACGATCTCCACTTCCATCCTTATCGTCATAACTTCTGTTCCACTGATCGTTTTCACCATGGAAACAATGAACATGGTCTCAATAGTTGTTTAATTGGCAATGGGGGGAACATGGCTCTTGAGTATGATCCACATAAAAGCACGAGGAAACAATTTCATTTCGATGGATCATCCATCCGCAAGAAAAAGAGGAATACAAGATGGGGACGTTAATGCTAAATCAAAAACTTGTCATGGAAGAAGAATATGTATCTCCAACTTATTCATTAGTTGATCATTTGACTAGTTGAAGTTTAACGATTTATATATGTTCACATTTCGTTATCAAAACGATATAGACACTTATTATTGAATTTTGTCTAACACATAAAACTAAGATAAAAACGTTGGTCGAAAAGTATACTTTTTTTTTGCTTAACTGGAGGCCAAAGGCCAAGAAGAGAGAGATACAAGCAGACTGGGAGGGGGGGGAAATAGAGGAGACTACAATGTTGCGCTCAAAACTGACACCCATCACGTCGTCTCTGATAATCGAGGTTAGCCCAGAAGGCGGGTCCGCCAATTCATACATACCGTAGGGATAGACGAGACTGTGCTTCGAGAGCCAGTCCGCGGCTCTATTCCCTTCTCGATATGTATGAACTATGCGTACCAACCAATCTTGGCAAAGTTTCATGCGAATTGCTGCCAAAAGAGTAGAGTGCGGATGGAGAGGATCATGTCTATGCTTAAGGAGCTGGATAGCAAGCTCCGAATCCGACTGGACCATGATGGATCGATACCCTGTATTCCATGCCAGCTCTATCCCATGAAGAAAAGCCCAGAGTTCGGCCAAAATAGCTGTAGCGTGGCCAATGTTCGCAACAAACCCACCCAACCATCTACCATTATCATCCCGCAGGAGACCCCCTGCACCTGAAGCCCCAGGATTACCATTGGACGCACCATCGATGTTAAGTGCCACCCATCCATGGCGAGGAGGAAGCCACCTCACATCGGTAAGTGTCCGTTGTGGACCAATTCTTCTGCCTCCTGGGATCGGTGTGTCGGGAGCAAGAGAGAAGGAGCAGTAAGGGCATCGCTCATACCCTTGTGCGTCGCCGTCGACCTGTTCTTCCAAAGAAGCCACACTGCCATGCTAAAGAAAGAGTGCCACGGGATGCCCATCGTGTCATCATCGGTCTCCGCCAGGTTCCTTCGTAACCAAAGGGAGACATCGCTGCTGAAGAAAGCTTCTTGTTTCTGCACAGGGACTGTCCGTGACCAAAAGAAGGCTGCCGGGGCACAATCTCTAAGGACGTGCAGGATGGTCTCTTGTTGGCCCTAGCACTGACAACAATCGGGATTTGGAGCAATTTTCCTATAGCACAGAATCGAGTTGGTGGCGATCTTCCCCGATAAAACCAACCACATAAAGGTGCTAATCCTCTTCGGGCCGGGAAGGCTCCAGATCGTCTTCCATAACTTTGCATCGGGATGCTGATGCTGCTGATTAAGAAGTTTGTACGCCGACTTTGCCGTAAATCTCCCATCGGATGAGGCTGCCCAAAACAGAGTATCGTCCTTAGTAGATAGGCCGTCCACCACTATACTAGTAATCTTCTGCTGCACCTATTATACATATGACTTTTTTTACCAATTACCACAGAATGAATCAACCCTATTATACATATGAGAGTACGAGACACGAAGTGAAATGTTGCCCACTGAAATGATAATCATAGCACCTGAACTGGGACAGGTTATGGTGGATACTTCGTGTTAGTAACCACGGTGGTTACTAGGGATAAGAAGGGTATTTTGCTTTCATCCTAATTCAAACTACCATTTTAATTACGCAATTAATTAGGAAGAGATAATTACGGTAATTAATTATTAGGTAGTTTAATCAGCGTAGGGCTTTTCGAATGCCACGTTTTTTGGCCGGCCCTAATTCTGCCGCCGTGTACACTTCGAAGTCCACCTTTTTTTGCCGGCGTTGCATCATCGCCGACGTTGCATCAATGGCGACCGCCGAGTTCCATGCACAACTCCACCGCCACCGCCTCCTCCACCATCGAAGCCCGGATGTGAGCTCCCGCCGCCAGCACCAACAATGTCGCCGCCGCCAACACCCAGCTACCACTCGCCGCAATCCCCTCCGCCGCCGCCTCCACATCACCAAAGTCCTCCTCCGCCCCATTCCATGCAGTGGTAGTCCTTTGATGCAGTGGTAGTCCTTTCATGCAGTGGTAGTTTTCTGCATACATGTTTCGGATTGGTATTGTTACGTACTTGTTTAGGAATAATGGTAGTCCTTACATTGGTATAGGTTGGATTGTTATTGGTAGTTCGTATCGCATTGGTATTCGTTTGATTGGATTGGTATTGGTTCTGACTTTTGTATTAGCTACTATAATGGTAGTTATTTTTTGGCATATTTGTAACAAATGGTAGTGCTTTGTTAGTTGTAGTATGAGTTATTGGAATGGTAGTGATTAATTGTTGTTTTACAAATTGCAGATCAGGTGTATAAAGTTGTCCCGGCCGACAAATCGACATGGCAGCATTTGAGATTTGAAAATAGGGAAGCATTTGTCAAGTTCTACAAAGACTTCGCACACTGGAGGGGTTTTGGAGTAAGACGTATTGGAGAACAGACTCGAAAACCCAAATATCTTAAGGAACGGAAGGTGTTTTACTTTGGAGCACGGTGCAACAAAGAAGGGTTCAAAACAAGGAGCACGCTGGATCCAAAGAATGTCGGTGTTGTGGTAGACACAGAACCTAATAAGAAGAGGAAGAGGGGCGAGACTCGTTTGGATGTAAACAAAATCCAATCCGAGCTTCTTTATTAGTTCTATCCTTGCATTTGTTATACCATTCTCGACAATTGATATAATCGATGCGGGGCTGCACTTCTTCCCAAGTGGTTTAGATTTACCCACATCCTTCTGCGGCACAGCTTCATCAAGGGCAGAGGTTTGCCCACTTCAAACTTGAACCTGTTACCTAACCTGACGACTGCTGTAGGTAACAGATTCCTTGTGTTTTGAGCCCCTACGACTGGGTTCTTGGTTCTTGCCATTCCTAAAATTGGGAAAATGGGAGGTAAGTCGTTTAACATTAATCAAGCATCACAACTGTTGCATGGGAAAAAACTACCAATCCAAATGAAGACTACCAATCCACATCAAACACCAGATTCACATGTATGGAGAAAACTACCAATGCATGAAAGGAAACCACCATTCAAAAAAACTAAAAAACTACCATTCGAACGGAATAGTACCAATCCACATCAAAAAGCACGGTTTCACATGTATGCAGAAAACTACCAATGCATGAATGAAAACAGTAAAAATCTACCAATCCAAATGAAGACTACCAATCCAACATGACACAACAATTCAAAACAGTAATAAAACTACCAATCCAAATGAAGACTACCAATCCACATCAAACTACCAGATTCACATGTATGGAGAAAACTACCAATGCATGAAAGGAAACTACCATTCAAAAAAACTAAAAAACTACCATTCGAACAGAACAGTACCAATCACATCAAAAAGCACGGTTTCACATGTATGCAGAAAACTACCAATGCATGAAAGCAAACAGCAAAAAAGAATACCATTCCAACATAACACTACAATTCAAAACAACAAAAAAACTACCATTCCAAACATAACACTACCATTCCAGAACCGGCGGCAGCCGGAGCTATGAATGCCGTCTGCGGAGAAGATGGAGTTTCAAGCTTGAAGCTGGGTTTTGGCCTTTGGGTGGAAGTCTGCGGAGAAGAGAAAGGAAGCAGATTTGATGGCGTGGCGGATTAGGGTGGAAGCTGGGTTTTGGCCTTTGGGTGGAAGTTTGCGGATTAGGGAGAAGAGAAAGGAAGCAGATTTGATGGCGTGGCGGATTAGGGTGGAAGCTGGGTTTTGGCCTTTGGGTGGAAGTCTGCGGAGTAGGGTTTCTCGATTCTTGAATGAAGGATGCGGTGGCGGATTTGATGGCGTCGCAGAGTCAATACCAAGTTGATCGGAGAGGGGAAGGGGTGGAGGCGATGGCGGATTTGATGGCGTCGGAGAGGCAGAGGTTGATCGATAGCGGGAGCGACAGGGAGAGGAGGGAGGAGACGACGGCTAGGTATTAGGGTTTGAGTAAAATATATACAGTAATCAGGTGTGGTATGTTTTTCATTTCCTAAATTACCCTTAGCTAATCTTAATCATTAATTTAAAATTATAATAAAATAAAGATAATGAATGGTATAGATGTTGGTAGCCACCGTGATTACTCAAAATTGAGTAACCACCCTAACCTATTCCCCACCTGAACTTCTTGTATATGGTGGGTTAACCATTTGTTACTTGTCTTATATTAGTATATATATATATGATTACTTACTTATTTATTATTATTAAAAGTATGCCGTTGGTTAATTAGTTAACGTTAAATCAGGAATTAGAAAAGGATAGAAAATTCCAAACATGCTAATCGATCCTCCCTGACCAGATTTGAAAAAAAAAATCATATATATTTTCCACTGCCTTTTTTGACATTCCAAGAACAGGAAATAAATTCCCCTCTGCCCAGAGAGAAAAATAAGCGGGGAAACAAAAAAGAAATCAATCAATAAACAACGCGCTCTCTCTGTAAGAAAAGTCGGTAACTCGGACTCGGAACCCGTGATGACGCCTTTAATTCCCCGCTTCCCCGACTCAGTCTGACTCAGTTCCCAACTCACTCCCCACACACAGCCAGAGCTTTCTTCTTCCACCACCGTCATCTTCAATCTTCATCATCCCAACACGAACCTCTCTTTCTCTCTATTTGCTGCTGTCTCTTCATTTTCAGCTCCGATTCGATTCTCCATCCGAACTTCCACCTCTCCATTTATAGCTTCTCCCAAAATGCGGATCTCTGCCTCCGCCGCGCGCTGAACGCCGGATTTCCCTTCCACTCCCATTCCTTCCCCCGTCCGTCCTTCCGACCGGCCATGCACGGCTACAGCCGTCTCGGCTCCTCCGGCCGCTCCGTCACCGCCACCACCACGCCTTCCCCGCCCTCGTCGCCGCGCCTCCGCCGCGGCGGAGGCGCGGCATCAGCAACTTTCAAGTCGCCGAACGGCGGAGGAGTGTTCGGCGCCGGGAAAGGGAGCAGCGCGGCTTCGGGGAAGGAGAATTCGGTGGAGAGATTCGTTTTCCTGGTGATATCTCTGGTTTTCAGGCGGCGAGGCCTGCTGCTTTTCGCGCCGTTGCTGTACATATCCTGGGTGTTGTTGTACATGGGATCGCTGGGATTCGATGTTGATTTGGATTTGAAGCGCGGCGTCGTCGGCGGAGTCGTCGTCCGGAAGAGCGCGCCCCGGGGGTCGGTGTACCGGAGCCCTCAGGTGTTCAAGAAGCTCTGGCCGCACATGGAGGCCGAGAGTCGGAGCAATGGCAGCTTCAATGCGGTGATGGATCCATTTTGATTTTGAAATTCGATTGATTGATTGAAGTTTTTTTGTCGGTTTGTTTTTGTTTTTTTTGCCTAATCACCTAGTTAGTGATCAACACTTAGCTCGTTGTGCTTGGATTTGAAGCTTTGCAGTCGCTTTCTCTAGATTATAAATTAGATACCAAACTAAGCCATTATCAACTGTAATGCACTGATTATTACTATAAATCTTTTTGCTTTATTCTGATTTTGTGTGAAATGGATAATGCAGTTGATGAGAACTTGGGACCCGAGTTTGCTTCAAGACTGGAAGCCTTGTGTCAATGGCAATGCATCGGCATCTAATGCAGGTTTGATTACTCTGCTTATTCCTTCGGTAATCAATATTTTTCGGGGTCGATCATGAAGCTGAACTAAGGGGTCGTTTGGAAGTTGCGATTGTTAAATAGATGTATTGTTGAGAATGCATGTATAATATTATACATGTATTGTCGAATTTGATGCATTGTAGAATACAACGTTTGGTATGTGTGATTGTGTATGTCGCATCAGCTAAAAGATGAGACAAAACAATCTCAATTCAACTATCTCAACAATCACAACTAAAAGTTGAGATATAACAATCACTCAAAATGAGTGATAGTTTCTGTCACATCACAGAAACAGTACATGTATTGTTTCGTCTAAAAAAACAAAAAAACGATGCATTGTAAACAATACATGCATAATGACAATCTCAACAAAACAATCGCAACTTCCAAACGACCCCTAAGCTTAAATTGCGGATTTAGATGTTCTGGAAATGGATGTCGATCGATGCTTTTGCAAGCTCATACATGATTAAAGAATTTAACTTTAGCTCCGGATGCTACCTAAAAGAGCTTTTGAAACATTATTTGGGCTGGTTGCTTAATTCAGTTGTTACTTTCATTTGGATCGTTGTCATAGAACTTCTTTTTGAGTCAGTTACGTAGACAATTGCATCTATTTTTGTTTTCTTATTGATGTTTATCATTGTTAAGGTGTAGCTATGCAATCCACCTTATTTGTGGTTGGTCATGTTGTATGATAGTGAAAGAATTAACATTTCTGACATCTACATTATTGTTCTTAGGATTGGCAAAGTCAAATGGCTTCCTGATAATTGAGGCAAATGGTGGATTGAACCAACAACGCTTATCGGTATGTTCTCTTGTTTGAGGAAGGGTGTAGCCTCCTTTTTGTTCTCAACTTCACTACTGTTCTTAACCGTTTAATGAGATAGGCAGTCGGCAGTTTGTTATGCTCTTGGCCAATATGGGGTTATTTAAGATTAAAAGAGGCATCTTAGAACCCTGTGTAAATTGGTTTAGCGCATATTCTCAGAGCATTTATGCAGTCTTGAGATGCAATTTGAGAGACTTTTATCGTTCCTCCTTGATGCAGATATGTGATGCAGTTGCTGTAGCAGGATTTTTGAATGCGACTCTCGTCATTCCGATATTCCATTTGAACAGTGTTTGGCGTGATTCCAGGTGATTATAGTTGCTAAATTTGGCGCTTCTGTTGCTCCCTGTCTTACCTTATGATCAGGCAAATATCTTGATTCCAAGGCTACTGAATTACGTTAGGTGGTTAATATCAGATGTGGAGATGAATCCTTATATATACATCTTCGATTAACCATAGTTAAGGGAAAGCTATTCATTTTATCGTCTGTTCTCTGTATCGCAGCAAATTTGGGGACATATTTGATGAAGAGTTCTTCATAGATTCCCTGAAGGATAGAGTGAATGTGGTTCGCCAACTCCCAAAAGATGTTCTTGAGCAGTTTGATAATAACATAAGCAGCATTGTAAATTTGAGAGTCAAAGGATGGTCTAGCCCAACCTACTATCTTCAGAAGGTGCTCCCCAAGCTGAAAGAAATGAGGTGTGCCTTTCTCCTGTGCAAATGAATTTATTTGGACTTTCGTTTTCATTGCAGCACTTGTAGTTACTAGTTTCCTATAATTGCAGGGCTGTGCGTATTGCACCATTCTCCAATAGGCTGGCTCATGCAGTTCCTCCCAATGTACAGGACCTGAGATGCTTGGCGAATTTTAAGGCACTTAGATTTTCAGAGTCATTGAGAACCCTTGGGGAGAAAATGGTTGATCGGATGATCCGTAATAGTTCTCACACTGGAGGAAAGTATGTCTCTGTTCATCTTAGATTTGAAGAGGTTGGTAACTTAGCACGAGAAAGTTTGATGAGTTCTTTTTTCTCCTGTGGATTTACGTATATAGATAAATTGCATCCTCTCCTTGTGACAGGATATGGTTGCCTTTTCATGCTGTGAGTATGACGGCGGGGAAGAAGAGAAACTCGAAATGGATCTTGCTCGAGAAAGAAGTTGGAGAGGGAAATTCAGGAGAAGGGGCAGAGTAATAAGACCAGGGGCGAATAGAATGGATGGGAAATGTCCTCTCACTCCATTGGAGGTTCTCTTTCTCTCTCTAGCTGGGTGTTGTTTTATTCGGAGTTCTGTTGGCTTAAGAGTTAAGATTTAAAGTAGTGTAGTAACTAGGTGATCATGAAATCAATCCTATATTGCAAATCCACTAAACCATCAAAATTCAAATGATCATTGTAGTGAAGCCTATTTCTACGCTCCAAACCTAAAAGATTTTGCAAAGAGTAAAGCCGAGTAAGATTCTTTGTTTGATGAGAAGTCATGTATTTTGGTCAATGGCCTTGGGACTTGCAACTGATAATTTATGGATTGCTTTGTCAAAAGGTGGCACACTGTGTATCTACCATACAAATTTTGCTGGTTTAGTTTCCCCTTTTAGGTTTAAAGACAATACTGCTAAACCATGGCCCTCCACCTGATCAATTGATCATCACAGCCACTATTTTCCCCTTGCAGGTTGGAATGATGCTTCGTGGGATGGGTTTTGACAGCAGCACACCATTATATGTTGCAGCTGGCAATATTTACAAGGCAGAGAAGTATATGGCTCCACTGAAACAGATGTTCCCACGCTTGGAAACGAAGGAGACGCTTGCCACTCCAGAGGAACTTGCCCCATTCAAGGTATCAAATCCATTTCTGGTGCTTTTTTTTGTTGCGTAAAATCATAAGTGAGCAGAGAAGAAGCTTGGAGCAAGTTAAAAATTGTGAACCCTGAAATTTGCAATGCAGGGCTACTCGTCTAGGTTTGCCGCGCTTGATTACACAGTTTGCCTGCACAGTGAAGTCTTTGTGACCACTCAAGGAGGAAATTTCCCACACTTCTTGATGGGTCACAGGCGCTACTTATATGGAGGGCATTCGAAAACTATCAGACCCGACAAGAGGAAGTTGGCTATCTTGTTCGATAGCCCTAGTATCAGGTACCTTTACCGTCGCCTCTTAAACTCGTCTTCTCCACCAGACAGTGTTAGAATGGAATGTTATCCCTAGTGAATTGAAGCATTCTCCATTGAAAGGTTGTAAAAGTGACAGACCAGTCGTATAGTAGAGGACTAGAATCATGATCGAAAGAAAGAAAGAAAGAAAGAAGCCCCTAAACTACAACACATGAATTGAATTGAATGAATGTGTGCAGATGGGAGGTGTTCAAGCGACAAATGAGAGACATGCTCCGGCACAGCGATGTTAAGGGTTGCGAGCTGAGAAAATCCGGTGCATCGCTCTACACTTTCCCCATGCCCGATTGCATGTGTAGGACGTCGCCAAATGAAGCGCCAAAAGATCTCTCTCCCCATAACCTTACAATGGATGCCAAGAGATGATGATGATGATGGCTGTTGTTTCAGTGTGAGTGTGACCTTAATTTGTTACTACTCTCTTTCAGATTCTTCAGTGTACCATAAACGAATTGTAGCTGAAATAGTACTTGCCAGACGAGGGAAAAGGGAAAAGAAGACAAGAAATGAGACAATTAGTAGGGATTAGATTAATTCTTCTTTAGGGTTAGAGAGTTGTTTGGCAGGGTAATTGGGTATATAGAGTAATTATTTGTTGACTACTACTTATTCTTTTGGAGACAGTAGTGTTGTAGCCTCCACGATCCTCTACAGATATATGTGATTTGTCTTTCTGCTCCCTCAAAAACACAGTATTTTGTGTAAATTGGTGAAAGGAAAATTATGTAAATGAACCATCATACTCCTGCTTGAGCTTATTTTTGTTGGTTTTGGTTTTGACTGATGAATTCTAATTTACTTTTGGTGTATTTGGTGGTTCGAAGTGTGTACATTCATGCCAACCAAATCTTGTAGCTCGTCGTATAAAGGTCTATCGAGGTCTTTGAGTCGAGTGCCCTAACTCTCCGTAAATGGCTCGAGTCATGCTTCAAATACTCTCATTAGGCCAAGTTCAAGTCTCATCTTTCGTCTATACAAAAGACTACTCTTCCCTTTCAAATCGCTCTTTAGGAGGCCAAATGTAGATGAAGGATTTGACGAGGGAGGGAGAAGAGTCGATAATAACCTGGTGTTCAAACGACCTACTCTTGCCATCACCTCTAACAAACCGTAGGAAATCACGCTTCTATAGATTGAATAGTGCAATATAGAAAATGTTAGTGTTCCTCGTTGTAAATCTCATTTCTAGTTGTCGACTTAAAGGTCATAAGGTGAACAATCTTATCTGACCAAGAGCCTGAACAATCCCTTATCAACATCTTACATTTTATTTTCGATTCGATCTCAATTTTTGTTTCGTTCTAGTTCTCAACTGTTACCAAACAAACCACGATTAAGCCAAAACAGAATACCCTAACTAGAAATGTATAATATCCCCAAAACCTCAGGACCAAATTGTCCATCACCTGAAACTTTAAGTACCATTCTGCCAATGTAACAATTGAAGTTGGTTTGCGGTTTGCTGGACTCGAAAGAGTCGAGAGTCGAAACACTATTTTCTTACACGGAACCCTGAAACTTCGTTTTTCGTTCTTTCTTTTCTTTCAACCTTTCCCCCAATTACTTCATCAGTCATTTCTTCCTTCCATCCGAAGCTCTGAATTCCGCCATGAAAGCTATCTATTGAAGCAAAAGCGGAAAAATCCTTTACAACTGTTGTTCTAACGGAATATCAAGAAGCAGGATAAAATGAGCGCCGCGACTGACAGGACAGACACTGCCGGCAATCTCAGCAAAAATGGCAACACCACCAACCGCCAAGATCCCGCTTCTTACTTCCTCGCACTGGCGCGGCAGGGCTCGCCTCCGACGGACGGGGTGACGGGCGCGGCGGAAGAGGACTGCGAGCGGGAAGATGCCCCGACGGAGCTCAACACGATCAACAGCTCCGGGGGATTTGTGGTGGTGTCGACGGATAAGCTCTCGTTGAAATACACGAATGTCAATCTCCACGGGCACGACGTCGGAGCTGTTCAAGCGAACAAGCCGGCTCCCGTTAAGCGGCTCGTGTATTACTTCGAGATTTATGTGAAGAATGCTGGTGCGAGGGGCCAGTTTGCGATTGGATTCACTAACGAGACTTTCAAGATGAGGAGGCAGCCCGGGTAATATGATCTTGAGTGCTACTTTTTTTGTGTGTTGAGGATGTTGAGGGAATATGAGAAATTCAGCTGTGGTGTTTGCTTTCTTTACTGGAAATCTTGATTTGGTTGGAAGTGGTATGTCTATGCTCTAGCTAATTGGATCTGCTTGGTTGAAAGAAGAACCAAATTACGTAATTTGATAGTACTCTAGGGAAGAAAAGATTCTTGATTGAGTAATTATACTTATTGATTGTGGCAAGTAACTATTCATTCATATGCTATATAAGTTCTGAAGATGGGAAGAGTGTTTGTTGGTGCACAGTTCGTGATAGTCCATTAAGTACAGAATTTGGTCAATGGGGGTCCTTTCTAGGATGCCGATTCATGAAATTGAGTGAAGGAGCAACAAAAACACAACTATCTTTTTTAGAGGGGTAATCATTCTGATTGAGAAATAAGCTCAAGTTACCATCTTGCAAACATGAGAACTATGAGGACTAGAGTGACGAGCAAAGAACCCAGGGCAATTATCTCTGCTTGCATTGTGTAGGGAATTTGGCTTCACCTCTCATCTTGGCTGCATATAGGTGCTGCTTTTCCTGCTCATAGGATCTTTACATTGTATGCGATTTAGGTGCTTATAGGGAACAGAACTTCAGTTATTACCTTGGCAGGAAGGATGATTAGAATTCTTTCTGGATGCATAAGTTAACATTCTCTGCAGTAATAATCATTCCCATATGTAGATGAGGCCGATGGTCTGCAGTTACGTAACAGAATTTCGGCCTTTAGTTTCATCTGATGCAGTGTTCCGTGCTTGCTGTTCTTTGCTTCATTATTAATATAACTTTTTTGTTTCCAATTTATAGGTGGGAAGCTAACACTTGTGGGTATCATGGGGATGATGGCCATCTTTATCATGGTCATGGAAAAGGACAGCCTTTTGGGCCAACATTTACAACCAATGATACTGTTGGCGCTGGTATTAACTATGGTTCACAGGAGTTCTTTTTCACGTAAGAAACTTTTCCCATCATACTTTTCCCCACTCAGCTGAGCGAATGCTCTATAGATTTCTGATATCTCTATACTGTGACTTCACTTCAAGACTTCACACTCTGTTTCTTTTTGGAATCCCTATAATTTTGGTTTCAGTAAAAATGGAGCAATTGTTGGAGCAGTAAAAAAGGAGATCACTGGTGCCTTATTCCCTACAGTTTCTGTTCACAGCCAGAATGAGGAGTATGTAACCTTTCGTCCTTTCCAATATTTCTGCTGCTTAGGCAATTTGCTTGTGTACTTTACTCCTTTCTTGTGAGGTTTACTATTGGGTGTGTAGTTTTTGTGGCTGATGTTTAGTTACTCTAGAAAGAGAATTGAACTAGTTTGTGGTGGATGGCATAATGTGCTGATGTTATTCTTGTTGGGTTTTTGCACAATCTGTCTCCTTTTAATGAAGGATAAATACAGAAGAAATCTTACAGTGGTGTATTGTGATTGATTTCAGTCCTGTTTTTCAGTGATCTTTAAACTCAATTATTAGTTGTTGCTCATATTCTCTTAATTTGTATTCATTGGAACTAGTTTTATCATTATGTGAGATCCAGCATGCTCATTTTAATTTCCCTCTCACTCTCTCAGGATTGAAGTTAACTTCGGTCAAAAGCAATTTGCATTTGATATCATGGTAAGTTGCTCATTATTTCTTCTTCACTGTATGACAACATTTTGTATGACAACATTTTTTATTAACGAGGGAAAAACACTGGTCTCGTAGTGTACTTGCCAGTTGTCTCTGCTAATCCATGTATTTGAGTATTCGTGGATACTTATTGGTGCTCACTCGTCATGGCTCCAATGAATTTTTGAAGCTCCGTGCTACACTGGTCTGGTCTTATTGATTTGGATAGTTTTTTCTCAAGGGATAGATTCCTGAATTCTCTGGTGTTTAGTTGAAGCTCTTAGCATTCAAATCATTGTACTTTGTTGGATTTTCCTTTCTAGGGGCGATTGCTGGTTATTACAGATATTGCCTTTCTTACCCTTGTTTCTGTTCTATTAGGAATATGAAAGACGGGAAAGGATGAAGCAACACCTGAGAATTGATAAAACACCTTTGTCGCCAAATGCCAGCTACAAGTAAGTTCACTTCACATTATCAAAACAACTGCTATTGCTGTGAAGTCTGGAGAAAAAGGGAATCACTTCTGGCAAGGAGTGCATTTATTTGAGCTTAAAGGGTTGTGATTTTCCCTGTTAAGTTCTTCCATTCACATGAGGAAAACTTATTCCAACTGGTTGTGACATTCGACTTGCGATCTGAAAATAGATAAAGCAGGCTTCCATGTTTAATGAGATAACTGCTTCTAGATATATGTCCAATTACATTCTGGATAATTGATTCATTTGAAGGAAATTATTTTATTCCTGTTTGAAAGAAAATGCTTTGGCCTGATTTTCCAGGCTAATACATCATTGTTATTTGTAATTTTTTGAGCAGACTCGTCCGGTCGTACTTGCTGCATTATGGATATGAAGAAACTCTCAATTCATTTGAGTTGGCTACTAAGAATACAGTTCCTCCGATATCCATGTCTCAGGAAAATGGCTCTGATGTGCAAGACATAATGTATGCATTAAATCAGAGAAGAGAGCTTAGACAGGTACTAAATTGTTTGATCACTGTCACCTTTATTTTTATGTAGTTTTATTGGTCTGAATTATTAGTTGTGGCAGTTCATCTTGTGATTGTGAATAGTTCCCCTAGTGTAGGAACACCAAAGCAGTTCTTTTTAAAACTGACGTAGAAGTTCTCTCCAGTGTAATGCATTGAAATACCATACCAACATTTTGCTAACTGTTTTCAAATGTATACATTTCCTTGGCACTCAATCCATGCAGCTAAATATGTGAACCACTGTCCCTGATATTGTTTTCATTATCCTTCTTAGAAGGCTCTTTTCTTCTTTCAGTTTTCTAATTTTTTTTTGATAATGTCAGTTATTCTAATATTGAGTTGTTGACTTTCTGTGCTCTATGAAGCTAATCAGAAATGGCGAGATTGATGCAGCAATTAACAAGATCCGTCAGTGGTTTCCACAGATTCTTGAGGTATCACTTCTTTTCTTCATCTTGAGTATGTGAAATAGCTTTGTCCAAGGAGAAAAGAATTTTGTGGCTTTATTGTTTTGTACCCCTTTTTCATTCTATACTCCCTTTAAATTTAATGTTGGTGGACAAACTCTGTCTATAACTACACAAAATGAACCTATTTATATCATTGATCTTTAAGGTACTTATACTCTCTTTTTATGGAACAGCCAAACAAACATAATCAATATTCTGATCCCAAAATCTTTTTCATCTTTTTTTCTGCATGCTAGATTGAACTATTAGTCTTTAGTCTTCACCGTAACAGCCACACTATCTTTTTCAGGATGACAAGTCAGCAACTTGTTTTCTGCTCCACTGTCAGAAATTCATTGAATTGGTTCGAGTAAGTTCTTTGTGCAAAATGTGGATATTCCCAACACTTCAAATACATCTTTCTCGTAGAGTCAGCAAGACTTCACTGCTTGTAGATTTTTTTTTTGTTTACGAATATTAGAATTACAGACTCGTGAAAATGTATATATGTAGCTGTGCTTTTACATTTGCATTAGAGGTTCTTACGTGCAGTTTTTTCCACGGTAGGATCTTACTTGCTGTTTTGATGGCACCAATTTGTGAACTTATGGAATATGTCTACATGATTGTATTGGTTGGTGCTAATTTTCTTTGTTGACAATGTGCTTTTAAGGTTGGTGAACTAGAGGAAGCTGTAAACTATGGAAGAATGGAATTGGCGAAGTTCTTTGAGTTGCCAGTGTACAATGATCTTGTTCAGGTACCTCAAAAATTTGGCTGTTTCATGATAGTTATATTGCTTTGGTTTGGGAACTTAATGCAGAGGGCCTCATCTAAAAGGTTATGCATGGTCTTTGTTCCTCCTGCAGGATTGTGTAGCCTTGCTAGCATATGAGGAGCCACTGCAATCAGCAGTGGGCTATCTCCTAGAAGGCACGCAGCGAGAGACCGTTGCAGACACAGTAAACGCCATGGTGTTGCTGACGAATCCGAACGTGAAGGACTTACAAGGCTGCTTGCAGTCATATCTCGAGAGGGTAGTGAGGCAACTGACTGTTTGCTGTCTGGAGAAACGGTCGTTGAGTGGTAAACAGGGCGAGGGATTCAGTCTACGTAGGGCACTTAACAGTAACTACAATGCCAAGAGAAGCTAACCCCACCATGTAATAGGCGGGCAGGCAGTAAAGTGGGTTAATTTCTGGTACCCATCCGATGTTGACTTCTGTTGAATTTTGCCTGGAAGTTGAAAAATGCTTTTGGGTTCTTTTCTTACTGTACATATAGGATTTGTTGTTCAGAAAGATGCAGTCTTTTTGTTGTAAAGACCCACATGAATGTTGGCGCCAATGTGAAGAATTGAATCGCCTTAAGCTCGTAGCTATTCCTGATAAATTCAGTGGTAAATAGCTCCTTATTGCTTTCAACACATACAGCTTTGACAGTTCATTGTTCTTTTTGGTTTTATGGATAGAGGTCTGCAGATGATGTTTCTCCTTGGGATGTTGTTAGTCATGGAGTTGAAACTGAAGTACATTTGCGCATGAGTACTTTTTCCCAGTGTTTGAGAAACTGTATTGAAAGTTCGCCATGTATAAACATAACCTCGCATATACTTTGTCGTTGATACATGAGTCGTGATGTAACACAGACGCGAGATATTGATGTGCGATTTAACCAATGCATGAGAGACAGTGGCTCTCTGTAAGTTGAATAGATGGGTGACCAAATTGGTCAAGAATGAATTGGATTGAATGAATGAACGTCCAAACAATATTGGTGCATTTTTCAGGTACAAATCCTCGAATAGATAGGAAAAAAAAACCAAGCTAAATTATTAATCTATGGGAGAGTCAATGGAAGCAGAGCCATGCCCCCAGTTTCTCTTCAATTCTGCTTGCTATAGAGAAGCCTGCTTGCCTTCCTTCAAGTTCAGTCCCATATGTCTTATTTGTAGCTGTAAATAAGCAACAAGAACTGTACAAGTAAGCAAGCAGGTAACCAGAAGAAAAGGAGCAAAGAGAGAGGCAACAAAACCTGTTTGCGATTCAGAAAGAAAGGAAGAGTGGAATTTCTCAGTTCTTGACAGTGGTAACAAATTTGACAAGCATGTCAACCAGCTCTGATTGCACCTTGGAGGATGACTCCTTCAGCTTCTCAATCTTCTTCACTGTTTCCTGCTCCAGTTGTTTTGCCGTCGCAGCTGAATTTCCCTACAGTACCACAAACGAAATGTAACAACATTACAAACATCGAAATGCTAGGTCCATATATGCTCAAGACATGCAAGTCGTAACAATGTTCTTCTAGAGATCGTATTCACGAACCTCAGATACTTTCTTCTGGAAGTCGGCTTGCAGTTGCGAGCGATATCTAGCGGCTTCCCTCTCAGCTTCGTCTTTTGCTTGCTTCAACCTCGACAACTTCACTGCAACGTATGATTCGACGTACATTGACGATGAATGCAATATCAGATAATGCATGATCTGTTGTGATTGGATTTGGCTTACAGTTTCTAGCAGCGGCTACGATCTGTTGTGCTTCCTGCTCCGCAGAGAGCAGCATCTGAATCCCTCCTTGGCTTCTCATTGGATCCATTAATTGACTCCTAGCTCTCCCTGGATCCACAAATTTTTACGTGCCGAAATCATTAATAATGTTACTATAATGAATTGTTAGCATGTCGCAGTCTATCATTCATTGTATTTCACATTGGTATCTCGATTGGTTTCGAGTGAAGAACAGAGTGGATTCACAATTCAGATCATGATTTGCTATAGAAGTTTCACAAGAGAGAAATATGGAGTAACAGAAAATACCTGATAAGAAATGAAGGTGTAGTAGGGTGGAGAGAATTTACTGGTTGCGTTGATCAAATCAAATTAGTGATCTAAATTGTGAGAGAGAGAGAGAGAGAGAGAGAGAGAGAGAGAGAGAGAGAGAGAGAGGATGGATGCAATTAGTGATCTAATAATAAGAGGAAGATGATTAGGGAAGAGGAAGGAAAAACTGAAGTAATTAATTAAGAGGAAGAGAGATTTGAAAGCCAAAAATTAGGATGGAAGATGTGGTGGTGAAGAACAGGACTGATCTGTTACATAAATCAAGAGAAGAACAGGCTTTATGAAACATGGTAATTAGGCTCTCAAAGCCCATGGGTTATAGCTGGATGCTCCAAATTTATTTTTATAGAAAAAAGAGCGCGATCAACTCTTTTTTTTTTTAAATAATTTTTTGGGTTTCGAGTTCGACTATAATTTAATCAAAATGCAACCAATAAGTAATATATTGGTTTTGAGAGTTAAACACCTGTTTCCCAACCCAATTGACAAAGAATGCGCTAGAGACGGTAAATAATCGATCGCGAAATCGGCTTCTTTGTATACATGTTCTATTAGAAGAAGTCGAGGTCGAGTCAATAAACTATTAATCCCCGATATTAACACAAAATGTGGATGGTTCGGTTGAGCCGATCGGATGAACTGATCAATGGCTATTTGAGAGTCAAATTGTAGAAAATTCTTTTATAATGGCAAAACAACTTTTCTAGTCTCGAATTTCCATGTAAAAAACACATGGTTGATTATGTAATGAAGAAAACTTCTCAATTCTTTTTGCTGTCCTAACCCTAGGGAACATCCATTCTTCTTTCTTCTACAATTTTTTTATAACTAAAGGTACTCAGATATATTGATTGGAGAAAAAGATATTATATCCTGGAAACCAGTCAGATCTGGAAATAAAAAAATCGACATGTAGTCGGGTACAAATCGATGACCTTTCTAGCTACAATACTAGTCTAATATCTAAGGTGTAACCGAGCTTATCACTTTTGTAGAGAGACTACCACTCATATAAAATATCTATTATACGGTCTGTTTTTAATTGGTCATGATGATTAGAGTGTAACTTAATTTCGTCAAAGAATTTCTATTTATAAAAAAATATGTATATAGAATAACTAATTGACAATGCCTTTTAGTAAACAGATGCATATACTAATATTCAATTACTTGCATTGCATCATTCAAAATTATTTCAGCTGAATCCCTAATTTCCAGTGATCAAGTGGAGAGCTAACAATGAACCAGGGAGTTCTGTTAGTACATTCCTAGGACGAGGGATATAACATGGATTTTGTTACCAACAGAAGGTAATATTGGTAGAGGAAAAACTGGAGTTTGTTAACTCCCAAAACCATATATAAGATAGAAAATATTCACCATCTATCATCACTTACACAACACAAGGTTATTACAGAATACAAGCACTATACATCGATTAATCATGGCGTCTTTCAAGTCGGAAAATCAGAAGCAACTTATCGCAACAATCTTCTTAGCGATTACGCTTCTTTCTGTAGCGATACAACAGCGTCCTTGCAGCGCAACGAGAGATGTGTTTGTTGACTCGATGACGACGACACCAACAACAGTGCAACGACAGGCGGCTCCGGCAGCGGATTATCAAATCGACATAAAGTATCCATGGTGCAGGTTGTGCTGCAGTCCTTTCATCGGGAAATTCTGCTGCAAGGGTGATGGTGATGACTTCCATTGCTGATCCACCTACGATGGTTTTTTTCCCCACCTTTTTTAAGAATTTTTTAGTTATAAATAATTGTTTTCAATAAATTTTGTAAAATAGTGCTTGTAATTTTTTATCCATCTAATAAAATCGATCCGATCAATTTTGGACATCATAATTGTAACCTCATTATTTGTGACGAGTACGCCGCGTCGGACTAGCTCGTCTCTAGCTGTTACAATCTCTCTTATTTTTATATGAGATAATTACTAACTTATTTTCATAACTATTTACACCAATTTTATAGACGAGCAACCGTTTCGTGCATGCTACTGTTAAATTTTAAGATTGAAATGTAAAAAATGCTTATTAGTGTTCTTCCTTTCAAAAATTATCGTTCTTCCTTTCAAAAACATTATAATTGTTATTAGTTATTGGAATTTTTTTTTTGTTGCTGCTATATTTGATTATTAAGGGGTAATTCCACAAAAGACTATTAGTTATGAATGATAATTATGCAAAAACCATTCACATATAAGAACAGAAAACAGAGGCTCCAACATAGCCACTACAATTGGCAGATTTATATCAGGGTTTGAAGGAGGTTGCAGTCGGAAACTAGAAACCATGCATTTGTCGGTGGATTTCTATTCAAAACAACTGTGTTTGATTGGTGATCTCCATTTTTCTCTGCAAGGCAAGAGAAGAGCTCTGATAACCACCCTCTGTTTCGGCATGTCGATGAGGTTAGCTAGCTAGTTACTAGAGCTTTGCTGCACTTTTCAGGTGCAGTTCTTGAAGGTTCTCCGAAATTCAATGAGATTAAATCTGCTTCCACTATAGCTCCAACTCCAAGCAGTAATCGTCCCTGTCGCACAAGAACCAGAAACCACGATTCTCCCCCAAGTCCCGAGTATAATCAGTCTCATCAGTGGCCAAAGAACCCATTTATGGAATTGGATATAGCTATCTTTTGCGTCGTTCGGGATCGGAATCCTTTGCGGTGTTGTTTTCCCGTAATTTGATGCGATCTTCCCCTGTATTTCTGTTTTTTCCCCTGTTTTTTCTGCTACTCGAGTGGCGACCTCGACACCAGGTCAATATATCGCACAAAAGTCAATAAACCGTGTAAATATCGCGATACATCGTAATATCGCGATATCTCGTCAATTTTTCGCGTTTCAAGTTTGGTTTTGAGGACTTGAAACGTTTCGCGTTTCGAACGTTTCTGACGCAAGCTTCGCTTTTCCGTGGGGGTTCTCATTTTTTGCGGGCAGTAGGCCGACCGCCGTCCCGAAACGGCGCTGCATTTGCGCGGGTTGCCAGTTTCCGCCGACGGTAGGCCCATCCCCCCTCGCGAAACGCGATCGAATTTCGGATCCTTGGGCCTTTGATTTAATAGAGAAGAAGCTTTTTGGGCCTTTGTCGAATTGAAACCCATGCCAAATTTAAAAGCCTATGCCAGAATCTATAGACTATAATCCGTGCGTCCCTTCTCCGTTCTCCCTTGTTTTCTTCTCCTCCATGGATTCTCAGCTTCGAAGCTTCAACGAGATACCGCTAGCGAAGACTTAACAGCTTCGATCTTATATCCTCCCACGAAACGTTTCGGGAACTTTCACTGCGTTACTGAATGCATTCCCTTGTTCTGATCTTTTCCCCCTTTTGCAACTCAATTGAGAATTGAGATTCATGTCGGCTCAGCTTTTCCCATCTTTTTTTTTTTTAGAAAATCTTTTTCCTTCTTAATACACGCCATTTTGGTTTTCTTATAACAATATTACTTTCAAGAATCATCGTTTCAAATTGAGTTAATCGTCTCAAGTCTATGTGACCATGATGGGCCAAAAGTAAGACGGTGAATAATATTATTAAAAAAATTATTCATAATCGGTAAATAATATCTTCCAAAAAATTCAACAAAATTTGTGATGGATAGTTACAAAATCTGGTAAAATAGTATTAAAAAAATCGGTAAAAATCTGTGATAAATAGTTTTCTGCATCAGTGAATAATAGCATTCTAAAGAATCGCCAAAAATCTGTGAATAATAGCATCAGTGCTTAATCGATTCGCCCTGTGGGTATTCTTCACTGATGATTAAGTCCATTAACCACTGATTTGGTCAGATTTCTTCCGGGTCCATTTTTGGCAGATTCTAAAGGAGTGTACATTCCGATATCATCATTGGTGTGCAATATCGGTTAGCCATAGACCCCCAGTTACTGGATCTAATCTTGCAATTTTTGGGAAATGCCATTTTCATTCGATTTTGAAAGCTACAGATCACAGATTCAGCCCGAGACTATAGTTGATGAAGTGTATTGATCTTATTCTACACTAACGATTATGTCCATTAATCACCCATTTGAGCGGATTTATTTTTCGATTGCATTTTCATAATTTTTTGGGTGATTTTTTTCCGAAAGGTCATTTTTCTTGGATTTTGAAGGCTACAGATCACGGAGTTAGTCTGCAACTATTCTTCACTGATGATTAAGTCCATTAAACACCGATTTGGGCTGATTTCTACCAGGTCTATATTTGGCATATTCCAAAAGGATACCATGATATTAACACAGATTTTACGCTTTTTTCCTTAGTTACAATTTCCTTTAGATTTTGAAGGCCATAGATCACGAATTCGATACAAGGCTATTTATTGTCCATCGATGATTTAGTCAATTAAGAACCAATTTGGGAAACTTGTTTTCGGATGACATTTTCATAATTTTTTGGGCAATTTTTTTCGAAAGACCATTTCCTGGGATTTTGAAGGTTACAGATCACGAATTCTGAGACTATTCTTCAATGATGATTAAGTCCATTAAGCACCGGTTTGGGTGAATTTCTTCAGGGTTCATTTTTGGCAGATAGCAAAGGGGTACCATCACAAATTTCAGGCAATTTTTGCGTTCGATTGTGGAGGCTATAGATCATGGATTCGGTCTAAAGCTATTCTCCACCAATAAAGAAGTCTATTGATCATATTCTCCACCGATTGTTAAGTCTATTAAGCACTGATTTAGGTGAATTTTTTTGGATGACATTTTCGTAATTTTTGTGCTATTTTATTCGAAAGACCATTTTCCTTTGATTTTGAAGGTTATAGATCAAAGATTCAAACTGAGGCTATTCTTCAACGATGATTAAGTCCATTAAGCACCGATTTGTGCAGATTTCTTCCGGGTCCATTTTTGGCAGATTGCAAAGGGGTACCATCATAGATTTTGGGCAATTTTTTCGAAATGTGTTTTTATTTGGATTGCGCAATCTACATACCACGGATTCAGTCTGAGGTTATACTCTGTTGATAAAGAAGTCTATTGATCATATTTTCCACTGATGATTAAGTCCATTAAGCACCAATTTAGGCGAATTTATTTTTAAATGAAATTTTTCGTAATTTTTTGGCGATTTTATTTGAAAGACCATTTTTCTTGGATTTGAAGGTTACATATCACGGATTCGGTCTGAGGCTATTCTTCAACGATGATTAAGTCCATTAAACAATGATTTGGGCGAGTTTATTTTTGATTAGCACTCTCGTAATTTTTGGGCATTTTTTTATTGCCATTTTCTTGGGTTTTGAAGGTTACTAATCACGGATTCGACATGAAACTATTCTTCCACGATGATTAAGTACATTAATCACCGATTTGGGTGAATTTTTTCTGTGTCCATTTTTGGTAGATTGCAAAGGGGTACCATCACAGATTTCGGACGGTTTTTTCAAGATGCTTTTTTTTGGTAAAATGCCTTTTTCTTTTGATTGTGGAGGCTACAGATAACAGATTCAGCCTGAGACTATTCTCCACTAATAATGAAGTCTATTGATTTTATTCTCCTCCAATGATTAAGTCCATTAAGCATCAATTTGGACGAATTTATTTTGGATGACAGTTTCAAATTTTTTTTGGTTTTTTTAAGGACCACTTTCCTTGGATTTTGAAGGTTACATATCACGGATTCGGTTTGAGGCTATTCTTCAACGATAATTAAAACCATTAAGCATTGATTTGGGAAGATTTCTTCTAGGTCCATTTATGGCAGATTCCGAAGGAGTACCATAACATATTTCGTGCAATTTTATTTGAAAGACCATTTTCCTTGAATGTTGAAGGTTACAGATCACGGATTCGGTCTAAGACTTTTCTTCAACAATGATTAAGTCCATTAAGCATCGATAGACGAATTTGTTTCGAGTCCATTTTTGGCAGATTGCTAGATGCAGGCCGACGCTATTCTCCACCGATAATGAAGTCTATTGATCCCATTCTCCATGGATGATAAGTCCTATAAGCACCAATTTGGGCAAATTTATTTTTGGATGACATATTTCTTAATTTTTGGGTCGACAAAAGGACATTTTATTTGGATTTTGAAGGATACAGATCACGGATTCCGCCTGAGGCTATTATTCAACGATGACTAAGTCATTAAGCATTGATTTGAGCGTATTTATTCTAGGTCAATTTTTGGTATATCCCAAAGGGGTACCATCACAGATTTCAGGCGATTTTTCCGAAATGTCATTTTCTTTCGATTGTGGAGGGTACAGATCACGGATTAAAGCTGAGGCAGTTCTCCACCAATAATGAACTCTATTGATCCTATTCTCCACGAATGATAAGTCCTTTAAGCACAGATTTGGGCCAATTTATTTTCGGATGGTATTTTCGTTATTTTTTGTGCGATGAAATGCCATTTACTTTAGATTTTAAAGGCTACAGATCACGGATTCGGCTTGAGACTATTCTTCAACGATGATTAAGTCCATTAAGCACCGATTTGGGAAGATTTATTTCGGGTCAATTTTTTGCAGCCTCCAAAGGGGTACAATAAAAAATTTAGGGCGATTTTTTTCAAATGCCATTTTCTTTCTATTCTTGTGGCTACAGATCACGGATTTAGGGCAAGGCTGCTATCCACCGATTATGAAGACTATTGATTCTATTCTCCACGGATGATAAGTCCTTTAAGCACCAATTTGGGCCAATTTTTTTTGATGGTTAAGGGCCAATTTATTCCCGAATGGCATTTTCGTAAATTTTTGCGCAACGAAATGCCTTTTTCTTTGAATTTTGAATGCTTCAGATCACATATTCGACCTCTGACTATTCTTCAACGATGATTTAGTCCATTAAGCACCGATTTGGGAAGATTTATTCGGGTAAGTTTTTGGCAGATTCCAAAGGGGTACCATCACAGATTTCGGGTGATTTTTCCGAAATGTCATTTTCTTTCTAATTAGGAGACTACAGATCACAGATTCAGACATAGGCTGTTCTCCATCGATAATGAAGTCTATTGATCATATTCTCCACGGATGATAAGTTCGTTAAGCACCAATTTGTGCCAATTAATTTTCGGTTGACATTTTCGTAATTTTTTGGGCGACGAACGACCATTTTCTTTGGATTTTGATTTTTGAAGGCTACAGATCACGGATTCGCCCTGAGGCTATTCTACAACGTCGATTAAGTCTATTAAGCACTGATTTGGGCGGATTTATTCCGGGTCAATTTTTACAAGATTCCAAACGGGGTCATCACATATTTCTTGCGGTTTTTTCGAATGTAATTTTTTTCTATTTTGGAGGCTACAGATCACAGAATCAGGTTGAGGTTAATATCCACCGATAATGAAGTCTATTGATCCTATTCTCAACGGATGATAAGTCCATTAAGCACCGATTTGGGCCAATTAATCTTCGGATGACATTTTTGTTATTTTTTGGGTGACGAAAGGCCATTTTCTTTTCATTTTGATGGCTACAGATCACGGAGTCGGCTTGAGACTATTCTTCTACGATGATTAAGTCCATTAAGAACCGATTTGGGCGGATTTATTCCTAATCAATTTTGGGCAGATTCCAAAGGGGTACCATCACAGATTTCGTGCTATTTTTCCGAAATACCATTTTTTCCGATTATGGAGGGTACAGATCACATAATCAGGCTGAGGCTATTCTCCAAAGTTAATGAAGTCTATTGATCCTATTCTCGATGGATGATTAGTCCATTAAGCACCGATTTGGGCCAATTTATCTTCGGATAGAATAGGATCAATAGACTTTATTATCGGTGGAGAATAGCCTCGAGCCACATACGTGATCTGTAGCCTCCAAAATCGAAAGAAAATGGCATTTCGGAAAAATCGCTCGACATCTGTGATGGTACCCCTTTGGAGTCTGCCAAAAATGGACCCGGAAGAAATCCGCCCAAATTGGCCCTGATTGGACTTAATCGTCGTTGAAGAATAGCCTCACCCCGAATCCACCATATTTATCCTTCAAAATCCAAGGAAAATGGCCTTTCAAAAAAAATTGCTCAAATAATTACGAAAATGCCATTCCAAAATATATTGGCCCAATTCGGTGCTAAATTTACTTAATCATCGGCGGAGAATAGGATCAATAGACTTTATTATCGGTGGAGAATAGCCTCGAGCCGAATCCGTGATCTGTAGCCTCCAAAATCGAAAGAAAATGGCATTTCGGAAAAATCACCAGAAATCTGTGATGGTACCCCTTTGGAGTCTGCCAAAAATGGACCCGGAAGAAATCCGCCCAAATTGGCCCTGGATGGACTTAATCGTCGTTGAAAAATAGCCTCAGGCCGAATCCACCATCTTTATCCTTCAAAATCCAAGGAAAATGGCCTTTCAAAAAAAATTTCTCAAATAATTACGAAAATGCCATTCCAAAATATATTGGCCCAATTCGGTGCTTAATTGACTTAATCATCGGCGCAGAATAGGATCAATAGAGTTTATTATCGGTGGAGAATAGCCTCGACCCGAATCCGTGATCTGTGGCCTCCAAAATCAAAAGAAAATGGCATTTCGAAAAATCGCCCGAAATATGTGATGGTACCCTTTTGGAGTTTGCCAAAAATGGACCCGGAAGAAATCCGCACAAATTGGCGGTGGATGGACTTAATCGTCGTTGAAGAATAGCCTCAGGCCGAATCCACCATCTTTATCCTTCAAAATCCAAGGAAAATGGCTTTTCAAAAAAAATATCTCA